TACAATTATCAGTGATTTATAAGCCCAATCTAAACCTCCTGCAGGACCTTAGCGTGTGAGGTTTGTCTCATGATCATAAATCGGACATAGCTGATCCCATTCGTCTGTAAAGCATTTCAGCGATGGAAGTATAATCTCTTCACATATGACCTACATGGCACGGGGCCCACATGTGCGCTGGTATCTGAAGGACTTTCTGCCATTATCACGGCAAAACCCCTAGATGTGAAAGATCAGCAATTTCGTTCATGAGGATATTTACAGACATACGCTTCGAGGTGCCAGTCAATGTGACTTTTGGTTCAGAGTTAGTACCCGCCTAGACAGCTCAATAAAATGGATGTCATACCAATGCAAGAACCAGGGGCCCGAATTGTCGGTCACCCCATCGTATCACCATTTGTTGCCCATTGCTTCCAGCGTTTACCACGTCGCGACGAACTGGGTTCACATAATTGAGGGTACTGTTGCCTGCGAAGCCCGCGCTCTGTACGACATCGAAGGAATGCTGATAATCATCAGTACCAGCCAAACATGCCATGGAAACCGCAGCGAACTCACTCCGTGAAGGTGTATCGGATGCTGGGTACAATGTATATCAGACACGTAAGCATCGAAGGAATGAGAAAAACGTACGGGTCCACCTGGACCAGTCGTTGACAATGTCAACTCTACCACTTTGTTGGCCTCGAGAGTGATGACGCTCCCGTTTGGGAGCAGGTGAGAAGGGTCTGTACCAGTAAGAATTTGGAGTAGAACAGGAACGGTGGGTGGTTGGTATGAGACACCATTCACGAGATATTGTACGCCGGGGAGGGAAACCTCGAGGTTGAGGTTGATATCTGCCTTCCCATACCCTGGAGTGCCAGGAGCACCGGGATTGATTAGAGCATGCAAATTGGTCTCGTCCAATGGGTTGATGGATGAAGTATTGACCGTAGTCGGGTCGGCCATTCTGGCGCCTTTGTAGCGTAGGATAGCAGTGTTCGTTCCCCCCTCGTAGGTCGCACCGGCCGCATCAGGAAGACTGCGTAACCAGTAGTTATCCACCGGCTGATCGGCCACCAGAATCACAGAGTAGCGCTGGCCCGCTAAGATTTGGAGCTGATCTACCACCAGAGGTTCCGTTAGCCGTCCATCCGCTTCGATGACAGTTAAGTTGTGGCCATCAATAGAGAACTGAACGCTGGCGTCGCATGACATTTGAACCAGGCGGAAGCGATATCGCTTTCCCTGCTCGACGCTGATGACAGAGAGATTATGCTCGGGGCCACCAGCATAGCGACCGCGTCCGTTGATGAGCATAGACTGGGGAGTAGGATTCTTGCCAATCAAGTCTTTGGCCATATAATGATACCTAGTAATCCAACTTTAACCGGGCAGATTGCCAACGTTCGGAAAACTCACCAGTCGGCAAGTGTGATCACAGTGCTTGCTGGAAACAAATGATGGTCAGATAATTGATATCAACCAATCATTCGCTCACCATCGTCGACGTCGTACATGTATGCCAAGGGGTCGTGAGGATCATATATTACCAGCGGTCCTCTGAGACCATCACACTGTTCCATAGGTCAGTCCTCCGCTGCGTGAGCAAGGTTCGAGTGATACTTGCATATTGAACGGAATAATGACTATGATACCAGTAAGTGCCTGCTTGGTTCGGGGCGGAGAAAGAGTGCAAAAACGAGTGGTCCGGCGTAATGGGGCATTGAGTGACGAAGGACGTCCCATCAGCATAGTTCGTCCGATTCTGGGCGATACCGTGCCAGTGCTGCGGTACACAAAGTTAATTTTTGGACAACGTCGATAGTACGCTGCTTACGACGCTGGTGAGTGTAAACATGTTGTCGTCCCTGAGATTGTTGACCACCTCGATATCAAAGTGATCTCCCTAATGTGAGGTTAGTACTGACGCGCGTGACAAGGAGGTCGACACAAGTTCACCTTCTGCGCTGCAATCAAGGGTCCAGGGAATACGCCATCAACAAGAGTTGCTCTGTCGACGATCAGGAGTGAGTTTTGAGTGCTGTAGCAATACACTCACGCGCGTATGAAGCCATCGGGAGCGACGACCCCATTACCTATGGTCAGTCTGGTCTTTGGGCCATATACGGCGGGCTGAGATGATGGGTAGGATTGTGAACGAGATACTACAGCTGTGGCATTAATTGATGAAATGAGAGAAGCGATTAATAAAAGAATAATCATCGTGATTATTCACGATAGGTGTAATAATGTCGCCGGGAGGATGATAGAATTTAGAATAAGATTGTAAGCTATGGCAGCTTTTATCTTGCAGCGGCAGATAGCCTTGAGCTTTCCCATTTCAAAGCGTACCTGTATCAACGTGCGGTCGCACCGGCAACAGCACAGTGATGTCCAGCGCCTGGAAATTTACATTTCAGCGATGTACTGCTCCTGGAGTTAGCAACCATCCGCCAGCGTGTTAACGAACGATCACGCACCAAAAAAAACAAAAAACATGACTCGGGCAGAATCTAAAATAACTCGGGAGGTCAGAACAGCCAATTTCAAGTTATTCCAGGCGTTAATGCTAGGATTCCACAGCAGTTCGGCGAATCTTCAAGGACAGGGGGGGGAAATACAGATGGCTTGTAGTGCCCAGTGGTGGCCGCGCGAGAGTGTCAGACTGACTTCGTCTGAAATAAATGGTCACACGCTGTAAGATACAACCTGTGATATGTCGGAACTTAAGCAGTGCCGACTGTGCACTGGGCGCTTAGGTGTCTGGGAGACGGCCGGCAACCTCGATCCAATGGGCAACGGTTGTGCCTTCATTGAATTCTGCATGTCGGGCTGAAGTGACCATTGAGGATTGATCCGTTCTCGGCTTGCAGGCTATGGCAGTGACGATGAATCGGGATTGAGGCACGAATCGCATGATCGCATATAGATAATGAAGTTATTGTTAATCCTGGAAGTCGGATTGCCACTGAAGTGACCAGTGATGTGCATATAAAGATACGACGAAATTTCGAACAAAAAAATAATTCTGCCCCTCTGTGCAGAGTACCTGACGAGTGTTAGTCACATCGAGCATTTCAAACTACACACTACTGCTCGTAGACACATGCACGCGCTCCTGGAGAACAATCGAAGTCATCCCGGTTGCTGCATCGGCCACGAGCCTAGCGTGATATTCTCGGATGTTAAGGATCAGGCGCGGTCCTAGTACAAACATCTGCACAAGTCGGAACATGTCAAGAAAACCAAGATACATCTGGGTTCCCAGAGAAAATTTATCCTAAAGAAATTATGAACGGTGGTTGCATGCAGAGGTGCGGTCGGCATACCGATGACGGTGTCGAAAAAAATAACCGAGATCGAAGCACGATACAACAACAAAGCTAGCGTGTGCGGAACTTCAGCGGAAAGAGGGACCTGCATTTACATTATGAGCTCACATTGGTCTGTCCAGGCTAAGTGGCTGATGGCGAAGAAGATCAGCAGAATGGCAGTGTTGAAGAGTGTAGCTGAAAGAAGTCGTAAGGCTTAAGTTAGTATGGATTTCGACTCATGGAAGGAGGCATAGTACTGCGCGCCACTGCTACATAGCATGCATGTACAGTGTAGACAGAAGATTTATGTAAGAGTTGAGCCTTCAAAACTTCACGGGCCAGGTGAAACGGTCGTCACGGTGACGCGCCTGTGACACGGCATATGTGACGCGGCATTCTACTAGGGGTAGAATCATGTTCACACAACACCTTATGTCGCTCGAACTGAATTCCAAACACTTTGAATATCCTTGTTAATGATCGCGATCGATTAGCGCTTTAGCATGTGAGTGCCCGTCTGCGTACAGGCCCTAGCTAGACTGCTGTATTCACTCACCATATTTACAGTGCTTGTCTAGTACTAATGTCAAACGGCGCATCTTAGTACATTTGTCTTGTATTGCCTCTAATTCATTGACCTAATGATGGTTTTCAGACGGTGTCTCTGAAGTGTTGTCTCGTTAAGTGTCAAGCTTTCAAGCCTCGACCTCAAATTTTCAAGTCTAATACTGTCTCTATACTCACGTACTACCTTGTTAAGCCCCAACCATGTCATCCCAAGCCTCATTCAGGCTGGGTCAAGCACTGCTCGCTCATACCACGACAGGTTTTCCCAAACATCTTCAGTCTCTGCACCAATGTCGGCTTTCACACTTACCTGTGCCGCGTCAAGGCCCACCCCACGCCGCGTCAACCATAGCCCCTGCCGCGTCAAACAAGTTGTGCCGCGTCAATGCCGCGTCACGCCACGTCAAACCTCATTCATGCTGCGTCAGTGCCGCGGCACAGCCTCGTCACAGCTACCCTTCACACACGAGTTTGACTGCAACTCTGGCTGAGATATGGCTGACCACTCAATTATAGTGTTGGCAACGGAGCTTTGGCTCGTCTCGGGAAGTGTTGGTATCCTGTGCAGCTAATTCAGTCCTGTGTTAAGTGTTGACGTGCTCCACAGACTCGGAGGGTCCAGAGAGGGAGGAAAAGAAAATGGTCATTGGTTGATGTAGCTAATATAGTACATGTCCCTATGACGAATAAAATAACAAGGGGGTGGTCATGAACCCGTCCAACTTGATGTGGGAGTCGAATGCAGAACATAGGAACGTCTGCACTGGCTCGTCAAGACTCGTTGGTGCCGCGTCACGACCGCGGCAGGTGCGACAGGACCGCGTCAAAATAGCCACGCCCAGCCTTCACGTCAACTCACGTGCACTTGGCATCACTGCGTGGGACTTCCATCTACGGTCGTAGGCTCGCAGCTACCTCTAGAGGCCGCACTCAATGCCATCATGTCTAGCCGCTCGCCCTCATATTTTTCGTACAATCATTTCACCGAGGGATCTCAGCACCGAGCTCTCCATTGCGCACGACGCATGGTGTACCAAAAAGTCTTTGTCGTTTGTCACTGGCCGGCGGCGTAACACCAGCAGCTGCACCCGAGCATTCAGCAGCTATAGGGCTCAAGCCTTTAACGACTCTCTAGGGAAGACGGCACCTTCAAGTACACACGACGTTTCAGCACTATCGCACAGAATCTCTGCCTTTTTACCTCGCGCACTGTCGGGATCTACCGCTGACGGAGGAATACACTCGTCCCAACTCTGGAGTGAACTTTTGAACGACATCGACGCGGAATTATCTTTTACGTCAGAAGCGCGTCAGAGTGCTCGCGTCGTCGGTGAGTCCTCCGCCCGACTTTTCATGTTGCATCCGACGTGATGCCCTTCTAGTATGCGGAGCTGACCAGTGGGCCGGTTCCTATGAGCTCATCACAGCTCTCCTTGAAAACCCGTTTACAACTGACGAGGCTTACAGCGATATCCTACGAAACCGGTGGAAAAACCAGTCTGCGTACCTTACAATCGAGTGCGTCAATGTTTTATGCTCTATGTCGGGGCAGGATGCTCAACAGGTATTCTGAACAGTCATGGGCAATCAACATCCCTCGTCGACAGTGCCCTCACCATTCCTTCGTCTTGGCTCCAACAATACCCTTTCCCCATCCAACTCACCGAAATCCCGACACTCTCTTCCCATCCTTCCCTCTCAAAAACGCTCCTCAAAGGAGACGTGCTAATCCTCCTTTGCAACCCACTAACAACACCCCTACCGACGCTCATCTCCAATGCCCAATACATCCTTCAAAGACCAGGAACAATACTTGTTCTCACCGCTTCCGGCGCATCCTCGCATGCACTAGAACATATTTCCAAGGAACTGGCAGCTGCAAATTGCACTCCTGGAAAGATTCTTGTTGTGGATCCTATTCGCGCATTAGAAGCTGTTTCTTCTTTAAAGTCAGATCCTTCGTCTCCTGCTGCTATTCAGAGGTACCAGGATGATTTTACGGGGTCGAGGATATCGCATCTTGGTGATGTTTTGGCGGGGGTGCTTAGGTTGAAGGGAGGACGCGCATCGTCATCGTCGTTGATGGATATCAGCACCCAGAGTGCTCTGATGCAAATGCGGAGTGCGTTGCACGCCAGCGCTCAATCGGTATCCCAAGCTCGTGTAACAATGGACCGCGTATTTATAGGCGCAAGCGAGTTGCAATTGCAAGTCGAAGAAGTTCGTGCAAGAACAGACAGGGAGGTGCTCGTAGAGTCTGGTATAGAAGAAGCTCTTCTCCGCGGTTCCAAAGAGATGAAATCCTTGTTGGAGTCGTTAAATTGGCTGAAGATGATATGGCGCGTCGACGAGATAGATTCTTTGGTGGCTTCCGCGTTGGACAGGCATTGGTGCAGGGAACTAGAAAATCAGGTATGCAGGCACCTCACAACACTTTTTTTACTATGACGTTGATACGACGCTCGTAGCTCATCCTGCAAACGGGTCGTCTAGCATCTACCCAAGCATTCCTAACCTCATCCACCTTTTCCAAACTCGCCCAACTCGCATCGCCATCCCCCTTATCCACCGCTTTCCATTCCCCCATCCTCGACAACCATCTCCGTCAACTCACGCACTCCCCAACATACGCACTTACCCCAGACGCCCTCACCCAGCCCATTCAAGCCCGGCGTTCTCAGCTGACAAAACACACCACGACACGTTTACACCGCAAAGCCCAGAATGCGGTGCTGGGTGCGTTTGGCGGTATGTTTGGCGGTGCTGGTATTGGATGGTGGCTTGCATTTGGAGAAAGCGCTTTGAGCGTTGGTGCTGGTTCGGAAGCAGGGACTGCTTTGGGTGCTGGTGCGCTGGTTGCTGTTGCTAGTATAAGATGGGCTGTGGGTAAGTGGGAACGAGCGAAGAGGGAGTGGGTGGAGGATGCTGATCGGGTTGGGGAGGGGCTGAAGAGGGATCTGAAGGTGAGATTTGAGAGGTTTTTGCGTAGAATGGACTTACGAGTGTTTTATTTGAAGGTGACTCTGGAGCGAGGGATTGAGAAGAATGTTGCAGTTGTTCCTATAGCAGCGTATGAAGGACTGCGAGAGCTTGCTGGGAAACGACAGGAGGAGATCGATGTTGTTAAGGACGATCTTATTTCGATGCAAGCTGACGTTGAAGCGCTTGAAATTGCTCGACCTTCATAGTATGTAGCACGATTGGATATACTGCACCACATTCTTCATGGATGCGTCTAGATGCTGCTACGCTAAATCGTGGTATGCGTGATGCCACAAAAAGTCCGTCGCGTTCATGAATCATAGGAGCAACCTTATTTCGATGCAAGCGGAAGTCAAAACGCTTGAAGCTGCTCGACCTTCATGGTGTGTAGCACGATTGGAATACTGCATCACATTCGTCATAGATAATTTAGATGCAAATAGATGTTCCGCTAAATGATGGTGTACATGATGCCATAAAAATCCCTTGCGTTCATGAACTCGTGATAACTATCTTCGGAAGGGGAGGGGGAACGTCTTCGGATCTCTCGTGCTGCGGTCGTGGTGTGCCTGCACCATCCTCTTCGCCGCTGTCTTCGCCAATATCAAACAACTCTTCTCTTTCGTCCCAGACGTCGTTTAAGCGGGCGGCTTTAACAGGCTTCGGCTTAGAAGGGGCCGAAGGATGAGAGTACAAGGGAAGAAGCTGCGTTCCAGAGGTGCCTTCGTCATCTGACGCATCGTCTGCATCGGAAATATCGTCCGTCTCTAAAGGGCGGTATAGGCGTGCAATCTGGGGGTTGGGGTTTGCGTGAGAATGATGGATGATGTAGCTGCTCACCTCTCGCCGCGCACGGTAATATTTCTCAATGTGATATGCCAGATAGAGTCCGACGGTGGAACCCAGCCAATTTGCCTGTGAGGAATGATTACTGGACGAAAGGCGTCAGGCCAGAACACGTACCACCACATCGCCAGATTGAAATTCCTTTTTCTGCTTTCGCATGAGCTCGTCGTGCTCGCGTAGAAAAGTAAAATGGAAACGTACAGGAAGCATGGACTGCACTATCTCGCTGACGAAACCACCGAAGAAGAAGCACACGACAGCGGTAAATATCAACCCTGAATGGCGCCAAAACCATATTCTACGAGCTTCTCTAGATCAAACCCAAAGTCTTCAGCAGCAGGCCAATATAAATAAATAAAACGATGATAACTCACTCCTCTACGTCGAATATAAAGTAAAACACGCCGGTCGCTATGCACAAGCAAGTAAAGTGTAGGAACTTGTCGTTCAGGGGAAGGGCCCTGGAAAAGTTTGTGAAACCTAAGAAAGCGAGTATCACCATTATCGCGCAGGTGAATACGAGGAACCACTGTCGTTAATTTAGTGATCATGAGTGACTAGCGCTTCGTGTGATAGTCCCGAAGGAAGCCTACCGGGCGCAGTCGAATGGGTAAGTCGTATTTTGGGAGCTGGACTCGGTGGGATTTCATTATCGCCTTCGACATCTTCTTGAGGTGCTTGCGCATTGGCTTTGACGGCGAGCTTGGAGAATTTGACGCCATGGAGAGTCGGATGTGCCCAGCTGCCATGGCGGTGAGCAAGTCAATTAGCCTCCGCAGCCGGGAGGTTATTTCCTTATATAATCGTTATATAATCGGTATAGCCGGGCATCATTGATCTTGTTTCAACTTGAACTTTCATGATCGCAATTGTTGCGGTTAGACCTCGTCTGCTCTACTAAACTGTCGTCCTTCTATCTCGTCCGAGTCTGCCTAGGGAAGACTACGTCTGCTTGCCATCAGCCACTTACAGGTTTCAGTATCGGACAGACCCATGCAGTAACCGCCACAACAATGTCTGCATCGCTTCTTTCTGAGAGGCTCAGAACTATATCGACTATCTTCATTCGTCTATGGTCCGAGTCTCTGGCTGACCTATATAGTCTAAAGGAAACGGCACCTTCCAGAGGTGTAATCAATATCAAGTATCCAGTGCAGTTCATATCAGTCATCAATCAAAACATGAACGGATATCACCGCTCATTACGGCTGGATGGTGATATATCTGGCACGAACATCATGGACAAACGTCCACTAAGTTCTTCCACATCCATCCTCGAATACTATGACCCTAGTCTCAAATGATCCCAGTTGTTGGTCCTGGATCAATACGAGCCAGGTTTTCAGTTATTTTATAGGTTCGTGGATGTCCAGCCAGCAGATGATGTCCTGGTCTAACTTTAGCTGTGGTTTCGCAGTTGCCGCCTTTGCTGGGGTGGTGTGCGATTGGGGTGAGCAAGCTACCATGAAAATCTGCTGATATCCTCATGGTGCTTTCAGTACTAACGTTCGGACAAGAGGTACGTCTCTTTCATGACCAGAGCAGAAGGTCACTAAGAATGGGTTCCATAGGTTGAACTGGTCTGGGTGAGCAGAGTGCCACACTAGAAGAACAACTTGAAAATATAATACATTCGCAACAGAGGCAACGTTGGTCCCGCATGACCGCTTTGTATCTTAGTGTATGTGGCTTGTGTTACACATAAGTGTGGCCGACAAGTTGTGCTGACATGACAGTATCCTAGGTCCGTTATCTTGGAATATTGTATGCTTTGTATGTTTGAAAGGTTAAGTAATTGATACTGTGCTAATCAGTTATGTATCACAATCAGCGTCAATGTGCTGCGTATGTCTCCTGGTATACACTGAGTTTGTTTCTCCTGACCGACCGATGTCATGCAGTTTGGGTTCCGATAATCTCACTGACAGATGCAGTGGGTATTCCACTACGATTCTTGTCACTACTGTCTAATGCGTACTCTTATGTAGGGGTGAGTGAGATTGCTGATCACCTTGTTGGTTCAATATAATGGCTTCCACAGCTGTGAGTTGTATTCGAGTGTTTGATCTCTTGAGGCTGGCCACTAATATTACTGGATTTGTCAGGCCATATTCTGTATACCACGGGGGATTGGATGGGTGTTGTCGTAAATGCAATACTGAGCGGTGAGCTACGCAGCTGCAATACGTCAGTGATCTCGAGTTGACTGAAACATCGTGGAAGTGATCATGATCGTTCGGTTACACGCCATGTATCAGCGATCCAGAAAGGTGTTGATACCTCTTGTCGTTATCTTTTTGGCTGTCAGAATCTTCGCCGGAGTGGTCACAGCCATATCAACGAGGAATATTTCAATGGGTACATTCAATCATGGCTCAATGACTTAAGTGCGTCAGGCTCACGAACGAATACCAGAGGAGCTGATTCTCTCCGACACCTATCAGTCCAACGTTGTCCTTGAGGGAGAAGTTTTTCTTCTGTATTCCCTGACTTGGATACTCACCACTGCATGGGAGGTCCTCGCACTGTGTCTCGCAGTCTGGATTGCTGTAAAACACTTCCGTGAACTGCGACAACATTCAGCGGGAGGAATCATGAGGGACTGCTTCACGGTGTTGATGAAAACTCACGTGGTTTACTTTGCGAGGTGAGCTCATGTGTGAATCTAGGTCCCTTTATTCGCTGACATTCCGCACGCGCTAGCTTTGTTGCTATCTCGTGCTTCGAGCTCAGTTCTATGTTTTCAACGACTTTAGCGGTATGGTGATCTGTCGCTGACTTCTGCATGCGACCAAGGTTCATTATTTCTTTATTATAGAACTCCCAGATTTTTATTGGTTTTCTTCAAATTTTCCGACTTGTGCGAATGGCTGTACTAGGACTGCGCTTGATCCTTGGCGTTCGAGAATATCACGCCAGGCTTGTGGCCGACTCTGATGTAGCGACCGACATGACTTCAATTGCCTTCCAGGAGCGCGTGCATGTGCCGACTGGCAGTAGTGTATAGCACGGGAGATGCTGGGTGTGATTAACATTTGTCATGTACTCTGCAAGGAGCGAGAGAATTTTGGTCTGTGCGAGGTTTCGTCTTGGTATTTATTTACTCAAGTCATTCGGTGATCTGAAGTGTATTTGATAGGTCTGGGCATTGGAATATTACATTGTATTACGGTTGACAGTGGCACCCTGGCACTGGGTGCCCATATGTTGTGATCCACACTTGCACTACACGGTAAGCTGAACCAAGATGTGCTTGGGTCTCGTAAGTCCCTCGGTGCTCGAACTCCTGGAATATTTGGAGGAGGAGAGTTCAAGTCCATTTAATTATCATTTATCAAGGCCGGCTAAGTGCTTCCCAGCAGCGTGTTTGCATGACAGTGACCTGTTCTGCGGGCTGGCTTATCGCATCAAGGCAGGCGCGTCGCTGTACTAAGCGCTCGTCCCATTGATACGAATCAGATGTTTCTTACCTTTGACTGCTCTGGTGCTTGAATTTCCGGGGACTGAAGGAAAAGTTAATGATGATAGCTGGTGGTGAGTGAATAATTTGAACCGCTGATCATACCATCACTACAACCCTCTGAATCATCCGACTCATTCATATCCCATTTTCCTATCGTTAAGTATCAACCAAGCCCGTACGTCGATACCCCGAGTTTCTCTGCTCGTGACTTAGCGCTCAAGAAGACCACCCAGTCCATCAGACGACGCGTGCTCAGGCGTGTTCCCCGGTAGCATTCTGCTTTGAATATCGTCAACGAGGACAGAAATCCATTGTCTCATTGCAAAGGCCCGATCATTTTTATATCGCTTCTGTGAGCCCTTGGCAAGGACATCTACTTGAATAAGAGTATAGTTTCGACCACGATCTCCTCCTCGCGCACCGGGTGCACGTACAAAATACAACGCAGATGAGTTCATCTAGATATCTTGAGTAAATGCTGTCGATAGGGACCTTGAGTATTGGAGGACTCTTATGACAATGTAGTTGCCATTCGACCCAAGGACGAAGTACGATGAAGATCACATCAGCCAGCGGCATTACTAGCTGCTGAAATCAAAAGTGGGTATCTCCTCGAGCCGGATGTGACGATGTAGGTGGCCAAAGGCGCGGACGGACTCATGATGATATTTTGGCCGGGGAGATTCTGCCTTCTGCTGCATCGCAATTGTCATGAGGCTGCGAGGAACCTCTGTATCGACCTTCCGTTCGTTCGTCCGAAAGTCGACGGCTTGGCTATAAAGCGCTGCGAGCGCTTCAGACTGTCCGGGAAGTTATTTGTAAGTGATCTTAGCCTGTGACCGTGCCGTACCGTAATTGGTTTCAACTTTCTTGATCGCAAAGACCTGCAAAAATTCTGAAGACGTTGCGGTCACCGCGGCTGTCACCTTGTTCATACAAGGTCACTATCAACTGACAATTGTGGCTGTGGTAACTAACTAATCGTGCGAAAGAGCCAAACAATTAAGTAATCAATGATAGCCAGTCTTTTTTCGCTAACTCACTCCAATTGGTTCTCGTGAATCTCGTCGTATCCTATAACTTCAACGTTAGTACTGTGGCCCTGTCATGCTATGCTGACGCGCATTTTTGCTGTTGGTTTGTACCATTTGAATAATTTGCGTCAAGCTGTGTGACATGAGTATACTTGACACTGTTTCTCCGAGTCTGTGATTCCGAGACCGCTACAAACCTCGGTTCAGAATTCGAACTCTTGAATTGGCCAGTTGCGGATCGCTGCAGAGCTGAACTTACAAACCTCGCGGAAACACACATTATCAATCCTCTCCCGGCATATACGGAAATGATCGCAAACTCATCCCGCCAGATCAATATGAGACCAAATTATGTGGTGCTGTGGTCGAAGTGCACTTCGCATTTTTTCACCATCGCATTAGAAGGTCTAGGCGTCACATTTTCAACGCTGTTCTTCGCGAGATGATCGTGTTACGGCAACCTTCCAACATGCCTTCCAGTCCGCTGAAACGACGCAAATTGGGTGCTGGACCTTCATTAGATACACCTTTCAAAGGAAAGAAATGTGTTCACATATCTTCAACGACTAATGGTAAATAATATTTTCGAAGCTGCACAATTACTGATCACAATCATTTATCAGAAACCGTCTGAATGTGTTGTTCTAGTATCACATTTTTTGTGTTCAGATAGCAAAGTTGGCAGTTTTTCTTGAATATGATTCCAGCTTGCCTCAGATCTTCAAATATTTGTTGTAAAACCAGTATGCCGCTGATGTACGATTGCTGATCCATGCATGCATTCCATTTGTTGTCCCAAAAATGCGTCAATAAGTACACAACACTTGTCGAACAAGGTTGCTGCCGGCGAAGCTCAGCCTTTTCTAGTACGGCATTCTACTTGGCAATATCACAATTACCAATACAAGCGGGGCGTGACCGGTCTGACTGGTTGACCTCGGGAAACCAATGGACCTGTAGTGGTCTGCTTCTAAGTTTGTGGTGTAAGACTTTAACGTTTAGGTTTCAGGCAGACTGATGCTAATCGCTACGACAGCACGACAATGTTTGACGGTATCACTCCACACTAATTGGAAAGAACCGCATACTGTTACTGTAAAGACTATCTTCATTCGTCCTTGGTCCGAGTCTGTCTAACATATAGTCCAAGGGAGACTAGATATCGCTTTGAATATTGGACCGATGCGGTGCGCTTCACATTTTTTTCAATCGAAACCGGAACGGATCGATGTCGCCCGCTCATAGCGGCCAGAAAAACACTGAATAATGGTATATATTAGCACGAACGCCATCGTCAAACGTCCACCACTTGCAAGTTCACTACTCGCTCACATCCATCCTCGACTACTAGTATGACCATTATCTTAAATGATCCCAGTTGGTGGCCGTTCATTAATTTTAATTCGTATCGTACTGTCAGATATTTTATAGGTTCGTGGATGTCCTGAGTCAGTTGGTGTTCAAATCTTATCTGTGCTGTTGTTTACAGTTGCCGCCTCTGCTGGGGTGGCATACGATTGGGGTGAGCAAGCTCAGGCTAGTATGAAAATCTGCTGATTTCCTTGTGGGTATTTGTAGTCCTGACGTTCGGACAAGAGGTACGTTCATGTCATGGCCGAAGCAAGCATCTCACCAATGTAACAATTCCGTAGGTTGAACTGGTCTGGGTGAGCAGAGTCCCACAATAGAAGAACACCTTGAAAATATAATTGATTTACGACAGAGGCAACGCTGGTCCCTTATGACCGCTTTGTATCTCACTGTATGTAGCTCTCGTTTTACATGTGGTTGGCAAGGTCGTACTGACTTGGAAATATTCTAGGTGCGCTATGTTGGAATATTAATTGTTGTGTATGTTTGAAAGGCTAAGTAATTGACACTGTACTAATCAGCAATGTCTCACAATCAGCGGCAACATAGTGGGTATGTCTCCTCGTATATATGGCGTGTCTTTCTTCTGATAGGTGGCATGCAGCTTCTGTTCCGACGATCTCAATGACAGATGCAGTGAGTATTCTGCACCGATGTCTGATGTTCCCGTTCAATCAACTCCCATGTAGGGGTGAGTAAGCATCTTGACCATCTTGTTGGTTTGATGTAATGACTGCTATAGCTGTGAGTCACTTTCGAGTGTTTGATCCTCTAAAGCTGACCGCTAACAACTGGCATTGTCAGGCCGTATTCTGTACTTCACAGAGAATTGGATAACTAGCATCGTAAATGCAATACTGGGTGGTGAGTTACGCAGCTGCAATACACGATTTTGGCTTGACTGAAACATCATGGAAGTGATCATGATCGCTCGGTTACACGCCATGTATCAGCGATCCAGAAAGGTGTTGATATTTCTCGTCGTCGTCTTTTTGGCTGTCAACGTTTTCGTCGGATTGGCCAGCGCAATATCAACGAGAAATATTTCTGTGGGTGCGTTTAATCATGGCTCGACGACTCAATTGCGTCAGGCTCACAAACGAATACCAGAGGAGCTGATTCTCTCTGACACCTATCAGTGCAACGTTGCATTTGAGGGGGATGTCATGCTTCTGTTCACCATGACTTGGATACTTGCCACTGCATGGGAGGTCCTTGCACTGTGTCTCGCAGTCTGGATTGCTGTAAAACACTTCCGTGAACTGCGACAACATTCAGCGGGAGGAATTATCGGGGACTGCTTCACGGTGTTGATGACAACTCACGTGGTTTACTTTGCGAGGTGAGCTCATGTGTGAATCTGGGTCCCTTTATTCGCTGATATTCCGCACGCGCTAGCTTTGTTGCTGTCTCGTGCTTCGAGCTCGGTTCTATTTTTTCAACAACGTTTGTGGTATGCCGATCTGTCACGACTTCTGTATGCGACCATGGTTCATCATTTCTATTATTATAGAACCCAACTTCACTGGGAACTGATTTTTTTTTCGGTTTTCTTGGCATCTTCCGGTCTATGCAGATGGTTGTGCTAGGACCGCGTTTGATCCTTGGCGTTCGAGAATATCACGCCAGGCTTGTGGCCGACTCTGATGCAGCGACTGACATGTCTTCAATTGCCTTCCAGGAGCGCGTGCATGCGCCAACTGGCAGTAGTTTTTAGCACAGGAGATGCTGGATGTGATTAACACTTGTCGTGTACTCTGCAGGGAGCGAGAGAATTTTGGACTGTGCGAGGTTTCGTCTTGGTATTTATTTAAGTCATTCCGTGATCTGAAGTGTATTTGATAGGTCTGGGCATACCAATATTTTATTGCATTACTCCTGGCACTGGTTGCCTTGCTAAGTGGTAAGCAGAAGCAGGATTGCTCGAAATATAGGAATACCGGAAGGAGAATCGAGTTCATTTACTCGTAAAGCCTATAATTTAGTGATCCGAAAGTCTGGATTTATCGCATCGATCTTCGTGACTGCTGCCGTTTCTGATCGATGTCCGGATCCACGTGAGGAGTCTTTGCACGGGCTATATCTCTCAACTTTTCCAAGGAGGGGGGCAAGTAACAAGAAGGGTGACGAGTCCTCATTCGTTGGGAACCATGCTCACGGCTACCCGGGCAGAAAGCGCCAAACCGTGACTTGTTGAGGAAGTAGTATTAGTAATGCCCATTTGCAACTCCACATTCATTCTCCTGCCATTGCATGATGGACCTCCTTTGCATTCGCAAGCAATTTGGTGCAGACCGGCCCTGTCCCGTATAAAAGAGCAGCACGAAGAAAATCATTCCGACCAGCGACCGTGGTTCAAGGCACTTAAGCGAGTCGTGACTAAAATTCAGCGGCGGCAATAACCGAAGTATGCATTAGCCGGGGTGGGTGTACTATGTACTACTACACTTTGATCTCAGGCTTGTTTCATGATTGCAAGGACTCGTCTGCTCGCCATCAGCCGCGCAATGTCAACGTCGACGCGCTCCTCCACATGCCCGCTATCACAATTTTCCGCTTGTGAAATCTCAGATGCCCTCATAAAGCTCGGATCTCCGAACGGAGGACACATCCCAGACGTCCACATGCTCTCCCCAATCTCCCACAAGATCTGTGCACCAGCATACACCGTCCAAATGGTACTCGCATCAGACAAATCAGCTCCAAAACTCTCCTCCCATTTCGTAGACACAGCAACCCCAGGTTCTGTCATTGTTATCGACGCCCCACCTCGTTCAGTTTGTTCTCCTCCCCGTTCTATCTCCGAACTTTCACCCTTATATCTATTGTGCAGAAGCAAAGAATGCAGTTTGGGGTGGTCTGATGACTGCGGGCGCACAAGCTCGAGGAGCTGTCGGCGTCGTTATCTCTGGACGCTGCAGAGACCTCGCTGAACATCGCGCAGCAGATTTCCCGGTGTTCGCCCGTGGACATTCGACGGTCGGACAGTCCCCTTTCGTACGCCCTTCCGCTGTAAATATTGCCCTCACCATTCGTCCCCAAGATGCGGGTGAAGGTCCAGATGCATTCGCCCCTGTCACCGTGACAGCAGGGGATTGGATCGTCGCAGACGAAGATGGTGTCGTTTGCGTGCCAGTGGATATGGTAGACAAGGTCGTGGAGCTTGCTAAGAAGGGTCAGGAGATTGATGCTAAGTGTATGGCTGATATTAAAGCTGGCAAGGGCGTCCAAGCATCTTTCAAGGAACACAGGGGCAAGTAGAAACATGTTATCAGAGCCCGCGTCCTCAATACGCGCATAATATTAAATACTCGATGCGCATACATACGACATTTAACAGTCCTACATCAAGTAGTCATACTGGATTGTATACTGTACAAAAGTGGTCCTCGACGATTTCGGTCTGATGCAATTTTCTTCACTGCCTAAGAGGGGTGCGCATATGTTAGTTCTAGGATATTCATGCACGGATACCGGTGTTCAGAGAAAATGTGGTCTTGAAAGCGTGGAGAGCGAAACGAACGCTGTGGTTCAGAGCCCACAAAAGAGAGACTGTAAAGAAACATGATCAATCGCGTATCTCACAGAAACTGAAATGCACATACTCAGCAAAATAGGAAGCCAGAACAGGACGAGCATCCGGTCGCCTTGAAAAGAAGCATCTATCAGTCTCGGTTATTTAGAATACCGATGCAACACTCACGCCCATGCTGCGCTTTCAGCGCATCATTCGCAGGCCTATAACCATACGACTCCACTTCTTGAGCTGGCACAGAAGCTGTAGCTGTAGCGTAACCAACGCGCCTGCCTGGGCTTGCAAGACGTGCGGGTGCCTCGTCGTCCAAAGCAGAGGGCTCCTCAACGCGCGAGGTACTAGCCACAGGCTCCTCCGGCTGTTCCTCGTGCGTCTCCCGTGGCGTATACATTGGAGGCGCTTCCTCAACAGGCACTGGACGAAGTGTCGCAGTGGCAATAGCAAGCGTCATCCATTTCTCCCAAGTTGCCTTAAGTTCCTGTGCAGCCCTTGCAGCTGGATGAGCAGCATCCCTCACTTCCTCATCATCCTGCTGTTCTTCCCGCTTGTCGCCAAGGAACGGCCACCCTGTTGTCGGCACGAAGATGGGGAACACCATCGGAATCTGCGGAAGAGCACCCCAAAGGACAGCAGGCATCCCAGGCAAATGCGGAAGAGGAAGCTGGGGCATGTTGGGCATATTCGGCATGATACCTTGAGGCTGCAGTTGCGCAAGCGTTCGTTGGATCATATCCACAAAGGACGCTGTCTGTTTCTCATCCGTTGCATTAGGAGGCATCTTGGTATCTGCATCTTTATTGGGCGATTCCGGTATTTGGTCCAGGTGGGATTCAAGGCTTGTTTGTTCCGTGGTATCTTGTATGCGTCGATGGAATGTACGTGCTGGTCGACGTTTGACGATGATGATTTCACCCTCATCACTTTCTACGTCACCCCACTGACTCTCACCATCATCATCTTGAATTTCCGTTTCCACGTTGGGCGAGCCTCGCGAGGTGATATCATCAAAGAAGCCTTCAGGGGCAATATCCTCCGGGGTCTTCCCAAGACCGTTCACGATCTCCAAGTCCGCTCCAGCCCCTACCAGCAACTGCAAACAAGGTTTGGACAGAGACAACACAGCAAAATGAAGAGCCGTATAACCATTCCTATCGCGCGCGTCCAAGTCGATATCATGTGCGATCAGGAATTTCGTAAGCTCCGCAAAGCCCAAGAACGATGCGAGGTGCAAAAGTGTCTGCCCATTAGACGTAGCGTGCGAAACTGCAGTGCTCATGGCGATAGTCGATTGGTTGTCGACGGAGACATCTATCATGGAAAGGAACTTGACGATCGTGGTCTCGAAATTTTCTCCTTCGTCTGAACGGACGAAGAGCAGTGGCCGTATTTCGCGATAAGATGAGGATGCAACGACGTGCATCATGTCGTTAGCGTCTGAGGATGTTGGAGAGTCTTCACTTCCTGCGTTTCCGACGATACGGAGGGCAACGTTCTTTGCGTCTTCGATCTTGCCTGTCATTTTGAGTCCGACAACCTGTAAGGCCAGCTCCATTCTGGAAATGAAAAACTTAAGCGAAAAAAGGCAAAAGGTTATCGGCGTGTACGTACAGGGCCCTGTCTGACTCGTCAGTGTATGTGAAGAGGGAGGGGAGCGAGGGATCGTTTGTCTTCTCGAAGCCCTCAAACCAAACGGCGACAACACCCGGAGAGGCTCGAGGGGGTAGGACACAAACCAAGGTATTGTCGCTCCAACGTTGCGTAGAGCTTGCGGGGACGTCTCCAAAGACACAGTTGAGTTGAAAAACAGAGTGGAAATTCTCGCCAAGGACAGTCACTTCAATGCCGCCATGTGTAGGACCGGACGCGGGTATAAGACGGTGGATTTTGGGGAGAGTAAGTGAGGCAATGGGAGGCGGTGATCTAGGGTTGAAAAAAAGAAATGGCGTCGGCTGTGAAACGAGTTGTGGGATGGACGGCGATACAGGAGAAATAAGAGGCGATGACATGGAGCTTGATACTGGCGATATTACTGAATTTGAAATGAATAAAGTAGCTTGTGCGTCTTCTGGCTGTTGAAGCCCATTGACACCAAACACAGTTGCAGAAGGAACAGTGCCATTTTCAATTTGAGATAATGAGCAAGACGGCATGGGCACTGGAGGGCGAGAGGGTGTGGGAGACCGGGAACTAGGCACTGTTGAAGGCTGAGATGGTGAGAAACTGGCTTCTCTGACGAATTTCACTGAGCTGTTCCTGCTGGTAGCATCGTATGGTTTTGCTCGCTTCTTTGGCTGACCTTTCACGTTCGCTGCCTTGCGTTTTGAGGGCGCACGCTTGTCCGCCAATTCTCCGTTCTGTGCAAGCTGGGACCAGTCGACTTCGGTTTCAGTGAGAGGGTTGAACGCAGAAATTGTCTTGGTCGTCGACTTGTGGTCATCCGTAATCATAATTGGAGGAGTCGTTCCCGATCCGACGATGCGTCCGGTATGATCCATCATTGTGAAATGGACATTGAAACCGATCTTTTCACGGTGATGTCTGCAGTAGCATGTGATGCGGACGGGAAGCACGACCGACCCCGTGGAGAAGTCAAGGACTTCGGGGCAGTTGAACTGAATGATACTAGTCGTGTCTTCCTTAGTGCCTCTCGGTCGTTCATTGCCATCCTCTGGGGTATCTGAGCCAGATCGGGCGGGTCTGACACGAGCTGCGATTTTCCTAGCCACGCGCTTTGCCTAAAAGGGAATCAAAGTTAGCATGGAGCTTTGAAGATAGGGAAGTACCGACCTCTCGGTTTCTACAGCTTCCGCAACTAAGCACGCGATTGTGTGGTGACGTAGCGCAAGTCACAGTCGTGGTTAGGTGTAGCATATCCAAGGGAGAAGGGTCTGGCTAATAGTTAGTGTGTCCAAAAGATTGAAAAGTATTCACATTACCTATCTTCCCTTCCCGACGTGTGCGCTTCTTGGTGAAAGTTCCTGGGGGAAGTTTTAGCCATTTCCATGAACCGACCCTGTCGTACAGATACGGTTCTCCTGACGATGAGCTAGCATGTGCCAAGTCCAACGTGACGCGCACTTGAGTCTCTACACGAGACTTTGTGCCATATTCAGGGATATTGGGGGTCAGAATAGGAAGGCTTCACGAATCAATATATATGAAAAACTGGACACTCGAACAAAAGAAACATACATACTTGTAGCAAGATTCCCGCGGAGGAAAAACGACTCGATGTGGAGCAGTAGAAGGGTCTCTTTTGCGTGGAGGAACGGTAGGGGGAGGGATTACAGGTGAACAGTGCGTCTGCATATGGGAGGGAACAAGATAGTCGGACTCAGGTAAAGGAGCTTGCGCAGCAGATACACAGCTGTCGCCTGTCGAATGGATTGCTTCCGGTTTCAAACAGTTTGGGACGACTTGAGGCAGAACAGGGGAAGATTCAGAGGCAGAACAGGCCGAGCTAAAGCAGGGTATATGACACGTCAACGACGATCATCTAACAAGAGAACCTTTTCAAGACATACTCTTCATAGGCATGCTCATCTATTAGGTCGTCAAGCTGGAGCATCCTCTCGTTGTCAGGCTTGTTCATGACACTACGCATAGACTCGTTGTCCCAAACACCAATTTCGGATATAGTCTTCCTTGGACGAATTGAATTATACCAAGCTGATAAGTTATGGTCATGGTGTAGGGTCACAGGATGATGACCGTCGGAAGATTCAGGCGTTGCTGGCGATGAAGAACGAGAGTCTATGGTCGTTGCCGTTGCCCTCGACATCGCTAGCGAGCGAAAAGCGTGTTCACGGAGCAGTCGCAGTAAGGTTGATAGAAAGGGATACCGTATCTCGGAAAGTTGCTGAAGCTAAGCGTCGTGACCCCGACAACTCCGACAATCTGTTTGATTACCTAATAATATTCCACTTTGAACAGTAATTGCTGAAGGGCCTTTGGTCAGTCTATTCGTGCTTTGTCCACCATGAAGAGAGGCGCAGAGAGACAAATCAGTAAAGACGACGGCGACGACATAGAGGTATGACCATAATTTTACTCGTGCTCTAGACTGGACGTTGACGTGAGTAGGAAGTGGAAGACCCTGGCAAGGGTTTCCAAAAGGCAGATGAGTCTGTCCTCACAAAGCGACAGTAAGTGTTCAGTAACTGTAGTGGGCAACGCTTATTCTGTGGCACTCAGAATACGTGGCTTGCCCAAACGAACCATGACTTCAAATAAAGCTTTGTCTTTCGCCGGACTCCCCAGTGCACCTCTTTCACCCGCGGATTCGGTGAGTACTTAGTCAATTGCCTTTGCAAATCCTTTCTAATGAAAGTCCATTCAGGAAACCCCTGCTTCCCCGAAGTTTGGTGGTTTCTCAGGGTTTGGCTCAGGAGCTGGACCAAGTCCGTTCTCATTCATGCCTCCAGCCGCCCCTTCATTCGCGGCCTCAAACGTTGCGCCCTCTGCGTCTGCTGCTACCAAGGGCTTTGCATCGGTTGTACAAGCTGCTAGTACTTCCAATGCATCTCCGAGTACTTCAGATGAAGATTACGGCCCAGAACTGAAATATTACAAGTCTATTCGCGGTCTTAACGTCTCCTTTTTGTCAGCGGTCCAAAAAGCTGTAGACCAGGATCCCTTTGTTGATATCGCAGGTCTTCTTGAAAGCTATAAGAATCTACGCACTACCGTCCAAACCGACCTTGACGGCTCATCCAAAACTGCCAGCCAGAAGGCATCAGCTTCTGGCCCTCCTGCGCCCGAGAAGGCTGCACCTTCTGCGACTGGATTTCCCGTACCAAAAGGCTTCTCTGGATTCAATAGCTTTGGTTCCCCATCATTACCTACTTCATCCACGAATGGAACGGATAAGAGCTCGGCACCCAAAAGTGCCTTTCCCTTCTCTACATCATCTTCCAGCACAAACTCGACCCCGACTTTCGGCTTCAGTGCAAAAACGACTGAAGAAGCTCCTCCAACACCATCTCCCTTTGGAACTTCAGAAGCCCCGAAATCGGCTTTTTCATTCGGGACTAAACCCGATGAGCTCAGCTCGTCAAGTCCGTTTTCATTCGCCCCATCAGCCGCGCCTGCACCCAGCAAAGACAAAGAAGATTCAAAATCCGCATCATCTGCATTCGGCTCCAGTTCAAGCATTCCCAACTTCTTCGCGTCATCCAAGGCAGCATCATCCACGTTCTCCGACTTAAAGCCAACATCAGTATTCGGTACCACGACCTCATTATTTGGTAACAATACTGACTCGAGCAAGTCCTCCTTCTTCACCCCAGGGTCCTCAGACCTATTTAACAAAGTATCCGCGAAAACCGATACAGGAAACGAAGAAACCAAAACCGGTAGTACCGCCGGTCTGTTTGGCAGCTCCTCCTTCACCCCGGCAACCAACGCATCTGCTGCTACTGACAAACACACCAGTGCTTTCGGCACATTTGGTGGGGGCTCGCCACCGAAAGGAAACGGATTTACGTTTGGAAAGGTGGGAGGAGGGAGTATCGGCAATCCAGTAGGGTTCGGATTCGGCGTCGCGAAGCCTGGAGATGGGGCTTCTGCATCTTCGTCAAGCGGCCCCGCGGAATTCAGTTTTGGTGCTCCACCAACCAAGTCTGCCTCTCCGCCAATGGACATCGCCAGCCGATCGGGATCACAACCTGTTGCCGGGGACGAGGGGACGCCAGACGATGCAAAACTGCTGCCGACTAGCAATCATGATGGTGAAGGCGAGGGCGAAGAAGATGAAGAGACGACTTATACTGTGAAGGCTAAAGTCTTCAAGCTTTCGAAAACTCCTGAGAAGTCTGAGTGGAAGGAACTTGGTATTGGTCAGTATTTTTTTTTGCTGTCATCCATCACCATGTTGACTTTTGATAGGCATGTTCCGTTTGAAGAAGCATAAGGAGACAGGTGCACGGCGCGCACTGATGCGAAACAGTGCCACCGGGAGAATCATCATGGTTAGTCTCCACTGTTTCGAAGCCAATTCCAATTCCTTACCTACGTGTAACTTTAGAATTTTAGGTTGTTCGTGTCACTAACCCCAACACTGATGAAGACGATGATATCTTTCGTTGGACATGACGAAGGTGCTCCGGCATCATTCCGAATCCGTGTAAAAACTCCTGAGCAAGCTCAGGAGCTCAAGAATGCTTTGGATCGCGAGGTAGCAGCTGTCAAGGAGTCGAGTTAAGAAATTCGTTGACTTTCGCGCCTCTAATGTTGCCCATGTCTAATTTTACATACTCCCTCGTATACCTCCGCCTATACACTGCACGTTTCCGTATTCATCACTGACAGCATCATCTAGCATAGTTGCATGCATTTCTGAGAAGGGCTCTCTCCGAGTGGTTCGCGACTCGAGCAGGTTCGCCCTTCGCATCATAGATTGTACTTCAAACCACATCTTACACGTACGCTGCGCCGTTGGAGTATGGATAAGATAGCTATTTAGCATTAAAATGACTTTGAGCGTTGTGCCATATTGAGTTGAGCACGAAGGCTTCGCTGAGAAGCATCTCAATCTCGTGGTCGCCCCAGTCCTGCGTCGGGAGGGATTGCAGGAACATGATGATACCCTATCACACATAAGAGATGCAGTCCTGAAGAAGACAAAGGTGGATGTACCTGGAAGTCCATTTGCCGGAGCTTTTCGCTCCACTTGACAAGGAATGCGGAGCATACATATAGGTGGAATTGAGAGAATGCATCCGCTCCTTCAGCCTGGGAGCATACGATCAATAACGGACATCCTACAGCCTACGAAGGTGTGGCCAGCTCACCAGATACGTGTCCCACATGCGGATCGTGTTTGTCACACTGATTTCTCGCATCAGAAGGCAGTTCATCCAGCGGAACGCAAATTGCATAAATTCGACATTTTGGGACTCGAGGTGTGTATACAGGGGGGCTACTTAATCATCAGCAATCTTCGTGTGCGAGTGGAAAGGAACTAACCGTCAATACGTGCAACAAGCTCAGCCATACGCTTGACACTTCGTTGAATGCCAGGTTGTGCTGAGATGTAGTTATCCTGAATGCCGTCCAACAAACGTGACAAGCACCAAAACGAATCTGCCTCGACAGCATCCAGGACAGCTGTCGGGAGCAGAGAGGTATCAAATTCTTCCGGGTCCGAATCTACAAGCAGTCTTAACCTTGCACGTGGCCATGAAATAAAATTGACATACCAATGTAAGCAGAGAGAAAAACTTGGAAGAATGGGGTAACAAGGTCATTGATGCCTTGAACGTATCCGCTTGCTGGGTGTCGTATTGCCCAGACATAGAGAATTCTTTCGAGACTCTACTTGCGGCAGAGATGTTAACATCGGCTGGAACAATATCACGACTACGTACACGTTGAGTGGATGCCTGCATCCATAAACGTACACCAGGTCTCGTGCGTGGGACGTCGATCTCGATCTGATGCCATATTTGTTGGTCGAGCCCTTGGCGATCCCGAGCGAATGCTAGTTCGACCAGTGATGAGTATTCTCCCCTCTTTCGTGCAAGAGTGGAAGCTCGAAGATTTGATGGCAATGGAAGGTAACCCTAAGCATCGGCGTTAGAAGGTAAGGAGATACAGAGGAGATAACTCACGAGAAGGATCGGCCAGACAACATGTCTCAGATCATTGGGAGTACCCGCCCAAGCTAATTTACGGAGTTCGCCTGTTTGTGAAACATCAGACGCGTGATAGTGAAAGCCTACAAGAGCACACACTCATATTAACATCATCTTTGCTAAGACAATCGATGAATTTGATACGTCGATTTGTGCGAATTGAAGTCTCGCGCAGGAGCTTCTCAGCGTCACTCGAACGTGGGGAATGAGCCATTCTATGATTAGACCTCGGTTCTAGCGGTGGTTGAGGAGAACGGAGAAACCTATGAAATGGATCTAAATGTCTGATTAGATGCGGAAAGCAAGTCAATAGAAGTCATACCATTTACAAGCTCAATAGCATCAGATTTGATGGAACCCTGGTCTGGTTTAGCTTTGGTGCGAGTGCCAGCAGCTTGCTCCATTTCTGGCTCGAAATCGCCCAAGATCATATCACTGTCGACGTCTGCATCGCCATTCGGATCAACATCTTTGGGTGACTTGGCACCTAAAGCATCCTGTGATGTGCCAGATTTTCTAACCATTGTCCAACCACCCTTTGCAGGCTGAGCAGCATCGGCATTTGAAGGGTAGGAGGAGCCTGGGCTTGGCGCACTAAGATGAGTGTATGAGAACGAGACATTGGATGAAGAAGAGTTGCTAGAGGCTCTAGGGACTGGTTTTGGAGCTGTTATCGGAGATCCCTGGCGTCTATATGATGGTGAAGGAGGGCGCCGCCACGAATTTGAGATTGTGGACTGTCGAGGCGATTCAGAGTCTGATCCACTGTCCCAAACATCGTCTTCTCCCCAGTCTGTGTTGGCTCTTGCATTGAATGATGAGTGCAGGCCAATGTGCGGACGTGCTGGCGGGGGCTTCGCCGCCATCGTTTAACGGCGAGCCAGGTTATTATCTCACAATTCACCCATACGTGGTTAAGTATTGCATTGGATTATGTAATAAACGCATGAATTTAACGCGTGACATTTAGTACCAGCTGCTGCTCCTTCCGACCTTCTGCAGTAGCAATGTCTTCCGAAGACAAAGATTTCAAAGGACGGTGTATGTACTGCAACACCGACGTCGGTCGCGACAAAGTCAAGACATGCGGTCGCTGCCGGTAAGTTAAACTCTCGGAGGAGCCGTTCTTCACTGTATAAAATATTAGCTAATTCTGGCCCTCGCAGACTAGTACGTTACTGCTCGAAGGAATGTCAGGTCGCGTCGTGGAAGACCCACAAACTGCGATGCAACCCAAATTTACGAGAGAGCCTAGCAAGTGACCCTGCCAGTAACGCCCTCAACACAGCCCTTTCCAAATGGATCAATAACTGGAGGGACGAACTTCATAATTGGGCGATATGGGCAATGGATCTTGCAAACAGTCCACAAGACCGACTTGCTACGCATTGGTCAGTTGATCAATGCGACCCTATGCTAGCAGCTAAATGTAGCGCACAGCTTTGTGATCGAGATTGCGCGTCGACCGAATCCCCCGAGCGCTTCCCAGTTCTTCCGAGTGAGTAATCTCCGTCAATATTCTCAGTACGTCTGAAATCCCACAGATGCATGGAGGAGGTGTCGAGACTCGAGCAAGTTTCATCGCGCGCTTGGAAGAAATAAACGAGGCCAGCGAGGAGACCGTTGCATGTGTCAATGAGCGCCGAGGCACCGACACCGCTCAAATTATTATCCTCTGTGAGGATTTGATTCGATTTTTATGGTTCTCTCTCCGCGATGGCGGTGCATCCTTGCGGAATCGCGACCGCGCCATGTCCAAGGCACTTGCGGAAAATTGGCAACAAGGCATGATTGGCGCAATCGAAACAGGCCGCCGTGAGTGTAAGAGCCTTGTGCCTGATTAGTTCTAATCGTGCTCCAGCCCGAGCATCTAAGACTCATCTAAACAGAGCCGCAATCAAGGTCATCGGGCCACCTCCCATATGAGTCGTGAACCCAGTGATCATACCAGACAGCTGCTCTTGACGGGTGAGATCAGCAGTATTTTTCGAATACCACACCCCTACAGTCATTCTTATACATTACATCATGTATCATAACAGAACATATCGCTATCAGTACAGTACATATTACAGTCGAATTTCGAAGGATGATTTGAGCAAAATAATCAAAAAGCCATTACGCAGCAGCAGCAGCACGCTTCAGGAAATCTTCCTCATCCCATCCATAGTAATCTTTCAATTTCTTACCGAATTCCTTTATCTTCACAGGATACAGAGTGGGATCCGGATGAGCTTTAAAAATAAAGATCAGCAAGGGGGTTGGGTTGGCGAGATTTTACATACGCTTGTGGAATGTGATGGACTATGTAGGAAGCTCAGCATCACGGTAAAGTTCCTAATATACTGGAAAACATACCCTATCTCCCTCATGAGGCGGATCGAATCGCACAGATGACCCAGCGGTACTGGGATCGTATTCAAAGCCCATGTCACGCATAACCTATGAACACGCATGAACATCCAGTCAATACCAAAGTAGATACAACGCACCTTGAGGAAACTCTCCCACTTCATTGCTCCTCGTCTCTCATCGTCTCCAGCGCGAAGCAGCTGATGCATGTACCCAGTCGTCTTCTTACCCAATTTCGAGAACCACGTGTGTTTGCTGTTCACAGTATCTTTGTCTTCCTCTTTATCCTTGGCTTTGTCTTTGCCCTTGTTCAGAAAGTTGCGGTTGAACATGGATGCATGGTCAGGACGAGATTTGATCTTCTCTTTCTGAGAGATCTCCTGCAGGTAAGAATGACCAGAATGGGCCGTAGTCTGTTCTGTCAACGGCAATGAAGCAGTCGACATATTCATATTGAGAAGGGTTGATGCCGAGCCATTCAGACTGGCCTTCCTGGCAGGGTTTGCCTTTGAGGGGCTGGAGGGGGGAGACGAGACACGCGCTGAAGACATCACAGGAGATACGGGGGCATCTTCGGGGAGGACAGGCAAATCCGAGTCGGTCTTCTTCTTCTTTGGCTTCTTTTTCTTTTTCTTCTTGCTAGCAGAGGCAGTATCGGCGTCATCCTCATCGTCAACTTCTTCAACTGTTGTACGGGTATCTTTAGGTTGTGGAGAAGAGGCTCCTGCGTAGGTAGAAGTCAGGTGTAGATACACAAGGAAGCATTGACAAACACAAACCAGCAGCATGTGGCGGCTTGGCCCCGAGAGCCCTGGGCACCCGTTTTTTCCGAGGAGTCGGAAGGGGTTTCAGAGGAGGTAGTTCATCATCCGGAATACCAGACAAATCGATCTTAAGCGCAGGAGCCGGCTTCGGCTTCGGGGCAGCCTTGCTAGTGAAAATGCCCCTGCGATGTTCACCGCGCGTCGCGGAACTGAGCTTCGCGCTAGAGGAGAACATGCGTCCTGTGTTCCGCAAGCATTGTAAGTCGATAATCAACCATAAGAACCGGTGGCCCAACCTCTTAACGAGCCAAGGAGCTTTAAGAAGGGATTGCCCTTCCTCTCCTCAGCCATCGCTTCGAACTCCGGCACTTCAGTCTTCGCATCGAAAAACTCGGGGATGGCCATTGCCGTGTCCATAGCCTCTCGCAACATATTGCGATATTGCTCCTCTTCATCAGAGTCATACTCAGATTCCGTCTCGTACTCATCACTATCATCGTCTTCATCCCCGAAGTTCTGGTCAGAGTCGAGCATATCGTCATCGCTGTCGTCAGAGTCGGAGACGGACTGGAGCTCAGGCATAGAGCCATCACTCTCGTCGTCTCCACGACCGTCAGTGATGGCGAGCAACTTCTTCGATGATCGCTTGTGTGTGCCGCCTTTCTTTCCGCCTTTGCCCTTGAATGGCATCAAACCCAGATTACCCCCATCGTCTGAATCTGAATCTTGACCTGCAAGGTGAGGGACATAGAATGCACTCCACTGCGGCGTGCGGCGGAGGGCTTCATCAAGTTGCCAAAGAGTATCTATGGACATGTTGGAAACACTCTTGTAATTCTAGAATTATAATCGTGTCAGGACAGCAGGCCACCAAAAAAAATTAGAACGTACCACGTCGACAAGTTTCCACATGTCTTTGAGGACTGCCCGGTCTTCAGTGCGAGAAAGGGGGAAAACAAGGTCCTTGAAATTGGCGTAGTTATTAGATGCTGACTGAGAAAATATCTGCGCATCAAGCCATTGCTCATACTGCTCGGGCATCTTGCGAGGTATCTGCTTCATCTTCTCACCCTGCGATCCTAACAAAGGACTATCGAGAAGCTCCTGGAGTTCTAACACGACCTACGGATGCCGATGGTCAGCTAGGGAGAGCCCTGCAGCTCTACGACATACAGATAATTCGCCGACGGCATCCCACATAGTCTGGGGAAAACGTTTTGCTTCTCTCGGGGACTCATCAACTGCATCGTGCAGGATGTGGTACAAAATCCTCTTCGGATAGGGTTGCTTGGGGAAACATAGCTCAATGATGATGGAGTCTAAGAATGACTTGCATGCATCCTTGAGACCAGCCCAGTCAAATGCCATCTCGGGTTCACCTGGATCGGTGTTCTCAACCGCCTTGAAGTAACGAGCATAATGGGCTGTCGCATAGTTAGAGCGGGTGATGTACAAACTTGACAAGATATTGCCGTACGCGTAGTGGTAGCAAGCACAGAGAATTTCTTTTGACCAAGATCAACTAGGTTAGAGACCAAGTCACAAACGATAAGATAACGAGATAATAAACCCTGATCCTTTTGAAGCTGGATGTGAGCCGTCGTGTCACTGAGACCAGACTGCTCAAGCGCTCGCAGAGAATCAAGGACGATCTTCCATGCTGAAGCGACCATGTACGTATTGTGAATCCTAGCGGACATGAGATGATCGAGCGGTTTAAAATTGGAGCACAGGACAATGTACCTGATTGCGATGATGGACGCCACATAGGAGGGATCTGATCGGACCTCCCTGCCATTCTTTGTCGTTCCATATGGTGTGCGAGCGTTAAGCTCCTCAGTGATCTTACGATGGAATGATTCAGGGTCTTGCAAATTGGTAATATCGTCCAAATATGCTGTACCACATGAGACGAAGGTATAACACGGACATGTGATCACATACCATTGAACTGGGAGTCCGCGATCCTGATACATTTTGCCAGTTTCAAAGGTGACATCACAGCCGTTCGTGCATGTTCATTTACAAGGTCCTCTGCCATTGTACTGCTAATGAGCCGATCGTGTGGCCAATCGACATGATGGATAACTCGCCTGCAAGCAAATCGAGTTTCTCCCTACCGCTCATTTTACTTGAAAGCATAACCTCCCCAGTGCCTCTTGCTCCAAATTTACCATTTCGTAAGACTAGGGCTCGAGAAGTGGTAGGTTTGAGACCGTTTTCATCCCGTTTGCCTCCATGTTTCGAAACTTGAACATGTCGTGGCCCTACTGTCACGAGGTCTCTTGAGGTAGAAAGAACAGGTGGTGCTTTCGCAGGTTTTTTCTTGGACGCCATGGACGATAGATGGCAAGGGCGTTCTTGCTCGATCCGTGAGAATTTTTGCTTTGTCTTTGTTGACAATAGCCTTAACACCACTCAAACACTAGTACGGTAACTACCAGTAATTCAGGCAATCGTCATCGAGCAAGCCTTCTTATCATCTTCGCCGTTCGGAGACGGTGTTCTCTTACTCACGGAAAGAGGGGCTTAGCTCGCACGAAACGCTCAAGAAGCACAGCTCACACCTGATCGTCGCGAATAGACAAGTGATGGTGGCGGGCGCCGTGCACCAATAGGACTCTGTTTATATCATATTACTGTGGGGTTTCCACGCCGATCTCATGACAACTAGGGCACTCTGGCTGGATAATCGCCTTCAGGTAGGTACTCACCGATGAACCTGCCAAGTAATCACTAAAGATAGGTTGATCCTGGCAAATGATACTGCCTCTGGCCGGTCGACACGGCAGCTGCACGTTACCTGGGAATCGGCAGTGTTTGGCTGCGTTTCATGTGCGCCACTAGACAAGCGGAGCATTCACATTGCGGTGCGGTGTATCAAGGCTGCAGGGCGCCGCGAGAATGTCAATCACTCGGAGAACGCTCCCAGTGATGTCCCAGGATATCCACCAATTCCACCAATTTTATCCCACTGCAATTTTACAACTGATTTCCCATAGAATTGAATTTTCTTTCAGCTCGCTCGTTGGGCAAGGAGACCCTTGGATCCATAACTTGTGGCTGGTCAATGACGCTGCCTCACTTCACTGCTCTTTAATTAAATGTCGTAATGTTCACGTAACTTGATTGGTGTTTTGCCGAGCGTCTGTAGAGATGTCGAGTTTCCAAATGTGTTTTATGTAATAACAGAACAATGCACGCCTCTTGTAAAAATAGTAAGGAGTCGGAGATTTATTTCCCTCGATCCCATGCAGTGATACGTAGCAGCTGTGCAAAGTGCGCCGTGCTCATTTCTTGCTTCTTCCCAAGTGTATAAAGCCATCATTTCTGTATCACTAGTTTCCGAGTCTTCTCCCAACTTTCTTTAATCACTTTCTCTAAGGTTGAGCTGGTCTCCTCCTTGTGCACTATTGCACATTTCATTCGCTTTCTTTCGACACCAGCCTTTGTTTTCGAGCAGACACCGAGCAGCGCTCGATTCCACTCCCTTCTTCTGCTATCCACCCCCTTTCCCAACCGCCGACTTTAACCAAATGGGAAAGCTCATCTGGCATCAATTGAGTCGCCACATCTCCCTCACGGCGAGTGTCTGTACGTCGTATCCTTCTATTTCACAGACACTATCTCACCTGACGTTAACAGATTCAGTATGGGCTAGTTTCTGGGGTTTCTTCTTCCGCAAGTTCTTCTGGGACTTCATCGGTGGCACCCTACGCGCTCCCGGTGGTCTGCAGTGAGTGTCAGAACACTTCCTGTACTAATTTATACTCATACGCTGGCACTAGACCATCACCCAAGGTTGCTATTTTCATCACAATTATTGTCAAATTCCCTATTGTGCAGATAGCCACAATGGCTCTCGGGTTTACCATGATTGCGCTGGAATACCCCCTTCCCTTCCTTAAAGGAACTGCCATACATAGAAGCATCGCTCTTAGAGTGGTGTTACTGATAATGCAAGCAGCCGGAACGGTGCTTTTTTATCAGGTAAGTTTCTATACCTCCTCTTGTATTACCAGACTTCTTATACAATACAAAGGGAACAAATGCGGCATTGTGGTCATTAATTGCTGCAATGTTCTACATTCGTGCACTAACGTTGAGAGAGAAGATGGAGGAGGCATTGAAAAACAAAGGCCGAGTGGGAGAGGCATGACAAGTACGCTTATTATGCGATTCCCAACTTTCTCAAACGGTAGACCGCCAGTCTGCGACTGCAGTGTACCCGTTTCCCTTTTCGATATCTTTTGCTTCTTGTTGTATGTACATTTACAGTTGTATCAAGATATCAAGAACATTGGGTTTCAGGCGAAACATGGTCACACGGGAACCTACGTGAGCGCAATGAAACGCTGGTCGTGATGATGTTTTGTCAAGTGGATGGAAACGAAAACCATGTCTCGATTCGGACAACATCGGGCATAAATCGGGCAGACAATTGACAGCGCAGCTCACTGTATCATGGAGCATGCGCAGCACTTGTTGATATTGTCTAGGAGATCTGACCGCAAAGTTATATATCAGTATTGCTCCAAGACCGGTGGACAGGCTCAAATTCGGCACTCAGCTCGGTCAGGCCTCAAGTTTCAAGCTAGACCTGTTCTACGAGGCATTTGTCACATCCTAGACGGAATGGTCACGAGTCCAATTGCAACCTGACCAGTTACAGACTGGGGACCCTGCTGGGCCTGCTCTGAACGGGTCCTGGAAAATGCAGACTATTATCTACCACGACCATTGACAAGCTTGACGCTTGCGATTAGATTGGCGACCTGTCCGTAGTAATACCAGGCAAGCTCGTCGATATTACTAGGTTTAATATTTCGATAACGACTGCGGCACTCGAGCGCTGAGCAGTCGCCATCGGAATGTTGCCAAAGGTAGTAAGACGGAATGGTCGCCGTCGTAGTTACATTGCAAGGGATCGGGACAATTTTCGATCACATGGCTAACTCCCGACCGATCCACGTGCGTGGCCCTTTGTAGTGCACGTGGTAATTAGGTAAGGCGTTGCATCGTCAATTTCTGGCACTGACCGTCTGCGACTCTGCGCCGTCAGCCTGAGCCAGGCTTCTGTTTCCACAGCATTGGTGCTCTGATCAGAACGCACGTTATCGGCGGCTGTCGGCGGTCGCGAGTGGCGGCAATTACAACTTTTCGCCATGCTTACTCATGAGCTTTTGAACGTCGAACTGGAAGAATTCGAAGTTCCCGAAGAAGCTGGAGACGGCGGAATGACAGCCATGTGGAACCTGGATCCCAACCTAAAGGGCGAATACAAGCGTACCTACTTCGCGAGTCAGGAGGTGGCATCATGGCGCCATTATTGCGTGAGTCGTGTATTCGAATGAATCTTCATCTGTGCTTCCTAGCCATGTGTGTGTGGTGCAAAGTATGGCGAAGTCGCTGGTGGTTGTGGTGGGGTGGGGTACTTTCTGGGTGCCTGATCCAGGTTGGAGGTCAACATTTTAACGCGGTAGTGGCAGTGTCACCGTGGTGGGCGCTGGTGGGCGCTCTTAGTAACGACATGGACGCGCTGCGGACGCAATATTGGATGTGTCGTGGGGAGTCGGATTGATATATAACGCCTTATAGCGCACGTCGCGAAAAACAGGAGTCGCGTATCGTGTTACCGTCGGCATCTGATGTCATGGCATCGATGGAGATATGCGGGTCACCGAGATGGTAGTATGAGTTGTTATGAACTGCCAATTTACAACCGCGTTTATTATAGTACGCGATCGGTCAGAATCTGCCAAAATCCATTTAAGATTTCATGTTTTGCCTTTTGGGTGGAAGGCAGTCTCTATTTGATTTTATCAGATGCTGATGGCGGCCCTGGTGCAATATCTTACAATATTGCAGAACATCGCCTTGATATTTGGATAGGGAGGAACCGCAGCAAGATCCTACCCGGTAACCCGATCCGTTGCTTCAGATAGCACGAAGCAAACACTGCTTGCTGGCACAATACATGCAAGGATCAGTAGGGAACAATGCGCAGGGCTGTCCTTGGTGAGTCTTTAAACATATATATTCTTCTGCAATGATCAGGGTGCGGTGGAGTGATCTTGTCTACAGCAGCTGACGACGGACGTCGAGCGGTAGACCGAAGGGGGGTCTGAGGTAGGCCTCATATGCTATGGCTTATCTGGCCAAATGTAAATACGTTAATGCTTATCATTAACCTCATGCGAGTAAAAGAAAAAGCCCCGAATCAAACATCACAGGCGAGCCTCCGAGCTTATACGATGTCCATTTTTTGAGCTGACTCTGAGAAGCGTTCGATTCCACTTGATTCTTCTGCTATCTCCCCCCTGCTTCAACGACAACACTACCTCTTGAGTCGATGGGGATCCTCATATGGCATGATTTAAGTCGCAACATCTCCCTCACAGCGAGCCTTTGTAAGTGTTATATTGTTTTTGTTGGCGGTGATCATCTTATCTATACCCGACCGTCCAGATGCAGTATGGGCTGGTCTCTGGGGCATTTTCTTTCGCAAGTTCTTCTGGGATTTCATTGGTGGCATCTTACGTGCTCCTGGCGGCCTGCAGTAAGTATTAGTAGAAGTTGTGTCCTGATCGATGCTCACATTCCCCTGTGCCTAGACCATCGCCTAAGGCGGCGGTCTTCATCACTGTTATTGTCAAATACCCTATCCTGCAAGCAATAACAATGATCCTTGGATTTATCATGGTCGCGCTGGAGTATCCTGCGCCCATCCTTAAAGGGACTTCCGTCCATAGGAGCTTTGGACTCAGAGTGGTGTTACTTACGATACAAGCATCCGTTGCGATATTTTTCTACCAAGTAAGTCTTCCGCGCATGTTATGCTAGCACTAAGCAAACATCTCATGAATACGACAGGGTACAAATGCAGCGTTGTGGTCGTTGATCGCTGCCATGACATATATCCGTGCACTAACATTGGGAGAGACTATAGAGGGGTTCAAGGGAGATACCCACTGCCATTGAGTGGGCATGTATGATACGCTCACACTTGTGATCCCCATAATCACGCCTACGACGACGGACTGTTCCTCCCCCTTCCGAAGTTTTTCATTCATGGTTTTATTCTAATTCTATTCATTTGGCCAGTTGACAGTCTGTGACTGCAACTGTTTGTTCCCTCTTCTCTTTTTCCGATATATTTGTGTATTTCCCTGTGTACAATATGTAGGAATGATGGGCATGTTGCTTGCTGTTGCTTGATTGCTCGCTCCGTCGTGATTAACCAATTGTTACTAACGGTTGCATGACACGTCAAAATGGTGGAACACTGAAATGATGACACGGCACGGCTTGTACGTCACGGGCCTATGCCCGATTTGTACTCGGGCGGCCCACACAAGCCCACACACCGGTGACTAAATATTGACGTGCAGTTCACAGTCATGAAGGCCTCTGATATCATATCTGCGCTGCCCAGTCGTTTCGAAGCCGCGCAATCTTCAGGGGATCTCTTTTTCTTTCCATCCGACGTGAGAACGCACGAGGAGATCGGGATAGAGGTGTGTTTTCAAACCCTCTTTCATCAGTCCGATGGTAGTCCGTACGATTGATCAATTCACAGTGGGAGATTCGCCTATGTACCGCGCTTCAAAAGAAACCGGTCGCGTCCGTACCCGCTGAGGAAGCAGGAGTCGCATCATCTAATCAGTCAGATGATGCTTCCAAGAAACCTGATCCTTTTGCACCTCCATATGTGCCAAATCTTCATGTCGGTGATTTAAGCGACGAATCAAGCGGGGTAGAATATGGTGTCCTGGTAAGCTCGATTACAGTTTTCTCCGTCTGAGCCCATCAGCTCAAGTTCATCCAGCTAAACAAGTTCTCGGTCGTCCCCCATCATTTCCTTCTTGTGACCAAAGGTTCTCTGCCAGCTGCCTAAACTCCATGATCACGTGCTGACGATATGATCGACAGAGTTTCTACCGCAAACTTCGCCGCTGCTGCCTCATGATCTGGTCCAAACATACCTGCTCCTCCTTGCGGCCCGAAAAGCACGTAAAAACTATTTTGCTTTCTACAATTGTGAGGATCTCTCGTGACATCGCGATTTGATGTGTACTGAGCATTCATCAAAGGCGGATCAAACAGTGGAGCCAGTCAACATCACAAACATATCCAGTTCATCGAAGTTGAGGATGAAGGACCTCCGATCGAAAGATTAGCCAGGGCTGCAAACCTTGAAGTCTCAGGTACTTCATGCTGAAACTACTCATTCGAATCAAGCTCACCATATCCCTCAGGCAAACCTTTTTCACTGATATCCCTGCCATACGCCAACCACGTATATCGACTTCCGGCTCTGTCGAATGGCGCGACACCAGAGCAGCTCGAACCAATATTGTTCCTTCCATTCCTAGCCCTCCTGGATCTTGTGATATCCACGGTGCGACATGCCCCGGACTACCCACCTGGTACCCCCTCCTATAATGTGATTCTTACCTTGGAACACATGCACTTGATCCCGCGACGCTGGGAAACCTATACCCTAGGAGAGTCTGGGGGGACGTTGAGCGTCAACTCACTTGGGTTTGCTGGAATGCTAATGGTGAAAAGCGAGTCCGAACTTCAGGCATTAGAGCAAGAGAAGATTGGAACGGTACTTAGAGGCGTCGGTGTGGAAAGTGTCCATGAATTGCAAGTTGCTGGTACATCGATGGAAGCAATGGATGAGACAGGTGCTTGATAGTAGCATCTGTGGTCTTAGAGTCTTTATGTACAACATTTTGCAAAGTTTTTACTCGAAGGATGGCAAGAAAATGAGGAGCGTTTAAACAGGCATCATTGGCCAAGAAAACCCTTCACTCTCCACATGATGTCTAAGGATGCAAGCTGGGGGATCCGATTAGCAGCAGCGCCATCTGAGTTTGTGGTTTCTTTCATTTGATCACTTCGAGAACGCTTACCAGTTGGGCAAAACCTTCCTCTCTGATGACTTGTGCTACGATGGATTCTAGCTCTGCATGGGGTAGCTTGTGAAGGGCTGGAATGTCGTGCAGTGATGCAACAAGCTGGGCCTGAGTTGAATTACGACCTTCTGATGGTCGACTTTCTGATTGAAGGGATCGTGTGACGCTCGAAGGCAGTGGAGGCGGGGGCATCGTGTTTGAACTACTGCGAGCAGACGAGGATGGCTGGGAAGAATCAGGTAAAGAACCTTTGGTAGAATTGATGGAACCAGACGGTGCTTGGCATTGGCTGGACTTCGGGATGGTTATCCGAGGTGTTTCTGGAGGTGTAACGAAGGTACTGTCATGAGAGGGTGCGGTCACAGATGTTGTTTTCGCAGAACTGCTGCTCAGAGCCACAGGTGTGAACCTAACCGGCGTCGATGGGGCAAATGTTGGCAAATTGGATTCGGATGATGGATTTTCGGAAAGAAGAACAGTCGGCGCAGGTCTGAGCGGAGTTCCGCTCGTTGATGGCCGAGCCTGTGATACACTTGGGAGTATAGTACCTCGACGGGAAAGGTCGTCGGAAGGGCCTGCTGCAGCTATAGTAAGGGTGCGAGTGACTAAAGGCGGCTGTGGATTGATTCTACAAGGACAAACAGGTTGGATGGCATCAATGAACTGAGCTGCGCTCGTTGCAGTGGTGAACGTGATCTGAAAGCGCCGATATACCTGAAACAAAATTCAGTGAAACATATAGAGCTTAACAACACATATGTACTGGTTGACAAGTCGAACCTGCTGTTCTAGGGTGCAGGTACCGGATGCCAACCACAGCATCCCGGTAGACAGCTTTGAGAGGAAGACCATGGTCAGGTTGCCCAGAATTCATCCTCGAGTTTGAGATCGACGAGAAGGAAAGTAAATCAAGATCTTCCTGTAGGTTTATGCTTTTCAGTGTGATTCGTTATCCCTCAGTAAGAGCATACGAGGGTAATCTCTCTTTGATCGACATCCGTGCTATTAGTGCTGCTGTCAAAATTCCATACAATTCGAAGGCGGACAGAGACAAGATTTCCTGCGGAAGATTTCTTCGCGTCCAGGTGGAGGTTGATAATGGGGTGGACGAAATGCTGCCATTCCGCATCTGTAGCAGGGTTCTGAGAGGATGATGAGCTCGCAGGATATGACCGCGAATATTTTGCTAGCGGATAAGTAACGGTTGTCGTTGTGAATTGGGCCATTTACAGGGTGCAGAAATTTCTGCTATGAAGCTGTAGACGCCATTGATCATGCAACAATAAGAACGGACAAACCTGTCAGGTGTTAGTAAGTCTGACTGTACAAAGTTGATTCGTAGCCTTGTCTGAGGTCCGAGACTGAGGTGTACAGGCTTGATTTGGCTCGTTTAGCACTCAGCTAGGCTGCTTTCGCGTTCCTCCAGCTATCAGGCAGCTCGAACCAAGGAGGAAGCAAGCTTATGTAGACCTCCAGTTAAGGCGGGTTCGATTTGCGGCGTTGCGTTGCCAGTGTTTTTCAAAGTCCGTAATATACTTACATAATTACATACTTTGAACATGAACCCCTCTGATGATCATAATTTCTCCAAGCGGACCAGCGCAATTTTCATATTATTGTAGACAAGGACCATGGCGACTTGTAGGCGGTCCACTGTATTCTGTGACCCTCGTCCATCTGCATCAATACTAATATTGCAAGATCGTGACTGGCCCCCAAGCTTTGCTAGTTAAACGTTTAACAAGTTAAGCTCGAACTTTAGCTTATGTCATTCAATCATTGAAGCCTAGACATTGTTTCCCCATCTGATGCTAGCGAACTCTCGTCACCCTCGGGATCAATATCTGAACCCTTTAAATTTGAGCCATTGAACCAAGCCCCCAACATATAAACGCGACTTCCTCAGTTTCCCTTTACGCCGCTCTATATTTTATTTTGTTCAGCCCTCTGGTGCCTCGGCGTTCTCCCTATGTGTCACGGTTGTTGTGATGATGGCTACGAATTTAACTCGGAATCTGATGACTCCGATTTAACGGACCTGGACACGGACTCCCTGGAAGAAAGTAGTAGCCAGTGTAGCGAATACAGCAGGCTGAACGAGGCGTTCGGTGAAGATAGCGCAGGTGAATATGACGAAGAGACGCGTGGTAGTCACTATCTTTTATTTGTCCACACGAAAGTGTTCACTGACTTTTGCTTCCAGAGGGACAACCCGCGAAAAAACGCGCCAGGGCAGACCAAGGAACCGGGACAGCATCAACAGCAAAAGGCCCTGGCAGAAGGAAAAAAACTCTTAGTGACATTGTCACTATGCCAATTGATATTCTTCTCGAGGTGAGTTTATAAGCAATGAGCATGTATCTTACTTATTCTCTAACCTTCTACTTCCAATCAGATCTTTGGCCTCTTGGAACCAGTAGACCTCTTATCTCTCTCACTCACCAATACGGCTTTCCGCGAGATTCTTTTATCTAACAATGCAGTATGGAAAACAGCCCGCGTCAATCACGGTGTTCCCGACTGCATGCCTGGCATGTCCGAGGTCAAATGGGCCAACCTATTGTTTGGTGGTTATCAGTGTCATGTGTGTCTGGTCTCCGTTTTCACCTTTTGCATTTTCATGACCACAACCTCAGGAGTGTGGCGCGAAGGGATTCCATCGAATGTACTTGGGCATCAAGCGCAGACTATGCCACTCATGCGTCAATGACAAGTGAGTACTACTTGTTTATTATGCCCTTATGTGCCCAACAATTCGTCAAGCCTAGTCGCCAGCTATTCAGAATACATTCAAGATGTTGAAGACGACGATCCGGACATCGTGGATTTGGTTCCATTCACTTATTGTGGGTGTTGTCTTGTCATGGCTTATCAGTATCTGATCATCTAGCATAGTCGGTGGACGGGCTTTTTCTAATGCCGATGTCAGGCTTTTTTGGTCAGACGACGTACGGAAAATGGTAGAGCAGCTGGAGGTATACCATAAGGATGCGGACATGTTCAAACCAGGTGCGAAACAAGCATTAGAAGACTTCAAGCAATCGCGCAAGAAATATGTTGATTCTGTTGTCAACGTAAGATTCCTGCAAGTGATTTTACCAAATCTAACGGCTTCGAAGCATGCAGCGATCTGTGACGATTGGGCTGACAAGGACCGTGAAGGTCAACGCTCACGTGTCCACAAGTTTCGTGACTACATTAAAAAGTTGTAAGTAGATTTTGTCGATTTGTCATCCAATCACTTCTTGATCCTCTATCCAAGGGTTGAAGATAGACTAGTCGTTCTCGGTCACAGTGTTGAAGATGTGGAGCGCATGTTTGTCCGTCATCACTATGGTGTGCTAGACAAGGAACTCACCGATACACGTCAGTGCTCTACCACATTTGAGGAGTTCCTTACTTAATCAGTTTCCAGGCTGGAAGCTCTTGCTCCCAAAAATTGAGCGTAAGCTTTCCGAATTGAAGGAAGGATGGCGCCTTGAGGAACAAAGGGAAAGGAAGGTTCTCCTGCTGAATATGTACGAGAGATACGTGCGGCCGTTGCCACGGGCCATCATACCTCCTCAAGAAGACTTCTTGAAGCTTTGTGATGTTGCAGAATTTATCAACAGCCCACCCACTGGGAACTGGAGAAGCGATGTTCAACCTTTAGCGGACAGAATTCCCGGGTTGTGTGCTGAATATTTGCATTCAAGGAAGCTAGCGCTGACGCAACTACTTGCCCTCTCCACTGATGTATTGCAAGATGCTGCGACGCTACAAAGCCAAGGAGTTGACGCCCCTGATGATGTATTGGTGCAGCTGGCCACCTCTGTTTTCCAATGCACTCACTCGCTCCCTTTCCCATTGATTACATGGGATAAAGTGCAGTATCACCGATGCCCTCGCAGTCAAGGCTACGCAACACCGGCTTGCACATTTTCGATTTCTCAGCCTGGGGTTGCCGCTGTACGTTCTTTGTTAGGCTTGGTTGGCCTCGACGCCCAAACTACGACTGCAACCACAATGGATCACCTTCATTGTCGCTTTTTCTGCTCCAACTGTCCACCCAAGTCACAGGGAGGAGGGTCCTACCGGATGGTGATGAACTGGCGTCAGAGCGTTCGTCCTGTGTTTGTGGTTTTTGGCGCTGTGCTCACCGTCTTCTAGGTCTTCCATTATGTTGAGCAACAAGGTCCAGCGCATGCAGAGCCTCGTTGGGAGTTCTTGAGTGCGGCACAACTTCAAGTTCTCCGAAGTTTGCCTACGCCCCCATATCCCGAACCTTCTGTGCGAGCGTGGCGCTGTAACAAGTGCGAGTTGCACCACGGATCTCCGGATAACAAAGCAGCCGTGATCAGACACATCAAATCGTAGGTCATCACCTTTTTGTGTCACCTTGGCTATACTGACATCCCTAGTGTGCATGGAATCACCGCTCCGACTGAAGGAGTTGACTTTAGCTATGAACAGGGCATTTGCGAGAAGCCGCCTCCAACAACCAAGTTCTTCGTTATCCCTCAGCCCAAACAGCCTACATATCACTGTCAACACTGCAAAAACTCAAAGCGAAAGTTCACTTTGGACGGCGTCAAGTCGCATATGAAAGCCAAGTAAGAAAAGCATTTTGTCAAATGGTACCCTACTCATTGAATTTTTTTAATTCTTCAGGCACACCATCGGTTCTCCAGTGGAAAGGACAGACTTTTGTAACGCTTAATTCCTTCTCGCACTTTAATTCTTCGTGGCTTCCTCTTCATCTTTCGTACTATATGACCTTTAACTTCTAGCGGCCACGTACGCCGTCTGCTATATCTAGCCCTAATATTTGCCCAAGTATATACCTCGGTTGATTTACAGTACTCTCAAAATGCATGCATCTGTGTTTGGCATCCTAGGTCTTCGGATATGATATCTGACCACACTCGTCATTTCCATAGGCCTTGTGATATTAAGTCTTCGGAATGTGTGACTAGGAGTTGTTCAAGATTTTCTTTCCAAGTAGTCTCCCCTAGGCAGACCTTAATCGAATGTAAGATAAAACAATTTAAGCTCGAAGTTTAGCTTATGTCATTCAATTTTCAATCCTTGAAGCCTGTTCTATAGCAGACATGGAACTTCGGTGTTTCCCCATCTGATGTAGCGAACTCTCGTCACCCCCGGGATCAATATCTGAACCCTTTAAATTTGAGCCATTGAACCAAGACCACCCTTTACGCCGCTCTATATTTTGTTCAGCCCGTCTCTGGTGCCTACACACCCTCTCGGCGTTTTCCCTATGTGGCCCGGTGCTTGGGAGAGAGACTATGAATTTGACTCGGAATCTGATCATACGGACTCCGATTTAACGGACCTGGACACGGACTACCTGGAAGATAGTAGTAGCCAGTGTAGCGAGCACAGCAGGCTGAACGAGGTGTTCAGTGAAGATAGTGCAGGTGAATATGACGAAGCGACACGTGGTATTCACTATCTTTTATTTGTCCACGCGAAAGTGTTCACTAACTTTTGCTTCCAGACGAACAACCCGCGAAAAAACGCGCCAAGGCAGACAAAGGAACCGATGCGGCAGCAGCAGAAGGCTCTGGCAGAAGGAAAAAAACTCTTAGTGTCATTGTCACTATGCCAATTGATATTCTTCTCGAGGTGAGTTTATAAGCAATGAGCATCTACCTCACTTATTCTCTGACCTTCTACTTCCAATCAGATCTTTGGCCTCTTGGAACCAGTAGACCTCTTATCTCTCTCACTCACCAACAAGGCTTACCGCGAGTTGCTTTTATCTAACAATGCAGTGTGGAAAGTAGCCCGCGTCAATCACAGTGTTCCCGACTGCATGCCTGGCATGTCCGAGGTCAAATGGGCTACCCTATTGTTTCGTGGTTATGAATGTCATGTGTGTCTGGTCTCCGGTTTCACCTTTTGCATTTTCATGACCACAACCTCAGGAGTGTGGCGCGAAGGGATTCCATCGAATGTATTTGGGTATCAAGCGCAGACTATGTCACGCATGCGTCAATCGGAAGTGAGTACTACTTTATTATTATGCTCTTCTGTCCCCAACAATTCGTCAAGCCTAGCCGCCAGTTTTCAATCATACATTCAAGAGGCTCAATCCTGCGATCCGGATATCGTGGATTTGGTCCCATTCACTTATTGTGGGTGCTATCTTGCCATGGCTTATCAGTATCTGATCATCCGGCATAGTTGGTGGACAGGCTTATAATCATGCCAAGCTTTTTTGGTTAAAAGACGTACAAAAAATGGTGAAGCAGTTGGAGGTATACCAGAAGGATGTGCACATGTCCAAACCAGGTGCAGAGCAAGCACTAGAAGACTTCAAGCAATCACGCAAGAAATACGTTGATTCTGTTGTCAACGTAAGATTCCCGCAAGTAGTTTTATCAAATCTAACAGCTTCAAAGCATGCAGCGATCTGTGATGATTGGGCCGACAAGGACCGTGAACGTCAATGGTCGCGTGCCCGCAAGCTTCGCGACCAAAATCAAAAGTTGTAAGTAGATTTTGTCGATTAGTCATCTAATCACCTCTTGATCCTATATCCAAGGGTTCAAGCTAGACTAGTCGTTATCGGCCACAGTGATGAAGATGTAGAACGCATGTTCGACCATCATCACTATGGCGTGCTAGATGAGGAACTTACCGATACACGTTAGTGCTCTACCGCGTTTGAAAAGATTCTTACCTGATCAATTTCCAGGCTGGAAGCGCTTGCTCCCAACAATCGAGCGCAAGCTTTCTAAATTGAAGGAAGAATGGCGCCTTGAGGAGCAAAGGAACAGGAAGGATCACCTGTTGAATATGTACGAGAGATACGTGCGGCCGTTGCCACGGGCCATCATACCTCCTCAAGAAGACTTCTTGAAGCTCTGTGATGTTGCAGAATATATCAACAACCCGCCCACTGAGGACGGGGCTCGACCTTTCGCGGACAGAATTACCGGGTTCTGTGCTGAATATATGGACTCAAGGAAGCTAGCGTTGAGGCAGCTACTTGCCCTCTCCACTGATGTATTGAAAGATACCACGACGCTGCAAAGCCGGGGAGTTGACGCCCCTGATGATATGTTCATGCAGCTGGCCACTTCTGTTTTCCAATGCACTCACTTGCGCTCCCTCCCATTGATTACATGGGACAAAGTGCAGTATCACCAATGCCCTCACAGCCAAGGCATAACCCGAGGTTACGCAACATTGGCATCGACATCACCTTGCACATTTTCGATTTCTCAGCCTGGGGTTGCCGCTGTACGTTCTTTGTTAGGCTTGGTTGGTCTCGATGTCCAAACTACGACTGCCACTACAATGGATCACCTTCAAAGTCGCTTTTTCTGCTCCAACTGTCCACCCATGCCACAGGATGGAGGATCCTACCGGATGGCGATGAACTGGCGCCAGAGTGTTCGTCCTGTGTTTGTGATTTTGACACTGCGCTTACCGTCTTCTAGGTCTTCCATTACGTCGAGCAACAAGATCCAGCGCACGCAGAGCCTCGTTGGGAGTTCTTGAGTTCGGCACAACTTCAAGTTCTCCAAAGTTTGCGTACACCCGCATATCCCGGAGCTGCTGCGCAAGCGTGGCGCTGTAACAAGTGCAAGTTATACCACGGGTCCCCGGATAATAAGGCTACTGTGATTAAACATGTGCAAAGGTAGGTCATCACCTTTTCTGTTTCACTTTACCTTTACTAACATCCCTAGTGGACATCGAATCACCGCTCCGACTGAAGGAATTGATTTTAGCTATGACCAGGGAATGTACGAGAAGCCGCCTCCAGCGACCAAGTTCTTCGTAATCCCTCAGTCCGAGCAGCCCTCAAAGTCACGTCATAAGAAGTCTAAATCTTCTACCAAACCGGGATATCATTGTCAACACTGCAATGGCAATGACTCAGAGCGAACTTTCGTTTTGGAGGGCGTCAAGGCGCATATCAAAGCTAAGTAAGAAAAGCATTTTGTCTAATGGTACCCTACTCATTGAATCCTTTTCTTCTTCAGGCACAGCATCGGTTCTCCAAAGGAAGGGACCGACTTTTGTAAAACCAAGTAATTCCTTCTCGCACTTTAAATCTTCGTAGCTTCCTCTTCATCTTTCGTACTATATGACCTTTAGCTCTAGCGGCCACGTACGCCGTCTGCTATCTCTAGCCCTAATATTTGCCTAAGTATATACCTCGGTTGATCTACAGTACCCTCAAAATGCATGCATCTGTGATTGGACATCCTAGGGCCTCGGATATGATATCTGACCACACTCGTCATTTCCATAGGTCTTGTGATATTAAGTCTTTAGAATGTGTAACTCGGAGTTGTTCAAGATTTTGTAGTTCTTTCCATGTAGTCTCTCCTAGGCAGACCTTAATCGAATGCAAGATAAATATTCCTTCTCTACACGTATAGCTAAACGTTACAGTTGTTGCGTGTGTTATCATTTTCATTTTTCTTCCTGCAGTCTTCACTTTCATTCCTCGAGTTCACGATTCAAACACAGACACAACACGGAGGACTGCAAAATTCCTGCTTATTGGCATGTCTGCCCTCTTTCCCTCGATAGAAGGAAGAAGCATCCATGAGATGGATGCTACTAGTTGATGTCACTTTTCATCGTCACAACATGACCGCATACTCTGATTCTTCCGAGTAGATCGTGAATCCATGGTATCATCAGGGTGGGTACGGATCTCCTCGGTGATATTGACCTGAATTGGTCGGGCGAAGGTGGGTCCCACAGTGTCTGACGTCTCGTAATATTCTCCGTGCGTCAGGCCAAGGCTAATGAGACTGGCTATGAGAAGAAGAGGTGCCAAGGTCTTGAAGAATGTGAGACTAGACAGAAGAAGAAGCGTCAAGTGCCCACAGCAACCTGTATACCAACGTAATTTGCCATGACACCAGCTTCGCTACTGGCCAGGTTCATAGCGCACAGTACCGCAATACTGATAGTGTAGATGGCACCGTACTCGATGATAGTATATATGGCAGATTTGTAGGCATTATGGCCATTGGCCAGTCAAATCAAATACATCTCGGCCCGCGCGCCAAAGATGATAGGCGATCACAGACGTGAGACTCACAGTGAAAAAAGGTTGAGCGTGAAACAGGCTTTCAACAAAGCGTTGAAAGTCGATGAGAAGACTTGATCAAAATAAATGATCACAGCCCAGGACGCGATGCTAGTTGCTAGCCAGGGGAGTAATGTTAGCACCTCATGTGACAGCCAACTCAAGTTGACGGCTCAAAGCAAGCTCATTGTACTTTTCTGTTCGTTTTTGCGTTCGTTCCAGTTCGCTGACCGAGCGTGCATTGTCACGATATGACCGTATACTCTGACTCTTCCGAGTACGTCATGTAGGCACGGATATCCTCGGTGATACTAACCTGGGCGAAGGCGGGCCCCGCGGTTGTTGGTGTTTTGTAATGTTCTCCGTAGATCGGGCCAAGGCCAAGACTGGCGACGAAGAAAAAAAGGTGTCAACGTCTAGACGTATGTGAGACTGAGGAGAAAACGACGAGGCGCCCACAGTAGTTTGGATACCAACGTCAGTCGCCATGACACCAGCTTGGCTGTCAGACAGGTGCATGGCGCTCAGTGCCACGATACTATGGCAATGTTGCAGGAATCGCGACCAGTCAAATCAAAGACGTCTCGGCCCGCGCGCCAAAGATGCCAGACGTGGCATAGTGAGAACAAAATTGAGGTGAAACAAGCTTTCAATAAAGCTGCAAAAGTCGGAGAGAAGAAGACTTGACCGTGAATTACCAGTGTACCACAACACTGGCCGTGATACAAATTGCTACGCAGGGAAAACGGGTAATATCAGCATTGAACTAGCAGAATTAGCCAGCAAAATCGACACTCGTGAAAAGCACAACACATAGAATGAAAAGAGATCTTGCCACGACAATTACAAGGATCCAGTTGTGATTCCAGATCGCATAAAGCTCCAGAGCTGTTGTCGCGGGTGTTAGGGTCAACACCTCCATATGCCAGTAGTTAATTTCCAGCAGGAAATTTAGAGCAAGCGTTTCAAAGAAGGAGCAACAGGGCGTGGTTCATAACGAAAATATGATTCGTAGTTTTTTCTGTTGTCCGCTGCCAGATGAGACCTCAGACGAGAATATAGTAGAGGAGCCATGAGCGGATCAACTTGAACTTGACTGAGAAGCTCACCGAGTGAAGGAAGTACGATCCAGTTGTGTCCATGAAGTTCTTAGATAGCCGCCGCGGTCAAAAGACAAGCAAATAACATGTTGCCAAGGGGTCCAGGTGAGGTTTGATCCCAACATACCCTAGTACCGAATATTTAGTCTCCCGCAGTCAGACCTCGAGAGAAGGAAAACTGAAGGCTCATATAAATCTCGATCCGATTCTCACTGGTTTCACATGTAGCACAAGTGACAAGGTCGACTCCGCAAACTGCCGTGGCCCGGGAGTCTTGGTGGAGTTGGCACAGTTGGTGGAGCTCTCAATAGTTCAGTTGTCCCGCTCGGTTGAAGAACATCGTGAATAAAGGACAAAAATTCTTAACTTCCCATCCTCCGCGACCTTCAAGAGCCGGTTGTCGTTTTTTGGAGAGCACGAGGACAGATCCAAACACAAGGCCAATTAACCTATCGTCTCGCTGAACACAAGGTGGAAGAGTCATGCAGTGGGAGGGACATGACACTGCAACGAACATTCGAGTAGCTCGAGCAGAGAGCTCCTCTGAAGCTGCTTCACTTAATGGGTACGTGTCCTTTGGCTCTTCGACATACATTTATATGTTCAGTTCAATATCTTGCTCAGACACAAGGCTCTGACACCAATAATTGCTGGCAGCGTATGTGGAGGCGTACTGGCCATTGCTTGGATTGTTGGCCTCATCTGGTATTTACTTAAACGTCGGAAACCGAAAGACTTCGATCCTCCCAAAAAAACCAATGAGACGGAACGATACATTATACCCCCAGATCCAGCTATCTTGCAAGGAGACAAGCAACCCCACGAGCATGGCGCACGCGTACCCGTCCAACGATAATGACATGCACGTTGATATCTCTCTGAATCATATATACACGCATATACGGTGCGAATAATACAGTTATAAAAAGGTGAAGAAATTCGTAATATTGGCTTGCCCCACCACAAACTTCTGAACTACACATCGTCAGGCTTGGCATACAACTTACACACACACACACATCAAGTTGTGCTGATCTTTGTCAAAGGTCATATATCTAATCTGTCCATGATGTGCTGCCCCTCCAGTCCCTACCTCCCTCATGGCAACTGCTTCCAGATCAGCCGAAGAAATTTGGGATATATCCAGTCTTCTTGCATACAATGCTCTCCCAAATCGCCAGGATGGCTTTGACTCAATCACGTCTGAGTCTTACAGGAAAAAGGTTCATTGCCGAGACTGTAACTGATTTCTACGACCGGAGTCTGACTAGCCGCAGATATGCCCTCGCCGGTGTGACATACTCCAGTGTTGTCAGCTGCCATTGCATCGCCGCAGGCGCTGTTATCATGGCCGCCCCTCGAGGTGCGGTCGCTGTGATGTTAGGCATTTCGATTGGCACTCCGATGACGGAAGTTCACGCTCCAGAAAGAGATGCAGGTCATGTCACTAAACTTAGCTGTCACACTGTGCGCCGAATCTACAGATTTCGAACACAACATCTCATTGCGCTCTGCACTGGCCTCATCTCGACTCCGTTTCAACTCTGTTCAACTTATGACTCTCAACTTTGAGCTGTAGCCTTCTCATCATCTTTCTCCTTCTCTTGAATCATCATGGCCACTCCGCTTGCTCATTTCACGGAATTGCCAGCGTCCAAAACGCTACAGCTTATAGCAGAAGGAAGATGAAAGAATTTGTGTAGGCACCTTAACAGGAAATTACTACTGCAAGCTATGAAGTGTGGCAGACATACTGAGTCACTCAGTCACGTACTTGTCAAAGGTGCGCCTGAACAAACTCTAGATTACCTTGTGATGCTGACTTATCCACTGGACCTCAAAGTGAATGTGGTAATGCGCTATCCAACGCAACATGTCTGTAGAAAACAGTTTGGTACGGAACGCACGAGTCCACATCACTGCTCTTAGACTTCACCATTGATTCATCGGAGTGCTTAACATTCCGTTTGATTATGTAATTCCATTTTGAGGTCCGTGTGAAGATTAGCTAATTTAGGACAGAACCCACTCCTGCCCTTATACATATCATAAAATCGTTCATCGTAAGCTCAAATTTAATTCCCGTACACTGATCATCGAGCTAACACTTGAGACTATCGTCCAGGTCTCCTCGATTTACTTACAGGCATGGGAACTAGGGGATACTACGTGATCCGCTATCGGAACATGTATTTCACCTCACGCCACTATTCTTATGGTTTTCCAGAATCGCTTGGCTTAAAAGTGCTTCAGTCTATACGACAGCCCAATGGCATCGCGACATATCGGCAAGTGTTTGGAGAGATGCTGGACGGGTTGACGAGTCCTTCGCATTCTCTATTACTGATAGAAAATGGTGACGATTTTGAACCCCCCTCCGAGCAGCGGCCACAACGTCCCATCTGGATTTACGAGATTGATCTTGATCACAATATCTTTCACATAAACGGGATACCTTTTTTCACCTTGGAATGCCTTCCAGACGATGAGGCTTTTGTCCAATACGCCTCCGAAGATCGTTATGGCCACACAGCTTGCACATCACGATGCCCCCCTGAGCACAAGTACAAGAAGCCAGCGCCACCGACCATTGACATTTCTGGCCTCGCGACGTACCGGTCTTTGATATGCACCGGATCTCAGGTGGCTTTGAGTGATCTGCTCAACATCAGTGACATCCTGTCTCAACGCGAGCACGTTCGGGTCTCATTGCTAGAGGTTATGATTGGGCAGTGCATGTTTAGCTCAGTCATTTGCAAGGAGATCCATGAAATTGAGTTTGCCAATGACCACAATCAATTCACAAACGATCAATGGTCAATTGCATGCTTCATGGCCAGCATTGTGTTTGTTCCTCAGATGTTCGACCATATCCGGCGCGTTTGCCATCCCGAGCCCAAAAGAAAAGAGTTCACTTGGGTTCGCGGAGACACTGTTGTTTGCATCGCAACACATTTAGACAACGAGCAATGCCTACAGGCCTCTGTGTCACGCCTGATCAACGCGATCTTGGAGCAGAAGGATAATCCTGGTTATTACTTTGGAATTGCGTTTTCCGTCAACCATTGTGCAATCATCAAAGTCGTCAAAGACACGCACACAATTACATTCAGCCATACGAATGCCCTCCAATTTTTACCATCATTCTACGCACGTTCACCTTCTACGCCAGGAATCACTGCGCTCGCCCGTCTTGGCTATCGCATTGACCCCGCACTCTTTGAGCGTGTTATGGAGATTTGCAATTACAAGTTGCGCATGCCAGTGAGAATTCAAACAGAGCAATCGCTCGCTCAGGGAGCTGCTGACGACGATGATCATGATGTGTCACCCAACACCATCTGTCCACCGCTGCCTCTTGAGCTTTGGCAGGAGATCGCCCGTTATCTCCCCCACTTTGATCTCATCACCCTCGGATTGGTCTCAAACCTATGTCGTGAAGCAGCCCTGATGCTACTCCGCTATCCCTACCTCTGTGGCTACCGCCTGGTCTCCCCTCCCAAAAAAATACCAAAATATCTGCGGGGGAAGAAACGCCTCTCTATGCGGGCTGCATCTTTTTCCGCTGTACGAGCCGGCTTTCGTTCTACTGTGTATATCGGAGTGGAGTCTGAAGATATACCATCGAAGAGCATGATCACTCCTCTTAGAGTGAAAAAATTCCGGCTGTATGTGGAGTTTTCACGCAAGCGACGCTACGGATGAAAAGCTCCTTGAAACAGAAAAACCAAAGCTCTCGTGGCGTTTAGTACGACTAGAAACCCCGATGTCGCCGATCAGGAAGCAAGCGCACATGGAATCCCTGAGTCCCTCGTAGGCTGTGGTCGAGGTTGTAACTTGTATCAAATTAGACACTTCACGGACCACATTCATGATAATTCTGCTTTCTGTCCAGCCGTAATAGTTTATGACTTACAAGGCTATGTATACTTGGGTTGAACTTTGAACGCTATACAGGTGCTCTCCGTAAAATCAAGACTTTCGACGTTCTGTATTTATGTATGCACTGCCATTACATACATATGAGGTATACGATTCTTATATTTGTCCACAGGCGACACTGTGAAATGGTGAGTATTTCAAAGATATTAGAGTAATAGCAACATTGTTTCTTCACAGTCCTGACACCTGATTGTATCAACGCGGAGGCCCAAAATCATGTTAAATATTTGACATATGTATTCACCGTTGACATATTGACTTGACGCAGAATGTTTATTGTACATGTGTTGCTTGAACCCTATCATACACCATAGCAAGAGACTTCTCAGTCGCAATAGGCTCCTTCACTAGCAGGCTATAAAGTATGGTAAGCAGGCGAGGTTTAATCCTCAAAATAAACCACTTACAGCAACATCACGGGCGTATCGGAACAAGATACCTCTCCGCTCCCTGAGGGCACTCTTGCCTGAGACTTCCCATACTTTTCTTCGGCGTGCTTTCTCTTCTTCGGCGACTTGCCAGTCAATGGTCCTGCTCTTTGCATCGATGACAATTGGGTCGCCGTCTTCCACAAGAGCAATTGGACCACCAAGGGTCGCCTCAGGGACAACGTGACCTAGTGGGTCGAAAATATGAGCCTTGGTCTTCGAAGTGAAGTTGGTTAAAAGATGTACCGATGATGAAACCCCTGGATGCTCCAGAGAAACGACCATCCGTAATCAGCGCTGTTGAATTGCCCAGCCCAGCACCCATAAGAGCAGCGGTAGGACCTGTACATAAAGGAATTAGGAGGACAGTAGCGCTCGTTCAAAATGCAACTGTACCCAGCATCTGCAGTTACATATGAGCATGGAAGAAATAATGTCAAGCGTAAAATCTCACCTCTGGCATCCCTGGCGCGCCCTTGGGTCCTTGGTATCTGAAGATCATGACCATACCAGGCTTAATGTCTCCGCGTTCAAGTGCAGGATAGAAGTCGTGCACGCTTGAATATGAAGTATATGAGGCAAGCGAAATATAAGGTTTTGTGTTACGCCGTACCTATCAAAGCATTTGGCAACACCCTGAACAGCAGCGGCGTCCATCAGTCATAACATCCAATCAACAATAATCATGCATCACCTCAAAGCGCAAACCCTCCTTCCCTGTAAGCTTGGCGACAGCGGTTCCAGGAGCCAAGCTACCCTTGAGAATAGTCAAGTGACCAGAAGGCTTAATGGGGTCGTCCAGCTTCTTAATGATATCCTGGCTATCGAAGTCGAGCTCCGGAACATCCACGAGGTTTTCCGCAAGGGTCTTTCCGGTGACCGTCATCTGGCTACCATCAATGAGATCGGTGTTCTTGAGAAGGTATTTGATGATCGCGGGTATGCCACCAATCTTGTGAACGTCTTCCATGTAATACTTTCCAGATGGCCTGACAATACCGTGAGAGAGCGCAATCATATTACGAATTCGAACGTACTTCAAATCGGCAAGGTATGGAGTCTTGTCTGAAATCATCTGGAAGTCGTCGATGGTTAAGGGAACATCGGCGGCACGGGCTATTGCCAGCAAGTGAAGAACAGCGTTCGTTGAGCCACCGAGGACATTGACGATAGTGATTGCATTCAGGAAAGATTGACGGGTGAGGATATCCCGGGGCTTCAAATCGAGCTCCAGAAGGCGTCGCATGTACTTGGCGACTTTGAAGCACTCCTGTGCCTTCTCTAATACGCAAATTCAATATGTTGCATGCAACAGAGGTATTCTAGAACTGACCAGGGTACATTGCCGGTGTGCTCGAGGAATAGGGAAGAGACATACCCAGGACTTCAAGGGCAGAGCTCATCGTGTTAGCCCTAGGACATATGAGGAGGTTTCTGCGTAAAAGCGACGGAACACGCACGTGTACATACCACCGCAGGCACCAGCGCCAGGGCATGAATGCCTGACGACATCAAATCGCTCCTCATCGTTGATGAGGCCGACAGCATAGGCACCTGACTCCCGTTCAAGGCTTGAGAGTATTTGAAACCAGATAACCACCCACCATAAGACTCGAAGGCGTCTGAGATGTTGACAGTCCCACCTTTCTCGTACCCCATGGAAGGGCAGTCAACATGGCGCGTCCCAACTTGAATTGTTCCACCGTATACGATAATGGTCGGCCTGTTGTGTCTAGCAGCAGCCATCAAGACACCAGGCATGTTCTTATCGCAACCCGGTATTGAGATATTGCCATCGTAGTGTTGCGCCTTACATAAATTCAAGGAACTTGAGCATCCAGAGGCTACTAAATCATGTAACCTCCTACAAGTGTAACCTGAGAAAAAACGAATCAGCGTGAGATTGAAGCCTCAACAAGGCCATTTACAGCTTCAATAGAGTCCGCGATGAGATCACGACTTGGGAGGCTAGGGTGGCATATAAACACTATATCATGCCAATGACTTCCATGATACGCACGAGTACCGCATTCCTGAGCAGATACAATCAGACATACCAAAGGGAAGTTATCGAAGACACATTACCATCAGTTCCCATTGTAATAGCGTCACTACCTAGCCTCAGTATGTGCTCATTGAGAGGACAACCAAACACACCTAACACCAATGGTGTTGAAGGTTAAGCCAACTAAACCTTCCTCCGTGCAGCCCTCCTTAACTTTCTTGGACAAATCGAGCTATACAGGTATCAGTTTAGCATACGCTCGCAAACGGGGAGCAAAACACACTAGATGAGAGTTGCATGGGTTGCCTGTAAAACGCACTTCAGCATCGACATTTGCACACAGGGTTGGTATTACCTTCCCACCAGATGGGTGAAATACCAATCTAGTGAATGGTCAAAGCAATGCGAAAATCACTAGTTGTCATGAGGGTACCTGTGGCTTATTCATGTCTTCCTCTGTCATACCAACGGCATATACTGTGTTGCACATTAATCGCACAATGTCCGTCATTCAGGGGAAGAACTTACACATAGCCTGGGCACCTCCTCGAGCCTTGAATCACAGCGAACGTCAGTAAGAGGAAGCGAGAAAAGACGAGTAGTTAGTACTTTGTCCTGTGTCAACTGACAGGAGATCTTGTTAAGTTTTGCCGGGGTGGGCACCCCGGTGGGACGCGGGACGGAGTGACTGGATGCCGATGCAAGTGAGATTGATACTACCTATACTCCAGTGCATGGTCTACTTACATCTCTACTCCAGACATGATAACTGGCGTTGAATGAAGGTGGACGATATGCTACAAGAGCCGTATATCGCCACATCTCTTATAATGAAGGAAAACATCATAGTCGGGCCGTATCAGCTTCGACCTCGAGGTCTCATGACCCAGGAATGACCTGAGCCGAGCGGAATATCCATCAACTACGCCCACGACGGCCCGAAGCAGAAAATTAGAGATCTATGCATGATAACAATAATTAGACTCATGACCAGTACCCTGTTTATACCTCTGACTACTTCCTTGAGAGAGAACGATTTCGACATAAGTCATTGCCCGACTTGTTGGCAAGTTGTCCTTATATTAAACCAAGCCAGTGGCCATCTCGTGCTACTCACTAGTAGTAATCCATTGCCAGCAGGACGGACGATACAGTGGGAAAGTGCTTGAAGTTAGTCATAAAGAACGAGTCTAGTCCTGCCAGCAGCGCGGCGCTAAGCGCAAGCTTCGAGGTCAGTTGCTCCAACTTGAACTCAGAAAGCATCTGATTGTTCAAATTCAAAGGCGGGAATATGTCAGCATTCGCACGCAACCCGATTGGGTCACAGGGAGCTCAGCATCATGCGCGAGTTAAATGTCAGTAATTGATAACATTGAAGCATGCAGCAGATTGAAGGGTCATTCAGGATCTCACACGATGTTGCAGTCATAACTGGGACTCAGGCTTTATCAAGAAACGTCGCTTTACTAGAATAACTCTGGACTTCCAATACAACAGTACAAGTCACTTCAAACGGTTGATATGTTTATATACACGGCAAGGCAGGTGCACTTGCGCGTGATGTTTAGTTCTTGCAGGTGCAGCTTCCTGCCTGGCAGCTGCAACTGTTGGCGGACAGTCATAAACGAGTCATTGGATGGTGGCGCAAGGCAAGACTTACGTAGAGGTGCAGTTGCATTGCTCGGTGTTGTTGTTGTACATGATGGTGGTGGTGATTGCGGTTAAGCTGCGAGACAGTGTCAGTCGTTGTATACGTTCGGGTGATTCAGTTCAGATAGCTAACCTGGTCTGTGAGGTAGATGATAGTAGAGTGGATTGCTGGAGGAAAAGCCAGCCAAAGAGGGGCCATTTTATATTGTTCGCCATAGGCGCCGTAACGAAAATGGACAGATCAAAGCGGAGAAGTCGGGGTATGCCATGGCTCCAATCCCAGGAGGGTCAACGTTTTACAGCGCCACATGGTGCCAAGTCAAAAGATAGCTGCTGCTCCAAGCCTGAAAAGATAATGGCCGCAGCACATCCCAGGGGTGACAACGTTATATAGCTACTGTTCGCAGCAAGTGTGGGGTAACTATAAGGGGTATCCTTCTGCTCCAAGCCTGACAGTGATAAGATAAAGTGTACGTACTGGCTGGAGACAGCCCATCAGAATACTCAGGGTCTTGACAGAAGTAATGTACATACAACGTTGACTGACCGAGCCCCTGTAAAGTTGGCCGAGGTTGTTGGCCAGTCTTGCTTTGTTTCAAGGCCCGTTGAGAGCGTACATGCGGGTGAACTTGGAGTATAGTTAAGAGAAGCTTGATATGCGAAGGCCATATGGACCGACTCGCCAGAGGAGGGTTTTGCGGGCTCTACTATGTAGGTGCCATACAAAGTAGTGAATGATGGCCTTCCGTAGGCTCCAAAAATGTGGATCAGAACATCATATCATAAATCGCTGTACATGTTCATTTACAACAGTGAACTTGGGAGTTGAAAAGACCTCGCAGGCGGCAGTGCAAGACTTTATTTCCGTTTTAGGCCACTAACGCCAATATCCGCGGCTGACATAATAACCCTCATTGCTCGACCGTCACGAGACCACCCCTCGAGACTCGCAGTGATACCAAGCCTCAAGGTGCTTTTTAGATACATGCATGCCCTATACGACAGGCACGATCGTCTGTGTTGGCTGAAGGAGTTTCGACCTGACTATGTTTGCCTCTGGTACTCCATCTCGCCCATTCCGTCACAGCGACTACTTCCATGCCTCCAACCAATATTAACCCTCTGTCGGCGAAAATTTCCTCGTCATCCCTGTATTTGGAGTCGGCACGTTCGTCCATTGATTAGAAGGACTAGATCTAATGAGGTTGGCATTACACAGTCGTCGCTACTGTAAATATTTTTCAGACGCAGAAATATGATATTTTGCCTACGGCGAGACATCCAGTAGTCATGCCTTCGAATCGATACACTAAACTCTCCTACGGTCACGAACAGGCCCCATCAGACAGAATGCCGAACATGAGTTTCAAACTCACCATTATAGAATGGTACTTAACTTCAGCGTTTCTGAAAGCCTCATTTCCGAGCACTTATATTTGTCACTTCCAGTGTTGCCCAGCCATTGATTCTGATCCACGATGTTAACGAACTTATCGTCGTTCACTGCCAGTGTCTTGGGCGGCGCTACCGCTCTTCTTTTGGTAAGCCTCTCCCTGTGATCAGCAATGTCATGTATATAAATCTCACTGAACCTTGGTTGACGTATACAGCATGAAAAAAAATACATGGTGGTCAAATTTCACCCGCCATCTTGGATTTCAGGTGACCTGCCAGTGATTTGAGTTTGATTGTTGGGACAAGAATTCGTTGTCATCAACTTATAGAAAACTGCATGTGCACTCTTGAATCAACGATCTACTGTTACTCAGACAGACAGACCTATCCTTCCGGCCAGGAAATTGTGCGTTCATTCAATTACATGCGATCTGTAGCTTATGTATTGTCACAGCTATGACATCGAGTGGATAGCGGTTTTTTTTTTGCGCTATGGAGCAGAACTAAAATCCCACAGAAAGATGTTACAACCATGGATTACAAGCAGAATCATCGCTCCGCGAGCGTGAAGTTGACTTGCGCGGAGCTCGAATCCTTCTTGCTAGCTTACTGCACGACTCTGAAGATTTTGAAGCACACATTCAGAGGTTAATGGTCATGCACTTATCTTATCAGTAGGTTGATAGATTTGACCAGCTTTGTCGCAGCAATCGTCATGGAGATTACGTATGGATACGAAGTGCAGTCAGAGAACGACCCGTATGTTTCTGCCATCTCGGAATTAGCCGCAATCATTTCAAACGGGCTCAATCAGCTATTCTCTTGACATTTCCTTTTCGTAAGTTGACATTTATGCTATCAAGTGTAGTTGAGGTTTCTGCAGTTACACATATCCCCGCATGGCTTCCGGGCGCGAAGTTCCAGCGCGAGGCATCTTATTCAAGATAGTTGGCTCAAAAGGTGGTTAATGCACCTTCCGAGTTTACGAAATCGCAGATTGTGACTAAATCTCACAGGTCGGCAGAGTGTTGCAGCTGACATGACATTTAGGCAGCCGGAACTGCTTCAGAGAACGTTCCAGCATGATGTTTTATGTGACAGTAAGTGTGATACCGCTTTACAACGGAGATCGAATGTAAACCCAGGGTGGTACCCGGTACCCTCACTCACTCATGCCACGCCCTAAATAGGTTCTGAAACCTGTGGTGTGCAGGTGACTGCAGTGCGTCCGGTGGGTTCATCCCCACGATGCTGGGATAATCGATATCGGGGACTGGCGCGACCGAGCACCGCTACAATATCCATCGATAGTGATCGTGACAAGAGTGGATCTGTCCTAAAATCTGTCATGGCCCGGATCACTCAGCGAGATTTGAACATTTGATCAAACCCTTGTTGCCTGTGGAGAGCGTCTCGAGGCGTAATACGCGCGTGTCACCGAGCGCTCATTCACAATTGGACAGTAAGTATACTATCGTGCGGGTTTGTAACAAAGATATCAATCAGCTTCCGCTACAAGCCCGATAAGATAAAGGTACACCAGCTGTGACAGCACATCAGAATACTCGGGCCCCCTGTTTAAGCCACGGTACTTGACCAAAGTGTTGGCATCAGAATGCTGATTTGTTCAAGGCACGGAGCGTACGCATGTGGATGGGCTTTGACTGATAGTCCATATTGGTAGCGACGGCGACATCTAGGGTGGATCTGTGCTAATATCCATCACGGATCCACTCAGTGAGATGTGAATTTGAATGTTTGATCAATCCTTGATCCGAAAGATATTTAAGTAAGCTGCAGGAAAACATCTTGACCAAATTCAAAGGCGGTAAGACGTCAGTGAGTGAGCATTCGCACGTACCATCGTGCGAGTTCCTTCAAGCACGCAGCAGGTTCAAAGACCATTTGGAATTTTTGTTGCAGTCTTAACTGTCAGGCTTTATCAAGAAACTTTACTTCACAATAACTCTGGAATTCGAATACAACAGTACAAATCACGTCAAACGGCGGCTGATATGTTTATATACACGGCAAGGCAGGTGCACTTGCGCGTGATGTTTAGTTCTTGCAGGTGCAGCTTCCAGCCTGGCAGCTGCAGCTGTTGGCGGACAGTCAGAAACAAGTCATTGAATGGTGGCGCAAGGCAAGACTCACGTAGAGGTGCAGTTGCATTGCTCGGTGTTGTTGTTGTACATGATGGTGGTGGTGATTGCGGTTAAGCTGCGAGACAGTGTCAGTCGTTGTATACGTTCAGGTGATTCAGTTCAGATAGCTAACCTGGTGTGTTAGGTAGATGATAGTAGAGTGGATTGCTGGAGGAAAAGCCAGCTAAAGAGGGGCCATTTTATATTGCTCACCATAGGCGCCGTGACCAAAATGGAATGATCAAAGCGGAGAAGTCGGAGTATGCCATGGCTCTAATAATAACAGGAGGGTGAAACTCCAGGGCGCAGCATGTGAGGTAACTAAAAAGATTAGATTCTACTTTAAGCCCGAAAGGAAAGAGGCGTACAATAGGCTGCGGCACATGTATGTCTCCAACAATCCCAGGGGTCGTCAACCCTATACAGCTACAGGGCACAGCAAGTGATGCAAATATAAGGGCGTCAGCTTCTGCTTCAAGCCTGATAGGATAAACGTGTGCCGGCTGGAGACAGCCCATCAGAATACTGAGGACAGTGACAGAACTACAACCTTGACCGACTGAGGGAGCCCGATTCTTGCCTTCAAGGCACGAGGTGCACGCATATGGGTGGACTTGGAGCATGGTTAAGAAAAGCTTGATGTGTGCCCACGAGCCCATGTGGATCGACAGTTTAATAGTAACCGTGACAAGAATGGATCCGTGCTGATATGGGGCCACTCAGCGAAGTTTGAACGTTCGAACACTGGAATGAAGAATACACGTGCACCATGTTCATCAACGGTGATCTCAAATGCGAGGACCAAACAAAGCTCCAATTACGGTCTATGTATATGTGGCATCTACCGGATACCATATTAGCCAAATTACTAGAAATCAAACCCTTGCTGCCGAAAGACATCTAAGTTTGAGCGGCTCTCAGGCTTAACCAACTCCGCAAGGTCGTTGCGATCCTGGAACGGCAAGGCTCAGCACGCCATCGAGATGAAAGACCTGAACGTAACTACCATTGCGATAAAGGCACGCCTCAGGGTCAACCATAGCTGATCACTAGTTTGACCACCGCCTGTGCTTTCCTGCATACTAAGTGCGCTCAAAAAGTGTTCGGCTGCTTCTTTGTGCGCTCCTATGTTAAGGCCTACACGTGGGATTAGCCTACAAATGTGTTTGAGGTAAGTTGAAAACATACACGCTACCCCGACGTTATAAATAACACGAGTGTAAGTAGGGCGCAAATTCAAAGCTTCCCTATACGCTCCAAGGGCTTCCTCGGGTTTGTTCCCGTTGGAAAGAGAGGATCCTAGTCGGTTCCAGAGTAGGTAATCCTGATTATCATTATCAGTGGCAAGAGGATGACAGCAGCCAGACCCTTCCATACCCGAGGACGCTGTGATAAGGCACTCTCGAAACAATCCTTCGCACGTTCGTAGTCCATTGTCCCATAAAATAATACACCGAGAGCAATCTGAGTATCGGGGTCGACAATACCCTGATTATACTGCTGCCGTGCCAGGGTAAGGAAGGTTTCCGTAAGCTTCTCATGTGAGTCCCATGTTGAGTGCAACGAGACAGCCCTTCGAGTTTCGTCTGGTATCGGAAAATCAGGAAATCGGGCTCCTAACCATCGCAATAGCATGTTATAAGCAGCCCGGTCGTAAGATTCATTGGTGTATGAGATCGCCAAGGACTGCAAATAATTTGTCATGAGAAGGGGCGGGGAGAGTTGCTAGACGGAGTACGCACTAGCATGCCCGCTCCGTCGGCATTGGCGGCTTCTGATAAGCGAACTCCTTCGGTCAATGCACGCAAGCCAAGGTCTTCACGTTCATCCATGTTTCTGGTTTCACCAAGGAGTATCCATGCTTCATATCCGCCCTCACCAAGCTCTCCTTTCTGGATAGCAGCCTCGAGTAGAAGGGCGGCTTCAGATAGCGAACCACCCTGCTCCAAAAAAGCCTTTGCCTCGCTCAGGGGTGACCGACTAGGCGAAGATGGGTCGAGGTATTTGTTGTTTGACTCTGTTGACTTAATAAAAGAGGGCGTGAAGTGCCGGATAGGACTCACCGAACACATATTCGGTCAGGATGGGTATCCCATCATCGTTATACTTGGATTCGAGGGCGCTCCCGTTAGGGTTTCCCAATCCGTCACCCCATGCTTCTTGCATAGCTGTAGAGTAGTCGTGGTCGAGCTCCTCGCGATCCCGACCCATGAGCTGGTTGAATTGTGCTTCCCATTTGCCGATATCTTCTGTTGGAGGAGGAATATCCGAATTTTGCAGGTGATCCCAGACGCTACAGAAAATTAAGTAGGCGCCTCATAATAACAATAAAGGAACGAACTTTTTGAATTCCTCGTTAGTCTTCAGTTCAGAATCTCCAAGTTTGACATTCGCCATGGCTTGCTCCAAAGTAGCGGCATTATCGTCCAATTCAACGATCCTAGAGGTGGATTCTTGTTGGTTTTGCAACGAGGCAGCGTACTGAGCAAACGCAGCTTCATAGTCAGCCTCGCGAGCTTTACCCTTCCCTTTGCTCGCGTCTGCACTCAGCGGAGTGACATTGAATCCCTGAAAGAACGGCTGTCCCATGTTCCCATACAAGCCCATGGGTGATCCATACATTCCATGTGAACCGATGAATTGCTGTCTCTGAGCTGTATGCCTCACGTTAGCTCAAAATTCAGACGTCTACGCAGGGCGACTCACTTTCAGGCATCTGAATCAGCGCAACGGAATGTTGCATGGCGGGCCCACTGATGGACTGTTGCTGAGCCTCACCAAATTCATTTGCCCATGAGCTTTGGGTCAAATCATTTTGATATCTTTCTCTTGCCCTTGCTTCATTGAATTCTGGAAGTCTATTCATTTCCGCCATGCGAGCAAGTTCTGCAGGATGTAGATATGGGGGTGCGACAAGAGCGGGACCGCCTGATCTTTGTTGTCCTTCGAAGAACTGCCGTGCCATTGCAACATCTTGTTCAGCGGCTTGAGCTGGAGCTGATCCTGGAAGGTGCTGGAGCTGATGGATGGAATGAGTACATCAGACAGCAAAATGTAGTAAAAGCTGACTCGGGAAGACGAAGGACCAGCTACACGATCCTGTTCGCAAGTGTTGTCAGACGAATCACAGATCTCCGCACTGTTGACAGACCTGTTGCAAGCTTCTGTCTCCTTCTGTGTGTTTCAGAACTTGCGACAGAGGGTTCAGCGGTACGGCACATTCAGATCCAGAAATCAAACCCTGCAGAGACATGAATCCTCGATTGACTTGAAGGATGTTTGGTGGAAATATGAGAGATAAATGCGGCTTTTGTGCTTGTGCTAACTCTAAGTAGGCTAGCGCTCGCGGTAACTCGGAACGCCGAATTCACATGAACTGATACCGTAGGCTACGTAACTTAGTGAGCATATAAGTAGAATCCACAACCACGGAGTTCAGCTCTCGATATATAGCCTCCAGGACCTCTAAGCTGCTTCGTAAATGAACATGATGCGTATACGACGTACGTATCAGAGCTGTCAGAAGCTATCGTGGCCCGGGCGCAAGGCCGCTGACTACAAAGTAAGTTGCCCCCTTTCAAAAGTCCGCAAATCTGTGTGACTTTCTCTACCCATTACAGCCCACTCCACTAGTGATACTTGCTTGAAGGTGCGCTATTTTTTTATATCAAGTGCTTCGAATGTTGACTTTAACCCTCAGCCAGTCTTGATACGGTGACACCGTGAAATGTCGCAAATCTCAGCCAAATGCACCAGTCGACCACAACCTCAGCTTGCTCACGAATGTGCAGTAGGCGAATTGTTTGGTCGCGCTCCAATTTACGACGCCATATTCTCTTGCGTCTCGCCCCGCACGCTTGTGCGCACTGGCCGCAGTTGTCGTGCCGCGTACGCTGCATCCAAGGACTTTTCTCATCGTGCCTACAACATACACCGGCATCTTTCTTACTTTCTTTCCGACCCCCTCAGTTTTCGCAGTTTACAGGCGCATACCGGGACGCTTATTGCGGGCTCGAACGCACTTCAATTTCTGGATAGGACGTTCTATCCCAAATCTGACATGGACCTTTACGTGCATCCAGGGCACGTGAGAGAAGTGATAGACTATCTTGTTGAAAGAGAGGGATATAAATTCAAGCCAGACTCGTCTCAACCTGAGGATTACCGTGAAATCGTGTCTGATGAGTGGGACGGTACTCAAAGTCGCGATGAGTCACTTGAAGATGACGAGCTCTTACTATACTACCAAATCAAAGGAGTCGAATCTGTACTCTCAGTCGAGAAACGTGGCCCGGACGGTCTTCTGAAGATCCAACTTATAGGATGCGAGACGAGCCCATTCGATACCATCATAAACTTCCATTCCAGTGGGTTTAATTATTGGATTATTCAATTGTTTTCTGATCATGACGGGCTTGCTCATGTCTATACAGCCTGTGTTATGAACTTTATAGCCTTCGACGCAGTTTATTCTTTGTACCCAGTGGGGACTTTTGAAAACAGGGATACTCTTTCAGTTTGGCGGGCAAGGCCACTGCATGACCTTTCTGTCGTGATCAAGTACAGCGAACGCGGCTTTGCATGGATTTCCACACTACCGGCCGGCACTTCCCCATACACTTCCCCCTTCCACCCTTTCACAGACCGCACCGTTGGAGACCAATATACTTGGAGGCTGCCTCTGGATACTCAGGGAGTCGCTCTGCGTCCACAAGTGAACCAATCTTCCTCTCTTTTCCAGTGCGACCCTGTAATCTACAATGGCTGGGCGCTGGAGCGAGTACAACACGGAATGGGCACCGTCTACAAGACAATCAAATCGTCGGTTTTCCGGTACAACTACACGACCACTAACTACAAGCTGAACTTCAAGCTGTGGCTGTTTGCGATCGAACGGGGCTTTCTAAGTCGCATACTGCTGGAAAACCATTTGCTGGAGAAAGAGAGCTGGCCGTGGTACGCCGACACTATCATCGCTTATGTTCTATGGAAATTGACTTCGGTTCGTCTTTGAAGGTTTGACACTGAGCTTGCCAGCTTCTGGGAGACTTTCAAGCATGATTTTCTGTCCTTCATTAAACGGGACTCTACTTAATACAAGGCTTCCATCATACGGCTCAGCAGTTCTAACATTACGATATCGTGTTATTGAAGCTGAGCAGCCCGTCTTTTCCTTTCGTGTAACGTCCCACTCCTATGACTGCTCAACTCCTGTAGACTGTTCGACTCGTGTAAACTTTTTATTATACGTCACATGTCCGATAATAGTACGCCGTTCAAAATATCTTTCTGAGAGCTGATATTCTCCTCGTTTGGATTCTAGAGCAAACCTTCATTCAGGACGGCGAGGCGTCAATATCCCAGTCAACCGTCTGACTCAGCGATCCTCCTGCTTCAACACTGTGTTTCATCATATACGGCTCCTTTGGCAAGTTTGAACCAGTGGACGTGATGATACTTCTAGACTACATGTTAAGAATTTTTCAGAGCGTCGAAATACGAATGCGGCTTCCAAATTAACCAGGACGAGCCGCTCATTAGCTTTTTTAACCAATCCCTACATCGTGAGCCTCTGTCTTCCAAACTTCCGCGGGACACCGATAAATACGGCGCTCAGGAACTCTCCATCGATTATACCCTTACCATCTCTTTCGAACGCACCCCTCGTGTCCCCGAAACCGGCAAACCAAACAATCTTCTCCCGGGACTTGAGAGCTTCCCATTGTATAATATCACCGAATTCTCTCACGTCTTGCCGCAAGACATGGTAAAGAAGGGCGGAGTGTTCCTCGCCGTGTACCGTACGTCCGATCAACTCCGATCTGGTGTATTCTTACTTATGGGCGCGTTGTAAAGCGGGAAGCAATGTGGCTGAGATTCAAAAGCCAGAAACTGTTTGCTATTCGGATATTCGTTGATGGCCGTCAACGGTATTACTGGCCGACTTGGAGAAAAAGCAGGACTGCGTTGTTGCATCTGAGCAGCCCTGGTTAAACGGTATTGCAACTAGTCCAGGCATGGTGAAGTAGTTTGTTGCTTGTCCCCTTACGGATCGGGTTATTCGATCGAAAGCAAGTGGATATTTTTTGTTTACAGCATTAGTTGATAGTGATACTCTAACGAGATAGATTACAGGATATGAGATCATACCGACTTACGAAAATCCGGTAGATTTCGAGGACAGGGGTATCTATCGCACTCCTCGCGAGCTTGGACTTTCCCTCGGCTCCGAAATCACGATCACCAACCTGAACGTGGCAAGGCCTTCTAGTAACCCTGGTGGGAACAAGGAGATTTTATCAGTTGACGGGCTCATGAGGATTTTTATCAAGACCCCGGCGGGAAAAGCAATCATTGTCTGGGCAGAAAGTTCCAGCTAAATGGAAGATCTCAAATTCCAAATTCACGACAAGGAATGTATTCCACCCAACCAGAAGCGCTTAATCTTTGCCGGCGAACAGCTTGAAGATCACCGAACGCTTTCGGACTACAGTATTCAAAGGGGTTCGGGCTTCCATTTAATCCCGAGATAGAGAGGAGGCGGGTTTGCACCGACACTAATTGGACACCACGATGAGTTTTGGCGCTGGAGGGACGATCAAGCAGACGATTGACGAAGACTGCAAACCCACGTATCTGGGACATCAGGAGGGCAAAGATATTCAACGTGCAGGTCTTGAACACAACCTGCTTCGAAGACCTCACTGAGATGTATTGGATGTTGGATGTGGCACCACTTACGAGCCTGGCGCGCGCGTCCCTTTGCAGAAATGCAAATGCCAAAAGAATATGTTGGCCTGTGTACGCCTTGCAAGCCTCGCGTGTGATCATGCCGATGGCTTACTGGTTCACTGTCAAGTATTCGTTCTTGCGACCACGCCGTTTGCTTGGAGTGTGCGGCATATGGTTCCTGTACTGAGTGCCCCTTTTGCAAGAAAGCGATGACGAGGTTTGTGGGTATCGCTGCCCTGATGGGTGCTCATGGTATGAAGTCAGTTCCGCAGCTTCCAGTGGTGTTCTTGGAGACGGAAAAAGTGAATGATGAGAGGGGGCAATTTGCTAGTATCATATGTCCGTGTTGGTGTGAAACAATGGTTGGGTAGGTTGCCTACAAACTGTCTTGTCGCATTGGCTTACAGTGTCTGTTTGCGAAAATCCAAACGTCCCTCCACGTCCGTTGTCACTGGGACACCGAGAATGAATCCATCTATCTTCTAGAACTCATGAAGCGCAAGAGCAATTTTGTGAAGGCAGTGGCCAATAACAAGTGCTGAGAGCGCGACGTCGCTTTAAAGCAATTGTATTGAGTTTCGTGGATCTGAGCTCTCATTAGCCGAAGAATCTTTATGACTGATGGCTTCTCTCATCCCCGGATCCAAAGGGTGCAACGATCTCAAGTCACTGATTGGATCAGTATCATGGGCTCAATGCTCTCACTGGATCCAACTAAGAACTCGAAATACACGTGACGGCACTAAGTAGCCTCCTGAGAAAAGCACAAGGAACTGAGGAGTTCACAGAGGACGACTATATGCGCATACGCACGTACATGGGGTAAGGAAATGAGGGGGAAGAAGGGACGCACGTCGTCGAAGACGCAATGTTTGGAGCTCCGACTCGGCACTGCTTAGTCACATTACGGTGAATTTTTGCCAACCACTGCACTGTCTCGTTCAAGAAGCTGTCGGGTTTGGCCGCTGCATCCAAGTTATGTGCTAGCTATATATGCACGGCCGCCGGAGTTGCCTGGGCATATTCAAGGCGGGTGGCCTATAGTTAATGTGGCGGCTGACCTTCCCAACTCCACCCTTTCGTGACCCATCCAATATGCCTCTCTCGTTGTAGTAGTTTTCCCTAGGCAGACCTTCAACCTAATTGGAAAACGAAGACAGTCGTTCGTTTTATCTGGTTCTAAGTGTTCGAGCCTGAGGACTCAGGACCCAACGTCTGCCGAGTCTTTCTACTTGCTACTGTCCGGTGTGACGTGTCTGTCAGCACTGAGCGGGGCTTTTTTCGCGTCGACGCGTCGATCTGCTTCATTTGAAATCCCCCTTTCCCCTTGGTTACAACTATCCCTCGGCTGCGCATTGCAATATTCTAATTTTTATCACGTTGAGCACCCACGCCTTATCATGTCTGCCATACATCACTGATATTTTTTACAGAAAACAAAGTCCTTATGTTGGAGACCAGCGTTCATGCAATATACTCGGCGTCGCCGTGTGGAATGTCTCATCGCTTTTTCTTGTGTCACTAGTATGTCTCAACCGAGTGCAAGGCCTCTTCCGATCATATTAAGGTGAACACCCCGCCCGGCGCTAAGTAAGCCGTTTACCAAGACTGACTTCGTAATGGTCGCCACATGATCTCTGCGTTTACTTAAAAGTAATTAGAGGACAAGAAGGGACCTTATACATGTCCGCCGCGAACCAACTTCCTGCGGCCATGATTGGCTTGTCTCCAACACCAACTTTACATGGCGACCATGAGCCAAGTCCAGTCCTTACTAAACAGAATAGTACTCAGAAGTCACATCAAAGTGATGATGGTACAGGTAATTTTATCATTGACTGGGATGGTCCAAATGACCCTGAAAATCCTAAAAAGTGCGTTGCGCGAGCAGTGCAACATGGACATTAGCTTACGGTTCTCGCACAGTTGGAGCTTTAGGCGTAGATGGGCTACGACCGCAATCGTATCATCATTTACTTTCATCAGTCTAGTTTCTTCCTCTATGGTCGCGCCTGCTTCTGGCCAGGTGGCTTCTACATTCAGGCTTACCAGTGATGTCATAATTGCACTTACAACATCCATCTTTGTGCTTGCGTATGGTAGGCAAATTTGATACCTACTGAATACCCTACTAACCAATCAAATTACATGCCAGCTGTTGGGCCATTGTTTTGGGGCCCAATGAGTGAAATTTATGGCCGGTCACGCGTGTTGCGATTAGCAAATCTATGGTATTTGGGTATGTGATCTTACAAGTTGATCTACTTCATCCTGATTCTCGGAACGACAGTATGGAATCTTGCGTGTGGATTCGCACAGACAGAATACCAGCTTCTTGCCTTCCGATTTCTCGCTGGCCTCGGGGCCAGCGCTTCGCTTCCCGTGAAGTTTAAATTTGCTAAATGGTCAGGTTTGATCTGAATAATTTACTTCTTCAGATCGGCGGCGGCGTTCTTGGGGATTGCTGGCGACCCGAAGAAAGAGGAAAAGCCATGTCTATCTTCTCATTAGCTCCGCTGTTAGGACCTGTCGTAGGACCTATCACAGGCGCCTGGTCGGTGGCTATTCCGAGTTGAATGACGCTATCTAAATTCTCTCAAGGATCGCTGAACGCTCAACCTGGAGATGGGTGGTATGTGATTCTTTCACCAATCGTAGACTGCTCTCATTTCTCTGATAGTTTTGGTCTTCGTCCATTGTGGATGCAGCTATTCAGATTCTTGGACTATTTGTACTTCGAGAGAGTGAGTAAATAATTGACTGTTCGCAATTCATTCATTCTTATTAATCTTGTTTAGCTTACGCGCCCCTTTTGTTGGCGAGGAAGGCGGAACGCATTCGCAAATTCGAGTCCATGGATGCTGAAAAAGTGCCGTACAAAGAAATCCGCACCGTTTTCGAAGTTCAAGGTCGCTCGTACGTCCTTTTTATGGTTCCGTAATATGAAATTTCAAGACGGTGTTCTTAGTCGGCGGACGATCATGACCACAGCACTCAGTCGCCCTTTTGCACTCTTTGTCCGTGAACCGATCGTGCAGTTACTCGGCGTTTACATGGCATATCTATACGGGACAATTTATCGTAAGTCATCTGTTTTTCCACAGACGTGATCTCACATAGTCTATCTCAGTCTTTTTGACGACGATACCATCGATCTTCCAGGGTGTATATCATCAGTCGGTAGGAATTGCCGGCTTGAACTACATCGCACTTGGTGTAGGGTTGGTCGTTGCGTCCCAATTAAATGCGAGAACACTGGACAAGATTTATGTTCATTTAAAGAGTAAACATGGTGGAGTCGGGAAGCCGGAGTTCAGATTACGTTCGTGATGTGATTCTTCAGTGTCTCCCTTCTTCAGTGCTAATTTACTGCGCCATCCATCAGCTGCTATGTTGGTCGGAACTATACTGCTTCCAATTGGGTGCTTGACGGCAGGTTGGACTACTGAAGCCCATACTCATTGGATAGCCCCGGATATTGTTAGTGTTATTATGCTAATCTCTCTCTCTACTGACGGCTTCGATAGGGTATCGCGCTTGTGGGAGCAGGAATTATTCTGAATTGGCAGTGTCTCCAGACCTACGTTGTAGATTGCTTTACCCTTCATGCTGCTTCTGGTATCATTTTCCTTTCGCATGTCTTTTGCACCGTCTTACGCCTTTCATGTCCAGCGCTGGCTGCAGTCACCTGCCTACAATCACTAGCAGGCTTCGGATTTCCCTTGTTTGCTCCAGCGATGTACAACGCACTTGGTGTCGGGAAGGGCGATACTATTATTGCAGTCGCAGCAATCGCGATAGGCGGTCCCGCGTACGTCTTTGTCCCTGTTCTTTCCATCGTCATTTTGACTGATTACACCTGCAGGTTCTGGATATTCTGGCATTACGGGGAACGTATACGAAACAGTAGCCGATATGCGCGGTCGTGATGCGAACCTAGATGCACATGCGTCGATTGGAATTTAGAAAGGGAACGTCAAATGGAGGAGCGATCGGCATGGACTGGAACCACTGGATGGATTCGCGACAGTTGACATTCAATCATGATGTGACCCAGTACATGCATCAACGACGTATAGTAATCTCCCCACCAAGCAATAATTGCATGTACAAGTTATTGCGGCTTGTCAGCAGGAAATGATGAGTCTGCCGGTAGTGACAAATAGCGTCTTTGTGTAACTTAGCACGCTGTACCGGGGCGATCTGGTGTAGATCTTCCATGGAATGTCATGGTGGGTCCCGGCTCAATGGCCGAAGTCATGGTGTACCAGGGTGGTCTGGCGCAGGTCATCCGTGGGAGTGCTGGGGGTCCTGGTGCAGTGGCTGGAGTCCTGGCTCATAGGTTATAGTTGTAGTTGTAGTCGGTCCTCGATAGATAGAGCCGTCGCCTCCCGCTGTAGGCAGGTTTGGCCCTTCGCCTTGCAGTCCGTGCCGGTCCAACGCCGGTTTACTGCACTGCGATACTGAAAAACAGTCTTCCTGCAGTACTATTACTGCCTTTTGGCATAACGGCTAAGCGGATGAAAATCTAGCCCAGATCTTATATATATGGAAAGAAAATCTTGAACAACTCCTAGTCACACATTCCGAAGACTTAATATTACAAGACCTATGGAAATGATGAGTGTGGTCAGATATCATATCCGAGGGCCTGGGATGTCCAATCACAGATGCATGCATTTTGAAAGTACTGTAGATCAACCGAGGTATATACTTAGGCATTAAGGCTAGAGATAGCAGACGGCATACGTGGCCGCTAGAGCTAAAGGTCATATAGTGCGAAAGATGAAGAGGAAGCCACGAAGAACTAAAGTGCGAGAAGGAATTAAGTTTTACAAAAGTCTGTCCCTTCCTTTGGAGAACCGATGCTGTGCCTGAAGAAGAAAAGGATTCAATGAGTAGGGTACCATTAGACAAAATCTTTTTCTTACTTGGCTTTGATATGCGACTTGACGCCCTCCAAAATGAAAGTTCGCTTTGAGTTATTGCAGTGTTGACAGTGATAACTGCCTGAATTTGAGGGAGGGATAACGAAGAACTTGGTTGTTGGAGGCGGCTTCTCGTACATGCCCTGGTCATAGCTAAAATCAACTCCTTCAGTCGGAGCGGTGATTCCATGCACACTAGGGATGTCAGTATAGCTAAGGTGACACAAAAAGGTGATGACATACCTTTGCACATGTTTAATCACGGTAGCCTTATCATCCGGGGACCCGTGGTATAACTTGCACTTGTTACAGCGCCACGCTCGCTCAGCAGCTCCGGGATATTCGGGCGTACACAAACTTTGGAGAACTTGAAGTTGTGCCGCACTCAAGAACTCCCAACGAGGCTCTGCGTGCGCTGGATCTTGTTGCTCAACATAATGGAAGACCTAGAAGACGGTGAGCGCAGCGCCAAAAACCACAAACACAGGACGAACGCTCTGACGCCAGTTCATCACCATCCGGTAGGACCCTCCACCCTCTGACTTGGGTGGACAGTTGGAGCAGAAAAAGCGACAATGAAGGCGATCCATTGTGGTTGCAGTCGTAGCCCGGGCATCGAGGCCAACCAAGCCTAACAAAGAACGTACAGCGGCAACCCCAGGCTGAGAGATCGAAAATGTGCAACCCGATGTCGCGTAACCTCGGGCTATGCATTGGTGATACTGCACTTTGTCCCATGTAATCAATGGGAAGGGGCGCGAGTGAGTACATTGGAAAACAGAGGTGGCCAGCTGCACCAATACATCATTAGGGGCGTCAACTCCTTGGCTTTGTAGTGTCGTGGCATCTTGCAATACATCAGTGGAGAGGGCAAGTAGTTGCGTCAGCGCTAGCTTCCTTGAATGCATATATTCAGCACACAACCTGGGAATTCTGTCCGCGAAAGGTTGAACATCGCTTCCCCGGTCCCCACTGGGTGGGCTGTTGATAAATTCTGCAATATCAGAGAGCTTCAAGAAGTCTTCGCGAGGAGGTATGATGGCCGGTGGCAACGGCCGCACGTATTTCTCGTACATTTCCAAAAGGCAACGCCTCTTGAGAGCCGAGAACGTTCTTTGGTCCTCAAGGACCCATTCTTCCTTCAATTCGGAAAGCTTACGCTCGATCTTTGGGAGCAAGCGCTTCCAGCCTGGAAATTGATTAAGTAAGGAACTTTTCAAATGTGGAAGAGCACTGACGTGTATCGGTAAGTTCCTTGTCTAGCACACCATAGTGATGACGGATAAACATGCGCTCCACATCCTCAACACTGTAGCCGAGAACGACTAGTCTATCTTCAATCCTTGGATAGAGGATCAAGAAGTGATTGGATGACTGGTCGACAAAATCTACTTACAACTCTTTAATGTAGTCGCGAAACCCGTGGACACGTGAGCGTTGACGTTCACGGTCCTTGTCAGCCCAATCGTCACAGATCGCTGCATGCTTCGAAGCCGTTAGATTTGGTAAAATCACTTGCAGGAATCTTACGTTGACAACAGAATCAACGTATTTCTTGCGCGATTGCTTGAAGTCTTCTAATGCTTGCTCCGCACCTGGTTTGAACATGTGCACATCCTTCTGGTACACCTTCAGCTGCTCTGCCATTTCCTGTAGATCATGTGACCAAAAAAGCCTGTCATCGTCGAGATGATAACCCTGTCCATCAACTACGCCGGATGATCAGATACTGATAAGCCATAGCAAAATAGTCCCCACGGTAAGTGAATGGGACCAAACCCATAATGTCCGGATCGAAGGAGTCAAAGTATGATGACATGCTGGAGACTAGGCTTGACGAATTGTTGGGCACATAAGGGCATGATAATAAAGTAGTACTCACTTCTGATTGACGCATGAGTGACACAGCCTGCGCTTGATACCCAAGTACATTCGATGGAATCCCTTCGCGTCACACTCCTGAGGTTGTGGTCATGAAAATGCAAAAGGTGAAAACGGAGACCAGACACACATGACACTGATAACCACCAAATAACAGGTTAGCCCATTTGACCTCAGACATGCCAGGCATGCAGTCAGGAACACCGCCATTGATGCGGGCAGCTTTCCAGACTGAGACTACATTGTTAGATAAAAGAACCTCGCGGAAAGCTGTGTTGGTGCGTGAGAGGTATAAGAGGTCTACTGGTAGCAAGAGGCTAAAGATCTGAGTGGAAGTAGAAGGTCAGAGAATAAGTAAGATACATGCTCATTGGTTATAGACTCACCTCGAGAAGAATATCAATTGGCATTGTGACAATGACACTGGGAGTTTTTTTCCTTCTGCCAAGGCGTTTTGCTGCCGATGCTGTCCCGGCTCCTTGGTCTGCCCTGGCACGTTTTTTCGCGGGTTGTTCCTCTGGAAGCAAAAGTGAGTGAACACTTTCGCGTGGACAAATAAAAGATAGTGATCACCACGTGTCTCTTCGTCGTATTCTGCACTATCTTCACTGAACGCCTCGTTCAGCCTGCTGTATTCGCTACACTGGCTACTACTTTCTTCCAGGGAGTCCGTGTCCAGGTCCGTTAAATTGGGGTCCGTACAATCAGTGTCCGAGTTAAATTCGTAGTCATCATCACAACAACCGTGACACATAGGGAGAACGCCGAGGCACCAGAGACGGGCTGAACAAAATATAGAGCGGCGTAAAGGGAAACTGAGGAAGTCGCGTTTATATGTTGGGGGCTTGGTTTAATTGCACAAATTTAAAGGGTTCAGATATTGATCCCGCGAGGGTGACGAGAGTTCGCTTCATCAGATCCGGGGAAACACCGAAGTTCCATGTAGGCTTCAATGATTGAATGACATAAGCTAAAGTTCGAGCTTAAACGTTAAACGAGCAAAAATTGGGGGCCAGTCACGATCTTGCAATAAGTATTAGTATTGATGCAGATGGACGAGGGTTCTTTGAAGCCTAAGCCTGACGCACACTGTGGATCTATCTCCAGGTAGCGTCTCTATTCCACGTTCGCCTGCGGTAGAGTTGAATGAGGCACTTAAGGGAGGATGCAGAGTTCGGACTGATGCATATGAGACAAGTTAGAATGAAAAATGAATGGTGACGGTGTCACGTGACAATTTCGATGAAAGACACCGCGGATTTGAATGATATTCTCCTTATTTTCTTGTTACCTTTTCACTTGTATTTATGTAAGTGATATTCTCGTGGTATTTCAGTAGAGAGCCTCTATTAAAATTCTCGATTCCAGTGAGTTATGCGCCAAATTTCAATAGAAGGTCTCTAAGGGAATCCAGTGAGTCAAATCACGGAATTTCCGTGCGTTTACTACCCACAGTGATATTACTTACTCTTTGTCCCCATGAGTTCGATGTAGTGAAATCAGACACGGTTCGGAGATGCGAAGCATTTGAAATCTACTGCTACTTAGCTAGTTCATTACATTTAGAATACCGTTTGGTACACATTATCTGCGATGGTCAAAGTCATAAGAGCGCTCTAATAAGGATTGCCCCAAGGGGTTCCTGCGATACCGGGGTTCGCTTCCATAGCAAGCGCGTCGTACTGAGCTGCTCTGGTATTTGTACTGTCGAGGCGATGGCTCTGTCCTCCTATGGGAGAGCCACACTCCGGACAAACACTGCGTTCCATGGCTCCTCCGCACTGCGGATATGAATTAGCATTGCAATACACCAAATACTCAAATGGTCACCTCAGTAATCACAAATGCGTGACCATTCGCACAGTTGTAGAAGTGTCCAGTGCTGCCTGTAATACTGTGAAGAGGATCTGCAGGATCGATAACAATAAGCTTACCGAAGTTGAAGGCTCGCACTATTTCCATCTGCTCCTTTAACGAGACTTCCTGATAAAACGTGGATCTCCTGACGGCCTGCTTAATGGCCACCCATTCATCCACAATCGTCTGCGCAGCACGAGAAAAGTTCTCTTCCAGCCAGGAAGCCTCTTCCTCTCGTGACGGTGCGGCCTTATTTGCGAAATGCTCTGTGATGACATCCCACATCAGTTGCTGCGCCCCGCGGCCTTTCTGTTCCGCAGCCTCTACCATCCCCAACCGTTGATCCTTGATGTTTCCAAGTTTATTAGACATGTATAATCCAAAACGGAAGTTCTCCAGCTCGATACGCATGGAGAGAAGCCAAGTTTTGGTGACCTGTCGGTGAGCTTCAGAGCTCCTTGCGAGCTCAAGAGCCTTGGTCACATCCTGTGAACAACTCTGTAGCATGAACTTGACGTAGGTCGCCCATTGATGAAAATGGTACAGCGGATAGTCGGCTTCGCGCTTGCCCACCTCCTCTAGCCATGTGCGACCCAGAGTAATCAGGGTCAGGCGAATGTGCAACGTACACCAGAAGGCTTCCACAATGAACCGCCTATCAGCTCGCGGACGCGACTGACCAACTTGCAATCTCGCGAGCCTCATCGCATTTTCCTGCGGCCGAACAGGCGTACGAGCCGGGTTGTCGAGGAGAGCATTCAATTCGCGGTTGTACAGGAATGAAAATGCAGATTCCCAAGCATGTAGGTGGGCAGAGCGTTTTTCGGCAACTACAGCCGCCTCCTTGTAGGCATTGAATAGCCTGTGGGTGATTTTACGCCAAACTTGGGCCACCGCTGAATCGACATCATGCAGGGAAGTGTTGGTACAGTTGAGGGCACGTTCTGAGGTGGGGACCTCCTTCTTTGACATCAACTCCTCAGAACGAGCCTTTGCCTGCGAATTGTGCTTCTTGGTCTTTGAGGGGCATATTTTGATGGTGGCTGCATCACGGATGACCGCAGCCTTCATCTCGTCTTCAGACACATGGAGAATGGCAGTTTGGATCCGGTCAAGCGCTTGAGACATACGAGCAGCAACATTATGCTCCAATATATCTAAATCAGCTCGCTTGAAGATGCGACCATATCTAGGAGATGTAATCGGCGAGCGACATGTTGGACATGTAGGGGGTTTGATGAATCCGATGGGGGAAAGCATACGAAGCCACTGTCCGTATGCGTTCTGCAAGTAAAAATCGCTCATACTGCAGTGTCCATCCAGAGTTTCTATGGTGAACGTGTGCTTGCACGACGGAATGGTTATCAACATCTCGTCCAAAGTGTTTAACTCTGGTGCAACTTCAGATAATGAGCGCTGCATGATGAAATCCACGACATGGCGTTTCTGATTATCGGAAGCACACTGCGGGCATATTTGGATGTCACAGTCTTCTCCGCATACTTTCCACGACATGAGCACGAAATTCTGAGGAAGTGATTTACTACTCACCGGAAGGACACCTGTGTCCACAACGCAAAATTGTGTTGCAAGGTACGTCACAGGGTAACCTTGCACAGACCTAAAATGGAGCATCAGGAAAACACGAAACAGCTGAAACGGACAGCACACTAACAGAACCACACGGTACAGGACAGGAATGGTGTGGGCAGTTCCTGGGGATGTTAATCAGCGAAAATATGGAAATCATTTTCGAGAAGTTTCACTTACCACGTGCATGGTTCTTGACACGGCGCACAAGGCACCGAACACGGCGACTGACACCGGGCATGAGAGCAGGCTTGTCTACAAGGTTTCCTGCAGGCGACGGTGTGCTTGTGGTCATCAGAACAAACCTCCTGACACAAATGCTCGCAGAACAGTGGTTTCTGGCATGGGTGAGCAGAATGCTGTGCCCTCGGTGTACGTTCTCCTTCGGAAGGTGTATTTTTCTGCTGGCATTCGTGGCACTTTGCGTTACATGTTCTTCCACAGCAACTCATAGTCCCGCCACATAGAGCCTTGCAAAGATGAGTGGCTGGAACAATTGAACATGCCATGCGAGCAGTGTGCTCGCAACAAGGCAGTTTCTTGTCAACCATGAAGTCACAGAAGACATTTTCCAATGTGCTGATCTCGTGGCTAGAAATAAAGAATTAATGCCAAGTCTTCGACTGAAGATGGTCAAGACATACCATGGAACAGACGCCTTCAAGTGTCCGCACGGAAGTTCGATGTTGGCTTCCGGGAAGAAACAGTCACCACATGGGGAGGCGCACTGCTTAGTGCATGGATGGCCCCTCGTACAAAGCCTCGTGCATGCCTGCATACAGGACACCGAAGCATGTTTCTGATCATCGCTGTGACACTAGAGAAGAGATGATTATCTCATATGCCACATTGAACGGGAGAAAACGTTACCTTGAATGGGCACATGTGACCGCAGTTCAATCGGAAATCGCAGGGTCGCATGCATCCTCCTGGGAACGTGATTTAGTGTGTTGCTCGAGTTGAAGAAGCGATCATACGCACCATCAGGCGCGATTTGAGGTAGTTGACCTGGTTTGGAGACATACTCGAGTGTCTGCGGGTGCCGATGACAAGCGATAGGAAGTGCTGGACCAACGGCTTCGTCCCTTTCCAGTTCCTCGATGATACGCTGCCACATTCGACTCCTGGAGGACAAGTTGGCAGCATTTCCAAAAATGAAGAGACCTTCGCGTGCACGAGACAAAGCCACTAGAACACGGATGATCAGTGTGCCACACCATGATACTGCTAAACAGCTTACCATTCGTGCGGTTCTCAGACTGTCCATGGAATCAGGATTTAGATCTAGCGCACTTCAAAGTCGTATCCCTGTTTACTCACCTTGAGAAAACCGATGTTGGGTTTAGTTCCATGCGTAAACCCAAGCGCAGCCATTTCATCATCCAGTTCACCAGAATTTCGAACCAGTGACAATATCACGATCTAGGAGAAAACATTCATAAATGAAGTAACACTGAACACACACACTTACTTTGCCCTCTTCACCTTGATAGTTGTCGACGGTGCGCAATCGAACCTAGAATTTTATTGAGTATACAAATAGACTGCCTTGCAACAACGCATACCCTTCTCGTAACTTTCACATGTTCAATCGTGGTCCCAAGATTCAAAACATCTTCATCATCTCCCTCTTGATCTGCAAGAGCAACTTGGTCGCGCTCATCAATCACAATCGCCACCTCGTTCGCGAGGGCATCTCGCAGCTTAGCAAGCTGACCGAGGTAGGCACAAAGAACCACGATGTCACCTTCTTCAGAATAGCAGCCTTGCCTGAACAAAACAGGTCAATCTTCAAGCTATGGAGAGCTTTGCATGCTCGGACCTTAACAGATACAACACTAGTTCGCGAATCATAGCCACCTGTTATATGTCAGCGAACAGCTATATCATCAAGAAAATAAAGACACTCACCTCGTATAAATTGTACTTGCTAGCGGAGTCTTCTGCACCCTCATTTTCCCTATGGCTGTGATCGACGAAGAACATATCTTTTGCAATGCCGCGGACAGAGGGATAGTGGCGGACGAGCTCGTGATCTTCAAGACCTGGGTAAAGCGTGTTCCTGATAGAGAATCAGTATGCGCCTGATATGTAAGAAGACACTCACCTGATCAAACTCGAGATTGCAGGCCGCATTCGGCGTTGTACATCAATCCGAGACATCACAAGTCCGGAGCTCGAAAGGCGTTCCATCAGGGACATGTCGAACTTATAGAGATCTCGTCCTCTTTGACTATCCATAGACAACGCTTATTGGATGTCAGAGGACATATTGTTGCCATCATGAAGTACTCACAGTAATTGTTGAGCGTCGGACGGAGTTGTAAGGGGTCACCAATCAAAATAAGGTGCTCGATCGAGGGCACCAAACTTCCGAGTACGTGAGCCTCCAGAACCTGTCCAGCTTCCTCGACGAGCAATACTCGAGGACTCAGACCCTGTAAGAGCTCAGATCAGACGGAAACGACGTCGATCTCATTCGCTTACCTTCAAGAGCGTGGCCAACTTTGCCGCACCTAATGAGGTCCAGATTGTAAGTAGAGGTGCTTGGTTGAATATAGAAAATATACATACCAGTCGTGGTACAACCAATGATATCGATGTTGCGCAGTAAATTTCGGCGGACCTAGACAATCATTCGAACCAGCTCATGACTAAAGTGAAACAGCCACGCACCTCTTCTTTGCCTTCGTTACATTCTCGCAGTATATTCTCGTGAAGTTCGCGAAGGCGCTCAAACTCGCCTTTCTGGGTCTCGCCCAATTCTATGCGCGCATTATCAACCCAGAATTGATGCAAGTTGTGCCGCTCTGCCCTGCTCATGGTCCAAACATCGCCGACATCATCGAGGAGTTCATTCAAGGGGCGACTCGATGTCGGAATGACAGGCCATTCTGGACATCCAAGGGCTTCAAGGAATCCTTCAGGGTCCTTGAAGTCCGCCTGTGCCAGGCCAACGTCGATATCGGGTTCAGGCTCAATGTACAAGATGGGAGGACCGGGAGCTTTGGTGGGAGCAATGGGAACTTCTTGCGAAGCAGCAGGTTCGGAAGATGGCGGGTTGACTTTGACGTTCATCCAAGCGTCCTCAACTGGCAGGTCTTCAGGGAGCGACTCGTCATCAGGCTCCTCGCTCGTCACGTATTCATCATCTGAATCGGGTAAAGAGTCCTGTTCTAAAACATCAAATTTGTTGCTTGTCGTTTCGTTAGGGGGAGGCGTGGTTTTCCAAGGTGCGTATGACCCATCATTCAATGCTCCGATGAATTCCAAGTCAGATCCATCCTTCCAAAATGCATAGAATGACATATCCTTGACGAAAGTCTTGCCTCGCCGGCCCTGTTGCTGCCATTCACCTGCACCGTCGTCGTTGTCGTCGCTGAAAACCGATTTGATGTTTTGAATCCAAGGTGGCGGAGAAGTTAAATATCCGGAATGCTCCGGATGCAAGACTGAGATATACTTCATGACTTCGGTGGAGTCCGTTTCGAAGTCATCCTTCAGGACCTTCGACATCAAGCTCCTAATGCTTTCTTGGATCCCCTTGAGTTCCCTGCGCTTGCTGGAAAATGTCCTGTTGAGGCGAGACTCCTCGTTCACCATTTCAAGTGTCTCGATCGAATATTGCGAAATCCTCTCGTCTGCCGAGCGAGAACCCAGGCGGACAACTTTCTTGGTAATGTCTGCATCGAGCACGGAGCCAAGCATATGGTCCAGTGCGTGGTTCGTGAACGCAATCATCAAGATGGGGCCAACATCATTGGCTCGTAAAACACGAAGCAACTCTACACCAGTATAACTCTAGGATGTGCGAGTCAGTAGCGATCTAACAAGTCGCATGAGATTTGTTACCTTTCCTGTCCCTGGAGGACTGAGCATACTGTTATGTCACCATTCACACTCATTGGGTGCGACACACTCACCCCTGAATTAAGGACACCTCTCTCGTCAGTGCATCAACAACGGCATCTGCCTGGCTCGGGTCAAGGCGGCTATCCCGCCGCAGCTCAGCACGGGCATTTTCCACAGATTGATGATCTGTCACTGAGATCGTCAAGTCCTCCACGTCTGTCTTGTCAGGGAAGAGACACGAAAGATTGAACGCGAAGCCAGGCACTGTGGCATAACGTGGAGGGTCCACTTTATAGGTCTTCAAAAGGCCCGGTGGTCGGTGAACTAGATAGCGCGAGAACGGGACTAGCTCGGGTTCGACCTTCAGAGCTTCGAGGAATGGTCGGATGGCTTCAAACATGACGGAGGATTCTACCAACAACTTGAGGTTTTGTTCGGATGCCTGAGGGTTCCTGAGTTCCTGCAAAATACGCAACTCCACCTTCGTGTCGAAGAAGACAATGCGAAGCTTCACGCGATCTGGATCGCGCTTCGCATGCTCAGTGAGATCTTTAAGGGAATTGGCGATTACTCCAAGGTGTACAGCGATATCATTTCCAGATTGCCACACAAGAGCGATCAAGCCACCCTGAGAAAGGCGCTTGCCACCCTCCCAGAATGAAGTTCGCATTTGTGAGTTGTTGGAGCGTGCACGGCCGGGGGGCGTGTCAATTATAACGCTGGCAGAGATACCTCTCCAGTCAGGAACGAGCGACTCGAAATCAACGCCAGTGTAGACGTTAAACATGAGACTGTCTTGTGTATCTGCCTGGCCACGGTACTTTCCTCCCCTGCTCTTTAGAAGCTCTGCGAGCTTGGTCTTCTTGCGCGGCTGCGTCTTGAGGTCATCGTGAACGAGCTGAACTGATTTACGCAAAGGAGCGCTGCACGAAATTCAGTCAGCGCCTAGCTAAGATTATCAGTCAACAACATACGTCAGCTCTTCTCGCAAAAGCCTGAACTGGATGTCGAGTAAGCGCTGCATGCTTTCCATAGGCGCTGGATGAGGAGCACCAAAAAAGTTCACAGGCAAAAATGGGGGAATACGGCTCATGAGTTCCTCGTGAGTGGGAGCAATACGAATGTCGTAGATGTCCTCAAGGTCATTGTCGTGGCGAGGTCCACCTTCACGGATGGCACCCGGACCTTGATATCCGCTATGAAGAGCAGCAATGATGCCCTCATTGGAGGGGACGGACTGTTTTTGACGTTCAGGGCGTGTTTCTTTTCCTTGTTCCCGTTCCACAATGGAAACCAGCTTGTTGATCTTCTCGTTAAGAGTTTGAACGAGCAGGTCTCGTACAGTAGGCTGCAGGCCTCCAAGAAAATTATCGAACGAAGGCGGATTAGCGTAGACACCAGTCGTCCACTCTGTGAACCATTTCTGCAAGTTCATGACCAAGGGTGCCAGCCGAGGATATGTCGCAACAGCGTTCTTAAAGCGAACAAGAAACCTGATGCGGATTGGATTAAAAATAATGAAGGTAGTGAAAGTTCCGTACTCGTGCAAGACACCAACGATGGACGCAAACGCCTGTGCATCAATAGGATCTTTTCCAATAGCTCCCGGGTCACTGAAGGAGCGGGAAGCGATGACGCTGTCCATAGACTTCTCGACAGCATCCGCAAAACTTGGCAGGTTCTGTAAAACCGTCATGTACAGTTGACTAGCGGCAGTTCAGTGCGAGGCATCACAACAAATAGCATATACATACTTTGCTTGAGTCTTTAAAGTGCTCTGAACAACGAAATCGGAAGACATATACTTCAACAACGTCAACGCTAGCACGGGCGTTTAATACGTCGACGTACTCTAAGGAGGGGGATAAGCCCTCTCTGAAATGAAAGAATTTCGCGGCCCATCCCTGCTTTTGAGGAAACCTGAGGCCAAGTCACTATCTCGGCGACCCGAAGTCGACCAGCGGTCTGCAAATTTTGGTTGAGTATGCATCAAAACACTTTTGATGAACGTACCGAAGTCAGGGCTTCGAGTAGTAACTGGGATGTTTGCTGTCAACACAGAGATAATATCGGATAGTAGTAACATACCTGTCCTTCTTCTTGAGTCTGGTTTCAACAGTTAATCAAAACGAGTTGCATGAAATGTCTAAAACCCACCCATGCAGCATTTTGAAGGTTGGCACTCGACAGTGGGATAAGAAAGCCGTAGATCTCATGTGCAGTCTTGAATCGGAAGTCATCTCGGAGGAATCTCCTCAAACGACTCTGAGTCTCTGTTGGAGTCAGAGACGTTGTAGCATCCTGAGGGAAATAACCGTCGGTTCCACCTCCTGCGAGTTTGGATAGTCCTTTCTCTGTAAGAAAAGGGGCGATGAATGCTTGCGCAGCCTGTGTGGGAATGGCAAAAGGCTGCGGAGATCGCCTGCCATCCTGACCCTGCGGGAGGGTATGGGCACCACGGCAGCCGAACTCTCGAAAACATCGTCCTGTCTCCCAAAAGAATCGACAAACTCCTCGGGGAGGTGGACTTGACGGTGATTTTGGGCGTTGAGGGCCTTGAGCATCGAGTCGTGAAGGAGATCTATCCGAAGACGCGCTCGGTGATGTCGGTCTTCCATCTCCTCCTCCTCGACGCTCTGCATTTGGAGTGTGTTGAAAAGTACAAGATGTGCCACGGCGGCAACCGCCTGGCGAGTTATAAAATCTACAACTTGGGCGTCGAGACATTTCGAGGTCTTAGTTGTACCACGTCAGTTTCTAGCTGTAGCGCTTTTTAAGTGAAAGGATCATGAGGTGCCTGGGGGACTTACAGTCTGTTACAGATTCAACTCGATTCAACGGAACAATTCAGGAGTATTAATAGAGGTCCTCAACACGAGGCTTCACAGGATGTGTTCAATTGGTCGATTACCAGCTGATACGCGCCCTTTGAAGCCAATGTCTTGCGAGATCTGTCCCCTGCAGTGCAACTTGACCTAGATTTTCTAACCTGAGATGCTAGTACGATTATTGTTGTGAGCGCACACACGTTGGTGATGTGCTTGCCTTTTGATAGAGATTCAGTCAATGATGAATTCACGACAACAAGTTACGAAATGACCCCAAGATTCGGAGTTGTAAATTTTAATCACCCTATTTGATCAGCGGCCTCGCACTAGCAGCGGCTTCACCGCGGTGATCTCAACCATGTCACATCCTATCTGTGTCCTTCCATAGCCTTCTGCCTTGCCTTAACGGTAGGTCTCGGTCAAGTCACTGGCCTCATTGGCAGCCTCGAGGAGATGCGTCATCAGCTATGGAGAATCCCAAGAGCTTATTCCCAAAGAACGCAGTGTTCAACTTGATTGAAGGGATCACTAGCAATTGCCTGCAAAGTTCGTTCGTCTTAGGTCTGTCCCCTTTCCCCCAGACAGACCATAGACGAATGAATATCAGGTCTGCCTAGGAAGACTAATCATGGCTTCACTTCTAGATTAAATTATTGGAGCACGCTGCACATTAATGTATTACGCATCCCCACAGCACGTTCGCCTGGATAGGCTGTAACCCCACCTTCTGCAGAGAAGCTCTTATCTCAGAACTCGCCTTCACGTATGTCGTCTCTGGCAGCTCGGCCAAATTTGTTTTGCTTCGAGTTGCGGCAATACTGGATGTTCCAGCTATTTCTGACAATAGGGTAGCATCGGGCAGCACTACTTCAACTCGTCCCATCTACGCCGCTAATGTCATCTCCACAGTTGGTACGTTCCCCAAGTTCTTCACTATCCGCTCCACGCGGCTGCGGAGTAGGAGATGCAGCGGACATCGAAGTCGAACCCTCGATCCTGTTCAGGGTTCTGATAAGTACGCCCACAGAACATATTAACACATCTCTGACCAAATCTGATCATCGAATCTGAACGTGGCGCAACGTTGTGGGCCACATTGTTTCTGGGGGGCGAGCATTGGGGAATGCCCAGACCTCCCAATCTACCTGTATCCATGTAGACGCACTTAGTGTTGCAGTTGGATCATCTCTTGCTGCTGTGGACGTATCATTAGGGAACACACGCAACTCGGACAATCGAGCATGTAAGGTGTTGGTGTGTATATGGTTTTTCGACATTAGTTTCTGTGTCGTTCAAGCAATGCTGGTTAGCACCAGAACCAGCACCTCAATGCTACGAAGAATTGTCGAGAATGGATGCTTAGCATAATTATATCAGAAGTATATTCGACGGCATCCGCTCCTGCTACACGCACTGAAGTACTGACACACGGCTCAGCGCTCAGCACGGGCGCCTTGATCACAATCTATTCATCTCCCACGTTATTTCTTGGTGTCCTTCTGGAATGTCCACTGGAAGTGTATGAATTAATCTTAGACTATCGAAAATTGTAAAGTAAAGGCTCAGCGTGATCGTCGACCGCATTAATGGAATCGCACCATTGTCCACGGGCACAACACGCATCAACGCGATGAAGAGATCGCAGCTTCAACGTCGACTGCAATTGTGGGTCGGGCTGTATGAATTATAGTGTCAGTGCTCGGCTATGATTCAATATTTGCAAGTATCTGTTATATGGCGTTGTGAAACTGCGCGAGTCTAGTATAGGATCCTTTGCTTCAGACCAGGAACTGAGCAGTCGGTCCGCGGGACGTGGATCAGATGCAAACGCAAATATCGCTCGCCTGGCGACCTGGTCCCCGACATATGCAATGGGCCCGAAGCAACCATTTGACATGTCCAGGTTTATTCTCCACAAGCATGATTACCTTCTTGCGCTGGAACACAGCCGAGCCGAGCGATGAGGGGGAGCAGCCGCTTGGACGCCCGTTTCGAGCTGTGGAAACTTGAAGACGGGGGAATAGAAGTCTGTTTCCACGCTTTGTCGTGTTATGTCATGGGCAAGATAATACATTGTAAGAGAATCCACAGCTGTGGACTGATGTGTGGACTGATTGAAGGGCAGCCGCTTTGTCTGGCTTGAAATTTGTGGCCCACAATATTTCGATATATAATGAGCTTCAGGAAACCTGGCTGCAACATACTTACCACCCATTCCCTTCTACAATGTCACCATCGATCGAGCAGCTCTTTCAGAATCTTCGGGTATGAAATCATCAGTATCGCTTTTCACACTCATCTCACCTACAAGTCACAGATTTCTGGGATGCTTACATCGGACTCCTCCGAGTCTAGCAAGTCGCGTTTGATGGACATTCAATGTCCACCTAGACAACGCTATGATCAACACTATGGTTATCGTGTCAACCGAAGATTCATCATGCTCTCCCAAGAGAGTAAAATCAAAACCGGTCCCGGCCTTTTTAATGACCCCATGTCGTTAGCTTGCCAGTGGATCCAGCAACAGTTGCAACTCCCTCAATTGTCCTTGAAATATTGCATCGAGCCGGAGGATGAGAATGATGAATCTGTCATTATGGTCCTCTCTGTTTGCTCGGACGAACCCGCCAGCTTCAATGTACGACCGACCCAAGAGCAAATCACGTTGTTGACGGATTTGCTCGGCAGCCCCCCTCAGTGGTGGGTTAGTTATATGAACATGTAAATCCGCACTACCCCGATACCAAATCATTCGCTCTATATCATGTCATATACATATATCTCCCATCTCGAGACTGCATACTATGTTTATCAATTAACGTCCAATAGGAATGTAGAACTACTCATCTGCCTAGCATTGTACACTAGTTCGCGACGAGTTGGAGGGGCTCGGATTCCATCACCATGATATATATATGCGAACTCTTACATGATTCATCCGAATATAAGACGGACAGACTGCAGACTGCAGCTGTAATCGGTAAATGCAGCGTATCGAGTAGTTCCTGCGTCTGGACGTGTCGCGGGAGATTTATCAAGGAGGGAGGCCAGATATCAATGACGATGTCGGAGATTGTTCAACCTCAAAAACTTTTCAGATTCCAGCAACTGCTTGGGGGTACATTTGAGGCCATTTCACGGCATAGCATTGAATCCAACTCGAGGTAAAGGAACCTGGAAACGGAAGGGCATCTCTCTAGATGGACGTGATGGACTAGCGAAAGACATTAATTGAAATATGACAATCATCACAAAATAACTAGACGCAAGGATGAAATAATTATCCACATACTGCAGTAAAATTAATGGCCATCATCGTGCGGGGGAGATGCACAGCAAAGAAAAAGCACGAAACGAGCCCGCAATGGAACACGTCGTGACTGCGCGGTAGCACAAGTCTCAATAGTTGTATGTGCCTGTGTTATGGAGGTCGAGGCGGCGGCAGGCTGAGGTTGCAACAATACCTCGGCTTGGACTTGGACTTGTGGTTGCTGCTGTGTTTGTTTTACTTTTTGAGGAGATGCACAGCATAGAAAGAGCACGACATGAGCCCACAACGAGAGGGGTCGCGACTGTGCGGTTGTTGCAGCAGTACCGGCAGGTCGGGCACGTGAACGATCTCGTTCCGGCCGCGGAGCAACATACAATGCCTGTACAGAAATCAGAAAACCCCAGTAATTGAAGCATACTGATAAAGACAAACTTGTTTGTCCCGAATTGCAGCCACTTCGACAACATGACGACTGCCGCGAGAAGAGGTAGTTTGCCTTGGGCATTGCGGGAGTTCGATGTTTTCATTGGTGGCAGGCGGAGAGCGGAAGAGCAAGGACAGGCGGCTGATGTGTACATCTGGACACGAACCCGAAGACCTTGGAGGATGTTGAGGCTCGGCTCCTGAGTCGGTGTTGAGTCGAGGGTGGGGTAAGAGTAAGGACAGACGACCGAGGAGCGCGTGGTGACGTAACCCTGAAGGCGTGGGGGACTGCTGAAGTTCCCTTGCTGCATCATCATTGGGTGGAGAATGGTGGATGAATGAGGACAGGCGAGCGACGAGCACACGTCGATGTAACCCTGAAGGTCTTGGGGGTTGCGGAGGTCCGGTCGCTTCATCACTATCGGTTCGAGAGCGGTGGAGGAACGAGGAAATGCGGCCGAAGAGTGCACTGGCGGAGGAAAGAGGGTGGGCGTCCCCCTTTGCGGAAGACTGAGAGTATGGAGGTTCAGACGAGAACTAATTAAAAGATACGGTTATGACACACATGAACATCAAATTGCATGTCGTCAAAAAATGTTGCTGGGAGTTCATCGATACCCCGCGTAGCATCAGCCTAGCAAGTTAATGTTATAATGAATGAGAAAGTCCATAAAATACATCACATACGTCCAAAAATGACTTGTCGGCTATGTCCTGTGAGGAGCGGGGTGTGTGCTCCATTCCCGAAGCGTCATCAGATGATGCCTCCCGTTCGAGTTCATCCTAATAGCAGATATTGTGAGCGAGAGTGAGTGAGTGAGTGATATGTTGACACTCACATTGGTATTGGATAGTGGGTCTTCAGCTTTGAGGATGTCGTGAACATCATGCACGTACGTGTTACTGTCCTCACAGCCAGTGACTAGCAACTTTCCATCGGCAGAAAAAGCTGCGCACTCCACAAAACCGTTGTGCTGGATTGGTGGCCCGAGTGGGAGATTTGTATCGAGATTCCACAGACGCGCTGTTTTATCCCATGATGCACTCGCAAGGAGGTGGTTATCCGGAGACAAAGTGATGGCGCGAATCAAGTGTTTGTGACCATAGAGTTGGGTGATCTGCTGCAAGTTTGAGATGTCAAATATTGTGATCAAGTCATATGACGCGGAGATAATCTTCTTTCCATCTGATGTCCATGCCAAGCAGTAAACTGGCCAAGTGTGTTCAAGTGTGGAGATCAGCTTGCCCGTCTTGCTATTCCATATTTTTACACCAGTCTCGTCATATCCACCTGTTGCGAATTTTTTGGAGTTGGGCGAGTACATCACGCTCCCCACCCACTGGTGCCCGGTATTGATTGTCAGGACAGTTTTGCCGCTCTTGACATGCCACACTCTTGCTGTCCCGTCCGCAGATCCACTCAAAACTCGCTCCCCATTTGCAATCCAGCACACTGCCCACACATCCTTAGTGTGTCCTGTCCATTTGGCGATGACCTTTCCCGTCTTGACGTCCCACAGCCGCACTTTCCCATCGTCGCTTCCACTAGAAACAGTGCTGCCATTTGGAGACAATGCTATGGTGTACACACCTGCATTGTCCCCCTCGTCTTTCCAGTCTTCACCAATCTGTGCGCCGCTTTCCAGGTCCCATAGTCGGAGTGAGCTGTCTGACGAAGATGTGATGATCCGTTGTCCGCCGGGCAAGTGCACAACGCCTCGCACCCGGCTGGTATGGCCTCGCAACGTCTGGCGTGGTGTGATCACTGACAAAATTTCCATCTCAATGGTGGAGGAATATGTAATCCACGGTTGGGAGTTGTCGGACATTGTCAGACAGGTATGCGAGAGAAGTCTGCTGAGATCTTTTCAGCGGGTTATCCAACGACAGCAAAGATTGCTGGTGAGCCGACGAACAGTGTGCAGATGTTGTTTCACGTGTTCCTCGATAATTCGCAAGATATTTGTGCGGAACGTGGCTGGTAAGTAAGCGCTCAGCTTTGCCTCGCAGATCGAAGAACCTAATAGATCATTCATTACTCACGAGAATCACCGGTTGTAAGTTGAGAGAGTATGCGTTGGTTGGGAAATAAGTTAAGCACCCATAAGTTCAAGTTGTCTTTTGAGGTGCGTGCCCTGCATAGGCTATGCATTTTACGAGCTATGCAATTGTGCAGGTTGAAATGGGGCACAACAACACCTATTGACACCGAGCTGTTACGAAAATCTTTTTGAGTGCTTCCGAGGCTTAAGCTTAAGCTTCAGCCAACCTCCTTCTTGTTCCACTATGAATAGGCTTACATCTGATCCGAGTTTAGAACTCTGTCCGGACTTTACCTCCTACATCTATCAAACTAGTCGCGCCCGACTTGTTAATCAGAACAACAACTTGAACGAGGCTCAAGTAGTTGGAATTTTGCAAGCTGTGTGGGTAGTTACCAATAACACCCATAAGGTCCAATGGCAGCGGCAACTTCAGGAAGACCAAGCCGCTGTCACAGAACAGCAGAACCTCGAAGATACCAAATGTCAACTCCAAGCCTCGCATCTCAAGGATTCGGAGGCAGCTTTTCTAGAAGAAGATCGGAAGCAGAATCCTTTCAAATACATTCCCATTCCCAACCGTCCGCGTCCCTTGTGCACTGTACACAATGTCCTCCTTTCTGATTTTGCCATAACAAAGCTCGTTAAAGGTCAGTATGTGGAACTTTACTACTGGACTAATGGGGGTCTCCCGGCAGATGCACGATCAACCTATCGCACTGCTGACGACGAATGCATGGGGCCTTATACAAGCCCTGGGAGCTCCACTACAGCGGGTGCTGCTCATCAGGTGGCTAGGGTCATTCCCGACCATAGTCTCACTCCCATCGACTTCGCTCAAGCTGTCCCTCGCGCACTCGCGTCATTCCAACAATGTGGTTGGGCAGCCGAACGTATCCAGATGCTTGCAGCCTTTTGGCAAGCGTTGATGCGTCATGATTACTGGAACTCCATCGACCCTCTTGCACAGCGTGCATTGCTCGTCTACCAGGATGAGCAACGGCGAGCATGGCATCAAGCCATTCCCCTCCCCGACGGGGCATGGGACATTTCTATTCTAGATGACAAAGAAATCAAAATAATCTTTGAGACAATCTACCGGGAAGATCGGTGTCGTCGTGACGATGAATGGGACGCTCGAGTGCGCATTATTCCTCGCCTCAACCATCCATTTGCTGACACCTTTTCCTTGACTTTGTGACTGCCCTGCCCACTTTACCCTACCGACGCCTTTCTTTGCGCATGGCCTCTGCGCTGTGATTATGTTGTGTATTTGCGTGAACACGATCGTTTGTTACCTTTGTGTTGCGCGGTGTGCTACCCCCCTTCGTCTATGTGTGGATAATCCCTACAGCATCTTCAATCTTTGTACCCCAGAGGTGCGCTAGATGATCATTCATCCAACCATCGTGTCCGGCGCTCGAGGCGCGCATCCTCTTCTAAAGGACGTCGACGCTCAGCCTCTCCTCCCGTGCACAGCAACTCGGCGTCCTTCTACAACTAGTTGAGTTACCGGGTTCCCGCAGAGATCATACCTCATACTTTATCCTTTCATAGATCCAAAAGTCGTGTTTTAGTCTCAAACCTGGCGGTTTTGCCCAAACTCGAATTACTCTCATTGGGTGCCAATTAATTTGTTTATCTTGCGAACGCGGTCGGTTGCAAGAAGAAGAAAAAAATAGATGTTTATGCCTTGCTACATGACCATTCATCCACAAGGAGGAGCTGGAAGGACATATGTTAGCATTGTGAATGTGCAAATCATGATGTGAAGATGGGTTACAAGCCTGATAGACCACCGCACAATGCAAGAGAATGTATCGAAGAACAGAAAGATGTTGTGGCCTCCAAGTATTTACGACAAAGAGGGATAATAAAAGATAGTAACATTCGATCGAAAATCCACCCTAGCAAATCCGCTCACTTCTTCACTCGCCCCATGATCGTCGTCCTACGCTGCATGATAGGAATCCCAGATGGCTTTTCAGGACTCACATTCTCGCTCCCATCACGAGAACCCAATTTCCGAAGCTTTCGTACGAAGCTCTCAGGGCTCGGCGACAATCGCCTTATGATCCCCCCAGGGTTGCGTACGGAAACTTTGAAGGCATCAGGGCTATACAAGTTTCTCAGTACGGGAAGTTTGCTCCCACTGGACGAGGGTGTACTGCTCCCCGTAGGTGGCGTCTTGCTCGGCGTGGTGGGTCCTGTCGTGGGCGTCTGAGTAGACATGAACAGCGAGTCCTTGCTTTCCCCACTGATGCCGAAGAGTCTGGGGGACGTCGCGGTGGAAGCCATAGTGTCGTGTACGGCAAGTGAGCCAGTGGAGTTCATCAGTCCCAACGAATCCACAGAGTCAAGGATAGCAAGGGATCCGGTCGAGTACTCGTTGATATGCTCCAGGAAGCGCGAGTTCCTCCTGGTGCTCACAAGCGTATTGGAGAATTTGCGCCCGTCTGAGTCCGTCTGAGTGATGTCGGTACCATAAAGCAGACTATGGAATGCGGAATTGTCAAACGGCGTGTCGGAGTCAAGGTCACGAGCGGATGTAAGTATGCCGGGCGAGGCGCTAAGAGGAGGGAAGGCAGATGTGGAACCGGATAGGCGGGACAGAATACTTGACCTTGACACAGCGGAGGAGTTACGGCGGTGTCCGCGTCCAAGGGCGACTTGGTTCAAATTCTATACCGCCATAATTTTATTATCTTTTGAGCATAGAATTGCTTTGTTCAACATACCTGGATGAGGTCCTGGCTGAGAGTCACCGTTGGGCGTATATTCTGGTCGTTAGATTCATCCTCCTCTGAATCCACTGGTTCACTCTCCGCTTCTGGAGGGCCGTCCGATGATTGGGAAACGTTGAGATCGATGTCGCTCAGGACCACGGGGGTCGACCGTCGACGTAGCTCGGATATCGAGAAGCGTGCTCTCAAAGGCGGAGTATGTTGTAAATGTACAGTCGACCCAGATGTAGAGCTCGCCGCAGATCCAACGCCAGAGCTGGAAGCAGGGAGAACCAAACCGCCTTGCGCAGAGGGTCCTCCAATTACATGTCTAGCAGAGCCTGCATTTGCCTCCCGTCTGCGAGCAATGAGGGCGTCGACGGCGTGTTGACGGGTAGGACTGAGAGGTTCGCGGACGGAAGATATGTCGGACGAGGAAGGGGTGACGGTATCTGTATAGCGGCCTTCTTCCTGAGCGAGGCGTTTCCAGAACTTAGAGACCTTCTTTTGCGCACGGACTTTGCGCCGCACGCTGAGAGTCATATGCAGCGCAGATTGGTACTGTTCTGGGACAGGCTGACCAATGACCACGGGCTTCAAGCTTGAGAGCAGCGCTTCTGGGTCGTGAACAGCGTCACCTATGGCGTCGACCAAGAGATGGTCTGCATTGCCGAGATCAGAATCTAGTGCATCAGAAATCCGCTGAACGGTGAAGAACGGGATGCCAATGTCGACGAGAAGGCCAGCGAGGCGCTGAAATCGTGATTCAATCTTCTGGATGCGATCCATACCACGCGCGAACTGGTGCTGGAAGCGGGCAAGTTTGGTCATCTCAGTATAGAGCTCGTTGCGGGTTCGGGAAAGATCATCGGTGACGTCGGCAAGGTCGGCTGCGAGTTCAGCGTTGGTCTGACGGAGGCGGAAAACATCGCTTTCAGACGGGTGAGTGCAGCTATCAGTGTACAGATCCAGGGGATGGGTTGACCGGGGTTGATAAAGCTGGGCGGGATCGAATGAAGGCAGGGAAGCCTCAAGAGATACAAACACCGGGGCCGCTGAACCACTAATTAGGCTAGTGAATGTGGGCCTGGTGTATTGGATCTGTCGGAATTCCATTGAGCAACACGACCCAGTCGACGATGGTGGAGAGGAAGCCATGCGGGACACGTCGCCTTCAGACCTTGTACGACGATGCAGCAGCCGAAACGATTTGAAGAACCGCATCCTGGTGGTTGCCTAGTGGTAGAAAGTATAGAACAGCTAGAACTATGCCATAAGTACAGTACTACTAGAATGTGGCTGACGCAAAACAAGGAAGCCGCATCCAAATATGGCCTGGGTGCTGGCTGGTTAGTGTAGTCAGTCGCCAATCACGCACCGACTACCCCGAGGCCCCAACATGTATTCAAGCTCCAGTGTCTAACGCAAAACAACGAGTAACGTAAACAATGCAAGGGCTAAATGACAGACTTCTATAATGCTGAACAGATCGTCCGGACTTGCTACATTAGTAGCTGTATGGTATGGTATAATTAAGATGTATGAGTGTGGGCATCAAACTAAGGCAAAATACCAGTGGGTGTGTATATCTTGAGGGAGTTGATTTCCCAATAGGCATCGGCGAACTCGTGAGGATTGTTGTCAACAACTGCGAGGGTCATGTATCAGGTTTGCGAGCGATGAAATCGACGAGGTAGGCTTACAGCTCTCACAAGTAGAGGCTTTTGCTGCACACGTGGACGTATTCCATACCGACTCGGACCCTGCCCAGTCACCCTGCCAATTCGATGAGAAGGTCATAACGACGCTGCGTAACACAAAAGGGTACTCACACACAATGTCAGATCAATAACGATGCTATGTGCATTGAAGTGTTCGGAGTAGTCGCAGTTGTCATGCGGCGACTCATTGCTTTGCATCGGGAAGTACGCATCAGGTGTGAATAGATCCATCATGTCCAGGATGACCTCGTCACTGTTGACTTGCATCAAGTTGCTGCGGCTTATAAACCAGACTGAGACGCCCTTCTGGCTGCTCTTTTCCATGATGTACAAGCCACCGCCCCCTGCGTTGAAGCTTGCCCCAAAAGAATCTTGCTCAGGAAAAGATACTCCACAACCCTGGTTGGAGTTCATGGATGCGTCGCACGAAGTGGACTGTGTCTTCCTACGAACCAACTTAGGTGAATGACACGTATTAACGGCTGTGGAACACCAAACCCTTTCTGTAATCGATCTTGTGGCATAGTACAATTCGGTGTGGTGTGTAGCGAGGCAAGATTTGCTTGACCGAGGTTGACGCCTTCGAGGATATCAATTTCGCCACCGTTAGGCCAGGGCCCCTGTTGACTCAATGTCCACCATGCAGGCCACGTTGAACAGCCCTCGGGCATGTGTGCTATGTCGAGGACCAACAAGACGTCATCGTAGGCGGCTTTCGAGTGTATGCGTACACTGTCTCGTCCGCGGGCAGATTTGGCAACTTTGTTCATGTCATCAGCGCGCATGACAAGCTTCGAGTCCGAAACTGCGAAACATTGAGCATACAAAATTGTGCACAGAATGAGACACATGCCGAAAGTCAGATTATTTTTGAGAGCTGTAGCTTGGTCGACAAAGTTGACACGGCCGTGCGTCGGATCGTCTGCTGTCTCCCAGGAATAATTATCTAGAAAGTCATGGCCGACATGTGAGGCGATCAAATTGTAGGTCACAGTCAAGGATGGGAGCAGTGACCGGGCGTTGACCACCGCCAAGGAAGCGAGTGCGAGTATTGCACATCTAGTATACATCGTTGATAAAGCAAGGACAGGATCCGGTTGTTCTGACTGAAAGCCAGCGGAAAAGGAGCGGAAGGGAGCAGGAGTCAGAGGATTAACAAACTGACCTGGTTCTAATGTGAATGCCAGTACGACCAACGGCTCAGGCTGAACATGAATTAGTGTCAATGGAATTCAAGTTCAAGCTATGCGGTAGCCTTTGGTTGGCTTTCGGTAGAATAACGGCATTGTCAAAGACATTCCGAGACTGAAATGAACAGTGAGTAAGTGGCAGTCAAACTTGGTCTGATAGACAGCTTGACACTGGCAGTGCGGCGGTTTCGGAGTTTTGCCACAAGCTAAACTAATCAAAATGTGATTGCACAAATTCAACACCGGTCAACGGAAATCATGATCAATAATCGAAAATCAGTAACACATTCTCAGTTTCTTATTGGTGAACAGGTACGCAACGGAAACATACAGATCGAGGTAAACAATTCTAAGATGTATAGGAAGATACGGTATAAATCAGGAAAGCTACAGAGAACAGAACGTAGAAAGCTTGATGCCGACGAGCTGACGAGATAAAATAAACAGATAGAAAATCCTAGTATCACATCGTAGATGGTCATGAAATCAAGATCTGGAAAATAAATACGCTTAGAATCCCGTGGCAGACACAATAGATGGTGCGACAGATCCGTGCCGCTGGCGCTCCCATAGTTTGTCCTTTGCGCGGACCTCGATGTTCTCAAAGGCGGCGCTCTGCGACAATTTCACGCAGTCTCGCGTTCCAAGGACAAGCAGCTCGAAGAAAAACGCAGACGCTGCACGCCGAGAAGCTTTTTCCGTCATCCTGCGGAAGCTCATGACACGCTCCTCGTCATCCTCGCGGTCTTCGGGTTTCAGTTCCTTGCGAATGATACCGAGTGCCTTTACTGTGTTTTTGCTATATCCTGTGCCTTCACCATCTCCGGCAGCCTCCTGAGCCTGAGTGGGTGAGGGCCGCACATCGAAAGACGCGATGGGACACGTCAGATCAGCGTAGGTCTCTTCACCTTCTTCCCCGTCGACGGCTGGCGTGGACGATCGACTTTGTTCCGTCGCAGCACCTTTGCTTCGTACCACCCCCAATTCGTCCTGTGCCACCGGAAATTCGCCACCAACATCCATCTGAAACTCGTCCAAACCGCCCGTCATGTCGCCAAAGTCGAAGCCACCGTCAGGAGCCATACTTGCACGACCGCCAAGGGCTTCACTAGCAAGGGCGATGCTTGGAGCAATACTGGCATCTCGCCGACCTTGTTCGACCTGCTCATCCTCATGTATGCTCCCCTCAACCCTAGGTTTCTTCCTCCCTGCCTTGTCAGGGGATGCACCCCTCTTCTTCGATGGCAGGCTGGTCTGTAGAGGACGCATGAAAAGCTCGGATAGTTCGGGTGCTAGTCCAGGGGGTCCAGCAAGGAAGAATGTCCCTTCGGGAGTGACCTTCGTGGGAAGAAAGTAGGCAAGGGGATCCTCGCGGATCTCCATAAGCCGCATCATCATCGCGGAGCGCGGGAGAGATGGGTGTTCTGCAAGGATATCACTGACATCCTTGACAACAGGAGCACCTAGACCACGACCAGCTCTAGCTCCAGGGCCATCGGTGAGCTCAGTCACAGCATCAATAATTTGCTTCTTTTCTTTGGGCTTGCGCTTAGCCTTTGCAGCGACTTGATCGTCAGCTAATTCTTGTGCGGCTGCTTTTGGTGTGAGGAGAAGCTCAGGCGGCGGTGTTTGCGGAGGCTCGGTGAGCGGAGAGGCTGTTTACTGAACGTCAAAAAAAACTCAAGCAGACAGTATGCAGGCACGGCGTACACATTCGAGAAGGAGACCTGGTTTGTCCGGGAGTCTTTTCACGATCGCTCAAGGGGCGGTCCCCGAAATCGATACCCAAGTCGATGTCCATACCTCCCATGTCTGGACCAAAGCCCATGTCCACGTCCATGTCGGCGCCAAACGGATGTTCGGAGGGTTCTCTACTTATGTTCGAAAAGAAGTCTTCGCCCTCTCCACCTTTCCCCATCATTCTAGAGTCCAACGACTCTCTGGCACTTCGTGGAGTCGGAGCATCACGACCAACTTCTACGCTCCCATCGATAACGCTGACCGGTCCGTCTCCAAAGTCAAGACCAAGATCAAGCTCCCCAAAGTCCTGTGAACCGATACCATCTGATGGACCAAGGTCGAAACCATAGCCAGGATCATCAAGGTCGAATTGCAGGTCGTCGGCGGTTTGAAGGGTGATATCTGCTTGTCGTGCAACATGATGACCCTGAGGTTCGGCGATACGATCTTCAAAATCGATATCCCTGGCTCAGCGCATGAGTAAGGGGGACAAGAGACGAAAGAACGCATGAGATCTCACCAGTTGATATCAGGAAGCAAAACATCCAGGTCAAGATTTCCGCTTTGAAGTGTAATGGCATTGCGGTTGACAGCCAGTTGGTCCTCCGTCATATCAACAACACCTGGGCGGAATGCCTGGAACACGATCAACATTTATTTGAAACCAAAAACACAAGGCATCACCATCTTGATTTTCAGAAGAGCCTCGTTACAGTCATCCAATAGATATTTCGCTTTGCGACTGTAGATTCGAACAACACCGAGCAATAACTGGCCACTAAGACGCAGTGCCATGACTTCGACCTCCTGTCCCATGATGGCGTCTGGGATTAGGGTAAAGCGTCATGTAACGCGTCAAAAGCATACGAATAATGACGCACCCGCTGCCTGTTCAATATCCGTCTGTAGCGTCTGTGTTTTGGAGAGTTTTCTCTCCATATGCGCGGCTAGCCATACTTTAGCAAGTGGCCCACGGCGCGATAAAATAGCTTCTGAGTAAAACTTTTCCGGAGTGAGTGACCGCTAGGTAGTTTGGGAAGTAGACTATCACGCACCATGATAATCCAAGTTTTAGATGATATACAAGAAATGAAAAGAGAAGGTGTTGACCAGGCACCCGTCGCGGTTCAGAACAACTTGGTCAGGTGGTGGCTGTGTTGTGGTGGAAGCTTATTGAACTGTATTTGGCCCATTGATTCAGACCTTTTACAGATTTTTGTGGACGCGGGACAGGCCACAGTCAAAGATGCTGGCCTCCACATCGCGAAACTCTCTTAAGAGAGTCTCCAGGAAGGCTGCGCTATGGTCTTCCCAGTCAGAGTGCACCGGAGTGTTGCATGTGCCCTTTTTTCGTGAGTCAATTCGATCACTTGTTGGCAAACGCGGTTTTGAACCCAATGTAGGATGTCAGAGCACCCAACAGCAGGTTGCAGCAAATTCTGCTCCACGTTCGAGCTCGTCTACACTCCGGAATAAACCATGGTCCTTCATTCCCGATCAAACTTTTCAGGGGACCGCACGCAGTAGTGCTATTGCGCGCTACCAGTTCCGGTCTACAACGATTGCCAATGCCAAGAAAACCATAGATGCTCTCAGAATGTGCAGAGAAATGAAGCATGAAGGCGTAAAACCGGACATCATCATCTATAATAACCTGCTGGCATGTCTAGCGGAAGACTGTCATGTAGTAGAGGCTTGGGCTGTTGTCGAAGACATGACTTCCATGGGGATTGCACCCGACCGACACACTTTTAATCACCTCATACATGTGCGTTCGTGTTTCTTTGGCCACTGTACCTTACCTTATTGTTCCATCATTGAATCCAGGCGTCACGTCGGCTGCAGTCATCAGTTATGTGGGACATCATCGACAAGATGGAAGCAGGGAATATCCCTCCGAACGAACAAACATTTCAGCTAATAATCCAACGCCAAACAACATCAGACAAAAGAAATATCGAATTTGCACTGCAGTGCATGTATGAGATGGGGACCCGGGGGCTCGCCATTGAGCTCACGATATCTCAGGACGTGATACGAACGGCGACAGAACTCGGCTTTTCCCGACTCGCTGTCGACCTGGCGGAGAATTTCGAAGCTACCTCCGTCCGGAGATTAAGCCCGGAAACATGGATGAGATGTCTAGCATCGTCTGCAGAGGGTCTCTACGTGTGTGGTATTTCTACTCTTTATCGTTTCCATCTAACATTTGATTGGAAGGCTGAAGGTGTTCAACGATGCTGGGACAAGGTTGTGGGCGACCTTAATGTCACACCAGACGAAGGCCTCTGTCTCGATGTTCTCCACACTGCTGCACGTCGCGGACTCTCTGAGCTCGCAGCAGACGTCATTCGCGTCCTTAGACTTCTGGGTGCTGACTGGCAAGAATACCACTTTGCACCCCTCGTGGAAGCACTGTGTAATGCTGGCAAGCTCAAAGACGCGTTCGGCACACTCGACTTGATGCGAAGTAGTAACATCTTCCCTACTGCAACAACTGCCCAGCCGATATACGACTTCCTGAAGCAGGACATTGACAAGGTGGATAGCGCTTGGGAACTGCTTGACCAGCTGCGAAATGAAGGGAAGACGATCGACAGGACCGCCATCAACGCCATCATCCGCGCTGCCATATCACTCTCAGATCTGCAGCGTGCCGTAGGCGCTTACAAATCTTTCCCCGACTACAAATGTGTCCCTGACATCGACACCTTCAACTCCCTCCTTTCGGGCTGTATCGCGGCCAGTCACCGTGAGCTCGGAGACAGACTGCTCCTGGAGCTGAAGGAGTTGGGCATCAAGCCAGATGCAACCACCTACGAGCGGATCATCATCCTTTGCCTCACACAGGCTTCATATGAGGATGCGTTCTTCTATCTCGAGGAAATGAAAGCGCAGAAGTTCGTACCGCCACGAAGCGTTTACGATGCCATCATTCGCACTTGCGTCGCTGCCGGTGATTCGCGGTACACGCTAGCACTGGACGAGCTTAAGCAGTGTGGATACACCGTTTCGCATAGCCTGCAGGAGTTCATTGACTCTGGAGGACGAGAGTCACGGGCGAGGTCATAGCGTTGATGTTCGTTAAGTTACATTCGTCGTCGATAGGTAGCTCTATCTACATAATTTACATCCCAAGATGTGGAGTTCAGAATTGATGCTCTGTACCGCTCCACGGAACTGTGCGTGATTTCGAAGACATCGAACCATGCATCGATCGTTCTACATTCGTATGACTGCGCGATTTGCCCAGGAGACTACGAAGCCGCCGGCGTGTCGGATTGTAAGAGTACACATGATAGCAATTGCCCCCACTTTATAAGTCGACCCCAGAAATAGGTCTGTTGGCTGCATTGGATGGACCCTGACAAGAGCAGCACCACAAGAAAAACTGCACAAACACGGCTGATGATCCGTCGCGGACCGTCGGGCTTGAGACTCAGAGCTCCCCATTCCTGATCGCCCTGACCAGTTGTGGCTACCTGCCAAACGGTTCAACATATTCGTGCATTGCGATATATATATCTCAGACGAGCAGCTACTTGAAAAGCAAATACAGCTACCCCACCCACCCCCTTTTTCTCTATTGCGACAACCTGCCCCGCCATCCCAGACGACTCAGCACCGTGATTTGTACAATTTTTCCCCACCTCGCTTGCTACACACCACGTCTACTTCCTTTTGGCCTCTCCGCCTGTACTCGCAGAGACAGGTTCTTCGTCCTCCCACGGGCTGAAGTTGGGCTTACGAATCAATGGCAGCGACTGCAGCCACGCAGGTAAAACAACTCCCTTCCCTCCGAACGCCGGCACCGGCTGCGCCTCAGCATTAACGTGCGCTGGAGAAGATGGGATACTTCCTACATCGCTAAGGCTCGGCAGACGCTCGAGGCTCGTATTGGTCGAACCACCAAGCGCGCGTTGAAGCGCTTCACGTTCTGCTCGAGAGGGAGCAAAGGCGCGAAGGAGGGCAGATGGTGTCGAGGAATTGCTGGTCATGAGCCCATTGGGGTTCAGCGCATCATAGCAAACTGTGGGAGGGGCGCTGGCGGGTTCAGACGGAGCCGGAACGTGTCGTCGCGGAAGCCGGAAAACCTTGGCATCAGGATTAAGACCCTTGCGTTGCTTATCTTTGGCAGATGTTGAGAACCACCTGCGCGGTCCAGAATCCAACCCTATGGTGCCGGGATCATTGGCAAGTGTGTTGTCCAACGCACGTACAGCCGAGGGATCAGAGTTCGTGCGGTGAGGCATGCCCATTTGGTCATACATGGCCTGACTGTGGTGGCGAACTTCGAAAGGATCATACTCGACGTCCATTTCTTGTGCGGGCGAAGGTCCAGTGAGGGACACAGGTGACGCACTGAGTGTACCTACAGCTCTTCCGATGCCTCGCCAGTCTCCAGAGGGGGAGTCTAGCACGCTAATGAGGCTGCTTGGAATGAATGCTGAAGACGGCGTTTGAACATCAAAGGGAGAAAATGTCGAAGTCGTTTGGGGGGAGAAATAACCGTAAGCAGCTTGACCAGGTTGTGACGGATGCGCGAGGGAAGCGATGTCGTCATCAAAGATGGCGTAACCCTTGGAACGACGCGAAACAGCACCTGTCTCACTTGCAGTGGGGCTGAAATTTGATAGCGATCCCAATGAAAGTCGTGGAGGTCTGGGAGAGCGAGAAAGATCTGTTGAATTAAGACTGTTCTGTGCGTGTTCCGAAGTCCCAGGTGAGGAGTGGACATCCGACGGATCATCAAAGGGACTGAAAGTCGAAGACCAGGAGTTTGTATCTGCTTGACCGATGTCAAACTCATTTGCGTTGCCGTGACCGTTAGTGTGACCGTATTGCTCTTGGGCATGGCTGCTGCTCAGAACCTGCATAGGGACGAATATTGGTTCCTGCTTCAGAACCTCCGTCCGTTCCCTAGCTGCACTCAGTCGCTCGCGGGCCTCCGCTATTTTACCCTCGAGCTCCTTCGCCCGCGTGCTAAGTGCGGTGACGACATCCTCAGCAACCCGAACCTCCTTCTTCTTCGCCTCAAGCTCCCGCTCCAGTTCCTGTGCTAGGCTGGCGTCCTCGATCTCAGCTTCTTCAAGTAAAGTCGCTCTGTCTGTCTCGGTTTGCTCCTTTAGCCTGCCAATTTCATTCTCCAGTTCCTCGATGCGCCTTACAGCGCCCTCCTTCACACCACGGGCAGTCTTCAGCTTCTTCTCGGCATCTCTTCTCCCTGTTTCAGCAGAGCGTCGTGCATCCTCAAGCATTTTGGCACGAGCTTTGCCTTCGGCTTTGCGTTGATCTTCATCGCGCTTACGTAGGCGCAACTCTGCCAATTCAGCCTCCAGTGCATCATGAGACGCAGTGGCCGCGGTCTGAGCGTCGCAAATTTGGTTATCGAGTTCTGCCACAAAAGCCTGCTGGGCAGTGATTTGCCTCAAGACTTCCGCGATCATCGGCGAGTCATCGATGGATACAGATCTCGAAGGGCCGCATGAAATGGTTTGAGCAGCAGGTGGTACATAGACACCAATGCAAGTCTGGTCGGAAACCGGTTGAGATACTGGAGGATTGTGCTCGTGCGTTCGGTGATCTGTGTGCAGAGGAAGTGAAGCCGATTTGGGAAGTGGCGGAGGCGTCGAGTTGCGCCGAGGAACTAATCCAAGGCGCGGCGCGAAACGTTCACGATTGCGCAACCTAGGCGGGGTGCCACGTGAAGGAAGCCTGGGACATGGAACCGACTTTGCAAACGGAAGACCTTCTTTCTGGATTAAGAAAGAAGGAGAGACACGAGATCAAAAAAACATACCGTTGAATTCGTTGAGCTTATCAAGAGCCTTAAAGCCGAGTATTCCAGAGCTCCAGCCCTCGGCGTCCTTTGATCGGATCATGGCATCATGATACCACGACTCAACAAGACCGCCGCGCCACCAGTGACCAAACGAACCAATAAACCAAGAATCTGAAACTACAGATCCATCATGATCAACGCCAGACAAATTCCCGTTACCATGTGCACTAGCTGTGCTTGAACTACGTCCATGAACGCCAGCAGCTCCGCGGGTAGTGGCGATCGTGCAAATGCCAAAACTGTGGAAGACGTGCTTGGGGGTGCGTAGGGATACTGAAGCACGGTTTGCAAAGTGAAACGGAAGGGGCGTGCGGTCAGTCAATGTATTGCGGTCCACGGGACGCGAAGAGTATTGGGCATCAGTATCAGAAGATTCGTCTGTGGTATCATCAAGATGACTGAGGTGCTGGCGGAAGGATTGCTCAGTTAGATAAGCACGGAAAGATGTCTCTGAGGGATTTGTGAGATATGCTAGGGGTTTGTAGGTGCAATAAAGATGCAAGGCATGAACGATCAAATCGTGAACAATGATGACGATAGGTCGGAATAAGAGACAATGGAAAAGAAAATGGTCAGTGTGCAATCAAAGAGCTTGAACCACAATTTGCTCACCGAGTATAAGCACTACAGCAACAAATACAAGAACAAAGACGAACGACCTGAATTCGCTGCGAACATGGGCAGAGTCATCCCAAAAATACAAGGGGGTCCATAGGGAGATCAAGCCAAGTCCGCCGAAAGATAGGCTCATTAGCAAGATAGTCGATGGTCTTGATGACTTTGCGAGGTTGGGAAGATTGCGAGTGGGGTGGGTGTGATTAATGGCAGACACTGTTGCAAAGGGACAAGGCCGTCCCCGGAGTCAAATTGAATTGTACCTGTAAAAAGTGAGTTCAGCAAGTGAGTTGAATGCTTATAACAAGGAGCTCGCCGTCGTTTTGGGGATGAAGAACGTCGTCAACGATGATCACGTTGAGGAACGTTGAGAGTTTAGGAAGAAGAACAGCGCCCGCAATCAAAATGCCGGAGTCGGAATTTTGGTACGTAAATCAGTGCCACAGTTTCACAACAAAACTAAATTCGCTACTAATCTTAATCCACGATCATCCACACCGAGCCCTTTCCTAATGGTTTTTCCTAATGGTTTCCTTGACAAAATTGCAATTTAGGTCGTTTATTTAGTAGCACCGGTACCGTCAACCTCAAATTTTATTCTTTGCACTATCGATCCAATGAGCCGTTATCCATCGATTCCATCGCGATGAGCAATGCCTGCAGCCTGGGCCAAGAATTATGTCCTCGTTTTTACTTACCTTGGTTTTACATATTTCACAGAACATGATGTCGGCCACGAGCTAGACAACGTGTCTATATACCCGCAGAAAATTTACCCTGCAGTGATCTAAGTATGTACAGACTCCACTTCGCATGTCATTCATTCACACATCCACCCTGATCGATAGATGCACTACGACCATGCTAGTACATAACCACAACGTCTAGTAATGTCATTGACCAATCCTCCGGTTGAACTGTTGTAGCTCATGACAAAGTTCATGTCACTTGCCCTCATATTATGAGGTATGGTCTACCACAATATTCTATATTTATCCATTGCGTACTACTACTGAGAAGGAAATAATGCGCCAAGATCATGAAAACTTCCCATGAACTCTAGTGGTGCAATAAGGTGCAACCCGGGGCCGCATCCCGTGTGCTCTCTTTACAGTAACTCCTGCTTAGGCATTGGCCAGAGGACTACGGTGTAAGGAAAGACAGGTCATCTGTCGTTCGTGTTGCGTCACGAGTTGAGCCAGGAGAAAACCACATTAGTGGCTGATTAAATTCCGCTGGCAATATTGTGGAGAGGAATCAACCCATATCTTGTTAGTGTTGGAGCAGAAGCCCAGTAGCTATCGCTTCTCCTGCGGCCCGAAACCTAAACAGTCAAGTGTCACCATACGCAAGTGAGTAATTTCCATTACCCCACTTGTGTTCCTGGGCTCAACTGGGGCATGCTTCGTGCATGTGGTAAGGGGGATGTGCTTCAACAGACCTAGTTGGTTTTAGCTTTCTTTACCCTCTGTTGCTGCGGTGCTCGGTAACTCGTCTCTCTTGTAGTCTGCTTGAAGCTCTGGCTGACTACGAGGGGGTTGTCAGGTCGTTCAACATAGTTCCGTGTATGACGTTCCCCCATGATCCAGTTAATGTACCGGTACAATTGCCATTCGTCCCACCTTTCAAGTTTTGAATGTCCAGCCAGATTCCATACTTGGAGATGATCGGCGCAGTCTGTTTTCAAATTCGGCTCCTCCTTTGCCTCAAGGGGTCTGCATGTACGAGAAATCGCCCCCCACAACCTATTCGCTTTCTCATTGTTTCAGAAAATGTCCGATTGGAACAAGGATCAGTGGGGAGTACAACAGGGACGGGGGTATCCGCCGTTCTATGCACATGGTGGGGAGCCAAAGCCAGGACACTCTCAACCATATGCGCAACCAGTCGTTCAGCCGCAGTACGATCCACAAGCATTCGGAAACCAAAAATCTCCATTCGATGACGGTCGGTTTCAACCGAAGAAGCGGGTCAATGATATTTTCTTTCTGATCCTTTTCATTCTGCAGGTCAGTGCATGTTATTTCGTGGTGCACTCCTTCTGACGCCACAGTAGTTTGCAGGGTTCGTTGCGCTTTCAGGGATTGCTCTCTCAGAATACGTGTCGGGTAATGGGCTTGGAGGTGGTGTAGGAAATGGCTCTCAGGTCGGCTCGTCGGTGACCCTCAATCGGTGTGTTGATTGCGCACATTCATCGGTATATTTAAACTAATGTTGACTGCGTCAGACATACGGTCTATCTTCTGCTGTTTGTCACCGCAGCAGCTCTTGTCCTGTCTATGGCCTACCTGATGCTCGCACGCCTCTTTACACGGGCCTTGATGCACATTACTCTCATTCTGTCTATCATACTTAACATGTACGCCCACTCTAACGCCTTCTAGTGTTTTGCTGATCCTTTCACTAGCGGCATTTGCATCTATTACTGGACTACTGGCTACTATTGTGAGCAATTTGAACATCGGTCACCTATTTATTGACCATAAGACCATAGCTGGTGCCATCATATTCACTATCATTGCTTTATTCTCGATCTTTGCCTATTTTGGCTTTAGGTCCCGCATTCCGCTAGCATCCCTCCTCCTGCAAGTAGTAATAGATGTCTCCAAGCACCACAAGAGCGTCTATGTTGTTGCCTTCATCGCCTTGATCTTGCAAGCTGCCCTGAGTGTGTAAGTCGCTGTCGTCACGCTCAAAGAAGTTTTGCTGAGTACTATCACAGGTGGTTTTCATATACACTGATTGCGATGCAAGTGTTTCAGTTTGCTGAGCAAACTTCAGTTTCTCTAACACATTTATAGTTACACGAAATGGACACCTGGCAATCCAAGTAAGTTTACATTCTCAATAAATTCAATCAAGTTCGAATGATCACACAGGTTGCGATAACGGAACATCTTGTTCTGGGAGCACTGTAGCAGGCCTAGTATTCTACGCAGTATTCTCATATCTCTGGACATCTCAAGTCATTGGTAACGTCGCCTTAGCCACTCTTGCTGGTGGAGCGTATGGAAGTGAGCTTAGTCGGATGACTCGATTGATTTCGATATCTTATATGCATTACAGGTTGGTATTACTTCGGGCCTCGAGAGCAAGGACAAATGGTAGCGTTCTGGTTCATGCGCCCTCACAAGTCGTGCTTACACATGGATTTTCAGCCAAAGCATCCGACCCTCAGCGCTTTTGGACGTGCTTCGACGCTCTCTCTTGGGTCAATAGCATTCGGATCCCTTATTGTCACTATTCTGGAAGTCGTCCGCCTCATTTTGAACGCTGCGAGGAACAACGCAAATGCGCAAGGGAGTTGTGAGTGTTAATCTGAATCTTCCCTACATCGGCATTAGATGACGACCTTTCACCAGTTGTGGAGGCGTGTCTTGCATGCTGCGCAGAGTTCTTCGTTGGATGTATTGAAGGAATGGTAAGGTACTTCAATAGATATGCCTACATCGAAATTGGTAAGCTACTTCAGTTGGTCCGGTTATAATTACCAGTAACCGAAACGTTACCAGCACTCTATGGAAAGCCCTACATTCGAGCAGCGAAAGACACTTGGACTATGTTCATGGATCGTGGTACGCTCCGTCATTGTTTTGTTTTTCGTAAGCACTCAGAATGCCCAATATTTTAGGGATTGATGCGCTTGTCAACGATTCTTTAGTTGGCATGAGTGAGTCACCAGTTGCGGATGCTGACGTCTTCTGATCGTATCCGACAGCTTTGATGTGGGGAGCGTATGTCATCGGGCTTCTATGCTCACTCTTTGGGTATCTATACCTGCGCCGTGCGTGCTGCTCTATCGTACTGAAGAAACTAATACCATCGTAACTGCACAGTGACGCACCCCGCCTACAACGCCGATGGGCAATACACAGCACCGGTAGTCTTGTTTGCATTCCTCATTGGATTGCAATGTTGTGCGTACTTTTTTTTTTGGTTGCCTCGATAGTTCTCCATGATGATTTTGCAGCATTGACAATGTCAACTGCCATCGAGGCTGGTGTATCTACTATGTATGTGCAACCTCTGTGTATGTGGTGACCCGCTGATTTTATCGAAAACTAGCTTCGTAGGTCTCGGTGAAGATCCGCAGATATTAGCTACGCGCGCACCTGACCTATTTGGGGTGAGAGCTTCGATGTCCAGCACGTCTTTGCCTGATCAGCTTGCAGCTTATTGCTCTTACCTATCCTCGTGTTGTTCAGGGGGTACCAAGGGTCTGACGGCCTCGAGAGACGTTTTGCGAAGGTCCATGTCACATGTACTTCGAGACTTCTCGTATGTCGACATGAACACGTTCTGTTTCATAGGGAAAACTTTAAGTATGAGCGCGAAGGCCGGATCCTCGCCGATAAGTTAGGAGTTACAGTGAACCGAACTACGTCATCCGGCTATGCTAGTGACCGGTCCGAGATGGTGGAAGCTTTTGTGACTATAACGAGGATCACCGGACTTGAAATGTCTCCATGATGCTGTTTCGACTGTGTCTGGCTGCAGGTTGGTTTATCAATCACAACGGCTGTTTTCCTTGCGATATCCTAGGGGAGGTGGTTTGCTGCCAGTAAGTGACCGTGAGCCAGGCTTATCCCCAGCTTCCTGAAACCGCCGAATGGCATGTTTCGCTTACTATGATATAGTCGGTGCGTACGAAGTTTCTTATGGTGAATGAATCCCGTGGCCCTGGGTCGAGCTGCCCTTTGGACTGTGCTCGCGTGTTTTTGTTCTTGATCATGGAGCGCACGGATCATATTGGGGGTAATCGGTTTGAACGTCAGTACTATCTGCGCGATTTACGCAAGTATCCATTCTTCCATGCAAGCTGTCAGCTCACCTGATATGCTCCTTCAGGAATAACCGGAACCTTGGTCAGAACCTTTAAGTAATCCCAGGGTGAGTACGAGACGTTCTTACACTTGAGGAAGGAGCGTAACGAAAGCACATCATTTTAGGGTACTATTCGCTCAACTCGTTTCTTCCATGCAAGCTGTCACGCCATCTTGATTCTCCTTCAGGAATAAATGGCACCTAACTCGCCTGCCCCTCAACCGGAACCCGGACAAAGTGTAGTATAAGAGGCTCAGCTCATCACCACAGGGTGCATCCCCATCTTCCTCGAAAGCTCTTCACTGTTTTCAAACCACAATCATGAGTCACGGACAGAACGATGCCCAGAATCCTACCATCACTACTGCATCGAGTGTGTACGTGGTTCCATGGGATGGAGTATACCTGATCCAAAACGTCGGCTACCACGAGCAAAATATAGGACTCAAGCGTCTTGATATCATCAATAATGTTGTTGGCCGTCACGAGGATTCAGTTGATCCACCCATCAGGGTAGGTTCTTGAATAGATACCTCATTACACTGCCGTTCAGTTCTCGTAACCCCTGCAGTGGGACATTAAAGCCACCAGCGTAGGCGAGGACAGCAAGATAACCATCAAGTCCGGCTCCTCCTACATCGGTGCTAACGTGAGTTTCACTTCCCCTTATTCTAAAATTTGATGTTAACTTCGCCAAGTCTGAGAAAGTGGTTTATGGTGCCACACCCTATGAATGGAATGTATCATACCGCGATGTCGGCAGGTGGATGTGAGTATGACATATATCATTTGTCTGTTTTGCGTAACCTGGCTTTTCAGCATCCGTGACACTAGGTCAAACTTGTTGTTGTACTTGCCCAACGGGAATGATGGAACAGAGGTACGGCAATTCAACTTGTGCTGTTGAACAACATCACACTTTGTCCCTTAGGTCAAACTCATGCAGGATCAAGGAGACGACAGATCATACTGGAGGTTCATTCCTATTAGACCCCCCTCAAATTGATTGGTGCGATGCACTGAGATTCTTAGTGTTGATGTGGTGTCTGCGTTGGCGTAGGTTGGCGTGTACGTTAGTAGAAGCGCTCTCAAGTGAGCGGGCAATGAAAGGCGACGAGTGATATGTAGTGAGTGATCTGTGATCGCAAACTTGGGACCAGTGGTCTCGGCTCATCATCCTTGAAAGCCATTCACTGTTTTTAAACTACCATCGTGAGTTACAGCTCAACGTTCAGGGGGTCGCCGACTGATGTGGTTCAAGTTCACATACCGACTCATATGGTGACTTGAATGATTCAGGGGGCGACACATATATATGATATGGTTCAAGTTCACATGACTTATACGGTAATTTTCTCGTGCTCTCTTCAACTACTATTTCTACCGCCACCACAACAAGCGTGTGCGTGGTTCCATGGGATGCAGTACGCCTGATCCAGAGTGTCCGCTACTTCGAGCAAAAGGTAGAGTTTAAGGACCATGACATCATTGTCGTCGGCCGCCACAAGGGTTCGGTTGATCCGCGCATCAAAGTAGGTCCTTGAATAGATATCATATTGCATTGCCTTTCAGTTCTCATGGTCTCTGTAATGGGACATCAAAGCCGCCAGCGCAGGACGAGGACAGCCAGATAGCTATCCAGTCCGGCTCCTATTATGTCGGCGTTGACGTGAGTTTCACTCGCAATATTGGGACCAGTGCTACTGGAGACCAGGGTCGAGTGCGTTTGGGTTCGTAGCATCAATCACCGTGACACCGAACTGGGGATGGATCCAACGCTCCACGACAGCATAGCCAGCTAGCATAGGACATCACAATATATCATCCACATGCATGATGTCCAAGTTGACATTACTGATCTGGGGTGAGATATCATGATATGTATATATTTTTGGTGCTGGAATGGAGCAAAAACATGACCTGTCCCAGGGAGGATTCGAACTTCCGGCTTCGCAGATTGGAGTGGCCACAATGCGATGATTTAACCACTAATCGACAAGGACGCTAGCCATTGGTCACTATCTATACATCAAGGGGGGTCTGGAGGTCTACGGAGTATTCGGTCCGCCTCGAACCAGCAGTGGAAATCCAAGGAGAGTCGTACTCTGGGGCCGCAGTCGACTGGTATGTGAGACAGTCGTCTAGCTACGTCGAGTACGGAGACTACAAACTTTAGTGGATCGAAGCGGCCCACAAAAGGCACTCCTAGATTGATAGACGCGACAGACGACATCACGATTTTGAAATGTTCTATGAATACATATCATGGTCCCCGTAGCTTGGGACTCACTTAGAAGTTAATCTGATGTGACAAGAGGCGTTCGCCAAAACGGCTGCGAAACAACGATATAACGGTTAGACAATGCGAGATTTCCGCATTTCCTTCCAAGGATTGCTCTCTGCCGGAGCTTAGAGGCCCGTTGAGATATTTGCGCGAATGGTTGAAGATATCGCCTGGCGCCAAACTCCGGGGTTTGATTCTTACATAATAAAAACAATAAAAGGCCATGACAAGAATTTGTGGAGCGCGTCAGGAAACTACCTTGCCCACTTGCAATCACCCTTCAAAACCTCTGTTGTCATGAGGAAAACCTCGTACGCAGCGACCTTTGCCGCTGTTCTCATTATTCTTGTCATCGTAAGTTCATCAGCTCGCGTTCTCTGAAATACACTCATCCAGGGGTTTTCTAGAACATATTATCTGCACGCCTCCCGGACTGGTTCGCCAGAGAACGTTTTAACCGCGAAACGCCAGCCTGACATTTCATTTGAAGGCTTATTGCTAGATATGACATAGCGAACGCCCAGGTCACCGTTCGCTATGGGTTGATGGAACGTTGCGAACGCTCCACCATCAGCTTTCCTGGCCCTAGCAAAGGCGGTCATCTAGAATACACCGATTACGAATGTCGTGCATTTCCACTCCGTGTAAAGGACAAGTGTGATGGCGAAAACCGCCTGTTCTGTGCTCTGTGGACCTCGGCTCAATATTTCACCGAGCTTGGCATCGGTTTTGCCGCCATGGGTCTCGCCGCTTTGGTCATTGGCGTGAGCACACACTCCAGGCGGAGAAGGGTTTGGAGAGCTGTGGCTGGGCTAGTCATACTGCATGGTTAGTCTTTGTGAGCCACACGTCATCATGAGGCATCATCGCATTCCGCAGCTGTCTTTCAACTTATAACCTTCATCCTCGTCACCGAGCTCTACCGCAAGGACCGTTTCCCAGCATTTGAGCACGCTAAGCCTGGTTAGTTTTTGCTGCGCTTTCTCGTATTGCTGGCTCTAATGCGTCCTTCAAAGGTGTTGGCTACGTTTTAAACGCTGTTTCTTGGGTTTCAGGTTTTGCCGTAGGAGCTGGTGTCATTATAACCGGTATAGCTGCAGATCGCGGCCATAAGTGGGCTGCTGGTAACAGAGCATACCGACCCATTCGAGGTTATGGTGCAACTCCATAGTTCACTTCCTCTCCGCAAGCACACTTGTCAATGACGCTCTATTTTTGTTTTACTTGTACCGTATTTGGATACCTGCACGCAACATGTAAATATTGTCCATTGGATATTGAATGAATATTGATTCAAGTCGCCCTCAGGCTTATTCGTAAAGGTGCGATTGTCAAAGCAAGATGTATGCAAAACAACAAAATACCAAACATTAGATCTTATAAGCCCTCTTCTGGATAATCAACCTGGTCATATAGCCTCAACGTCTCATTCCAGTCCCTCTTCCGCCTCCTCCTCACAGAGAAGTACTTCGCCCCGCTGTCCCAGGTGCTCCTCACCCGACCCTTCTGCTTACCCCCACTTCTGACGAAAAACTTCTCGGGATCATCCGGCAACCCCAAAGTCCCCACAGCGATGCTCATCAATCTTGCTTGCAGATCGCGCCTTGTTATTCGTATCTCGTTCAGCGTCTTCTTCCCCACACACAACAGCCTTGCCAGTGCCATAAAGGCGCGAAAAGCCGAAACAGCATCCTCCGTCCATCTCAGCGTCATCCACATCATAGCGGGGACGAGAAACGTGGTGATCGCGGCAGAAGGAAGCGTGAACAGAATGCAAGCAGCCCAGACGGATAGACCCGAGAATAGCCCGTAGACAAGCTTATATTGCGCGATTTCGTCAAAGGTGTCCCAGACTGGCCCGGTTCTCTTGAAATTACGGACGGCGATGAATGTGGTGATGAATACGGGTGTCCAGAGCATCAGGCCTGGAAGAGAGATGGTAAAGAGACATATGAACCACGTCAGTCGAATGACCATTCGCATGGTAATCGTTCGTAACGAGAGGGGGCGCGCAATCCGGTCGTCTTTGATACCCCAGTGAACAAGTCGGTCTTGGTATGTCTTTTGACGGTAATTTAGAAATTGGTACAACCGTTAAAAAGTTTTATTACCTTGAGGTCACGACGCAGTTGGTTGAGCTCAATGTCCTCACTGGTAAAGTCAATAGATTGGTCTTCAGCACTAGTACGCTTGCTCTTTTGGGTATCGTCGGAAGCTTTGAAGGCCTCGACAAATGTTCTGGTGACTCGCACATAATCTCCCAGGCTCATACGAGTCCCAAGAGGTGCATATATGCGTGTTGCCATCTTTGCGGACCTCACAAATTCCCAAGATGGCGAGTCAATCGTCCGGGAACTAATTTGTTGATGCATCCGTGCAGTTAGACCCCGGATTTCGTCATAGTGAACAGGAGCGAGGAGCTCTGGATTGTCCTGAACCACAGGTCATTGAGTGAGGTGTCTTAAAGAAACAAATATTGATATTCACGCACTTTGGGAGTGAACGTCATTGGGGGGTTGAATGTCACTAGGACATCTGACCTGAAATGTTGTCGATGCCTACAATTTCACGCGATCAGCAACTAGGTCGAAATGTGAGAGTGGCTGATTACATGTAAGTGACTGAACACGTCAGAATGGAAACGGAAAAGTTTGGATCATCACGATTACGGCTCAGGACATCCGAAACAATGCGAGCCACTAGAAGATAGGTGAAGCAGGCATTAGCAGGTATAAATCAGTCGACAAACCTCCTGTCTTAAGCGGGGCTATAGTGGGGTGATAGCGACTTGCCCCCTCCGGAAATAAACAAACTGCGTCTCCAAGTTCGAGTGCCTGTTAGATTTAATTGAACTTTGAGATCCCCTATGTAAATACTATGGGCGCATCTTACATCCATGAGCTTATCCATGGTTTGACTGTTATCAACCTCGCTGTTATTATAATCTTTGCGCCGCTTTATAGGTACTGTGCCTGCGGATTCAATCAGCCAACTGGTAAATGTCCGATGGCCGAATTGGGTGGATTTTGCCGTGAGACGGAGCATATTACGCGTCTGCACGGCAATGAGTCAGTTTTGTTTCAGTAACACGCCGGGTTCAAGGTTGTGGTTGCTTACTCTGGACGGCATAGAGGTTACCATAAGACTGACGTATACAGACTATGAGTTAACGCGCTTGCACGAGGCAAAGTGTTCTCACAGTGCATCCGTTAGGGAATTGGAATGGTTGGCGCAGACAATGCTGAGTCGCAATACCATTTAGTCAATGGACGACAACCTGACAGAGAACAGACCATGGTTGCCCGGTCTTTGGTATAAGATCAGCATTCTCGACAACGATGGTCCCATAGAATATCTTCAGCACAAACTTGAAGAGCAACCTAACGCCGCCGTTCCGAGTCAAATTGTGTTGACCTTGGTACGTTGCTGCCCTCACCGAACGAATATGTAAGACCAGGGCGTAGTAGAACCCTTGGGCATATTTATGCGAGTCTTGTCGTGATGGTCGTGTACATGAACTGAGGTGCGTTATGCGGAGGATCCAGGAAAGTGGAGTTTAAGAATAGACAAAGTACCTTCAAGTAGTCTTGTGTATTACATAATCAAAATTTTGATCAATGCCTCATGTCAGTCCATAGGACATTCAGTTACAAGTGATCTACACGCGATCGTCATGGAGGAGGCATTGGCCAAAATACGGCCTCACACGACCTCAAATCTTGCCCACCAGAAGGCACCAGCAAACCTGCTTCAAGCTTTAGAATCCACGTTCCAGGAAAAGCATGCGGATAGGACACCTACAGCTTATTTTGCTGCATTGATAACAACTCTCGATGGAAGCATTCAAAAGAAGGAGAATTCACTTGGGGATGGAGACGTACTACCCGCAGAATTGTATCTCCTTGCTCTAGTGGCTCCCTTCGTCCCCCCGCCAGTTATCCAGACCAACCTCAATACACTTCTCTCCCTGACCGCACCTCTTTTTCCTGCCTTGATGGCACATGCCCCTCCACTGAGGTCTCAGCTAACTCTTTACAATGCCATATTCAGAGCCCTTGACAAATCGCAGCTGGATGTTTCTGCAGTCCGCCAATCATTTGCGTCTATACTGCAATTATGTCTGGATCCGCGACCCAAAGTGCGCAAGAAAGCAGCTGACATCGTGAAAGATGTTCTTTCATTCCCACCGAGTCCATTAATCCGGCATCCTTATGCACAGCGGGTGGCTGAGTGGGCTCACATTGCGCTTCAGCAAGCAAGCTCGGGCGCCCTACCCAAATCAAAATCATCTGGAAAAGGATCCGATACCTCAGCTGCAGAAACAGCTATTCATCTCCTTGCATTCTTGCGCCCAGTACTTCCACATCTTCCCCTTGATGTATGTTAAATACCCTTTAAATCACCGTCTGCTAACTCAAATAATCGTAAAGGCCATTCCGCCCATCACCACCACACTTTTGACCCTCCCACGATTAGGAAACCCATACCTCTCCCAAGCTGCATACTCGATTCTCTCCGATCTTTTTACTGCGTCTACCACGACCGGCACTGCCAGTGCAATCGAACAAATTCCGGCTGTTTTAAATGCCGTACTGGAATCACCACCAGCAAAATCCGATAATTCCACCTCTCCATCCTGGATTCGTGTTCTTGGAGACGCCATGTTTGCCTATCATGTCGCGGATGCATCGGCCTGTGCCACCGAGTTCAATAAAGTGTGGAAGACGGTATGGTCGTACTTCGAGACGAAGCACACACCAACCCGCAAAGCTGTTGCGGAGTCACTGGCTTTAATGACAAAGTGCATCACGTCTTCCATAGTGCAAGACTCCATTTCAGACAGTGAAGCTGGTAAATCCCCCCTGCGAGGCATCATCTCGCAAATAACGAAAGCTCTCGACTCCCTGGCTTTTGCATCCGCGATGCCGGAGCTGCTCTCGGTTATTTCAGCTCTAGTCTCAAATCTGGGCGTTCGTTTAGAACCAACGAAGTCCACTACTGCTACAGAGGCTTTACTCATGCCTCTGGTGTCGAAAATCGCCGATCTGCGGGTCCAAAAAGGCTTTGAGCACAAGGAGGCTGCTGATGCTGTGCTCTCGACAGCTATGCGAGTAGTGGGTCCCGCTGTGCTTCTTGCCGTTATTCCTTTGAACCTAGAGCCGTCGGATCGGTGAGTCACTTCGAAACCGGGGGAAGGACTAAAGCTGAATATATATATTAGTCAAGCAGGCAAAGAACCGCGCGCGTTCCTTTTGCCTATGCTCAACCAACCTCACCCGTCGCTCCTTGGGCATTTTGTCTCATACTTCGTGCCCATGAGCGAGCGGATGTTCAATTTACAGCAAAAGGCCGATAGCGAAGGACGGCAATCAGAGGCGAAAGTGTGGAGTGTACTTGTCGCTCAGATATGGACTGGATTTGCAGGCTATTGCCATGCGCCTCCTGACCTCAAGACGGTGCGTGCGGCCCTTGTATAAAAAAGATTTATATTGATGGATATCATATAGGCCCTCACACCGGCATTCGCGCAACTCCTGTCTCAGCTACTTTACAGCCAACCTGATCTTCGGCCACCTGTACTACGGGGCTTGAAGGCTTTGATAGAGTCCAACAAGATAATCGCATCCCAGGTCGACACAGACATGGCAGAACCATCGAGATCGGACAACGCAATTACTCCCGAACAAGCTTCTCAGAACCTTGCTTTCCTCAAGACACAAGTAGAGAGTTGGTTTGCTGTCTTCTTCAACGTCTTCGGTAGCGTGGATAGGGATAATCGTGGTATGGTGGGTGACGTCATCGGTGTTTGGGCTGGACTCGCAGAAAAGCAAGACATTGCAAAAGCCTATCGGAAGGTCGTCGATCTTTTCCGCCAAAGCCTTCAACAATCAGACAATGGGAACACCACCGCAATGACGCAAGACCTTCTAATCCTCCTCCTCCCCTTCCTTGACGCGCAAGACGTCGCCGCTCTTTTCTCGACGTGCCTCGCGCAGGAAGTGCTGGGCCACAAGGACAACGGCGTACAAAAGCGTGGTTACAAGATCCTAGCGAAGCTTCTGGAGAACGGAAAAGTAGAAGGAGATGCGCTCAAGACTTTCCAAAGTCTAGACGAGCTTTCCGTTGGGCTTGCACCTGCTGCAAAGAAAGATCGGTTCATCTTGCTTTCTCTGCTGATACTTCGGGTTCCTAGCGAGTCTTTACACATTATCCCTTCGCTTATCCCAGAAGCTGTCTTGGGTACGAAGGAGCCATCAGAGAAAGCCCGGTCTGCGGCTTTCGAGCTCATTGTTGCTATGGGTCAAAAGATGAGCCAGGGTGGTATCGTGAAGAGAAGCATGGTCGATGGAATGGATGAAGATGGCGCCGAAGGTGAGTCAAAGATGGAGTGCTAATCTCAGCTATTGACATCCTTTTTGTAGCGCAAGCGAGCATTAACGAGTACATGACCATGGTTGCAGGAGGCTTAGCAGGAGCTTCGCCGCACATGATCAGTGCGACTGTAACAGCCGTCTCCCGTCTCGTTTTCGAGTTCAGAGGTATGTTTGACGGAGTCGTGATTGCAGCCTATTTAACATTTGAGCAGAATCCATCGACACACAGATGCAGACAGAGATCTTCACGACTCTTCTGGTTTTCCTCTCTTCTGCCAACCGTGAGATTATCAAGTCTACGCTCGGGTACATCAAGCTTGCGATTCATACATTGCCTGTTGAAATGCTACGACCACATCTAAAAGAACTCGTCCCTGCACTCCTCGCCTGGTCGCACGATCACAAGAACCACTTCAAGGCAAAGGTTCGCCATATCTTCGAGCGAATGATTAGAAGGTTCGGGTGGAATGACGTGTATCAAGCCGCGGGTGAGGACCAGGCCGCGAAGGTGTTGGTGAACATCAAGAAACGGAAGGAAAGAGCTAAAAGGAAGAGAGCTCGAGAGGATGATGACGAAGAGGAGGAGGTTGGTTTTCCTGCCCGTCTACCATTCTATATCGCTCATGATAATACCCAGACGACAAAAGCGAAGGTTCCTACAGGTGATGCCTTTGAGGATGTTTTATATGGCAGTGAAAGCGAGTTGGACGACAGCGACGAAGACGAGGAGGCATCTCGACCCGAGGCAGGACCAAAGCGGAAGGGAGTTGAACAAGGAGTGCGTTTGCGGGTGGATGATGACGAACCGATGGACCTCTTGCAGGGTGTTGCCTCGCGTTTGACCAGTGGGTGTTCGTCATGCGCTTGCATCTGCACCGTTTACCTTTTTGTAGATGCACAAGCAAACCGACGCCGCAAGCCGGGTCAAGATGCAGGTCGCTTCAAAACTGACACTGACACCGGAAAAATGGTTATCAACGAAGATGAGGAGTCTGACATCGAAGTCAGCTCTCGGAAGGCTGCCAAAGACGTCGCTGGTAGTGCATATCGGGAGAGTATGACCTCAGTGGATGGCTTTACTCGTGGACCCAATGGGCGCATCAAGTTCAACAAAGATACCAAAAAGAGACGCCGCGAGAATGAGGACGAAGATGGAGATGTTGAGATGGCTGATGGTGCTGCTACTGCTACGAAGAAGAACAAGCGACCCACGGAGCCAAAATTAGGCCACGAATTTAAGGCAAAGGTGGGTGGTCTGCTGAATCTGTGTTCACCTAGTCTTATGCTCTAATGCAGAAAGCGGGTGGTGATGTCAAGAAAGGCGGCGTGGATCCATATGCTTACATGTCGTTGTCTCAAGCCGCCAAGAAAAAAGGCCGGAATCGTACCGGCATTGCTGGAAAACATTGATGATGTTCAGCGCAGGCTACCAAAAAGCGCGTGTAGATTTGTTTTTGGATCATTGCTTGATTTTTGTTACCAATATCTGCACCAGGCTGTAGAATACACTTGTCAACCGTACAATGTTTGATCATGAGGGGTACCGAAAAGACCATGTCCCCAACTGCTAGGCTGCTTCCAGTTAGGAACTTCTATCTGCAATACCTTGGATACTACAGCTGCCATGAGCTGAGCGTCTGCTCTGTTGTCTCCCTCCATGACATATTGCAAGAGACATACAGTCGGGATTTGCCATGCGTCGGAAAGTGAGGAAAGGATTCGACGGGATAGACCTCCGCCCGGTATGAAAGGTATGGCTGTCCTTTCTGCATCGCTATGCAGGAACTGGGAAACGGGTGAAGTGTAGACCGGTATGGGCAATGTTGTGAGGGCGGCCAATGGACCAGAATTCAGATCAGGTGTTCCAGGTGGGACAATCTGACAGGTAGGTGTCCTGAAAGCATCGAAAGGACATCAATTCACGGTTCAGGTGCCGAATCATTGCAACTCAACAGCATCTGAGGATCAGTCCTGTTGGACATATCCACTCCCCCAATGACGAGGACAGCTGAAGCTCCTGAAGTACGTATGAATTCCAACAGGGAGTCAACAAAATCCTGCTTCGAGGACTAGTAGGACGCAAGATGAACTTCTCATCAGCACAATAATGATCACATCTCTGGGTGTTTCATTACCTTTAATGTGGGAGAGCGTTGTTGTATGACTGCGACATTGATGTTATCGCGGCCAAATACTAGCCTATCTGTTAGCGCAAGCTCTGGAAAAACATGCACGAAGACATACGCTCGAGTGGTGTTGTGATACCAGGAAGATCATCTTCGCGAGCACCAACAACAGGAACTAAGCTACTAGGGTCGAATATGCCTACGCGATGCAAGGAAAGTGAAGCGATCAAGAGATCAGCCGCGAGCTGGGCAACGTTCGCGACAGAAACAACGGGCTGCCTTGGAGAATGTCTTCAGTGAGCTGTCTTGCGTCGGATATCGGCATACGCACGATGACGAGGACTTTTCCCTTTGTACTGAAGTGAGTAGTTGGGTTATAGAACGTCATGACCGGTGAGATTAGAAGTTGAAAGCCTTGAGAGTACTGCCGCGCGTCAATTTAGCTCTTAGGTACGTTACCTACATATGAAGCTGGATTCGCGGATCAGTACTGTCCTATGTATCATCTATATAAGGAAATAAATTCGGAGGTACCCGCGCTCGCCGATGGTAAGAACACCCATGAGAGCGCCGTTTCACTTCGACGTCGGTTCGTTTCGAAACGAAAGGACAACAACAAACGAAACGGACGGTTGCCTCACGGGCCCTAAGTTAACTCCTTACAGATTTTTCATTGATTCAAGTCGCGTTTCGCCATAGCTATTGTCTAGCTTGATACGGTATGCACAGGTATGGACTACGAATCACTTAATAACAATTGAATCCAACACCATCTTCAAACGTCCACCGAATTCGCAAGCTCTCTCGCATCCATCCTTGAACACTATGACCCTAGTCTCGGATGATCCCACATGGTGGCCGTCCATCGATTCGTATCGTATTTCCAGTTATTTTATAGGTTCGTGGATGTCCAGTTTATGGTGTCCCGACTGGACTGACGATGGTTTTGCAGTTGCCGCATTTGCTGGGGTGATGTATGATTGGGGTGAGCACGCTAGTATGGAAAATCCGCTGATATCCTCATGGTATTTTTTAGTACTGACGTTCGGCCAAGAGGTACGTTCATGTCATGACCAGAGCAAGATTCTCACTAATAATAGTTTTATAGGTTGAACTGGTCTGGGTGAGCAGAGTCTCGCAATAGAACGACAACAATTGATTCGCGACAGAGGCAACGCTGGTCCCTTATGACTATTTTGTATCTCAGCGTATGTTGCTTTTGTTCCAATTATTCTTGGCGGGTTATTCTGAGGTGAATATATTATAGGCGCGCTATGTTGGAATATCATACCCTGCGTATGTTTGAAAGGCTAAGTAATAATATGGCGCTGTGCTAATTGGTCGTGTTTATTAGCGTTAATGTGCTAAGTATGTCCTCTCATATACACAGTGTCTGTTTGTTTTGACCGGCGGCATGCAGTTTGGGTTCCGACTATCCCAAAGACGGACGCAGTGAGTATTCTACAATGATACCTACGATTCCCGTTCAATCAACCGCACTTCCATGTAGGGGTGAGTGAGATTCTTGACCATCTCTTTGGTTCAACGGAATGACTGTCACAGCTGTGAGTTGGTTTCGAGTTCGATCATCTGGAGCTGATCACTGATATTACTGAATTTGTCAGGCCTTATTTTGTACCTGGCAGTAAATTGGATGAGTGTCATCGTAAATGCAATACTGGGCGGTGAGCTACGCAACTTCAATACCTCGGTGATATCGAGTTGATAACGTTATGCAAGTCATTATGATCGCTCGATTACACGCTATGTACCAGCGATCTATGAAGGTGCTGATACCTCTCGTTGTCATCTTCCTGGCATTCAATGTTTACGACGGAGTGGTCGCCACAATTTTCACGGGGAATACTTCAGCGGGTACGCTTAATCGTGGTTCAAAGACTCAGGCTCATTAAAGAATATTAGAGGAGTTCGATCTCTCCGGCACCTATCAGTGCACATTTGGCTTTGAGGGAAATGTCGTACTTCCAACCATGACCTGGATACTCGGCACTGTTTGGGAGGTCCTCGCACTGTTTCTCGCAGTCTGGATTGCTGCGAAACACTTCCGTGAACTGCGACGACGTTCAGCGGGAGGGATTATGGGGGACTGCTTCACAGTGTTAATGGAAACTCACGCAGTTTACTTTGCTAGGTGAGTTCATAAGTGAATATGGGTTCTTTTGTCCGCTGACGTTCCGCACGCGCTAGCATTTTTGCTGCTTCTTGCTTCTCCTTTGGTGATTTGTCTCCAGCAATCTCAGCGGTACGTCACCGACTCTTGCATGCGACCACAATTCGTCACCTCTATTGTTTAGAACAACAACTCCATATATCTTGGTTTTCTTGCGATCTTCCAAACTTTGCAAATTTGTGTACTAGGACCACGCCTGATTCTTGGCGTTCGAGAATATCACGCCAAACTCGTAGCCGACAGCGATGCAGCAACTGACATGACTTCAGTTGCTTTCCAGGAGCGCGTACATGTGTCAACGAGCAGTAACGTGTAGGATAGGAGGTGCTCGATGTGATCAACGTACTCTGCAGAGAGCTGGATAATTTTCGTTGTTTCGTCGTGGTATTTATTTCAGTCGTTCAGCGCTCTGAGGTAGATTTAAATAGGTCTGGACACCAATATTACTGCTGGCACTGGTTCCTGATCCCCAGTAAGAATCGGACATGGCCATTTCCACGCAGGTCGACGGATTTGTAAGTTTCGAGTAGTCAGTAGACTCGTATCGATGGAATTGTAAGTTGTGCAAATACATGTTGAACAATCTGTCTACAATTTGAGCAATACAGCACGCAAGAATGCGCAGTTGCATTCAACCATCGACGTGTTCAACTTTGGTTCAACTAGAGGTTGCGTAAGATGTATCTCATTGCTCAAGTATTTCGTACTTCGCCACCCTCGATCCAACTCAAACAGTTCAACTTGCTTGCTTGCGACTCGGAGTTTCAATGAACTCTCCCTCCTCTCACCATCATGAGTCCATTACTATTGCTGTTGACTGGCTCACTCGTCGCACACCCACCTACGTCGATTTCCTACATCCAGTTGACTCCAACTTGGTGCGTGTTGTAGACCTCGGCCAGCATATCCATGTACAATTGTGCTCATTTTTTATTGTCAGCGTGCACCTGGAGCCTGCTCCCCTGTTGGGACGTACAACACTTCGGTTGCTGTTATACCAGCTCCACCACCGTCAGTGGCCCCAGTCTGGTCCCATTCTCCTCCAGAAAGAACCAGTACACCCTCGCCGCCAACAAGTCCTTCAGCGGAGAACGTTTACCCCGCTTAAGTGCGCACGGCATCCAGCCACTCAGCCGACATTCACCGGGATGGTTGGATACCGTGAGCCGACCCACAGACATGCTATATCCCAATCAACCACGTACTCATACACTACAAATAGGGCGCATATAGTCACTCTTTCGACTCGGTGTTTCAACACGACTCACTAGCATGACCACTTCGAGTCCTTCGACATCAACAGCGGCTGCAACAGCTCCAGCGCCAATGCTCATTGACTCGACGTCTGAGTTTACTAGCGCTGATGATACTACTACACCTGCCCGCACATCAAACTTGGATATTCTCGTGCCTGTCACCACCACACCTACTCGCTCGAGAAGACCCGTCAAGCGGTATGTTTTCATTGTTCTTATCGTGTTTCTAGTTTACTAATTGTAATACCTACTACTGCAGAGCTACGACATCGAGGCCTCGAATCTGGTAAGTACCAATCATATTCCTATTGTACACTTACTCCCGCGCTCTACCCAGGTTGCCGATTGTGTGTGGACCGCGAACACAGTCGACGTTTTCGCAAAGTTCTCCAGTGGCACGCTGCATTAGCTCGGCTTTGCGTATCGTCAGCGGGGGCAGGTAGTAGGACGGAGGCGCTGGTGCAAATGGGCAGGCGGGTAGCCTATTTTTAGTGTTTTTTTGTTGTTGCTTTGTTGCAGTCTAAATGCATTGTTTTTCGTCAATTTGCGTCAATACGATCTGAGAACCAATGGATGCGAGCCATCTATTCAAATCTACGGAAATCTAAGTACTCAATGTTTCGTAGATTGGCGTCAATGAGCGTCGCTACCAGTCGTCTGAGCATCGACGGTACGCGCCATTTGTCGACGCTCGTCGACTGATACCATACTTTTCAGACTCCATCGATTTCCGTCGTTCTCCGTCCGAGGGCATCTGACCGATTCTTACTGGGCCTGATCCATAATCTGCCTCTCGACGTCAGTGGTGAATACATGAGCAGCTGATAAGGTGATTCACAAAGATTCCTATGTATAATATTGACATGTACGAATTGTATCGGTATTATTTGGACAATGTCACAATCCAAAACAGCTTGCAATACACCTTGAACTCCACTTGCTACACGACGTCTGGCTTGATTCCAATAAACATTCCTTTGGCCTCGTTGCCTTGACGCAGCTGTATACGTGAGGGGCGAATATCAAGTTGCGCAAGCTAGACTTTCTTGCTTCTCTCAGTCTGACTATATTGATACGGGATTCATCTTGCAGTCTACCGAAGGGAGCGCCTACGAGCGCCTACGAGCGCCCCCAGCGTCTACGCTGTCAAGCACGTGTTCGTCCTGGTCACGGTCGCACCGCCCAAGTCGCTTGCTGTGTACCACCACTCACCCCCGCCCACTCACCTCATAATCTTCCCAAATCTCACTGGGTTTACCTGGGATCCAATACAAGTATCTCATGTCAAAAGCATCAGTCACCGACGACGCCGAGGATCAGCGCGCTCACAATGATGAACAGCCTCCCCCACAAAATGACACCGTAGGACCTACGAATGAGTAAGTTGCGACTTCATGGAATCTGCCAGCCACCTAACAGCAAAACAGGGATGCGATAGATGGTGAAACTTCTGTGGCGCTGCCATCAGGGATGTAAGTGTTTGTGCCCTGATGCTTCTGTGTCCCTACTCACCAGAACCGTAGCTCGAACACTGGGCGTTCCCAACCATCAAAACTTCACGTGCAGGACAGTACGCCCAACTTGAATGTTGTATCAGACGGCGACCTAGCTCCGTAAGTCCCTATCAATGTCGATGTCAAATAAGCTTATGTGTTGTCTCAGCGATGGGGAGAAGGACGTGGTAGAGAAGGACGTGGAGGAGAAGGACTTGGAGAAGGACGTGGAGAAGGACCAGCCAACTCTAAGCGAACTGTGAGCGAAAAATCAGCCAAGCGATCTTAGCTGATAACATCCTACACGCAGAGCGAGTGTCATGAAACAGGTATTGGTTGTTCTCCAGGACTCGACAATTGCGTCGAAGAGTGGCAAGGACCATCGCTCTCGTTTCTGGGGGGTGTATAAGAGAGTCGCAGAGGAACACGACGGCGAGTTCCTTGAGCGATACACTAGCGATATGGACATTGTCTTGGTCTTTGTAGGTGTTGCATGCTCATCTTCAACTCGCTTTCAGATTGACATTTGATCAGTCTGGTCTTTTCTCTGCTGTCAGCACGTCTTTTATTGTGGCAATGGAGTCCAATCTCAATCCCAACCCCAGCGACACGACGAATGCTCTTCTCACACAACTCGTACAAATCGGACTCGGGAACCTCAGTGCAGCGGGTACTGCGGCCGCAGCACCAGGATCTACGTGGTCGCCGTCGCCGACCACCGTATGGATCCAAATGATCGCACACGCAAGCTTGGCCATGAGCTTGCTCGCTGCTTTCGGGGCCGTACTAGGCAAACAGTGGCTTGGGTACTACAAGTCAAACAGATATGGCCGCGGCTCGCAAGAGGAACGAGGAAAGCGCAGGCAAGAGACGTTCGACGGCATCATCACATGGTATTTTGATGCTGTCGTGCAATCCTTTCCGGTCTTACTTCAGATCTCCCTTCTTCTTTTTGGGATCGCGCTCGGGGCTAATTTGTGGACCGAGCAGCCTAGCATTGCCTGGGTCATCATTGCCACCACGACCTTCGGATTTCTATTCTATTCGCTGACCGTGATGGCATGTTTGATATCTCCCGCCTGTCCATTTCAAACGCCGATATCTACGATATTGCGCATGTTGCGCATCGACAGTAAGATCATCTTGTGAATTCTGGTGGTCGTTTCCAGTCTGAATCGACATTGCAGGAGTTTTACTCTTAATATTCACACCAGCCTCCAGGTATTTCCAGCAGCTTATGATGTCAGCGCATGGTGAGCTATGTTGTCTTACGTGTCCACAGGTTTTAACCATTTCTTGTCAGGTGTGCTGCGGCGATTGTTTGGCACCGTCAGATCGAGATGGGCCCGATTGTCTGAAGCATTAAGAGGTGACGTTTTTGTCTACTATTACACTGGACACCCAGTGTTAATCTTATTCCCCAGGCCCTATACGTGCGGGCGGCGCATTTGCATGGAGTTCTCTTCTGCAGGTATTCACCACGCTTCATAAGGGGCTGCGTTCTTTAGCGCTGCGCTCTTCGACAAAGGTTGTAGACTCGGAAAGACAACCGCTCGACCAAAACCTGGACATTTTGGCGGAGAATGAATGCACCCTCGCTCTCGACCTCCCCGACGTACCCACTGCGGGTCTGGAAGCACGTAGCATCAAGTGGCTGCTCGAGACATCTACGGATCCTGAAGTATTTCTCGCCGCTGCCAGCCTTGTTCCGCGTGTCGAATGGCCCCTGGATCTTGACGTATCAGACATGCTGCCTCAGCTGTATGATAATTTTATAAGCTGCATCGATATTCAGAGGCAAATTGTACCGTCGTTGAAGGAAAAGGCCTCTGTATGTATAGTGGCTCTGAGTCACCTATACTGCGGCCGAATTCTTCAGGCATATCCTGGCTATGGTGAACTTCTTGGCCAACGGGAAAGAGACTACGAGGTGTTTCGTGAGATTAGGTGGATGGACTTGAGCACAGCCGGCACGATGGTACTTTCCATGACTATGCATCTTTGTCATCCGAAAGATGACCATCTTGGATTCTATCTTCGACGGTTGGAGGATCCCGACTCTGTCTTGGAGTGGCTGTCGCATTCTCTTCCTTACCATTTCGTTATTGGGCGAGTGAGTGAAAGTGTAGAAGAACTTGCTATAGCAGTGATATCAAGACTGCTAAGTTCTCCATCCACTCCGTCGAATCAAATCGTCGCCAATTGCACTCTTCTCGCTTGCGTCATGATCGGCGTTCAGTTTGACAAGAAGAATATTGTTCGGATTGATAAAAGGTGCCATTGACTTATTTGATGGTTTTTCCGCCATCATTAACAATGAAATTGTGTAGTTCTGCTCTGCCTCAACTTGTGCAGCCCCTTTTGACGCAGTTCCAAAAGGTTCTCTGGGCATGGGATGGAGGCGATGTCGACAAAGACGGCACAGGAGTCACACGCCGGGCATGGAAACTCCTCGACGTTATTTGTCGCATTCTCAAGCCTGCTCGACCTTACTATATTGCTTCATTCCACACGATGCGGAACCTGGACATGTGCAGGAAGATTTATTCAAGAGCGAGGTCATCCGAAGATTCCTGGGATTTGTTGAAAGCTCTGCGAAATGCACTACATTTCACGTTCGCTGCGGCTGGAGTATCTCGGGACCCTGCCCAGTTGTGGTATTCCCTGTTGTGGCAAATCGATTCCCACTCTCCAGAAGACTTCGACTGGCTGGTGGACTACCTCGACTACACTGATCACGAGACAATATATGAAATCCTTCTTCTGCTGGGTACTACAGGAGCCCGCTGCAGCCCAGCTAAACAACATACATTCATTAAGAACCTTATCGCATGCATGGACAGTGACATGCCTAACAGTTTACGTCACGCCGCTCTTCGTGCTGTTCACAGTGTCCGACAAGATATGGCATCAATTCATGTGATTGATGATGCAAGCTTACGGGACATGGTTTTGACCGAGCTCTCCCCCGCTATTCTGACCGCGGTTTGTCCGCGACCAGGTGCAACACCCGCAGATGATGGCCCTGACCGCATTTTCAATGATTATCAGCGCGACTTGCGCTATCTCGAACTGGTTTTTGCCCTCGCGAGGAATTCCAGCTGGCACTCCCATTTATCTGGGGATCGCCATATAGATCAGTGCATTAGCATGATTGAAGAATACAGCTTCAGCCCGCATGCATTTTACATAGCTGGCATCTTCCTCCGAATCACACCTGAACAGTGGTCGCCCACATCGCCCGATTCTATCACAGAGCAGCAGTGGTGGGACATGATAAGTAGTGCATGGATGAATGCATACCGTCTAATTGACGACATACACTGTTTCGAGTTCCTTCCCGTCCTTGTGCAAGGCACGAAAAAGTACATGCGGGCTGCTTCGACGTTTGATCTCGAAACGCTCATCAGATATGTGGACTATACTCTCGAAACACGGGAGAGGCGAGACTCGGAGCAGGGAGAGCAGGGAGAGCAGGGAGAGCAGGGAGAGCAGGGAGAGCAGGGAGAGGGGGTCGTCGTTGCTGTGAAAGAGCTCAGGACGGTGGCCAGCGACATGCTTGAGAGGATGGCCAAAAGCGATGAAGTTGTTAGCCCCTGATTATCACGGTGCCTGCATGTTGTAAGGGATGGCGCAATGCGAATGCGGAAGGGGATCACTATGAAAATCTAAAGAAGATCGATTTTGGATCATCAACTACTTCTAGTTATGATTAGTCGTTTATGTCAGTCATTATCACCCTCACGAACGCTATGTATGTACATCATGATGCATGAGTGGCGAGTCAACCCTGTACTATATCCATTCAAAGTTTTCATCCCATTTGACATTGCTGCCTTGGAAGGCATGACCTCGAGAATATTGATGAGGGAGAGTCTCTTAGGTTTGACAAGGGAGAGGGACCCGTGCAGAAAACATGCTTGTTTTCAGCTGGCTCGTGGTCAACACAAATGTCTTATGAGCGCATATATACTCGCCGATTTTAGCCTCAACAGCTATGATGTCCTTTATGACTGCCTCGAGACACGCTACGAGCTTTTGGTGCCAGTCCCACAGCCACTCTGCAGATCTGCGTGATGCAGTTCGCAGTTGCATAGACGGAAGCGCTCTACTGCAATGTCGTTGACCAATCTTCAAGGACTGTTTGTTGGTCTTCTGGGAGGATGCGTCGTGCAAAGATGACCTGAGCCAATTGCAAGTGGTTGCAGAGTTGAAGCTTGACCCTGCGCTAGTATCACATTCCCGCCCCCGTCCATGTTTTCTTCAGAGGGCGCCTGAGGAGATGTTAGTGTGATCCAAATGAAAGATTGCAACACACACGGTGAGTCGTGTGACAGGTTGACATCCTCCAACGCAGCTGGTGCACGGCTTCCGAGAGATTCTTCCTACCCAAATTCAGCTGAAGAGTTCTATGTCGTCAATTCCTGCTTTGGAAGTGCTCAAAGACCTAATTTGCGTATCAAACGTCGTACAAGTCGTAAGTGTTCGTATGACTTCACAAGTGTTAGTAACGCGCGCAAGTCAAGCATACATTTCAGTGGTTTTGCAGATGTAGTACTATGGCGGAGGGCTGAACCCATAACAGGTCTTTGGTAGTATATCGGATAGTACACCCGCCTGTCATGCTTGAAACACGACCGCGGGAGAGCGGGGTTCGATTCCCCGCCAGAGAGACTTCTTTTTTTCTTTCTTTTTTTCTTTCTTTTTTTTCGTTTCACGTGCTTGATTCTGTCATAAGCAGTCACGGTTGGTCACCGGTCTTGAGTCGGCATCTCCAGTGACTTTAGACATTTTCCCTGATCGTATGTTGGCACCATGCATGTCTCTTGCGGAGAGGGAATACTTTTTCATTCGAAAAGCCCTCCCCACTAACTTTGGGAGACCAAATGGAACGAAGATAGCTGTTCCCTTTATTATGGTACAAGCGATCCCCTTTGGTGGGCACACATTCTGCTAAACCGTGATCCTCGAGTGTTGGGCGGGCAGGAAGTGTTGAGAGGACAGCACCAGTCTCCGCATTCCATACAATAACTCCTTCCTGAAGCTTGCGAGGGTGACACAAAGTCTCAGCGAAAGCCAGCCCAGCCTCATGATAACGGTCACTGCTAGTCGTAGACCAATGAAAGGAAAACGTTTTTAGTGGTCAGCCGGCTTCAGGACTCAGCCACAGACATGCGCTGGGCCATGGGTGGGGAGGCGCCATATGTGGTGCCTAGATTCTGTTTGAGTGGGAGCCAGTGTTGCCTGAGGGTGGTCGTCGAATGCTTATTAGCGCTGACGAGCATTGCCATTAGGCCATGCCACCCCATGCTATGCGCCTTTCATGCGCAGCCAGGGTAAGTCAGTGACCACTCGCTACCTGACCTTCCCATTGGTCTACTCGCTTCTCACCTCATCTCTTCATTGTTCAGTATGGATCGCGACGAACGTGTTTTGATGCTGGAGGGTATGTACAACTCCATCATTCCTCCCATTGCTAACATTTTCGCCTGTATCTAGTTATCAACGGCACGGACCTCCTCATTCCATCTCACCGAATCCCCGCTGGCCTTTATGTGTCTGTCTCCACCTCCTCTGGCCAGTGGAATACCACCATCAAGGCTCCGATGGCCGACTGCAGCGTTGCTTGGAATGAGACCTTTATAATATGCGCGCGCCCGGTGAAGTCTTTTTGGTGGCCAATGGCCTTCTTCTCCAGTACCTCGACGGAGGTCCATTTCGAAATTCGTGCCTCGTTTGAGATTGAGCGAACACTCGGTCAAGGCCAGGTTGTGGGTACGGTTAATACGACTATAGAAAAGTTGCTCGAGCAAGACGAACATTTCCGTGAGTGCTCACTATCCCTGATGATGGCATCTTCTTACAGTAGCGATTGAGTTTCATTCCCGGTCATTAATAATCAGCACCCATCACTGTTATTGAGAACGCGACGTGCGGAGACACTGCAGCTTACTGGACACACTGCAGACAGTCCCCTAGAGGTACATCATCTTTGTTGTGATCATTTCTCATTATGCTCACCTCTTCCCATTTGCAGAGTGAGATTAGTCGCGTCACTGAAGCAGCACACGAGGCGTACGCTCTCTACTCGAAGACCAACCATCGGAACGATCTCGATCGCACTATTCAGGGCTTTCAAGCAGTGCTCGAACGATGTCCCAATGGCCACCCGGACCGTGCTGCAGCGCTTTCCAACTTAGCACATGTCATTTTCTTCGGCACCACCAAGAACGTCAGAACTGATATTGACCATGCCATCTCCCTCTTCCGCTCTGCACTTGCACTCCGTCCCCGAGGGCACCCTGATCATCCGCTGTCCATCTTCAACCTCTGTAAGGCTCTTCACCAACGTCATCTAAATGGAGATGATTTCGCCAGTGTTCGCGAGGCTGTGGAGCTTTACCGCTCCCTGCTGCCGCTTTGTGTCGAGGGCGGCTATCTTCATCGAGTACTTACTCGACACCGACGGTACGCAACGTGTCATCGAGGAATGCAATGCACTTTCATGCGGCGCTATGGACATATCGCTTCGGCGAACTGTTCTTGAGCTCTGTCCGCCAGGACATCCATGTCGCGTATGGTCACTTAGCAATCTACCTGCAGATCTCTGTGACCGCTTTCACAAAAACGGCGATATAGATGATATTGATAGAGCTGTTCAATTTTCACGCGACGCACTTGCCATCCGTCCTGATGACGCTGGACACGACTTCTTTCTCGGTGTATTATCCTACGCTCTTCAGCTCCGCTTTGATCACCACGGCGATCCTAGAGACCTTGATGAGAGCATACCACTTTATCGAGCAACATTAGATTTGCGCCCTCCATTTGATCCAGCTCGTTGGACATCTCTCAATAACCTTGCCGAGGCACTGATTGCTCGCTACAACCAATGCGGCAACGTCTCGGACTTTGAGGAAGCCATGCGCCTTCACCAAGAGGCACTCGACCTGCGTCCCCGAGGTCATGCAAGGTGTGACTACACCTTAAATAACCTCGCAGTTGCCCTCTATGCACACTTTGGAAAATCGGGAGACATAAACGCTCTCGATGACGCCATTGGCTTCTATCGAGAAGCGCTCGAGATGCGACCTCCGGGCGACAAATTGCACTGTCATGCTTCAGTAAATTTGGCATCTGCGCTGCAGAAACGTTTTACACGAACTTTGGTCAGTGAGGACATCGAAGAGGCAACCGGGCATTGTCAGGAAGCCCTTGAGTCATTGCCAATCAGACATCCGGAGCGCTATTTCAGCTATGTGTCGCTTCAGGGAATCTACCTGGCTCGCTATAACGTTCATTGCGACATTGATGACCTCGCAAATGCATTCAAAAATTATAGACTGGCCGTGAACCATAGAACGCAAGGATTTCCTCGGCGCATAGTGAACGCGTTTCAATGGATTGTAGATGCAGAGAAGTATAATCACGACTCGGCATTGGAGGCTTATCAAACATTGTTGCACCTACTCGATATTCACCTGTCCACACGATCTTCTGTGATATCACGTCGCGAAGCTGTCTCGCAGTTGCGGCTGGCCCCGGCTCTTTCGGGAAATGCAGCGTCTTTTGCTATCCGTCGTGGGGAATTGGTGACAGCGGTCGAGCTCCTCGAACGTGGGAGAGCATTGCTATGGTCCCAAGTTTCTCGCCTTCGTACACCAACAGATCAGTTACACATAGCCCGTCCACTCCTCGCAGCTCGGTTCGTGGCTCTGAGTGAGCAGCTCTCTCCAGTCACACACGGGCATGGTTCTGATGCTGCTGATGGTGCAGCAGCAACGTGTGCAAAACAGCAGTTTGAAACACTCTCGAAGCAATGGGAAGCTGTGGTGGCACAGATTCGGGGGGTCGATGGGTTCTCGCGATTCCTCCTTCCGCCATCCTACGACGATGTACGGCTAGCGGCACAGGATGGTCCAATCATCCTCCTGGTCGCTAGCGAATATTCGTGCCATTCACTCATCATCACACGCGACGCAGAGCAACCCCACCATGTTCCCCTCCCGTCTCTTAATCTTGCAAATCTCGAGGAGCTCAAGGACGACTTCTTGAGTACGATGCGGAGCGCTGTCCGCACTCACCAAAAGGAGCCGAGGACAAAGCTGCTCGCGCTCTTGCGGAAGGTATGGGATAAAGTTATGCTACCTATCGTCATGGTACTTCGCGGCGATCTGAAAGTTGAGCACCGCTCTCGAATCTGGCTGTGTCCTACCGCAGCCTTCACGTCCATACCTCTCCATGCTGCTAGCCTGTTTCGAGTAAAGGCAGATGGCTCTGGGCCGGAACTATGTCTGGAGGATATCTACATCTGTTCTTACACGCCGACAATTTCAGCTTTAATCAGAGCTCGACAGACGATGAAAATGCATGTATCTCCGTCTTTCGTTGCGATTGGACAAGGCCAGCCAGGCGCAGGGCAAGGCGAAGTGCTCATGAATGTCGACAGTGAGCTAGATCTTGTTTGTGGGCTCATTCCATCAAAGGTCGGCGCTACCATTTTGCGTGGCGATGAAGCCACAAAATTAGGTGCACTTGAAGCTTTGCGTCACAATACCTGGGTGCACATCGCTTGCAATAGCGACCAGGAATATGAGCAGCCTTACAATTCACGTTTCGCCATGAGAGATAAACCGGTCACGCTGCTTGATATCATGGAGAATAATGCCCCCAAAGCTGAATTCGCGTTCTTATCGTCGTGCCACACCGCCATCGGCGACGAGCAAACCCCCGACGAAGTCATTCACCTCGCAGCTGGGCTGCTGTTTTCCGGTTTCAAGAGCGTCATTGGCACTCTGTCGGTGGTCGATGACGATGTTGCAAAGGAGATTGTCCAAGCTTTCTACGAGAACATGTTCACAGATGGTGTCATGGATTGTAGGAAGGCTGCCTCGGCACTTAACAATGCCATCCGTGCTGTCAAGGTTCAGCAGCAAGTGCCGCTCGAGCAGAGTATCATTTTCATTCATATTGGTGTGTAGTATCCAGCCGCATTATGTTCATCTATTACTGCAAGTCGTATTCTTTCACTACCTTTGTGCTTGATGCAAAATTACCTTGTGGTGATTGGAGAAGAGGCCATATGATCATATCCGTTGCGTGCCAGTACTCATCAGTAATTTGAAACTAGTACTGCTTAACCCTAGTCTCCGGTAATAGACCAAATAGAAACTAGTCGTTCCTTCTTTATAATAGCCGAAAGCAGCCCTTTATGGAAACGACTGCTTTGGAAACCTTTCACTCAGCCTGTCTTAGGGGAGAAAAGTTGCAGTCATGCCTATGTTAACATCTATCAGGACATCGAATGGGAAGATCGAGATCATTGATCAATTGCTCTTGCCACACACGACAAAGTACGTGGACATCACCTCCATCGAAGAGGCCCACGATGCTATCAAAGACATGAAGGTCAGGACAAAGAAATGTATATCCACTTTGCGGTTGCCTGATGAAATATAGATTCGTGGTGCTCCAGCCATCGCATCGTTGGCATCACTGGCCTTTGCTGCTTATATTCAAACTGGTCTCGACAGTGCTCAACCACCAGCCTTCCTCCTGTCACCTGAATCACTTTCCACCGATGTGATTCAGAAACTCGATTATCTCTCCGGCGCACGTCCGACGGCCGTTAATTTAGGTGCAGCGGTCCGCCGCCTGAAAGCAGTCCTTCAGTCTTCTACAAACGCCGGAAAGTCCGTTGGACTAATCGCGGCAGACTTGATCAGCGAAGGGAAACTTATAGCAGATGAAGATTTCGACCGCAATAAGAGAATGGCAGAGCATGGCGGTGAATGGCTTGCAGAAATTGATAGGGGATCCGGGGGCAGTGGCGAAGAACTTAATGTCCTCACCGTGTGTAACACAGGATCACTTGCGACATCGGTATGTCATCTCTTAGTTAATGTATCCATTTTTGACACCGATACATGTGTCACAGGGCTATGGTACTGCACTGGGGTTGATTACCTATCTTCATGAGCAAAAGAAGCTAGGGAAAGCATACTATACCCAAACTGCGCCATACCACCAAGGGTCCCGGTAAGCCACCATCCGGTTATCGTATATCGTCAACACCTTTCGCTAAGCCTGCACCTCACAGCCTCACAGCTTTAGAGCTCAAGATAATGCAGATCCCGTCAGTAATGATTTGTGACACAATGGTTGGTTCTTTATTCCAGCACCATAAAATACATGCCGTCGGTAAGGGTCATCTAAAGTCAACGTTCCTTCTGATCGCCTGATCCGTTCCCCTTCCCGCAGCGGTTGGTGCCGATCGGATAGCGAGGAACGGGGACACTGCGAATAAAGTACGTTATACCTTGTTAGCGAAACTCAGAGTTGGAGGTTATTATTATCCTTGCAGATCGGGACTTATAATGCGGCCGTACTTGCGGTACGGCATAAGATCCCATTCATTGTAGTTGCCCCAATTAGCACCGTCGATCTCGATACCCCGGACGGCTCAAGCATTCCGATCGAGCACCGCAAGCCGCTCGAAGCTTGCCTCGTGCGCGGGGCTGTTCATCCCTTTGAACACGATGCCGAAGGAAAGGTTAGGCAGGAGACCGTGATGATCACCCCAAGTGGCCTTGAGGGGATATACAATCCAAGCTTTGATGTTACCCCAGCGGAACTGATCACCGCGATTGTCACAGAGAAGGGTGTCGCAACCAGGAAAGAGGGCGAGACTAGTTTCGATCTAAGTGGAGTCGTATGATCTCACGAGATACCGTGGCTTTCGACTAGAAGTACGATGTACATTTACTCACACAGTTCAGAGCTTCAGCTAAAAAATACCCGGTGCTAAATATTGTTTCTGGTAGCTAAGATTGGTATTGCAGTTTGTCAACTTCCGGTGATTAATTATGAAAAATTAGCAGTACCGTAAACCAGTCTCAGAGGGCCTGTCTGGATTCAAGGGGTTCCAATGAACTCAGCAACTCTTGATTGATGAAATTTATTTTTACCGTATCATGGGCTCATCTGAGGTGTGACGTGGACGCAACGTGTCCGAGTCACTAGTACTGACTCTGGCGTCCCATGAGTGACACTTCATGATTTATTTCCCTTTGCCTCAACATCGTTACGGGGTGGAACTGGCAACATCCGTCAACCACAGCACAACTTTTGAAAAATTTGCGAAACTTGGATGACGAGACCTGGCTTGTTCGACCAGCGCTACGCGCGGATATAATCCACTGGACCACTGCGAAGCTCCGAAAGTCTAGTAATAGAAGGGGGGCCCGACAGAGATGGAACTTTACAGTAACGACCGCGGCGCTCGTGACGCTGTACAGAATATCGATAAAGAGACTCGAGAATGTGAGTGCGGCGACTGCACTGACAACCGCCTGGTGCATCAATGATACCAAGAGATACTGAGACAATGACGAGCACGTGATTACCAAATAACCATGACACTAGGGACTGACAGTAGAAATGGTCGTACTCCAAATAAGGCAAGTGCTGTAATTAGGGAATCACATGTAAAAGGAGGTTTCCTGGTAGTCCATGCTTGTCCCACCACTCCTTACTCGCAACTCATCATGATTGACTATCTTCTAGGCAGGCCAAGTCCGTCCTGGAAACGCACCCAGGTAGCTACAACCATAACCTGGTCTATTCCCTTTCTTATAGTTCAATGCAAGGTCTTTATTGTCATCATCTTCTGGATTTGGAGGTTGGTGCACGGCAGCCCCGATGCTCCACGGATTCTATGGCTCAGAAGAGTCAATAGGCGCTTGCGTGAGTGGGGTATATACAAGCTTATGACCTCCGATTTCATATAACATCCTAGAACGCTTCTCACCTTGGCAGATCATCGTTAGTACATTGACTGCGGTGTATGCCGCGCGAAATTTGGACAAGATTACTGGTTTTGGAGGTAGGTTCAGGGAACGTTATCAGCACTTGATTTATCGCATCTAATATTGATATCTCGCAGCGCCGGAACCTCTGGCTCGTTTGGTGAGTTCCGGTCCGTTGTTGATGTTAGACAGTGTCGTAATCGTTGGAACGCAGTACTCGCCCTCATACTACCGTGCAACATGGATTGCGATTGGCCTTGATGCTGGATTTGCTACTGCTATTTCCATACGCCCTAAATGGCTCAAAGATATCTGCTCTATCTTATTCTCCGTCTATTATATTATCTACGCAAATGAAGCTGATGAAAAGGTACTTCTCGTGCATGCCACTGATATCAATACTATTCACAGAACAATGCCTCCGTAGATCCGTAGGTTCAGAGCTGTTCCGACTGTCGAAATGCTCAGGACTACCTGGGAGAAGACAACTAACCCATATGTAAGACATTCTCACTTTCAGCTTTGCGCCTTGTATTGAAAACGTGTCTAGCTTCGTTTAATTGCTTTGACACCGCCAATGTCATTGTACAGGAAATTTCTACTGCCGAGGCCTCCCACATCGACATATAACCGGCCCTTAAAGGTGCATGTGTATTTTGCGCCACCTGCTCCTCAGCTCCAGCAAGCCACGGATCTTATACTTGACTTCCCTGGTGGTGGGTTTGTTGCAATGTCACCGGAGCATCACGATGAGCGCCTGCGCTCCTGGGCGCTACGAACGGGCAAACCAGTGCTCTCCGTCGAGTACGGCAAGGCACCAGAATGTAATATCATTATCATGTGCCTGTCCTCATTTTACTGATTGACCTACTAGATCCATACCCTTTTGCGATTGATGAATGCTTCGATGTTTATCGGGCCATTTGTATGTCTGCTGGACGATGCATTGGCATGTCTGGTAAGAAGCTCAACATTATATTGACGGGGGACTCTGCGTACGTCCATTTGTATGTGGTTGCATGACGCTCATTTACGTTAATCTAGGGGCGCGACGCTTGTCGTGGGCGTGATGATTAAGATTTTACACTATAACGCCGCGCTACCCGCTTCCACAGCTCATCTTCCCGCACCGGTCGCCCTTGTCCTGAGCTATGCAGCGCTGGACTTCAATTTTACATCTTGGATGTCCCCTGAGAACCTCCAGGTCCTGCGCTCGGAGCAGTCCTCGGGCAATCTTCCTGGCATACACGAGCTTGCATCGCAGAAAGACCACCTGCAACACGTCAGCCCACTGAGCATGGTGGGGGACCTCAAACATGGGTCTGGACGACGGAAATTACATAGACGCAGGAGCTGGAAAGATGCGCTTTTGGATTTTACAGGGGTGGACCCTGACGCCGTTAGGTCAAAGCCGGTGTCAACTCGGCATCACTCCACCCTAGGAATGAGGAAAAAGAGTTCCGTGGTATCATTTGGAACACGCGGTGGGAGAGACAGCGTGCGAACCAGCCCAGCGCGCCACGACGATAGTGGCTTTTGGGCGAGCTCCGAAAGTGACGAGGACGAGCCTATGAGAGAGGAGGACCGGCCACTTGAGGATCGTGTGCGCTATGTGTACCCTGAATGTGTCATCAACTCCGAGGGTGCACACTTGCATCAGACGCTCGAGAAACAGCAGGAACAACTCTCAGCAGCTGTGGCAGAGGCTGACAGTAAAGCGTCGTCTCCCAAAGGCGAAGACAAGAAGCGCGAACCGATTGGTACGCGGCTGACAATGACTAGTCGCACAGGATATTTCCAGGACAGGGTCATACCTCCTAGTATGGTACGTACCCTTTGATTAATTCTTCATCCCCATTCAGTGTTTTTTAAACTTCACAGATGCGCGCGATGGCTATCCTCTATATTGGTCCACACCATAACCCGGATTTTGCCACTGATTATTTTATCTCGCCCATCCTCACCCCCGCGAAACTTCTAGCGCAGTTTCCCCCGCTTCTGATGCAATGTGGCGAAAAGGATCCGTTCGTCGACGATACCGTAATTTTTGCGGGGCGTGTACGGGAGGCCAAACGTGCGCGCAAAATTGAGCTGGAGCTTGCACTTTCTGGGAAAAGTGCCCGTTTTGGGGAAATGCTCCAAATGAGCACGGCACACTTTGAGAACAACGAGGACCTGGAGAAGTTAAGGAAAGAGAGGGACCAACTTGGGAAAGAAACCGAGGACGACTGGGTGCAAATGGTGCTGTTCTCTGACTGGAGCCACGGGTACCTTCAGATGATGTCCCTGATGAGCGAGGCACGGGCTGTGGTGGAGGATCTGGCCGACTGGATGGACGACGCGTTTGTGAGGTACAGCGGTAAAGAAAACGGCAGCCCCAGGGTCGAGGTGAAACCTATTGATACTACTGGAACAAAGAAGATCCGGTCACGGAGAAATTCACCGCAATCATCGTCTATTACGCCGAAACGCGTGAATGGAGACGTCGGACACGGTGTACATGGGCAGGACGGCAGTCCGAGCCCGTTCACATCTGAAACGGAGACGGACGACTCGGGTATCACGTTTGTGGCACGTAAGCGGCTTACTATGACGCAGGGGAGCTCTGTGGGATCTACGCCTCCGATGAACTCGCGGGGGGGGCTCTGGAGAGCTCTCTGAAACGGTGTTGCAAGCTCACTTGCGTCGGGGAGAGGAGACAGCGACAGCAACGCCTCCTCAGAGCAGTACACCACGTGGAGGGAACGTGAAGATAGGACAACGAATCACGGAGAGTGAGTTGTTGAGGCGTAGGAGGTTGTTGGATGCACATATATTCGAAGGACAAGGTAGCTAGTCGTGTATGTATGAGAATACCTTTGTGTAACCGCGTGATGCTGGAGGGTACTTTGATTCTAATTACGGTACATGGTGGGAGGACGGAGTCAAAGCTTAGTGGCCGGTAATAAATTGGAACCGGCGGGAACTGACTGCGGTTGACCGGAAACCGGAGAGCGTGAGAGATTACGGGATGTATAGCATTGCTGTGCTGCGGCTCTGCAGTCTAAATTGAGACACAGCCACTTGAATCGATTCCTCCTTGGTGTACGGTGAATTAGATCCCTTTGCTCATCGAAGGTATGGTCATTATGTGAATTGTCTGCACTGGCTTTGATCAACGTTTCTAATCTTTTTTTGTTCAATTTTTAGTACGGAAACAAGTTACAGAGGCTGTGTGTCTTTTTCTGTCCCTTCAAAAGGCGCCAGGGAGGAGACTGCTCCAGATCCAGTCATCCGCTCCCCACCCGTTGTCACATCCGCTTCTGTTCAGAACTTCCGTTGATCTTTCAGAGCTCAAATCAAAGAAGCTCTCTATTCCCTCGCCTAAATAATAAAAAGGGCATATCCATCCATCAATCATGAACCCGGATTCGACACGGGTTCACTGGTCGTCTCCCACAACCATCCCATCACAACAACAATTTCACGCTTATAACAATAATCATTTCATTTCTTCTTCAACCACAAACATGTCTCAGGCACAGCAATCTTTTCCTCCAGGTGCAGGTCCAAATGACTCTCCCGACCAACCACAACCACATTACCCCCCAGCTCACCCGTACAGGAGGAGTCAGAGCAATTCTCCATTCAGACATACCTCCCATCCATCTCCGTATCCCCAACCCAACATTCCCCCAATTCAACCCCAACCAGAGCTCAAGCAAGAGGCATACTACTCCCCAACCTCAGCAGAGTTATACACTCACGCCCAAGTACTCGCATCCGGAGCAGGAGAGGGGTCGGCTTCCGCTCATTACACTTCCCCAACAGCAATAACTCGTCTTCCCCCTATTCTACAAGTAGAGAAGAAGCAGGTTACAACATCCGCAACACAAGCAGCAAGTGCAAGCAGGCGGAGGAATGAGGCCCATTTCGCGTGTCCAGTCCCCGGTTGTGGGAGCACATTTACGCGTCGATTCAATCTCAGAGGTGTGCATAATTACACCATATATCTCTATTTTCTAATTTACCATCAACTAGGACATCTTCGATCTCACACCGAGGAACGCCCATATGTGTGTGAGTACCCCGATTGCAAGAAAGGCTTTGCAAGACAGCATGACTGCAAGTAAGTCTTACTCTTCCTCATAATACTCTTCTACTTCTCTGGAATATATTTGGCTTCGGCCGACCGCTGTCCCTTATCGCGTCACCGATCCTTTCCCTCTTTTTTTCATTATTGACTCACATGCTCACGTCATGATCTGCACAGGCGACATCAAGCACTCCACGCCACCCGCTCTCAATCCAACATTTGCCAGGGCTGCAAAAAGACCTTCAGTCGCCTGGACGCCCTAAACGTAACTTTACTCCTATATCTCGTTATCAACGCACATCCGCTAACGTCGATCCCCCTTTCCTTTTTTCCAGCGACATCGTAAGTGGCTATTCCCGGTCTCTAAAGACAGCTAAATACTTACTTTTCCGCGGTCTAGTTCGTTCCGAGGGTGGTTCTGAATGCAGACAGATTGTAGAAGCTCAGCAGCAGGCTGCAGCACATGCTCAGGCGATCACACAGTCTCAGGGTCCTCCACTACCTGACCATCCTCCTGGCAGCCAGCCAGGACCCAGTTCAAGCACTGCCAGTTAATCGACTCCAGTGGTTGACACGCATGGACAGATGGACTCCCAGAACACTTTTAGATCTTCATGTCTTCATGATTCCTCTTTACACTCAGGATGTAAGATTACCTGAGCTTTAGGCTCATCATTCATTCCCCTTACGTTCGCACTGATGTATACATCTTGTATCGATCCCAACGTTTTTTCTCCCTTAAGTGGGCTTACAGGTTAATATACTTCGCTCATAATGTTACCCCATGATTTATACCGATGTTGTTACTGCCACGATCCGTGGGAATTCTACACAAACACGTGAGAAATGTGCTCTCCTCGGGTATAGATGAAGTGCATGACTTTGAGACTCATCCAACGCTTCTCTTCCTCTTCCATCACGATGTCGCTTGCAATGCTCGTCGGTGGCGCTGAATGCGGACCATCCAACCCGCTCCAGAGCCTATCCAAACGATTTGACCAAGACCGCGGAGTGCAGCAGGTGCGTGCGGGGTTATGAGAAGTCCAAGGGTCCATTAACATCATCCTACCCCACTGCGCAGGACTTCATCGGTGGAACACGTGCAGGCTCATCTCGAGAGGTAAGAATGCAATCTCCTGATCACATGAAAGCGATTACATCCTACACGATCAGGTGTTCCGCACCCAGCAAGCTACTTCGCCTGAGCTGCAGCAGCATGCGGAACGTTTCTTTAATTCGGCGCCTGCGCCCCCGACACAGCTAGTCGTCCCTCAGCCATTCAATTTGGCCGGATTGCACGACTCTCTCCCTCAAGTTCAAGCATCTGTGCAATTACCGCAGGCCCAGAACCCATTTGCCTCGGGTTGGGCGAGCGATTTTCTGGTACAGCAGGTCCAGGCACCTATATCGGCGGTCACGCATGCCGAGGCTCTGCAAGATCGAATGCAGAGTCCCATTTCGGCGCCTATGAGTCCGGGATTGCAAGGTGCGTGTTGCTTGTGGTGGTGATAGTGAATATATGCGGATTTCAATTATGTTAGGTAGTATGCCATGGAACGCCTCGCATGCGGGCTACAGAATGAATCCTATATCGGGCATGATGGCCACGGTTCCGATGTCGATGCAAAGAACTGCTTTGCAGACCGATCGTGCGTTTTATAGTTTGATCGAATATGATCAAATGCTTACGGATTGATCTTCTGAAGATATGTCATGGGACAGAGAGTTTCAGTCTCAAGAAACGATGATGAATGCACAAGTCATTCCAGTAGCCGAAGCTGCTGCATCGAAGCCTGCGCCAAGAGATGATATGGCAGAATTAGCAGCACGCGTCATTGATGCCGTCCACGGCGAACAGAATCCCAAATTTCACCAGAGCCAATTCATGAGCCTCATGCGTCAGTTTCGGGATGGCGAAGTAATCGTTGAAGAAGACAAGATCGTTCCGAGTGGAAGTAGCACTGCGGACGTCAAGGGAAAGGGTCGTGCACTCAATATTCCTGTGCGAGAAGTTCAGGAGCCTGTACGGGTCCATTCGGTGCCCGCGAGTTCTGTCCAGGGCTACCAGGGTTCTGTCGAATTAAACGAAGCATATCGCCACCAACACAATAACGCAAACGATGCTTATTTTCAACAAGAAAATGAAGAGTTCTCGAAGTACTGGGATGCTCATTATACCGGACCTGTGCCCCACACTAAATCCGCGGGCGAGCAAGGTTCATGGCATGAACTACAACGAGACTGGGATGCCTTTGAAGCTACTTCCACGGGAATTAAAGCCCTGATAAATTACCAATTCCAGGAGAACAATCCTTATTTCCTGGGCGACTCATCAAAGACCCGCCATCATGCAATGCACGTGAGTGAGGTTCAACGTGTGTATGATGTTAGTCATAAGACGTTTCTTGGTTCATCCACATGTGCTGATTCATCAGACAGAACGTCCTCGAACTGGAAGCAGCTGTGCAGCGCGATATGAACAACGCTGCAGCATGGTATGAGCTTGGCGTCAAACAACAAGAAAATGAACGTGAAATGAAGGCGGTTCAGGCCTTGGAACGTTCTGTTGAACTGGATCCGACGCACCTGGGCGCGTGGCTTGCCCTCTCCGTGTCTTACACGAATGACAGCAATCGCATGGGCGTTTACAACGCGATCAAAGAATGGGCGCTTCGGAATCCCAAGTACAAGGATATCGTACAGAACGCCACTATGACAACCACCAATGTATCCTCTCCTGGCAATTTTGAGGCGTTGATAGAGTGTCTTATCAGTATGGCACGGAGCGCCGATGAAATGGGAGGTGTGGATGCAGATGTACAAGTGGCGCTTGCTGTGCTACTTAATACGACAGACGTACGTGCTTTACGACTCGATGCCTTCAACTGTTCCGAGAGTCATGGGTTGATCATGCTGTCAATTACTCACATAGGAATATGCCAAGGCGCAAGATTGCTTCCTGACGGCGTTGGCGGTCCGCCCGGATGTGAGTGTTTCAAATTTGAGTTCATGGGCGCGAGACTGAAGCAAAGTGGTTACCAGGACTGGCTTCTGTATAACAGAGTGGGTGCCACGATGGCAAATAATGGGCAGGCCGAGGAAGCACTTCAGTTCTATTATCGGGCACTGGATCTAAACCCTGCATACATACGAGCAAGGTAATGTTGACCCTTTCCTCATAGCTGGTTGTGTGGGTGCTGATTGAAACGCGTTATGTGGTAGGTTCAACCTGGGCATATCGTGTATTAATCTTCGGGTGGGTCTTTCTTGTTCCGTGAAGCTGTGATGCTGTGCTGTTATTGACATTAGTTTGACAGCGGTATGAGGAGGCGCAGTCACACATTCTCGATGCGTTAGTCTTGCAAGATAGTGATGGTGTGGCGGACGATAGTGGCATGAATGACAAGCGTGGCGTGACAAATTCCGCACTATGGGATAGCCTCAAGACGACGTGTTTGCACCTTCAGAGGTCTGACCTTGCAGCGTTATGTGATCAGAGAGACCTGGATGGTAAGTTTTGGGAATCGGCTGATGTTTCTGATAAGGGGCTGATGACAGCGTGATGTACAGGATTCCGGAACGTTTTTGAAAGCGGGCCCTGACAAGCCCATGCGTGGGTGGATCCTCAACGATCCGTGCCGTGATGTGTCCTGTTATTTCGTACAATGTTCTCTCCGTCTAGCAATGCTTCATATGTATAGTACCTCGCATCACGTGGAACCTATGAGGCTGTCAGTTCAGAGTAGTTCTCGGGCTAGTAGCGTCAGATCAAACCTGATGTGCTCGGACCAGGAATACCTGTGCTCGGACCATGAATACCTGTGCTCGGCGCAGATATACCCAGCCGTCTATTCCTCTCAGCTACCAATAGCTGGAACCACGGCAGGGTCTCCGGGTCGTTCGGCTGGTTTGGATGCTCAGCAACTTTTTTCATTGCGAGGAGGGTCTTTTGCTTGGCCTCAAAGCGAGACTTTTGATCTACGACGAGGTCTCGAATTTCTTGGACATCGGCGTCTGACATTGGAATCATGGTAGGTGTGCGTCTGATCATGGTGGTTATGAGTGTAGTCGTGAGGCTGGATAATATATTGGTGGTCTGTAGTCTAGTACAAGTCACGTCTGACGATGTAGACGATGAGCGGTGATAATGAGGTTTCGGATAAGCGCCCGTCAGTTTGGCGCTGACAACAAAGACGTGTTCACACTGTTTGGTCAAAACCCGACACGCGACTCGCGGAGAAACGCAGTAGCAGCGCAGCAGAAAATTCTTGAACAGGTACTGTGCCCACAGACCAGCCGCAACCCATTCTTTCACCCAACCACCATCCAACTCAGGCTACTAAGCAATCATGGAAGCCGTTATTCGTATTACTGACGCTGTCAAGTCTTTCCGGGTGCGTACATAGTCGCATGAAAGGGAAAGGGTTCTGACGCTCAAGATTTCCATTCAGGAAACCCGCTTGAGCACTCTCAGAACTCCAGCCGAGTTCTTTGATATCCACCGTATTTCAAGACCTGCAGATTTTAACCAGGCAGTATCAGTGCGTTTCATCTGTTGTTTGCCTACCCCGAGGACGATGCTGAGACCGAACTCGTAGCGACTGACATACAACACTCGGTATTTCTCGGGGAACTACACTCTCATCATAGCTGCTTTGGCTGTTTATTCCATGTATGTGCGGTCCCAGCCATGAACCCGGCCCCGACCCCGACCCTGAACCCTCAGCTGACATTGTCCCCCTCACCTAGTATTGCAAGTCCCCTCCTTCTCTTATCCCTCATCTTCCTCTTCGGAGGCTTTGCTGTCATCAACCGTTTTGGTGCGATTCTTCTATGTCTTTCTCCCTTGGTTTAGTGCTGACGTGTTTGTTTCAGAGGAAGTCTATGGGCAAGTCGTTACCCAAAAGACCCTCTACACAGGGCTCTTCGTGATTGGCATCCCCCTCTTGTGGTTCTCCTCGCCATTCATGACCCTGTTCTGGCTGATCGGAGCATCTGCGTGTCTCATTCTTACTCATGCATGCCTGATTGAGCCAGGTGTCGAGAGCGAGTATGCAAATATCGAGGGAGCTGTGTAAACGCCATGGGGAAAGAGAATGGGAATTGAGTGTGGTTTGTTGTACTCCTTTCGAGATTGGACTATTTCTATTGTTGTGTTCCCCTCGAATCCCAATTCCGGCCTCTCGTTCTTATTCGTTGATACCTCGTCTACAATATAGACGTGTTTCTTGCTCATAAAGGCGTGCACCATACATAGATTGTACGAATTGGAATGTGATAGACTGAAAGCCGGCTTCAGTGTCTACGTTTAGGATATCAGTACTAGGATAATGGTTCGTTATGATTGCAGTGGCAGCGGAAGCGGAAGCATGTGCAATATAAGAAGCTCATAATGTAATGTACAGAGTTAAGCCGTCCCTATCCAAGGAATGCACCATCTCTCAAATGTAGATAGATAGATAAGCGAAATCACAAAATCATCCGGGTGGGACATCGGGTCATAGGAGCGGTAACCACTGGCCTTTTGGGCGGCTATTGTCAGTATATCGATTGGAGTTGTAAAGAAGACGTACCGATGACTATGCTGGGAAGATCAAAGATGTCCCTTCGTATCGAGAAACAAAAGGTCGAGGGAATCGGCGCGCCGGAGGGCTTGAGGAGAACGCAATGCGAGTATACCGATTTGGTTGTATTCTCAAATGCATGAGAGGCGAAGTTTTCCCAATATTCGACGACGGATTGGTTTTCGAATAGCTGGCACCAACACCGAGTCAGCGTTATAGCAAGAAAGAGACAAAGAATACGGACCTCATATATGTACTTGCGCTTTCCAACGAGGTCTTCCAGGCGCCACTCGGTGAGCATGCAAAACTCGGGTGCGACGAGACATATTTCGCCAGTGCGCCTCCAGACCACCGTTGGTGTGCCGCTGTACGATATAAGCTTTTCGAGTTCCTACATGGGGACATCAAAACCTGCGTCATGTGAGAGTAAAGTAATACACGTACGAGCAGTGATCTCTGGAAACATTTCTCCACGAACACCTCGTCCTCATCCGTCATAGGCATTTGCAGAGCAATAAGCGATGGCCGGAAAATGGCGAGTGCTCGGACGATGCGTAATATGTCATTCTTTTCAAAACTGAATGATCCAGGGTCCCAGGGGCAATCCAACCCAAGATAATATTAGGATTTGACCACACAGGCCAGGAGCTCTCGACTTCTCAGCACACGGAGTATACGCACCGACTCGGGAGATGCTTCATGAGAAAGTGGTAACCTTCAGTATAATCATAAGGCGCTGTTACGTTGATGGTCTGAATGGGAAGATTAGTCAGGCACAAGATGAAAAAGAAGTAGACACGAACAGAGTGATGATCGCCACTTTGGATCGTAGGCGATGGAGACGTCCGCGACGAAGACTCGTAGGAGTGAGAACGAGTATCCCTCGATGGCGTTCGCATTACACTTGAGGAACCGAGACTGATGACACCACGCGAATAATGCGGTGCAAGGGGGTGATATGGAGCCGATAATTGCGGCTGTGGTTGTGCGTAAGAATATTGCAGCGCTGGCGAAGAAGGTCGTGGACATAGCGCCGGAGGATAGCTGGCAAGAAAGGTTGGTGACGGTTGAGAAGCAGACAGGCTGTCCGTCTGTGGCATCGATAACTGGGGCGGATCGCCGAACGGGGAGCCAAAGTTGCTTGGCGCTCCTTGCATATACTGGGGTTGCGCGTGAAGTGGCTCAGGAGACCAGGCCGAATTTGGGAGTGGCTGGGAAACCTGTTGCTGTTGTTGCTGTTGTGACGGAGATGGGGCCGTGCCGGATTCAGGAGGACTTGGATTACCCAAGATCGCAGAAAGTATGGAGTACTCTAAGTTGGCGGCCTCGGAGCCGAACGTGAAATTGGGATCGAACGACACATTAAAGAGTGGATCGTGCGATTGGAAGGGTTCAGCTACACGCGGTGTCAGTATATCACACGACTAGACAAAAGAGCCAAGACGTGTTACATGTCGGTTGGAGCGCGGGTGCGGGCTCTGAACTCGATTCAGGAACTCTGCCCTTTTTCTTAAGTTGTTCTGTCATGGGCACGTGATCAAATTAATCTGACAAGGCGAAATAGAGAGAAGAACGCACGAAGTTCGTCATCATCGAGAAGATACTTGGCTTTCTTGCGGTGACCTTCTGTACAAGTACTCGCAATTCCACGCTTTACGCAGCGCTGGCAAGGACGAGCTGTAGAGGAGAATATGTGACGTTGACATGTGCAAGATCCGGGGAACAAACAAATGACCTACAATCATCACATGTTAAATGTGCTTTCTGGCAGTGCGCGCAGGCACGATTTGCTTTCTTTTTCTTGGGACCGTCCCTGCTTTTGCGTGGAGCTTCGGTGTCTTCATCGCGTCTGCGTTTCCTTACAGCGACTTTGTCTTTTTGAGTGCGGTAGTGAGAAGGGCCTGCCTGTGGTTCTGGAGTGACCATCTGGGAAGGATTCACGTATGCGCTTGAGGGAGAAGGAGCAGCAGTAGTCACAGGGGACTGGTCGACCAAAGTGGTCATGTCAGAGGATGTTTGAGTGAGTGCAGAATCTGCCATGAGAATTGCTATGAACACATATAATGATCAGCAAAGTAAACGGTTAAAGAGGAGTCTGAGGGAGAGGATATGATGACCGTCGGTTGGAAGCAAGGGAAACTTTGACGTCGGCCGTAAACCGATGAGCGACTGATTTCCTTCCTTTTACATCAATTCTCAATTGCCAAGTAATATTTTTTATCCTTTTGCTTACATAATTCGTAATCCGGCCTCCTTCCTTCGGCACAAGCCCGTCCCTGCCGATAACGGTCCGATATCCCCGGAATAATGTCGGCTTACTAGAGAGAGGCAAAAATTCTATAGGTTCAACGTACAAGGTATGTACCAACGAGGTGGACAGTCCGCTTGATCCCGCTAACTTGGACAAAGTTAGCATGCGTAGTGACGGTACCGCTGTGAAACAACTGTTCACTAGTCTGGTTTCTTCACTTGGTCGTGAAACAGCCACACGCGAACTCAAATGGATGAAGAGTGCGGCTCTGATCGCATCTCATTCTCCCACACTTCCCGCAATGCTTCAGCGTAGGTTGAGTGGAGAACCACTTCAATATATTCTTGGTGTGCAGCTTAAGTCCATCAACCTCGCGCGCTAATGTTCATCTATTCACATAGGTACAACGCCTTTCGGTCCCCTTGACCTGCTAACAAGGCCTCCAACATTAATACCACGTCCTGAAACAGAGCACTGGACTCTTCAACTTGCGGATCTGTTAACGCCGACGCCCGCACGTCCGCTAACCGTTCTCGATCTATGCACTGGTACCGGCTGTATACCCCTCTTATTATGTCACCTCTGGCCACCAGGCAGCACTCGTGCTTATGGTGTAGACATATCTCAAGACGCTATCCGCTTAGCCACCGATAATGCCGCACGTTGCAACATTCCGTTATCCCATGCTTCGTCCCTGGCTCCATACAGTCAAAACGTATTCATCCCAGTGCTTGGTGATCTCCGTAATCCAGACGTTTTCAAGCGTGTCCTGCCACCGTTCGACGTTATTACGGCGAATCCTCCTTACATTCCAAAACGAGAGTACGACGAGCTTCCCATTTCAGTCAAGAATTACGAAGATCCTGCCGCATTGTTGGGGGACCCGCCAGGTTCCGAAGAACAAGATGGCCTGACCTTTTATCGTCTCATTGCGCAGCTCCTAGCACAAAAAGGGATGCTGCGTGAAGGTTCAATCGTGGCATTGGAAGTCGGTCAAGGCCAAGCAGATGCGGTCGAAGCCATACTCCAACAGTCAGCAGGCTTGCGAAAGACGCAAGTATGGAAAGACCCATGGAATGTCAAACGTGTCGTCCTTGCACGCGCTTGAGGATACTCACATCACCATCCACGTGTCATATCCTCGAGTGATCGACGCTCTTCTCATCTCCAGATGCGCGTAATAATAGCAATCTTACTCCGTTTTCTGCCGTGACTCGTGACGTCCGAGATATGAAGTTTTCACTGCTTCCCGCGACGACGTGGTTAACCAATGATCGAGAGAAGCCTAACTGTTGATTGTTTGTTTCTCTGAACGGAAACGGTTCTCCGGATATTTCACGGCGACCACACGTGGCATTTGCCCACACGCGGGGAATACAGACTAATACAGACGGGAATGGACACCTGTCTCCCACTGCGCAAGGTATGAGATGCCATGACGATGACAATTATTGCACGTGGCGTTTGGGTGTCAGCACAACCGAACATGATTGGCGAGGACAGCCCTTTAATCATGCCGACGATGAAGGCTGATGAAGGTTGTTCGCGATCGCTCAGGATGTCTATGATTCTAATTGATGTGATGAAACGTTCGCAGAAAGCCGAAATGTAAATTCTGTGGTGAGTGTCTCCCACTGTGAGTTGCTTACTGTAATGAATGTTTTGATCAGCCCCATGCAGACCCCTCGCGTCTCACATCTCCGTCGTTTTCAAATCTCACCGCATTCCTGATTGTGTCGGAGATGGTGGGGACCATCACACACCCAGTTCTGGAAGTTCCACCCACAATCGTGGCGCACGATAGGGACATTGGCGAGGTGTGCTTCTATGGGGCGAGATGGTGCGCTCCTCAACGATGAAGCCGCCGCACCAGCATTGGGATCTAAATCACCTAGTAAAGAGCTATGGCCATCCGAACATCTCGCCAGAACTGCTTGGTCACGATGTTATAGTACGCCACTGGGGCATGACTATGTGATTCTGTAAGCAGCTGCTACTAAGTTTTGAGTTGGTATGCTCACTGAGAGGGCAGGCAATGGACAGAACGAGGACGGGCGAGCTGGAGCTTGAGATCCATGTCCATCGATGACCCCACTTTATAGAGTCAAATACTGGTGGACGTTGTTTCGCTATCAGAGCTTCGAAGTAGACAACTGTGGACGCCACACGACATGTCCATTGTGCTCGAAGACTGAGCATGGTGCGCGCTCTTGTTGATCAACAAATTCCTTTCCCCATCGAGTAACATTCGAGAGACGCGTATTGGTCCCATTCCACACGCCATCAACCTCGCACGCAGCATTCAGCAATGTCAAAAGAAATTACGACCTTAATCCCAGAGTAGATTTCAAGCAAAGGCGGTCGAAATGACGCAGCAATCTTCTATGGGCCCAAACGAAGCCGAGGACGGAGTTGCGAGTCCTTTTGCGGACAGCACGCAAGATCATGCTACACATCGTCAATGTACTAGAGTGCAATCTTAAATTCAAATTGCAGCGCCAGTCTCGGATCTGATTGTGTCCGACTGCACCCTTCACGTCCATTCCTCTCCGTCAACCTAGCACGGGGTAAGGTATGGTGCTCGCCTCTGTCGACGGCAGGCTTGAGCTTGTTCATAATATTTGTTCCTCCCGACATCGATTTTCACTAATCTTTGGGGAGACGAAACTACACAAGCAGGTACACTCCGCCGGCGACGAGGAAACACCCGATGAAGTCATCTACCTTGCAGCTGTTCTCCAGTTTTCGGATTTCAATGGCGTCATTGGCACGCTGTGGGTGGTCGATGATGCTGTCGCAAACACGTTTTATACTTGCTCCCGGTTTTGGATGCTTAGCCCTTCTGCAGGTAGTGGAAGGGATGGATCATTGGGCGGTTCTTTCATCTTGCGCATAATTTCAGACGCATGTCGATTGCTAGATTTAACACTAATAGAAAGCATACAGCCAGGAGATTGGATAAGGTATCTTACGCCATGTAAGTTTCACTATCCAGAAATTGTGGGACTCGCCTTCAGCTTCAAATTCAAGTCTTCGAAGGTTTGTGAGCACCCCCAACTTGAAGTACTTAGTAAGGACCTCATCTTCTTTGCAGCCTTCAAGACATGAGACTACCAGCTGAGTACCAAGGAATATTTCGTGTGTTTAAGTTGAAGGCCACAGTGGGGCATAAGCTGTATAGCTCATCAGCCCTTTCACGTTGCCTTCATCATCCTTCGCTGCGCACGTATGAAGGCCGAGTACACCGTAGATGGCCAACGCAAAACCTACTCATACCAAGAGGTCCACAGCGGATAGGGGGGCAGTCATGAAGTTCCTACCTTGTTGCCCGCACTTGGGAGTTGCCATTTGGGATGGATCAGTGTTTTCATCACAGACATCGCACCCAACGTGGAATCAATTGTTGCGGATGACGAGTCCATCGTGGAAACGAGTCGTTCTAGATTTGATTAATAATAATCCAGTCTTTCTCCACGGACCATGAGTAGGAGGCAAGAGTGGCGCTGAATGCGTGTGAAGGAGCTGATGATCATGTAAATGAAGGTTCGCGATACCATGGCGGATGTGGAGGATTTTTCAGGGAGCATAGCACTTCGAAGTGAGTGTATGTCAGTGTGTTGACAAAGTTCCAGGGTAGCAATGTATAATGAATCACAACACGGACATTAATGCACTGGATGCTTTGAACTTTGTAAGTTGTGGACGTGTGAACGTTCTAGGTGGAAATGGATCTTACAACACAAGGGACGTGATGACAAGATCGGTTCAAATGGATCTCCTCGCATCCGCACCATCACCAGGACTGCCACACTATCCGGAAGGAAGTCCAACACACAAAGATTCGCGATACTAGTATGCGCTCTCCGTTATCGCCACCGCTACCAATCGTACGTCTATGTGAGCAGTGGCGGTTTCATGTACTTCCTAATCGATTCATGTGAGCGCCAAAATGTGCATAAACGTACTACGTACCATTCAAGCTGGGTGCCGGCAAAGAAAAGTTACATGAAATACCTTCAGGGTTAAGTAGCAGAAGTCGCTCACCGTTCCAGACCATGCTTACTAACGATGCATCTCCAGTTGGACCTCCTTCGCCGCCGCCGGTCCAGACAGAAGTCTAATCTCCACCAGGTTGACTTCTTCGATCACCCTGACCAGTTTTACGAGCTAATACGAGCCAATGGACATTGGTTCTGCTATCTCGAACTGACGACCGCCTGCAGCACTACTGCCCATATGGAAAGCAGCAAGATCGTTTTATGTAAATCCTGTTTATCGTCCTCAATGGGGCTGTGCCTGATGCATGATGGGCCACATGCTGCTACATGCAGAGAGTATTTACATATACTGCAGTGGTGCGCGCAGTAGCGTGTTCGGTTCACGAACGCCCAAATTCGTCCGTGAGGGATTCCTTAAAGATAAGATAGTTTACCGCGGGGGGAGCCGGAGGAATCCCTTTCCTACATCCACCACCTTGTAAGTACTAGTACGCAAAGCTATGGCATACGAGAGCATACCCCTCGAAGCCTTCCATGAAACATTCAAATTTAGCATCGGTGTGTATTGCGCTTGCTATTTGTTCCATCCTCACACAACTCGTTCAGAGCTTTCCAGTGTCTCACTGGGAGGAAAGGTTGTGAAGGTCTCAGACGAGTTCTTCGCCGAGGCATTTAACCTGCTTGAAGTCGAGGTAAGCCCCGCGACTGTGACTTTGCAAAATGCTCCAAGTCCCTCTCAACAGCCAGCTCCCAGCCTTAAAGGGCAGTTTGGTCCTAACGGCGCATTGTACAGCGGCTGGGAGACACGGAGACATAATTCTTCCTACGACTGGTATGTTGATGAGGTATGGTCCGCATAATATATCGTGATACAAGTTTTCTACACGCAGGTGTATCATTAAACTCGGTACGTTGGGCACAATCGTCGGATTCGACATCGACACAAGCCACTTTAGCGGTTCGTCTCAGTCTTATCTTTACAAAATAAATGTTACCGATAAGCTCGTCATAATATGTAGGTAACGAGGGTCCTCAAGCATCCGTGGATGCTATTATTGACTCGGATGAACATGACGTGGATAATGCAAAGGTTCGTGTTTGTATGATATTGTATCTCGCGACCGTGACCGCTTTTCCGAAATTGATATATGACGCTACAGTGGACAGAAATACTACCCCGTGTACCCCTCGGCCCGTCTCAACGGCATCTTTTCAAGATACCAGAGACTGGGCGAGTGAAGTTTGTGAAATTAAATATGTATCCGGACGGTGGCATCGTAAGACTTCGTGTCCGATTGCTCGAATGCGACACTCACGTGTTTAATTATAGGCGCGTTTCCGAGTGTACGGAAACGTAGCACCTGTGCAACCTGACAGCCCTCAAGAAATATTCGACCTCGCTCATGTCTTCGCTGGAGGTCGCGTGACATATATGTCTGATCAACATTTTGGTGTTGGCTCGAATCTGATCCTCCCAGGACGAGGTGGGTGTCTTGCACTTCTTGGGAGGTTTATTTCGGTATGATATCTGTGCAGGTAAGGATATGGGCGATGGTTGGGAGACTAAGCGGAGCCGGCAAAAGGGCCACAAGGACTGGGTGATCATTAAATTGCAAGTTACCGAAAACTCTCCCATGAATTGAGCTCATCGGTGACTATATAGGGGCACACAAGGTCATCTCGGAACAGTAGAAATTGACACGGCACATTTTAAGGGAAACTTCCCAGAGACCTGTGAACTTCACGCTCTGTCCAGCGAAGACGAGGTACCAGATAGTGACGCTGCCGATTGGACACGGATTTTGTCCCCGGTCAAGCTTGGACCCCATCGAAGGCACTTTTTTGCACTGGAAGCAGATGCTTCCGTTTCCTACACGCACGTAAAGCTCACCATATATCCTGATGGTGGCATCAAGCGTATACGAGTCTATGGGACGAAGGGTCCCAGTCCCACTACAGCAGACCTTGCGGCCAAACTCAGTGACGCAGCGGAAAACGATGCTGCAGCCCCGCTTGAATTGACGCTTACAGCAATGAAGCAGGGCAAAACCATACCTGTCCTTCCTCTCACACCAGAAGCCTTTTTGCCCTTTGGCCAAGTCATTCAAGCATATGGCGACCACACCGCAGCTCCCCCAGGAACTAAGATCACGCCTGCAAATCAGGGATCTGCAACCAAATTCCACAAGCTTTCACTTTTAGAATCATCTTATCCGGCTGGCCCGGGAGCTAGCACTGGGCTGTCTGTCTATCGTTGCAACCCGACAGAAATCGTTAACAGTGCTGTGGAGCTCAAGGTCGTTGAGCGTCATCCGTATACCAACCAGGCCTTCATTCCTATGGGAGGTGGAGGTATACAGGGTGACGAGGCGCTGAAGGAGCCAGGTAATGCATACCTTGTGGTGGTCGCCCACAATGGAGCAGACGACAAACCCGACCTCAATACTCTTCGTGCATTCGTAGCGAGTGCAGGGCAAGGAATCATGTACAACACGGCAATTTGGCGTAAGTGACCTACCAACATTACCGTTTCCAGTTTTTCAAGCATGTCCTCAGATCAACCGATGACGGTTTTGTACAAGGTAACGGGGTTCTTGTTCTGAAATACACGTGCTCACCAGCTTTCTGGAAGCCAATGGACTTCACTTGCGTGGAGACGCAAATTGGGAACGGCGACAAGGCGGATTGTGAAATATTGGAGTTGGAAGCCAGCGAAGTGGTTATTTTGGCGCTTCCGCGTCATTAGGTTGCACTGTGCATACGCTTCGACACAATACGCCTTCGAATGATCGATCGACAAAGCGTGATATGAGATCGGAGTGATGTGTATTATATAGGCTCTAGTGTTGTTTGAGATCGACAAGCCACGATCTAGGCTTGTACTAGCTCTATGTAGGTCAGTGCTGTCTATTAATGTAAGAAATCTACTTCTTTGCCTGTGGCATCGTCTTGCGGTAGGCCTCTTCCAGATCCTTCTGAACGTTGGGAAGCACGGGCATGTGGTTCTAACAGGACAATATCAGCTCCTACACTTTAACCGACGGGTATGACGCACCTTGTACTCCATGGTAAACTCGCCCTTGCCCTGCGTCCCACCGCGGAGCTGACTCGAGTAGCCAAACATGTCATTCAGAGCGACTTCTGCAGTGCACACGAACTCTTCATCACGGACCTCGCTGTCAATGATAGTACCTCGCCGTTGATTCAGTCCACCGATGACAGCACCTGAAGGACCGGTTAGAGTTCATACACACAACCAAAGGGTTCGCGACGCACTCTGGAATTCGGATGGGGCGACAACCTCGACATTCATGATAGGCTCGAGAATGACTGGCTTTGTGTTTTTATATGCTTCGCGGAATGCACCAATAGTGGCGTTTCGGAAAGCAAGTTCGGAAGAGTCTACAGCATGGAAAGCACCATCCTTGAGCACGAAGCAGCAGCCAGTGATCGGGTTACCGGACAGCGACCCCTTCTCAAGCGCCTCGTAAAAGCCCTGTGCAATAACATGAAGACACGGTTAATCGTCCGGTAGCCACGTCAACGTACCTTCTCCACAGCAGGAATGAAATTAGTGGGGACGTTCCCTCCCATGACGACGTTCACAAAGTCAACATCACGGCCAAGGTCCTCGCTGAATTCCATAGGCTCAATGTATCCGATGACACGTGCGAACTGCCCTGATCCACCAGTTTGTTTCTTGTGTGTATAGCTGAACTCTGCACGCTGTGTGATGGTCTCGCGGAAGGCGACGCGAGGTTTGCCAGTGGTGCAAGCGACGTTGTACTCACGACGCATGCGCTCGACATAGATTTCCAAGTGAAGTTCGCCCATGCCAGAAATGATTGTCTGCAGCGAAAGGTGAATAAAGGAGGGATAGTTATCACACGCGAGCATACATACCTCTTTGCTCTCCTTGTCAAGATGAACCCTGAACGTTGGATCTTCCTTCTGGAATCTGTTCAGGGCACGAGAAAAGTTGGGAGTCTCTTTTCCTTCAGGTTTGATGGCGAGGGAGATCACAGGTTCAGGAACGAACATCGACGTCTTCAAAACAGTATAGGTGAGACCAGCACCAGAAGGATGACCATTGACCTGCTTACCATGGAGAAGCTGGTCGAACCATCGGTGAAGGTGTCACCAGAGGAGCATTCAACACCGAATATAGCACAAATTTCACCGGGACCGATAGACTCGATGTCCTATGTTCATAAGGACGTGAGGTCTAGAAGTGAGTAAACTGCAAAGGCGCGTACCTCCATCTCGTTACTATGCATACGAACAAGCCGAGGGACCTTAACCTTCTTGCCAGTGCGGGCGTTATAAATGATACCGCCCTTCTTGAGTGTGCCTTGGTAAACCCGCATGTATGTCAGCTGACCGAACCGTCCCTCCTCGAGTTTGAAAGCCAAGCCGACGAGAGGCGCATCTGAAGCGGGAACAAGCGGCACAGGTGGGGCAGATGCAGGTTGAGTTGTGTCATGCGCTGTCACGGATCCTTCAGCCGGGTTCGCGAGGTAGGCGCACACACCATCGAGCATAGGCTGGACGGCAGTGTTCTTGATCGCAGAGCCAAGGAAGACTGGTGAAAACTTGAGACCGACGGTGGCGCGACGAATAGCTGCAACAAGCTGGGCAGTTGTGGGAGTCTCGTCCATGATCAAAAGTTCACCCATTTCGTCGTCCACTTCAGCAAGTGTTTCGAGCAGTTCAGTACGCTTAGCCTTGGCGAGATCGAGCACGGATTCAGGAATCTCGTCAGACTCCACGACGTTAATGCTGTAACATACGTTTAATACCGCTGGGGAACACAAGTTGTTAGAAACATACCCTTTTTCTCCTTCGTTGTAAATAGCCTTCCATCGTACGAGGTCAACTACGCCCGTCAGCTCGTCTTCGACGCCTATAGGCACCTGAACCGCTGCGGCTGCAATCTTGAGTTTTGACCGGATCTGATTGATAACTCGCCAAGGGTTGGCGCCAGGCCTAAGACAGAAAATTAAAGTTCGAACTTCAAGTTGATGACTTGCTTCCTACCTATCCATCTTGTTGATAAAGGAAATCCGAGGAACACCATACCGTCTCATTTGCCGATCGACCGTAGTAGTTTGGCTCTATACAAAATGATAAAACATTGTCGACCAGACTGAATTATGTGTTGCATACCTGTACACCAGAGACAGCACAGAGAACCAGAATGGCACCATCCAAGACACGGAGGGCGCGCTCAACTTCTATAGTGAAGTCAACGTGACCTGCAAGACGCGTCAATTTCAGCAGGAGATAGTTTAGCGACCAAATCACCTGGGGTATCAATAATATTGATTGCATACTTTTGTTTCTCATTTGTCACAGGTGAAGTTGCTTCCCAATCACAAAAAGTAGCAGCACTTTGAATAGTGATACCCTTCTCGCGTTCAAGCTCCATGCTATCCATCTTGGCACCGACAGCATCGCGACCACGAACCTTTGTCACATAGAAAAATCAGCCATGTCCACGTATAATTGAATCTGAGAACGCGAAACGAAAACTGCCAGACTCACCTCGTGAATTTCCCGAATCCGACCAGTATAGAATAGTACGCGTTCTGTGAGAGTCGTCTTGCCGGAATCAATGTGCGCAGAAACACCAATGTTCCTCTGAAAATTGAGCCTTTGCACATCTTTCTCTGTTAAGTTATATGTGGGGTAAGTTGGCGGCTCATATTCGACTTCTGAGGACTTGGCGACCGCGGCTGCTGCTGAAGCAGCGCGTCTCCCTGAGCATGATACCAAACACTGTGGAGAAGTTCTGGATGATCTAGAACTGTACAACGCCCATTGCCATGAACTGGGCAACCTCCGGACAAATGTCTGCATGACAGGTCAGAAGGACATGCAAAAATTAAGCGGGTGGCGATAAACCCGACAACCCGTTACAGGCCATCGGAGTTTCAAACCCAGATACTGTTCATTGCTAAGGTCCCTTTTGAAAGTGTTTATTCTGTTCGTCGCGTCCTACCAACGCCTCTTTTAATCCTTCATCATGTCGGAATCAAGGAAGAGGCCATTGCCAGACGATGGGGAGGTTGCTCAAGCAAAAAAGCGGGTGTTGACCAGCACGAGTGGGAGCCCGGAGGTCAACGGCTTGACTGCTAATCACGACGCAGAAGAACCTGCAGACAACCACCAGTTGGAGGTGATTTTAGCGTTTCTTGTAGTTATGCACTCTACAAAAACCTAACTCTTTGTTAGCTATTTCGAAAGGAGGCTATCTTCAGGCGCATGAAGCACTATTCGAGAGAGAACGGGCGGAATCAGGCGCGCATAGCTCAACTGGAGCAGCGAAGAAGCTCGTGTGAGGCAGGTCTGGTGGCCATTGCCGCATGCTGGAAACAGGTATGTTTTATGTTACTATCTCAGCAGTAGGCATCAATATTCTGGTGGCATAGTTAGTAGACACCATTCAAACCCTGACGCCACCAGAGGAACTTCCAACAGTCGAAGTCGATACGAAGGGTGGGTCAAACACTCCCTACACGACTTGGCTCCTGTTAAGCATTGTACCAGATATTTTTGACTTGTCACAGCACATTTCAACTGACTCGAGCCTCAAAGCTGCACTAGAGAAGAACATGCTCGCAACCGAAAAACTAATCACAAGTTTCATGAAGCTAAATCCAGCCACCTTCAACGACAAGGCATATCAACGTTGTCAGACATCACAGACCGAGGTCAGTATTTCCACTGGGCCACATAACACCACGCTGACTCGACGTAGTGTGCTGCACTTCGCTCTGAAATAGCACTTATGCAGCAGAAGCTCAGCGAGGTCCAGTCAGAGAAGGAGCAACTACACGATGACCTCATTGCTTTGGAGATCAAGTTGGACCGTACGCAAAGTGGTACTGTTGCAGCCATGCAGGCAAAGGGTGGGGCAAAGGAAGAGGCACACTCGGATCAACCATGCCCACCGGAAGGAAGCACTCCGAATCATGGGTCGTCAACTCCGCTAGTTAGCAATCACGGGTTCTTCTCATTCTTGCATGTGACTCACCTTTTCTTAGCCGGCTCAAATAAATGGTCATGATGATTCATCCCTGTCAGACATTGAAGCTCTTCGATTGGAGCTCAAAATTTCCTCCGACCGTGCAAATAAGCTGGAGACAGAAATTAGGACCCAGGCAGAAACCATAGCGAAGCTCGAGGTCGAGGTTTGTCAGTCATTACCTTCCCTAGGATAATGCTTACATTGTTCCCCTAAAGCGCGCCGCTCCGACAGTTGAAATGGTCTCTGGGACTGTGCACTATAAGCTATTATCTGAGCGTAGGGATTATCTGGAGCATACCAAATCTGAGAACGATAACAGAATTGGACGGTTGGACGCCACGGTACGAGACCTGCAATCAAGTCGGACGCAATTTGAGGAGGAGACTCGTGTAGGTTCATCCACTTCTGTCCTCTTGATTGTTCATTTCATATTCGTCAGGCTTCCGCGCAACAAATGAATCAAGAACTCAAAGCGGTACTTGCTAAGCGGGATGCAGATCTCACTCGCCTTCGCGACCAACGTGAGCTGCTGCACGCCGAATTAAATGAACTTAGAAGTCGTGAAAATATAAAATATCAGTCATCACGGGAACTCAAGGCCCTCGCCGAATCACGAGCGGTGCGCCAGTCACACACAGATTCATACCAAGTTGTTGATACATTGCAAATAGGAAAAAATAACGCAACTTGAGTCGGAGGTTAGGAGACATAAGGCGAAATTAGCTGCGCATGCCGGCAATGAAGATCTCATGAAGTATTTCTGGGAGGGAAAAGTTGATGATCTTCAATATGTGGACGGTCTTCGGAGGAAATCGATGTGAGCATCACATTCTAGCGTGCGGAGACACGTGCCATTGACATTGCATAGTGAAACTGAGGCAAAGCTCACTGCACTCCAGCAATCCCTGTCCGCCATACGAGAAGAGCAACCTGATATTGCACGTCATATTGCCTCCGAGGCAGCTACCCGAGAAGAGCTCGTGGCAGTCACGGCAGAATTATCAAAATATCGATCTCTCCTTGGAGAACCCTCTTCTTCAGACCTCACTAGGCAATTGCAAGCGAAGGAAGATGAGCTCCAGAAATTGCGGCTTCTTGCAGAGCAACATCAACAGGCGGAGGACGCAATTTATGCAGAGGTGGAGAGGCTTTCAGGAGCATGGGAAACTTTGGATGGGCAATTAAAGAATAAGGCAGCGAGCTTGACCGCAGCGGAAGAAAAGGTCGCCAAGAGCGCACATGAGGTACGTCGCCGTTTCTCGTTCGTCCGACGAATTAAGTGTACGTTTTGTATCCAGAAAGCCAAGGCGGATAATAAGTACTTTGCGGCGATGCGCGACAGGGAGTCCGTCGAGATTGAGCGAAAAAATGCCATTCGAAACCTCGAGAAGCAAGCCAAGGTTGTCGAACGACTAGCTGACAGCGAGAAAAACCTGCAACAACAAGTGGTGCGTTCCTTTCTTCTGCGTTCCACCTCTCCTTGGCCTCTTACCATTGTCATCTTGACTTAGGGGCATCTCGAAGCAGCCAACCAGCGTCTGCATCGAGTGATGGATGAAGCGGAAATAAGATTCAATGCGCTCGATTATGATGCTTTGATGTACAAGAAGCAGGCTGAGAGTACCGAAGAGATGATGAAGAATGTATGATTTTCTATTGTTGTCTGGTTCATATCCATAACTTCTCCGCTTAGGTTCGAAAAGTTGCTGACGAGAAATACGCCTACATCCACCACCTCAAAGGTTGTCTATTCAAGAAAGATGACGAGCATGCTCGTATGAAAGCCGAGGTTGATAAACTCCGTGCTGAGGCGAAGAAGTTCAAATCTGCTTCAGCCAGCGAAAAGGAAGCAGAGCTTATCGAGGAGGCTGCGTCTGTCTGGGTACGCTGCACCCACCCCAGTCTTTGGAAGTGATTATTGATTGGGCTCACAGAGACTCATTAAATGTTCGACGTGCAAAGAAAACATGCGCGGGGTTGCTCTCACCAAGTGCTCGCACAGTACGTATCATTATTCGAAATAAGTAACGCATAAGCGATCTAATCCTATCCTTTCTAGCGTTCTGCAAACAGTGCGTCGAGGCCAGGATCTCGACACGTCAGCGGCGGTGCCCACATTGTAATTCAGGCTTTGCGCAGAGCGAGGTGGTGAACGTCCTCTTCCAATGAGCGTTTCTTTCATTCCATCCATCCCTACTCAAATATAGACTTCTGGTAATCTTCGCTGCTTGGCGCTTTTTTATTGGACCGAATTTTCAGTCATGCGGCGATGTATTGTAGCATATTTTTTATGCTTTTTTATGGAGCATATGTGCCAGGTAATGTAATGATATCTTTTTGTCTTTGGCATTTGTCGGCGAATTATAGTGTTTGGAGGGGACCTGCTTAAGGCTTATGATATGCCAGGTCGGGCTGGGAGAACGCGCTTCGTACCACTGTCCAAGTCACTAAATAATGAGAACCATGTTTGTTGAAACGAAAGCTAGGAGGTGTCTCTGAATGTGGAAGCACGGTTTTTACCCATCTCAATCTGTAGTCGAGGACATGACAAGTGATACTATGTAATAACCAGATGTAGCAACAGCGGAACACACCAAGAACAGCTACCGCTTGACCCAGGCATACTGCAGACGCGGTGAGCGAAAGAGAGAATGAAGGAAGGAAAGATGCACATACTCGCTTGCGTGCCTTCGCAAGACCAGGCTTTTTTCGCTCGACCATACGAGGATCGCGACGCAAAAGTTTCGCTACGAACGGAGATGTTAGTCGACGTTGCCAGGTGGAGGATAGTTGTAATGAAACTAAGGAACACTCACCCTTCCTCAAAATCGTCGCTACACCAGGTTCGTGCGCTGCTAGACCCTTCGCGATGCCATGCGCGAGCGCACCGCTCTGTCCAGATGTACCTCCGCCACGTACTATCGCAAATACATTGTATGCATTCAACAACCCCGCGAGTTTCAGTGGATGAATCACGCGGGTACGATCAGCGGGGATAGGGAAATAAGTCGAGAGGGGGGAGTTATTGACAATAATCTGAGACGTCGAGACATGGTCGGTGCTCCTCGATGAAGAATTGGGGTTGAGAAGGGCCGTAAGCGCGCTTTCCGTTTCCGTTGCTGGTGGTATGGACTTGGAGGCGGCGGATTTGTCTGCGAGAGGCTGTTGCACGGGCACGATCCACACTCGTGCAGAGCTCGTCTTCCGCTTTCCGAGGGTGTAACTTCGCCCGTACTCGTCGAATTTGACGGGTTTAGCCTTTCCCCTCGCCAGCATTGTCGCGGCGTCTGCACGCTCGAACAGTTCTGTGATACCTCTGATACCTTCCTGCAACTCTGCAATCCCGGCTTTTTCTGCAATAGACCTATATGTCTCGAGCTCATTGAGCACGAGAACCACTCGTCTGTAGCGGCTCGTAGTGAGTGTACTTCTCAGCTTGAGGCCGAGCTCGCGCTTGTCTACCCAAGCATTGACACGCGGTGGGAGGGCCTCCCGAGCAAACTGGGGAAGAGGAAGGAGGTGGCACGTCGTAAGTGCTGTTTTCGCATGTTGGAGAGCTGATTCTAACGACGAGAGTTGGTCGTAGAATTCGGGACGAGCGGTATAGAATGCTGGGCTTGTAGGACGCGGTTTTTCAGGTTGACGCCGGTCGAAGTCGAAATGGTCGAGAGACGCGGGGGGGACGAAAGGCCTTGTAGTCTGTGTCGAATAAAATCGAAACTTTGACAAGCCCGACGCTCGTCGCAGGACGTTCATCACGTAGTCGAATGAAACTCGGAAGTTCGGAAGCGGGAAAAACGGTGGTGCGGCAACTGCCGGGAATCACTGATGCGGTGCTCACAAACGCTGAGTACAGTACTTGTGCGCATCCACTACGATACTTGGACCTCTCAGTATCCTCTTGCGCAAACGAGCCATGGAGTCGTTCACAAAGTTGGGCACCAAAACCCACACACTGTCACTGCTTCTGCAAGTCGCAGTTTGTCGTTGTAACAATCACCTTCGTCGCCAGCAGTTTGTCGTTGTAACATTAATCATCTTCGTCGCCAGCAGTTTGTCATTGTAACTCGTCCTATTCCCAATTGTGATTGCCACGGCCACCCTGACACTTTTTTCAGGTACGGTCTAAAAGCTTGACAGGATGATCAGCTAAATATAGGCTCTCCATGGGCTGTGGGCATGTTTCCTGCAGAGACTTGACGATTAACATTACAGACCTTTCGGAAAGTCTTGTCTCACGTGTTCGAAATGGTTCAAAAATAGTAGAAATGTTGAAAATTCAAATAAATCGAAAATTCAGCAAACTTGCACCACTCTCCTTCAAAGTCGAGCAGAAAAGCATAACTGTCACTCCTTTGAACGTTAGATTATGTCTAATACAGTAACCGAATGCTCCGACGAGGAGGATGCCTATCATTCACAACACTCTGATGAAGAATCTGTTGATGGTATCCATATGGAATCTGGCAACATTTTAGACGAAGAACATGGTAATCTTGGTGGTATGGAAGACTCCTCGGGCGAGGATGGTGATGAAACCTATGGGGACAATGACTCGGAGTTAGAGCTTGCTCCTGAGCTACAAGCAATCAAAGGTTACTACCTCCTTGTTACTCGACGGGAATAAACTGACACCTAGGCAGATGCAATTTATGCCAAGCAGCCTGCACTGAAGATTCGGATCCCTGCTGGCTCAGTGATGGGTAGTAAGCTATCGAAGCGGAAATATGATTTCGACTGTGCTGCAGATACCTCTGAGGCAGAAGATCCTTTAGCCAATGCACGCAAGAAGTTAAAGCCTTCTAAAGCTTCGAAGCATGCCAAAAAGCATCATAACCCTGGTACGAAGAATGTTATCAAGCCTCGCTCACGTGGACGACCTCGCAAAGAAGGCCCAAAGGACTTCTCCGTACCTGTGTATGTTGAGATTGCCCAGCCACCGGTGTTGGAGAGAGGCAAGACACCCAAGGGCGACAAATTCGTGAAGCAGCCACCAGTTTCAGATGGTCCTTTCAACATCACTCCGAAGATGAGTTGGCACCAGTTTGTTGACGAAATAGTGGTGTTTGCCAATGTCGAGAGGGAGAATATTGATATGTCTAGTACAAAGTGGAGCTTCCAGAAGAAAAATCCTCTTCCTTTGAAGGACGCTATTGGCTACGAAACCATGAAGAAGCAGATTCGAGGAATGAAAGATCCAGACTCCGCAATCATCATTGTTGCACTCACGACTCCAAGACCTACCAAACACGGACGTCAAGCTGCACCTGTTCCGATTCTGGATATTCCTGAAAAACGTCAAGATGATCATGATGGTAGCTTGTATGGGAGAAAAGTGAGTGCTCACGGTGACACTGACAGCAAGTGAAATTGCTGACATTGAAATGATGCGCAGCTTTCATTTGATGAACAAATTGCGCCAATCCTGGAGAGACTGAACGACGAGCACGAGATTGGTACTTGTGCAACTCACCCTTCGATCCGCTGCTATGTTCAAGAACCACAAGGCTGGCATTTTGACTTGAACTCCAATAGAATGAAAGTTTGGGCGAATTCTATTGTACGTACATCAGCATTGTCTACTGTGACACATATATATGATAGTTGCCAGCTTCGCAAGCAAACCTCGTATGGGCGGATTCCCATTGGCAGCAATTTCTTTAACCCTAAGGATCGCATCAAGGATTTGACACTGCCTCAGACACCACAGACTCCTCGTGCTTCGAACATGTCTGACCAACCATTCTTCCCTTCAATGTCACCATGGAACCTCCCAAACCCTTTGCTGCAGCAATTCTCATCCCCAATGTACCCTTTCGTACCATGGAACATGCACCCTCTACACATGCAGCAATTTGTACCACCCACTCCGAGTCCAGTAGCGCACCACGTGGGGCCGGGCTGCACACACCAGCATTTCGGTGCATCTGCCAGCATTTCAGCTGCGCCGGCACAGGTTACCAAGAATCCGGTGGAGGAATGGTGTCAAAAATATGCTCTGGACGACGAGGACTGCCAGAGTCTTAAAAAGCTCGGCTTCAAAGTTGGCGACAAGCTGGATGCTTTAGGTGCTGATATTTGGGAATGGGCTGCAGTCCCTCCACTCGCTCGCATACGTATCTTGAATGCCTATGTTGCCAGCAAAGCAGAAAACCCATTTGCCTAGGTCCGCACTCGAGATCTAGAATGTGATATCCCCACCGTTTATTCGCACATTTACCATTTGTTAAACTCTGCTAATCTTACACAACTTTCGTAGATATTCATACCCGTACATCGTTACCCGTAAACGCAGCTATTAGCTACTCCCCTCCGCGTAATATCGTCCGCGCTACATATAGCCACTATGCATATACCAGCCTCGAGCATTTTCGGCATTTACGGCCCTGAAGCAAGCTTCACGAAGGTCCTGCTCAGGGAATTGGCTGTGTCGGAGATCTCTCCAATGCCGTCGAAGCCATTTCTTCACTGTAGAGGAAGTGTGAGTGACAGACTACAATGAAATGTAGTCGAACGTACAGCAACTGAAGCTCTCCTCGATCGGATTGAAATCCGGAGAGTATGGCGGCAGAAAAATAAGTAAACAACCTACGAATGTGTCAGATACTTGCAGGCAAAGTTAAGTAGTGTTTGACACACCAGATGCCTCTACAGCTTCTCGTAAGGCATCACTCTTATGAGTGGAACAGTTGTCGAGGACAATCACACTATTGGGGTGCGGAAATGGATTCATATTGGGCAACTACAATAGATTCGATCAGCGAAAATTCAGACAGTGAAAACGATATACTTGCTACGTCGTTGACAACGAAATCGTAGAACTCTGCGCCGTCTATAGATCCCTCAACAACTCGGACAGTCATATAGCCGTCGATGGTGAGAGCCGGCAGCACGCTGTATCGAATGCCCTTGTTCAAGCGGACACTGTCAAAGGGGGATTGTCCACTGAGGGACCAACCATATCTAGGGAGTGTGGTGCGGTCATCTTTGCTTGACTCGTCCAGGAACACAAGCTGATCAGCTGTATAGTTGGTTGTCATGTTGTGCAACCAATCAGCTCGGAAACCATCATCACGTTCGGCCGCGACCCTCTTCAAGCGCTTGTAGGTGAGACCAAGGTCCCTGAGGTTTTCGTGGAGAGCTGTCGTCGATATTGGCTGATCGTGGTATATGGCGAGCCATTCGCCGATCTCGTCAAGTAGCAGTGACGGGGTTTCGGCTAACAGCTCGTGGATCTCGTCTGTCATAACTTGATTCAGCAAGCGAGGGCGACCCATGATTGGCGTGGGGGGATTGATGTGTCCGTGTTCGTCATAATTTGCCTCCCACCGCTCTATACTTATTGACGATACTCCGAGAGCAACAGCGATGCGCTCAATGTCCCATCCTTCCTCCAAAAGCAGGTACAGGGCTCGTTCTTTTCGATCACGACTGATCCTCTGGTAGACCATGACGAGTCTGGGTGAGAAACTTGTGAGATGTGGTGTTTTTGAAGCCGTTCAGAGGCATACAATACTCGAAAGTGATTTAATTGAATTTTCGACATTTTCACTATTTTTGAACCGTTTCGAGCACGTGAGACAAGACTTTCCGAAAGGTCTGTACTTATGTTGACTAGCGTCTAATTATAAGTAATATCTCGAATCCGCGACGGCGACGATCAGATTCGTCTCCCTCCTTAGGCTCGTGGCTAGATACTACCGCGGTCCACGGGTTAACGTGAAGTACGGTCTCCTGTGAGTCTACACCCTCCCACCTAGTGTCCTTAGTGTTCTCAGTCCCCCCGCTACGTAATATCGCTCTTCATCCAGGCTGGCGTGAAAGATGCCATCTTATCCCCCTTTAAATTGCCTGTGATTGAGAGGTAAGTATGTCACAGACTCACAGTACACTCTCAATCTCTCTGGTGCGTTTGGTACCTGTATTCAGAGAACAAGTGAACTATTGTTAACCCGCAGTGCAGCATATCCTTCTAGCCATTATCCACCAACCTCCGAGCCCCCCCCCCCCCACCTAATAACGAGTCACAGTCCTATACATGTCTCTCAATATCGTTTGCGCAGATCCCGAGATCATCCGTCGAATCTATCAGAGTGGTCAGCCAGTTGTCCTGTATCAGTGTCAATTGCAGGGGAACCCTTGTGGTTTGCATGTGGAAGGGACAACCAGTGCGGTGTCCGCCCATCTGCGAACATCTCACAGCGTCGCCGGTCAGGACAGCACCAGTGCAATCTGTACGTGGGATGGCTGCTCCAAGACGCTCAAGAAGGGAAGCATGACTAGACACTTCCTTTCTCACCTTGGTGTCAAGGTGCGCTGCTCTACATGCGGAGTCGTGATGTGCCGTCACGACCTCCTTCGTGCGCATATCATATCCTCAGATCCATGCCATCTCGCAATTGCCGACGCTGTTCATGGACCCGAGGGACGTAGCCTTTCCCCTATGGGTTGGGTTCCCACCCAACAGGACTGATCCCTGTGGTGTTCTGTATGTCGCGTCGTATACTTTTTTTGATTGTGCTGACAAGTTGCTTCATTTTAGACTACTCAAGAAAAAAAACCGTACAAATTCCCGTAGTCTCTTTGTTTGTGGCACTAGGTCCACAGCAAGAAGTTCAGTTGAACCTGAGCTTAACACAGTCGTTTTCGCACTCAAGATAGATAATTTTTGTATCCTGCACTGGTTGAGCACGGACATGACAAGTACTACTATGTAATAACCAGACCCTCCGGAGATGCCTGAATGATGCCTGTTAAACCAAATTTAGATTCAACCGATCTCTCCAAACTTCATTTGCGAGGAAAACCTGTTGCAGACTTACAGGACTAATCAGATACACCGACCAATCCACCGAGCCGTGAGGTCGCTCACAAAGGGGGGAGTTGTTGACAATAATTTGAGACGTCGAAACATGGTCGTCGCTCCTTGATGAAGAATTGGGGTTGAGAAGGTCCGTAAGCGCGCTGTCCGTTTCCGTTGCATCGTCGTGGCGTTTGCACGCTTGAACAGTTCTGTGATACCTCTGATACCTTCCTGCAACTATGCAATCCCAGCCTTTTCTGCAATGGACCTATAGGTCTCGAGCTCATTGAACGCGAGAACCACTCGCCTGTAACGGCTCGTAGTGAGTGTGCTCCTCAGTTTGAGCCTTGAGGCCGAGCTCGCGCTTGTCTACCCAAGCATTGACACGCGGTGGGAGCGCCTCCCGAGCAAATTGGGGAAGAGGAAGGAGGTGGCACGTCGTAAGTGCTGTTTTCGTATGTTGGACAGCTGATTCTAACGACGAGAGCTGATCGTAGCATTCGGGACGAGCGGTATAGAATGCTGGGCTTGTAGGACACGGTTTTTCAGGTTGACGCCGGTCGAAGTCGAAATGGTCGAGAGACGCGGGGGGACGAACGGCCTTGTAGTCTGTGTCACATAAAATCGAAACTTTGACAAGCCCGACGCTCGTCGCAGGACGTCATCACGTAGTCGAATGAAATTTGGAAGTTCGGAAGCGGGAAAAACGGGCACTGTGAACTGGTACGGCAAGTGCCGCGATCAATACTGCTCACAACGTCCACTACGCCTGCTGCCAGCTACTTGGACCTCCTCTTGCGCAAACGAGCCATGGAGTTGGGTACTAATCACACACTGTTCTGCTTCTGCAAGTCTTGTTTCAACAATCATCTTCGTCGCTGGCGGTTTGTCATTGTAACTAGTCCGATTCCCTCATAATGTGATTTTACTTGTCAATGAGCGACTACGCGGATGATGATCTCAAGACGCAGTCAGCTTTCTTCTAGGTTCCTCATGGGATTTTGCAGACAAAGTTATCTACAAACTCGCCCTTCTACGGTATGTCGCTTGATGCGATCAACAGTGTGTAGGAAGATGATTAAGCCACTTCATGGCTGAGGTCGAGTCAGTCCAGCAACGCCCGTGTACAGTTACGCAGCTCAAGCGTAAGGATTGATGGTGAACTCGAACCGAGCGCACTGAGTTTTGTTTTGTGTAGCATATGAGTAGAGCGGGCATATTATAAAATACGCCACCACGAAATCGGTAGAGGATGGTCTTGGGATGAACATAACATTCCTCATGAGCCACGTAGTAGTCACAGGAAGCACGGAGTTGAACGTTGAACGTTGACTGACGAGGGTGGCCATAACTTCCATCAGCCATCCTTGGGTAGATCAAGCCATCGGTATCTTTCGCCTGTTTGATATTGCATGAAGGTACTTGGCGTGGGCAGCGGGTGCCTTCTTCTGCATTGATAGTGGGTCCTCTTGAGGGTGCTGCGCGGGCGTCTGAACTCGTCAAAATAAGTGCTGTGCCTCGGAGTTGGGTCTTGGCGTGCATTAGGGAACTGATTTCACTCGTCGGGAATTGCCGCTGTCACTGATGAAGGTTCATGTCGGTGCTGAAAGACATTATTATTTCGCCATACACCGGCGCGGCCGGCCTGAATCATGAAAAAAAAGGTTCCGTGTTTCTTTGCTATCACTGTGTTCTGAATCATTCAACTTGTCCAAACAATGAATGATCTCGATCTCTCGTTGCCTTCTCGTGCCTATCAGCGCAGCAGTCAGACTGTCAAAATCTCATCTGTTTCAACTTTCATCCGATTGGATCTCTCTCCACCTTGTGGCATTGGCTCTACAAGTGCCGCACATCTTACTCAACCAATGTTCGTTTTGGGATCTCATCTATTTTGAAAGTCGCTCGGTTAGTCCCATCAACGTATGGAAGTTCCACCAAATCATGCTTGGTCGCCGTGATAGACGCTACATGTGTTATTAGGAATGGCTCGTCATTCAATCCATCTCAACCGTTGAAGCCATGACTGATGCCCAGAATGCGAACCCCCCCGAATTGGGGATAGTCAGAGAAACCTTTCCTTGGATCCTGCGACAATTGTTCCCTTTCCATCAATCAGGGTCCTTGCTTCGTGTCCACGACAGCTTCAAGGATCAGCGTAACAGTCCGCTGTTTAGCAACCTACTACTTTGCAGGCCCGAAATAGATGTCAGCAATGATCGCCACCGTACCACAGGCTGACTAGGGCTGAATTTCACGCAAGCTTTTCCAGAACATAGTAGGTCTGTAAAAGTTTGACAAGTTGATTCATCGGTCAATATAATCTGATCATGCGAAGACATGATTAGTAGGCTTTCGAATTTTCATGGGCTGTATGTTTCACAGGTAATCAATATTAATACTGCAGAGACTTGACTAGACTTAATTGCGCACAGTTTGTCATGCTTCAACGCTCAGCACTCAGCGCTCAACGTTCAGACATGTTCGTTGTTAATGCGTGGTCATATCTAGATGGTCACGGCTATTCACCTAATCACCGTCCCTTTTTCCCGAGTCCTCTGACCCTTCAGAGCGTATTATGTATACGTGCGTCTATCTTTCTCTCCGGAACGGGCACAATTCATTTCCGAAGTTAACTAACAGACTTATACAGTCTCCGTCTCTGTATGATGAACTAGCCTGTCGCTTGGGTGTTCAATGCCCCTTGAGCCTGCAGACGTATCAGACCCCAGCCACCCATTTGTTATGCCACTCATTCAGGCTGGCGTGGAACATGCCGGCTCGTCCAGGTTTAAAACGCCTGCGATTGAAAGGCAAGTATGTCGCAATACACTTTCAATCCCTCAGGTACGTTTGATACCTATATTCAAAGAACAAGTAAATCATTGCTGACCCATGTGCAGCATAACCTTCTGGCCATCATCCACCATTCTCTCCCCGCAACAACAAGTCACAGTCTTATACATGCCTCTCGATATCATTCCCGCAGATCCTAAGATCATTTCTCGAATGTATCAGAGCGGTCAACCAATTGTCCTGTATGAGTGTCAATTGCAGGGGAACTCTTGTGGTTTGCATGTGGAAGGGACAACCAGTGCAATGTCTGCCCATCTGCGAACATTTCACAGCATCACCGGTCAGGACAGCACCAGTGCAATTTGTACGTGGGGTGGCTGTTCCAAGACGCTCAAGAAGGGAAGCATGGCAAGACACCTCCTTACTCACCTTGGTGTCAAGGTGCGCTGCTCCATGTGCGGAGTCGTGAAGTGCCGTCACGATCTCCTTCGTGCACATATAAAATCCTCAGAGCCATGCCATCTTGCAATCGCCAATGCTGTCCATGGACCCGAAGGATGTAGCCTTGCCCCTATGGGTTGGGCTGCTTCCCAACAGGGCTGATCCCTGTGGTGTTATGTATGTCGTGTCATTCTTTTTTTTTTGATTCTACTGACAAGTTGTTTTTATTGTAGAAATGATAACAAATCCCTATGGAATGATACCCTTGTACCCAAGACATTTTGAGGGAGTTCGTTTCACGCGGGCGTCATAAATATAATATTTTGTTTGTGGTATTAGGTAGTAGTATGAAGATGGAATGTATCCTTAGGACCTGTTCTAATCAATATTTCTTGAACTGTAAGCTGCTATAAAGTGTGGTCGAGTACATCATGTTCCGATGAGCTCGAAGTGTCGATGGTGTCCATTGTCTTCTTCTTGGAAGATGCGATTATAAGCGGATGACCAGCAAATTCTGAACCCATACCTAGTATTTAGCAAGAGGCTTCATTTTTGTTCTTGAGCCCGAGGTAATTTGACATTTGCAGTGGCAGTAACGATCTCCTTTCATACACAGCAGTTGGCCACGTGACTATAGTAACTAACTTAAGCAGGTCTCCACTGCAATGGAAAGTTCATGTAAGCCTGGGCTTACCACACGTGACGAGCCACTGATTGGACACGCCGAACTATGACGTGCTTGTTCGGATATTAGATATAAAGTCGTTGTTGTCTGTAACTTATCTCTACCTCTTACCTCCACTTCAAATCTAACTCTCATCCACGTTCCGTCTACTGTCTGAACCTTAGTGTTCTACCCTCTGGGTAGCTTCCACTTTTTTTGAACGTACAGTTGAGCGTTAACCGTTTGCCGTTATCCTTCTGCCGTTACTGTTCACCTTGTCTTGCCGAATCAACTGTTTTAGCACGCCGCCGGATTGACCTTAGTCAGTCGGCTATTAAGAACTTACAAACTGCCTCCTCGCCGTTCCCGTCTACCCGCATACTCTCCGAAAGCAACTCGCAGTTGTGCTCGTAATCCTTTAAACAACAACACGAGTACTACTGCGATTCCAACAACAATAACGCCTCCTCACTTAATTAATCCTACTCTTAATTCCTCTCCTCTCACTGAACCAATAATCACTCATACGAGTTCCCCAACCAAAACGCATACATCCACATCCTCGGGCTCTACCGACTCGTGGAACAACTTCCCCATCATGTCCGCACCCTCCAAATATGCGCGTGTTGAACAACACGCCGCAAACAAACCACCCTTTCTCACAGCGGGAGTGATCTCCCCCGAGGTCTTTCGAGCGTGGGAAATGGGCTGTCGGCAATTCTTCATGCACAAAGACATTCCGGATGACCAAATGGTCAAAAAGGTCGCCTGGGGAATGCAGGAGCCCATCATACAAGACTGGTATCTTAACGACCAGGATTGCCTGAATGCACTCTCGTTCACAGACTACATCAAAGAAGTCCGTAGCTACTGGCTACCTGCAGACTGGGCCGACGCCATTCGTCAGAAGATGCTTCCTCCATGCAAGGCTCGAAACCATTTAACGAATGGGCCGTTGAGGTCCAGTCCAAAAACACGCTTCTTCGTGACACTCCCTCTCATCTCAATGACACCAACCTCCAATACCACCTAGAATCACACATGCATCCCGATCTCGCAGCTGAATACTGTACAGAGCAAATCACCAAGAAAGATCTACGCAAGTGGATTGAAAAAGTGAGATTGCTCGACGACAAGCGGGTCCGCCTCCTCGCGAAGCACAAAGAAGCTGCAGAAGCGGCTTATCGTGTAGAACGAGGCAAGGTCAACGTCGACAAGAAACTTACGTCGTCAACCCGCTTCAACAGCAAACAAACGCAATCAGCCTCTAACCCCTCATCATCCAATAAAACCTTCGTCCGTTTGCCCCTGCTAACAGATGACGAGCGTCAACTTCTTCGAGACAACCACGGTTGTTTCAAATGCAGAGAACCCTTTGTTCAACATTCTTCCAGCACGTGTCCCACTGGGTTCCCCGACGGAGCCACGTACAAACCTTTAACAACCGCGTTAATAGCTGCTAAAAAGAACAAGAAGAGCGGGACAACTGTCGCCGCTGTAGACTTCTCCGAGACAGTCGCTGTCGTGATGCCTTCCGCAGCGCTCGGAAATGGCTCAGAATCAGGTAATGAGTGCGTCGCACCGTTCACAACCCCGCATCTCACTTGGGACTGCCTTGTTGACGGCCCAGCTGTGTCTTCTTCTGTCACTGTATCCGCTTTGATTGATCATGGATCTCCAGCAGTTCTGATTAATGAAACACTCGCCATTAAGCTTGGTCTCCGCCGTCGAACATTGCCAAAGCCTCATCCAGTTTCTGTCGCACTCTCAGGACAACAAAAGCAATCATTCGTTCTGTCGCATTATGTTAAACTCGCATGTTCATCCCCTGATTCCCTGTATAAATCTCGCACTGTACGCGCAATCATCGCGCCCAACCTTTGTACCCAACTCCTCTTGGGAGGACCTTTTCTTGCACACAATCAAATCGTTATTGACCACCAACTGCGCACTGTAATCGCTAAAGATGTCAATTACAACCTCCTAAACCCTCCAACACTTTGTGCGCCTGCGCCGTCTGTCGTTCCTAATCAGCTGCAAGTTTACTCCTTCAAGAAGGATGTCGTGTGCGAACTCAACCACGTTCTCCCCGAATACAAGGCTATCATAGACAAAGAATGTCTTCCAGTCAACGGCATTGATCTCGTAGGCGCCATTCAAGCACAGATTGATAAACTAACCTACCAGAATGACCTTACTGCACGGGACACTGCCGTTAAACACGAATTCATCGATCGCTTCCCAGCTGACATCCCACACAACGACACTCTTCCCTCGGACGTTCTCTTTCGGGTACACCTCAAAGATGCCAATAAGGTTATCCAAAAACGATCGTATGATTGTCCGAAGAAGTATCGAGCGGCTTGGAAAACATTGCTGGATGCGCACCTTGAAAGCGGCCGTTTAAGACCTTCCGAAAGCGAATACTCATCACCCGCATTCATAATACCTAAGGCCGATCCGACGGCCTTACCACGTTGGGTCAATGATTTCAGAGAACTCAACATGAACACCATACCTGACAACCATCCGCTCCCGCGTATCGACGAAATCTTACGAGACTGTGCTAAAGGTAAGGTGTTTGGAAAAATAGACATGACTAACACTTTTTTTCAAACACGTGTTCACCCGGACGACATGAAGTACCTCGCCGTTCACTCACCTTTCGGAAAATTCGAATGGACGGTGATGCCTATGGGCGTGCGGAATGCACCATCCGTCCACCAGAATGATGTCAGCACTGCGCCATCTCATCGGCAAAATATGCCATGTATATCTGGACGACATCATCATATGGTCTCAAACACTCGAAGAACACGATCAAAATGTTCGGGCCGTCCTTTCTGCGCTACGAGAAGCCAGTCTCTATTGTTCCTTAAAGAAGACCCTCCTATTCGCCAGTGAAATCGACTTCTTAGGCCATCATATCTCCGCACGTGGGATCGAAGTCGACAAATCTAAAGTCGCTAAGATTCTCGATTGGCCTAGACCTACAAAAACGACAGAAGTCCGCGCCTTTTTAGGTATCGTGCGGTACCTTTCTGACCACTTGCCTGCGCTCGCAAAATTCACTCGCGTGCTCACCCCACTAACCACGAAAGCAGCAGAGCTTAATTTCCCTCCGTGGACTCCTCAACATGAAACTGCATTCAAGAGCATTAAAGACTTGGTGGTGAGTCCTCACTGTCTTACCACCATTGACCATGACAATCCAGGAGAAAATCAAATATTCTTGACATGTGATGCGTCTGACTTCGCTACCGGGGCCGTTCTCTCTTGGGGAAAGGATTGGAAATCAGCTCGACCTGTCGCGTATGACTCAACCCAACTTCGAGACGCCGAGTTGAATTATCCGGTACATGAAAAAGAACTGCTCACCATTATTCGCACCCTCAAAAAATGGAGAGTGGAGTTGCTGGGTGCGCACGTCACGGTATATACTGATCACAGAACACTTCAAAATTTCAATACGCAACGTGACTTATCCCGTCGACAAGCGAGATGGGCTGAGTATATGTCTCAATACGACATGACAATAACTTACATCAAGGGCGAAGATAACACGGTAGCAGACGCACTCTCTCGTCGCACTGACGTTACCCCAGACAGCTCGCCCACCGTTGCCGGCATCCTATCAATATCAGCAGATAACTCGATCATACAATGCATCAAGAATGGATACACATCAGACCCCTGGTGCCAACGTTTACCATCCTTACTAGGATCCCTTCCTGGTCTAACCCAAGATGCAGAAGGTTTGTTTTATGTGGCTAACTGCCTCGTTATCCCACGCGTAGACAATCTGCGGGAATATCTATTCCATCTAGCCCACGACACGTCGGGCCACTTTGGGGCCGACAAAACGTACAGCTCACTACGTTCCGCTTACTATTGGCCAAACATGAGAAAGGACCTCACCGAATCCTACATACCATCCTGTGCGCAATGTATGCGCAATAAATCTCGAACGACAGCAACTCCTGGTCCCCTTCACCCGCTACCTGTGCCCGACAACCATGGGGACTCCGTCGCCATAGATTTCATAAAACCGCTTCCGGAAGACAGCAGCTTCAACATGCTCATCACCATGACTGACCGCCTTAATTCAGACATCAGACTTGTACCTTGTTGTGACAACGTATTGGCCGAACAATTCGCCACCTTATTTTTCGATAATTGGTATTGCGAAAACGGGTTACCCTTAGAGATCATCTCAGATCGAGATAAACTTTTCCTTTCTAAATTCTGGAAATCGCTCAATAGATTGACAGGTGTCAAACTGAAAATGTCTTCCTCCTACCACCCTGAGATGGATGGTGTCAGCGAGAGAAGCAACAAGACCGTCAACCAATGCTTGCGCTATCATGTCGATCATAATCAGAAGGGATGGGTGAAGGCACTGCCCCGCGTGTGTTTTCATATTATGAGCGCGCTGAATACTAGCACGGGTTATTCGCCTTTTCAGTTGCACACAGGACGTTCACCTCGAGTATTACCGCCGCTCATCCCCTCACACGCACCTCAGATGGGCACTGATGAAGACCGTGCACGCGCTGTGATCTCTCAACTAGAAAAGGACGTCTGGGAGGCTCAAGACAATCTACTAGCAGCAAAGGCAGCTCAGGCTGCGTCAGCAAACAAACATAGATCGCAAGAGAAGACATTCGCTGTCGACGACCTCGTACTCCTCGCAACTAAGAACCACAGAAGGGAATACATGCAAAAAGGAGATGGAAGGGTCGCCAAATTTATGCCACGCTTCGACGGACCATACAGAGTCGTAGACGCAAATCCTACAACGTCGACATACACCCTTGACCTCCCGAACTCACCTAACATTTGTCCAACGTTCCACATCTCACAACTTCGTCCTTTCATTAAGAACGACGCCTCCCTATTCCCAACACGAGAACTACCAAGACCCGGACCTGTCGTGATGGAGAACGGACAAGCTGAGAACTTTATAGATCGCATTGTGGACGAGCGGAAGGTGGGCCGTGGAAAGAAGTATTTGGTGCGCTGGGTTGGATATGGACCGGAAGATGATGAATGGCTCCCCCGCCGAGACTTGGACGACTGCGAAGCTCTAGACATCTGGGAGAAAGAAAGATCTCAAGGATAGTCGGGGAGGGTGTAAGCCTGGGCTTACCACACGTGACGAGCCGCTGATTGGACACGCCGAACTATGATGTGCTTGTTCGGATATTAGATATAAAGTCGTTGTTGTCTGTAACTTATCTCTACCTCTTACCTCCACTTCGAATCTAACTCTCATCCACGTTCCGTCTACTGTCTGAACCTTAGTGTTCTACCCTCTGGGTAGCTTCCAGTTCATCGTACTTCATCGTACACACAGCCTGTTTAAGCCTGTTAGTTGTCGAACTTTTACAGCCTTACGTTGCTCTGAAAAATATTGAGTGAAGTTCAGCCCTAGTGAGCTTGTGGTGTGGGCAAGTGGTTGATTGCTGAACAGTTGAACGGCCAACTTTTACGTTGATCCCTGAAGCTTTCGTGAACATGGAAGCAAGGACCCCGATTGCTGGAGAGGCGCTCGGCGATTGTGATATTGCAGGGTCGATCTGACTCAGATGTGAATCTGATTCATGGGGCTGGGGGGGCGGCGCCGCATTCCGGGCCTTGTCAACTGGCTCCAATAGTTAAGATCATTGGATTTGAACGACGTGCCGTGAGATCCCAAAATGAAGATTGGTTATGGGTGCAGTATTTCCACCGCATGCGACACTTGTAGAGCCAATGCCTTTCCAATGCCACAAGGTCAAGAGTGATTCAATGGGATGAAATGGATGAGGTTGACTGCCTGTCACTGTTATATGCTTCAGCCAGCTCGCACCTATAAGTTGAAGCCCAGTGAAGAAGACTAAAATTGCTGTACCTTCTATATTATAGTCATGTTCATTGTTCAGACCCCATTATGTGTCATAAAATTGCCATCCGGATCCGTTTAAATTTAGCCGGAACATTCAAAGTCAAGTACCAGTTTGCTTCGTCATACACGCGTACGCGGAAGCTCGAGCTCCTTGGTGAATCAAAAATATAATCATTTGAAATTTTGAATCAGGATTCCCAGAGTTATCCCACTGCTGTCCCCCACATCAAGTCATCCGCAGCTGAGCGGATCAACTTGTAGGACTTTTTTTTTTTTAAAAAAAACATCACTTGGCCAGCTATCAGATTGGCCCTCCACACTAAATCTAATCATTTACATAAATTCTTACTACGCACATGTGTATGTTCTCAGTACCGCTCCCACAATGTCACCCAAGGGCATCATTAAACTGTCTCCGTGGCCTGATTTTGACACTCCGAACTGGATCACTTGAAGGGTCTGATGTAGTAAAGAGGATCTGGGAATTCGTATTTGCGGGTCCGTCCGTCCGTCCGTCCGGGTCTGTCCGTGCACTCTTCGTTGAGCCACATCTCCTTGATGAGCCGAAGAACCATTTGGATCTCGGCGCCATCGTTTTGAATCAGATGAAGGCATGCCACAAACAGCAAAAAGAAATCGCACACATTAAGAAGTATGTCTTTCTCTTCCTTGAAATTCACCGTTGACTGAACGTTGCCAGATTCATCGCTTCCGCTGGTACATATGCCAACCTCGTCAAGCAGGCCAAGTCGAAACAAAAAATCATCGACAGGATGGAGGCGCAAATGAGCCGATGAACCATTTGGATATGGCTTCCATCGACGCACTCGTGCTTGCAATCAAGGACTTTGAGGGTGGCGTGGTGATCGTGTCACACGACTTCCGTTTGTCTCTCGTTCGACTCTAGTTTCTCCTTCACACTCGCCGCCATTATCTTCAATCCGCCTTGCTCCCCTTCTACATGACACACGAGTCTTACGTGCAACTCCTACAAGACTGTAATGGAGAAGAGTTTTTGCCAGCACTGATCTACCAAACAGGTTCGATAATACGTGTTGGCGTAATGCTGTAGATCGTGTACATGTCGGTGTCGAAATAACGCGGAACATAACGCGGAACAGAGCCCACTACGTGCGGATTCAAATTGATCCAGCGAAGTTGATTAGAACGCCATGCACAATAAAACCCACTAGTGACGTAGCGGGAATTAAACCTAGTATATGACCCCAGATTTGCGCGGACAAGCAAACTCGACAAACTTTTGTTTCTGGCTCAGGTATTTGTATGCCTATGAATGTTTTTGAGCGTCACACGATCTCTTCAATCAGAAAGTCAACCGTCAGAAGGTCGTAATTCAAATCAGGCCCAGCTGCATGACACTCCAGCCCTTCACAAGATCCCACACTAGAACTAGAATCCATCGTAGCACAAGTCATCAAAGAGGAAGGCTTTGCCCAACTGGTAAGCGTTCTCGAAGTGATCAAATGAAAGAAACCACAAACTCAGATGGCGCTGCTGCTAATCGGATCCCCCAGCTTGCATCCTTAGACACCATGTGGAGAGTGAAGGGTTTTCTTCGCCAATGATGCCCGACAATTTTAAACACTCCTCATTTTCTTGCCATCTTTCAAGTAGAAACTTTGCGAAATGTTGCACATAACGGCGGCCCGCCAAAGACTCTAAGACGACCACAGATGCTACTATCAAGCACCTGTCTCATCCATTAATATTGCTTCCATTGACGTACCAGCAACTTGCAATTCATGGACACTTTCCACACCAACGCCTCTAAGTACCGTTCCGATCTTCTCTTGCTCTAATGCCTGAAGTTCGGACTCGCTTTTCACCATTAGCATTCCAGCAAACCCAAGTGAGTTGACGCTCAACGTCCCCCCAGACTCTCCTAGGGTAAAAATTTCCCAGCGTCGCGGGATCAAGTGCATGTGTTCCAAGGTAAGAATCACATTATAGGAGGGGGTATCAGGACCTTGGGTAGTCCAGGGCATGTCGCACCGTAGATATCACATCCTGTCATGTGACTCGATCGATCCTATGTGTTTTTCTTCTTATACATAGCGTGTCTCGACTCTCCGGCTCCATCGCTTGTGGGTTTTGGCTGGGTGTCAACGTTTCAATTTCAACGCTCGTTGACTGACACCAAACTTTTCAGACTTCATTGATTTCCGTCATTTCCGTCGGCTGGTGTCTGTCCGATTCTTACTGGGAGTGCTGAGTACTTGTGCGCCTCCGCTACACCTGCTGCTAGTTACTTGGACCTCTCAGTGTCCTCTTGCGCAAACGGGCCACGGAGTCGCTCGCGGGGTTGGGTGCTATCATACCAAAATTCACACACTGTTACTGCTTCTGCAAGTCTTGTTTCAACAATCCACTTCATCGCCGGCGGTTTGTCATTGTAACTCAATTCCCTCATAATGTGATTTGTCAACGAGCGACTACGCGGCCGTGGTCATCATCTCAGGACGATCAGTGTCACGTTTCTTCAATTTATAGGTTCCTTGTAGGATTTTATTGACAAAGTCGTCTACAAACTCACTCACTGTTCTCCTTCACAGTAGGTCGCAGCTCCACCTTGATGCAGTCAACATTGAATGGCACAGAAGATGATTTAGCCACTTCATGGCTGAGGTCGAGTGAGTCCAGCGACGCCCGTGTACGTTTCTGCCGCTCAGGCGTAAGGATTGGCAACTGCGGTGAACTCGAACCGAGCACACTGAGTTTTATTTGGTGTAGTATATGGGTAGAGCGGGTATATTCATGATGGTGTTGTGTTCATAAAATACGCCGCCACGAAATCCGGGTCGGTAGCAGATGGTCTTGGGATGGGCGTGACTTTGTTGGAACATTCCTCGTGAGCCAGTCACAAGAAGCACGGAGTTGACTGACGAGCGAGTCATTGGGCGGCCATAACTTCCATCACTGGGCCAGTCATCCTAGAGCTTGGGTGGATCAGCATTGGTATCTTTCGGGCGCCTGTTTGATATCGGATTTTCGTGCACGAAGGCACTTGGTGTAGGCAGCGGGTGCATTCTTCTGCATTAATAGTGGGTCTTCTTGAGGGTGCTTTCAATATTGGCGTCTAAACTCGCCTCCCCGGATGGATCATTGTCATCGCTATACCTCAAAAGTTCATATCAGCATCATGGTGTGGCATATATTTGAACTCTAGTTGGGCGTGTGAGGCGGTTCACTAGTACTGATGACATTTTGCCAAAGTTTCATCACGCCCCTGAGAATGCTCTGATTTCGATCTCACTTTTTTGAAGGTCGCTCAGTGTCAGACGTCTCAGGATCGAGGCGCGACTCAAACACAAACAACAAAGACCTGGATGCTGAAAGAATAGACCTTTGAGTAAGTAATAAGTACAATCTGTGCTAACGGTACCTGAAAGAATAGACCAGCACGACGTTAGGAGGAAAACTAAGACTCGACTCAACCTTGACTAAGTAGACACGAGCAAGCATACACAAATAATGGTCTCGTGACCAAACACGTTCATGACACTCGGTTAGTCCCATCAACGTATGAATGTTCCTGCACATCGCCAAAATGTCTGTGCTCGCTGTGAGCAACAACAAGCTCAAGGGTTCTAGCACATTTTTGGTAGTTGAACATAAAATAAAATTGAATTTATTCTGTGACACCTATTAAATGTACAAAGGATATAGAGGCTGCACCAGCATCATATGCAGCTTGGTCTGAAATATTCTATTTAATAATGACATCTACATGTAGTAAATATGTAAAGTATTGAAGTCTTTTGAGAGCTAGGGGAGGGGGTTCTGAGGGGGTAATGGGGGTAGGAAAGGGAAAAAGGCAGACTACATGGACCAACTAAGTGCAGAGAGAATGACACAAATGAGTGAAAACATGAAAAATTAAGTAAAAACTTACCAGAGCATCCAGAGCACAACTCTTGTGGATCAAATGGTGTAGAATATGTCTGGTGGTCATTAGAATCCGGTGGAAGTGTGTGGAGAATGAGAAGCAAGGTGGAAATAACATCAGCCAAAAAGTGAGGCATGAGACTCACCAGGTCTACAGAGGTGCACAGGTAGGTCAGGATACAGAAGACCAGCACAGGATGTGGAAGGGCACGAAAGTTGACAGTTGCGAGAAAGTGCGGCTAGTTGCAAAGAGTTGGAGTACAGCGTGTTGGGTAACAGGCCTAGGGTGACACCAACGTTCAACGCAAGTTCTCCGATGCCACGTGACGCCACGTGACATGTCGGGGGACAAAGTCTATAGGTGCTTGGCACGGTTTGCGGAGTTTGAAGTCGCCAGTGGTTTGAATACCGCCGTATCACTGCCACAGCCACCTGCTGCCGTGGACGTCGGGTCCATCTTTGTAGCCATGCAGCGGCTAAAGACGACATTCTACAGCCTCAGCATCACACCATATCTGTCGTGGTTGCCCCTGAAGTCCTACCCCCCTCCATAAACACATCCCAAAATCAGCATTCCTTTCGATATCTTGCGCGGGTGATGAGTTTCATAATAACTCCGCTTCGATTTGCCGACGGCACCAACACTTGCCGAGCGTGTACCCACAGACGCAGACTTAGAGTCTGCACCCAGACCGGCCGTATTTTACACATTCACGGTTGAGCTGACAGCTGCTTGTGACCCCAGCCTGGCTTACCAATACCACGGACGACGATGTTCATATATAGAGTGTCTATATTTCAGTCACATTCGGGCACATTTCATTTGCAGTTGACCTGCCAAACTTAAAAAGGCTCGGGCTCCTTTTCGCGTTCTGCACTATCGTCGCTTGGGCTTCAGCCCGGAAACGTATCAGACCCCAGTCACCCATCAACTTGTTATACCGCTCATCCAGGCTGGCGTGGAAGATGCCATCCCACCCCGGTATAAATTGCCTGCAATTGAAAGGCAAGTATGTCACAATACATTCCCAATATCTCTGGTACGTTGAATACCTGTATTCAGAGAACAAGTGAACTATTGCTGTCCCGCAAGTGCAGTATATCATCCACCAACCTCCCCCCCAATAACGAGTCGCAGTCCTATACATGTCTCTCGATATCATTCCCGCAGATCCTGAGATCATTTCTCGAATGTATCAGAGCGGTCAACCAATTGTCCTGTATCAGTGTCAATTGCAGGGGAACTCTTGTGGTTTGCATGTGGAAGGGACAACCAGTGCAATGTCTGCCCATCTGCGAATATTTCACAGCATCGCCGGTCAGGACAGCACCAGTGCAATTTGTACGTGGGGTGACTGCTCCAAGACGCTCAAGAAGGGAAGCATGGCAAGACACCTCCTTACTCACCTTGGTGTCAAGGTGCGCTGCTCCACGTGCGGAGTCGTGATGTGCCGTCACGACCTCCTTCGTACGCATATCAAATCCTCAGAGCCATGCTATCTTGCAATTGCCGACGCTGTTCATGGACCCGAGGGACGTAGCTTTGCCCCTATTGGTTGGGCTGCTTCCCAACAGGGCTATCAAGATCCCTGTGGTGTTCTGTATGTAGTATCATACTTTTTTTTTGATTGTACTGACAAGTTATTTCATTTCAGACTACTTGAGGAAGGATATACAGTTCAAATTCCCGTAGCATGATACTTTGCTTGTGGCATCAGCAGTGTACACCGCAAGAAGTTCTGAGGTCAACCTAGTTATTTTTGCACTCAAAATAGATAATTTTGTATTCTGCACCACTCAGATCTAAAAGTTCAAACTGCTCATCGAGTACTCGTCGAGCGGAGTTCGTATGCAGCCGAGCGCGTAGGCTACTAAAGTTCGTATGCGAGTCCTCTCCACCAATTGGAACGCTCGCTTGGATTGAGGAACGCTTCAAATTGTGAACGTAAAGTAAGGACTCTCTCAGATGGGTTTTAACAAAGAAAGAGTACTGCGTAGAGAAAGACGAATCGCCAATGTTGAGCTGTCCGGCAGTCAAGGTTCACAGAGACTTAGACGGTTAATGTTGCCCCTTGACTGCCGGACAGCTCAACATTGACGATTCAAATATTTGATGTTGGGTTTACTCACACAAGTTACAACTTCGTCAGACTCACAAGGAAGTAGTACCGAAGTGGCCAAGCTGCTCCGATTCCATCCGGCCGCAGTCTTTCATAGTCCCAGCTTACTAAGACGCCGCGGGTGCCGCGTCTTAACAGTTCCCGAGTCTCCACGGCTGCCAGGCTGTCCCCACTACTACCGCTACAAGGTTCTTCTCAGTCATTCACCTATCATGATGTCTCCTCTGGACACGCGGATCAAAGTTTCTTCCGTTCCTCACTTTAACAAGAACCTCCTCTCGGGCAGGAGTCAGGATTCCCGGAGTAGCTGTATCTAATCACAATCAGTTGGTTTGTATCCTATCAGTTGGCGAGCAGCAGCTTCTTCATAGAACGAATCTAATCATTTACATACATTTTCAAAAGAAAAGCTGTTACTCATGTCTTCCGCAAGGTCACCCTGTAGAGTCCCTATCATCTACTCCAGGGATTATCGTGACGCAGCCTGATCAGTACCGGCATACTCCTGCCAGTGTAACGGACCCTGAATGGAAAAACGCCCATCTCTGGGTCACACGATAGCCAAAGTTTGACATACTTGAGGTGACTACAGCCTCGACTATAAGTACGCTAGATTGTCTCCGTCTCGATCGGCCTGATTTTGACACTCCGAACTGGACATAGTACCTATGGTATCCGAGTCACTTGAAGGCCTGAACAGTGTGAGTCAGTACTGGATCTCCGTGGTCCATGTCACTGATACTTAGCACACGTACATATTCACACGAGAATCACGTTGAACACCCGTGTAGCCGTGCTGGTAGTGGGGTGTTCAATCGTCACTGGTAGTTTTCGCATTTTGAATCGAGCTCTGGCAGTCCGAAGCTTGAGTTCCCCACAGCAAAAGGATACACCGAGATCGTTAAGCAATAGAGAAAGAAATAGAGAAATGGGCGGAACGCGCATCAAGATGGAAAGGTGGCAACCGGCATTCACGTAGGACCGAGAGAAAGAGTGGGCACAGTTGAAGAGATGATTTCTGAAATTCAAGAGTTTCCGTCATACATAGAAGAAACGGGTAAAGCCCTGATGTATTGTTGGAGCTCGCCGGGGGACCACCGATCAGTTGTCTGAATAAACGGCAAGCGCAAGAGCCGTGACTCCTCTCGCAAAGAAGAGCAAGGAATCTTAACAAAATGAAACTTGTATTCAGATATTACCTGATCAGCAAGCTGCGAGGTTCTCGACGACCAGTGAACCCGTGTCGAATTCGGGTTCATGATTGATGGATGGATATGCCCTTTTTATTATTTAGGCGAGGGAATAGAGAACTTCTTTGATTTGAGCTCTGGGGGATCAACGCTGATCAACACAAGTTCTGAATAGAAGCGGAGGTGACAACGGGTGGGGAGCGGATGACTGGATCTGGAGCAGTCTCCTCCCTGGCGCCTTTTGAAGGGACAAAAAGGACACACAGCCTATGTAACTTGTTTCCGTACTAAGAAAAAAAAGATTAGAAACGTTGATCAAAGCCAGTGCAGACAATTCACATGATATCATACCTTCGATGAGCAAGGGATCTGATTCACCGTAAGAAGCGGATGTGACAACGGGTGGGGAGCTGATGACTGGATCTGGAGCAGTCTCCTCCCTGGCGCCTTTTGAAGGGAAATAAAAGACACAGCCTCTGTAACTTGTTACCGTACTAAAAATTGAACAAAAAAAAAAGCAGCATCTGGTGCGAAGCGTGCATATCCAAAGTCTAGAGTTCAACGAAGGAACTTACCTTGCAAGCTTCACAATCACTGCCGGCGCAGCTCGGCCTTCTCTCAAGCTTAAGTCTGGGTACGAGTAATGTAATAACAGTCTCTTGGATAGTTACAGCTGCAGCCAAGTTTGCATCGCCACAAAGTCAGTTACTGTTGTCACGTGTCCAACTACACTTTGGACTTGACACGGCCGACCATGAGCGGAGCAGAGCACAACTTTTCTGGTGCACTGGCAACATGGAAGGGTGCGCACAGCTAATTGTGTGAATATCACGAGCTAACAAGCGCAGACATCAAGCTACAGGAGCTGCAAAAGACGCTGGACGCCCAAGGTATCGAGATCGTCGACAACCAGAAGGAATCCGTACTGGGCCGCAAGCAGCTCGCTGACCGCACAAAAGGTCCGTATGCATACATTCTTTTGTGCTCCGCCATTTTGAACATTTCGTAGAGTTCAAAAAAATCCCAGATGATGAGAAGTTGAACTCGTTCAAAGGCCTGCTCAAAGGTCCGTACATCCTCTTCTCGGAGTCCTGCTGTTTGTTGCTAATCCCGGCGCAGCATACCAGACAGAGATTGACAGCCTCACAAAGCGGTCAAAGGTTTCCGAGAATGCGTTCCTCAGTGTGTACAAGGTCCTCGCTGAAGCACCAGATCCATATCCTCTGCTCGAAGCTGCTGTCGTGCGTTTCACCCATCTTCTTCACTTGTCCTCACATTCACACGTACGCAGGACCAAGCGGTCAAAGCCACGGAAGCACACGCATTGGAGGCTGAAGTTGCCCGGTTGCGTGCTGAGAACACCGAGCTTCGACAGTCGTCTAGCGCTCTTGATGCCTCCAAACGCCGCGTCGAACAGCTAGAGGCACGCATGGACGAGCTTGTTGCGCAGAAGGAGTCTGAGATCAATGCTGCGTATGACGAACGTATGCGCAACTACGAGGAGCGGTACGTGGCGCGTTTGTTTGCTCGAGCAGGTGTTTTACAGTTGGACGGTGCTGATTGAGGTGTAGGGAACAGGACTTGCAGCGCCAGGTTGCACTATATAGGGACCAAGTGCGCGACCTCCGGCAGTCGAATGAATCGAATCAGGCGAAACTCTTTGATCACAGCCAGCGTCAGGGTGGGTAGTGCTTGCTTCACTTTCTTTCTTCTGTCCAATTCTTGTGCACTCCCTGCTTTCCGTTATCCTTGTCCTTTTTGTCTTGCACGCTGACACTTCCACTCAGACCAAGAGGTCATTTCCCGCCTTGCAGAAGCTGACATGATTATGGTCGACCTGGAACGTGCGAATAGTAGAGTAGCGACCGTCGAGCAGCGAAATGTAAGTTTGTTCAATACCATTTGTTACGTATGTATATCACATCGTCTTGCATGCATCTACCCCGAGTTACCACACTCCAATTATTACGGTTGGCATATAGCCACCTCTCTTTGCTATGCACACATTTTACTTTCTTTCTGTTACTGCATCTCTCCATATCTATTCCCTTGAAATTTAATCGACACTGACTATCTACCACAGGAAGCACTCCGCGGAGAGATCGAGGCATTGCGCACTGGCAGCGAAAGCAGTGAGCGGTACGTCTCTTTCTCATCTTTCATTGCGCTTCTCCCTCCGCCCTTTCAACTCGTATACGTGTTCTCAATTATACATATTCCAACAGTGTCAGATCTCTAACGGATCGTCTCTTCGAGCTTGAGTCCGAGTGTACACGGCTCGAAGGCGCCGTTGGCGTTGCACGAAGTGCCGCAGCACGATCAGAGGAGCGGATTTCGGACAAGGTGGGTATCGTTTCAAGCCTGGATAACAATTATTGATACATAAACACTCCACAGGCTCGCGAAGCAGACTCTGCTCGCGCAGAGGTAGACGCTCTCAAGACAAAACTAAAAACATACGCAGATTACGACGAGGTGAAGCGAGAACTGGAGATCTTGAAGGTGCGCCTTTCCTTTATGTGTCATTCTCATCGTGTCGACCCCATGATAGTACGTTGAATTTGCAGGTCTCGACCCCGATGATGATTGGTCAAGTCCTGACGAAGACGAGGACGGCGTGCATCTGCCAAATCCCAATGCAGACAAGGCGAATGCACAGCACGGCAAGAGTCTCGAGGTGCTCCTTGCGACCAAGAATAAACGGATATTAGAAGAGTTGACGCGATTTAGGGTGTGTTTATTGTCAACTCTGACCTCGACGCTTCATTCAAAATTTCTGTTTCATAGATCCTCCACACATCACTTGAAGCTTCCCTCAAAAGCACACAGAACGAGCTCGCAGACACACACGCAGAACTTGCCAAGCAACAAGCACTGTGCGAGAAACTCGAGACGGACCTTCTCGCTCTGAACACCAACAGCGGCAGAGGGCTAAGAGAGGAAGGAGGAGAGAGCGGGGAAAGTGGGATTTCGGGGCTGGGGCTCGAGTTTGGCTTACGCACGACGGTTTGTCTGCATTGGAAAGAGTTAATTTCGGTGATTGATGCAAATGATATGGCAGGACACGGCGGGCCCGAGCACTACACGTTCGACACCAATACCTTTCACGTCATCTGCTGATACCTCGATCCTTCCTATCGTGACCAGCCAGCGGGACCGGTTCCGGCAACGGAACGCAGAGCTCGAGGAAGTGAGTACCAGATTTTGTATCCATCTCTGCTCCACCTATTTCTTTTTGTTATGATTCACCCCGCCCGACGCTAACCCATCCCCCAGGAACTACGCAAACACTACCACACCATCTCAGAACTCCGCACCGAAGTCAAATCCCTCCAATCCGACAACCTCAAGCTCTACGAGAAAGTACGTTACATGCAATCATACCGTGAACAAGGCTCCGTCTCGCAGCTTGATCCTCTGCCGCCATCTTCTGCCTCGGCGTTCAATGGAAGCGGGAATGGGAGTGGGAGTGGAAGGGACGAGCTGGGGAAATGGCGCACAAGGTATGAGGATTCGATGAATCCGTTTGAAGCGTTTCGCGGAAGGGTATGTGTCACGTACTTGGCCTATTTGTGTCCGTTGGACTGGGCTGATGATGTGTTATTCAGGAAGCGACGCGTGCGTATGAGGCTCTCAATCCTGTCGAGCGAGGTGTACTCGTGCTCACGCGTGGAATTATTGGGAACCGGCGTGCACGTACGGCGTTTATCTTTTATGCGGCGGCGTTACATCTCCTAGTGGTCGTTACGGTGTATGAGTGTGCGTGGTCGAGCGGGCAGCTGCAGGTTCAGCCAGGGCCGTACTGATCATGGTGGAGATAATCTTTGTTGAGCAGGCATGACCGCTCGCTTTGGAGTTTACCACGTCATTAAGACACAAAGTTTCCAACTCGGAGGGACACGTATGCTCAAGGATGATTAGATTATATGCTGTAAAATATCAATGAACTATGGTTATGTTACATGCTGGATATACGCGATCCACCGCTTGAAGCCCACTAGGCGATTTTCAGCGTTGAAGGCTTACCACTCCGCGCCCGATAAAACGCAAGCGCATGCTCGACGGCGTCCAAGAGGGGTTTCATAGCCTGCCCAAGCGCGTTCAACAACAATCATTCCAAAGACATCATCAAATAGGGAAAGCTTACCACCTGCACCCTCTCGGGTTCCACACCTTCCAATTGGCCAGCCCGGACGAGCGCTTCAACTTTTTCGTGCGTCTTGCTGAGGTAGGCCGCCATCTTTGATGCTTTTGCTGCGTTTTGCGAGGGTGTCGCAGTTGATGAAGTTGTCGTTGGGGGCGGGTAAAGAGATGTCCAGAACTGCCTGAGGAACTCGTTTGCGGCTGTTTGACATGTCGTGAGTTGGCGGAAGAGCGTCGGTGGGAAGTCGACTTTATAAAGGTATGTATGAGCGAACCGAACCGGTGAAGGTATGAGAAGCGTACGCACCTTTTCTAGTTCGGATGTCTAGTCTCGCAGAGACGTTTTGAGTCATTGAAGCGAGCGCTGCGTCTCCTGCTCTTTTGTCTATTCGGAACTGTAGAGAGGAATTGGGACTGCGTTGTCAATAGGAAGAAGGCGAGACTTTACTTGACTGAACCTCGTCTCCCAACCCCCAAACCCGTGTTTTAATTCTGCAAAAGCTGCGCGGACATCAATGACCTGGTCGTTTTGTGCATGTGAGCATTCCAGTATACAACACAATACAATGAAATAGAATGAAGGAGGGAGACGCACCTCCCTGTCTGCCTGCTCTGAAGCAGTCCGTGCAAGTTGTCCCTCGAAATATCGCTCACGGTCTTGCATCTGAAGCGCAATTCCGCTCGTGGCTTCTGGGTCACGTAAATCGTCGAGCGTGATCTGGGCGTACGCATCGTCGTCATCATTGCTACTATCGATGCGTCGACGTTTAGCAGGCGGTACTTCGCCTCTGTTATACGTTGAGTTTGTCAGTATTGTGAAAAAGAGGGGAACACGAACAGAGCGGAGTTGAGTAATCGTTCAGAGTGCTCGTTGAATTTTCGGATGAGGGGGAGGGCGCCGCGTTGTCGACCGGCTTGCATTGTTACGTCTTTTTCGTTTCCTGTCTGCTCTGGGTTGAGAAGATGAAGAAAGTATGGTTTTTGGGGGGTGTTACCTCTATGTGGTCCTCGAGCGTCGCTCCTATGTTTATGAAGAGGTCCGAGACTTCATTTCGTGCTCTCCTCGGCTCCAGCTCTGTGAAATAAAATGACGGGGATGAATTTAGAGGATAGAAGTGGTGTACCATCGTCGTCTTTCTCTAGGTACTTGTCGAATATTGGGTCCTCCTTTACGACATGCTGCGTGGCAGAGGAACGGATAGAGGCGCGGTGGGCGTTGAAGAGCTTTGACTGGAAATATCTCTTCCAGAACTCGGCTTCTGATAGCTTGTGGTGGTGCGCTTTAGATAAACGGCAATGAGCATGGGTTTAGGACGGACCTTGTTGGGGACGTTATCGTTATACGCCTTTGCGACGACGGGAAACTCGTCGAATATGTCATGGACTAGCTGTGGTGTGATGACGATCTTGACCTCGCCACCTTCCACGGTCTGTGGTCTGGGGTCCACGAGCTGGCCTGGACGCCCGCGTTTCTGGCCCTCTGCGGCAGCCTCTGCAAGCAAGAGGTGCTTCATACTGACTCAGGACGAGAAAGGGGTATATGAAGCGGGATACGATACCTCTCTTCCGTCCCAAAACTCAGACTCTGTAATATGACCACTCATGACAAGCTCCTTGTGAAGCGCGAGCAGTTCTGGATTTGAGAGGAGGACCTTTTTTCTGAGGCGAAAGTCGGTTGCTGCATCTATACCGGAGAGGATGGGAGTGCGACTGTCGCTTGAGACGGAGGTAGCACGGGATGTGGATGGAATTGGTGCGGGTGTCTTTGCGGGTGTGCTTGATGCAGTCAGTGGTGTTGGTTTTTGTGCAGGAGTTGGTGCAGCGCTCCGGTTGCGAGATATTATGTTTGTGAGTTCCTGTTTGAAAGCCTCCCGCTCGACGTACGCGACTGCTGAAGGGGAAGTAAAAGTGAAGTTGTGACCTGCCTCATCGTTGACCAGCCCGAGCTTGAGACGGACTTGAGCAGCACCTTCTTTGCTGCAGAAGAGAGCTAGAAGGGTGTGAGTGGTGAGCTCGATGGATGTGATTTGAGTTGACTTACAAGTTGCTTCTGGATGTAGAACACGAACAGCTGGGGCTTTCTTGCCTTCTTGCGTCCATGTTAGAAGTGAATCAGTGAGCTCGAGAGTGCCAGCTTGTTTTTTGTAGGATGCTTTGGCGGAACACAACGTCGTAGGCATCGTCGACTCACTCTCGCTTCACTCCTTCCAATAATGTACACTTTTAAACACCGCGGCACACGACGAACAGCAGCAAACCTTTTTATCTGTAACACATCGCAGCTGCGATTTCCTGCGAACCGCACGACCGACCGCGTCAAATTTGCTGGTGGTGTTGCTGGCAGCAGTTTCAAATTCCATTATCTTAGACCTTTACCATCATGACCTCTTCAATCAAAACCCAGCTGGTCGTCTTCGACTTTGACTGGTAAATTACCCTCCATCGCCCCATCACTGAATCATACATGTCTCGTATCCTAGGTCAATGGCAGATCAAGACACTGATCGCTGGGTATTCGAAGTTTTGGCACCTGATATCCGTAGAAAAATGAAATCGCTTAAAGAGAGCGTCCAATGGACCGATCTCATGTCCGTACCTTCCTTCTCACCATCCGATCCCCCTCACACTTAGTGTCCAGAGCGCAGTCGCTGCAAGAACTCCATGCACGCGGCGGGACCCGTGAGGAGATCGAACAAGCCCTCCGCCAAATGCCCTTCGTGAGTAGCCCGCAAGTAGAAGAAAGTAGATGTGTTAAAGCATGTAGATAGCACCCCGCGATGGTCCGTGGTGTTACCAACCTCAAGGGAGCTTCTAACCCCACCACCACGTTTTTCTGCCTCTCTAATGCGAATTCCGTTTTTATCTCCACCATTCTCGAGGTGCGTTCCCTTCCGCATCAACTCCGTTTCTTTACCTAACAGATCGCAGTCAAAAGGGCTGCAAAACCTGTTTGAAGAGATCGTGACTAACCCAGCCGAATTTGAGATTTCGGGTTTGCTCAAGCTCCGTCGTAGAGTCGACCCTAACGGGCCTCAGCACAGCTGCACAGTCGGTTGCAGCCCCAACATGTGCAAAGGTGACTTCTTCCTACCACCTGACAATCCTGGCTAACACAGCACATAGGTGAAGAGCTCACTGCGTTTTTGGAGCGCCACAAGCCTGGCTACGACCGTATCATCTACGTCGGAGACGGGTCTAATGACTTTTGTCCTATCCTCAGACTACGAAGGTAATATCTACGTCCTTACACACACTTGTCGCTGAGCTTTAGTAGCCAAGACATGGTGCTCTGCCGGCGTTTCCGTGGCCTCGAGCACCGTATATCTCGGGAGGGCGGTCTTCAATGTCAGGTTAAGTATTGGGCGGGCGCTTGGGAGGTCGAAGAGATCTTCAGTCAACTCGTAGAGAAAAACTGATGATGCTGCTGGATAGCGTTGATGTTAACATATAAAAACGATGTAGAGTATATTGGGGCTATATCTATAGAGGACTCGGTGCGAGAATGCTTGTACTTTGTAAGTGGTAACAGACTGACTCGGCTTGATAAACTGTTTTAGCGCCAATGACCAACATTATACATTTCATACTGACTCAATCGTAAACAGGCCGAATAATCATCGTTTGTCCAAAACAATGCTTGCGACAACGCCGCCATATATACGTACCCAATGATCGCACTAGTCCTGATACCGGCTCGGAAGAAGTTCAAGGTCGTATCAAATCATGTCGACATCGAGCCCCGGTTGTAAGCTATACCGTAACTTAAACCCTATTCACCTCCACCCACTTCACATCCACTGCGCCATGGGCCGCAGAGCAAAGTACCTCACTCTAGATGACAAAATGGCTGCGCTGCGTCGACAGAAAGCAGCGTATTCACGGACAGAACGGTGGTTTCATCTATCTGCGCCCAGAGAGTCATACTAATCGAAATCGTTGACTTATCGCTGGGTGCGCAGGGGAAAAGCAGCACGACAAGCTCAAAATGCCCGTGCTTATATCAAACACCATAGAAGACGAGGAGGCCCTACGGCCCATACCAAATCAGCAGATTCCGAGTCCACATATCCTAAGCGCCAGCGCCAGTCCAAGTCCAATGCTCCCGCAAAGCCTCTCCCAAAACAAAACGCAAAGCCTCCGTCAAATCAAAGTCAAAACCCTCTCCCTCTCCCAAACCAAAACGCAAACGCCTTCCTAAAAACCATCCTAACACTTGCCTCACTTCCCCTCCCAACCTCCTTCCTCTTCCACCAAGCCCTCTCAGGTTCACCTCAAATCAATGAATCAGACCTCCCCCAATGGGATATACCACCGCCCTACGACTCTCCTATTCCACCAGATACACACGACGAAGCGCAGTTCACGAGGAACCTTGTTGATGTTATGCATGGGCGGTGTTTGCGTTTGGAGAGGGAGGCGTGTGTGAGGCGGAAGCGGGTGTTTGAGATGGGGATGGGAAAGGTTCTGAGTGGGGGATTGGAGGCGGAGGTGAGGGAGGCGGAGCGGAGGATTATGGATTGCTGGGATGAGGATAAGCTCAAGGTTGATATTCACGGGTGTGTGCCATTATCGACTGATTGTGAGAGGCATCGAGTTATGGCAAAGTGTTATTGGCAGTGGCAGGCAAGAAAGATTCACAAGTATCGGCAGGAGGCTGGTTTATTGGCGTCTGGACAGAATCCGTACTTAAGCGTAGATTGATTTTTCGTTATTGTTTTGCCATTGACATGCGATTGAGTCGATGAATGGACTTCAGCCGCAGCTCCCTGCAATTAAGAGCCGCTGGGTTCGAGCTGAGCTAGCTTGGCTTTTATGTACATGATCTGCTTAGAGAAGAAGGTAACTTGAAGAGACTCAGTGCCACGGCGGGACGTACGCTTTCTTCAGACTCCGCGATTAGTATTTGTTGCTTTCTAACATTTCCCTTGACTGCACATTATCATGGGGTCTGCGATTAGGCTAGGGAAGACCGCCAGGTAACACGACGAGTCATTGTGTTCTTCTTGTAAAGAGATATTAATTGCTCTGGTCAAGGATGTTCAGCAGATTGCACACGACTCTCGCTGAACGAGTCAATATATCGAGGAATGGCTGAAATTCAGGTGCTTTCAGGCAGTCCTTCAGCATCAGACATCCATCTATTCCTGTGAAGTTTATACACAGTTCTAGACCCTTTGTTCGAAGTACCTCTCGCTCTCAAAGTTCTACTCATACTAATACGCGCGCACGCAGTTTCGCAAGCCATCGCAGTACTCTCTCACCTACTACAGTCGATGGAACGGCAGCCATGGAACTTTTTCTGGGATTCCATGTGGGGATCTGCCACTCATAACATGGCGCCGTTGTCGTCCATATCAAGTTCGCGCATGTCAATCATTATCATGTTGTGACTAACATCTCCACGCGTTTGCTCTATAGATTGTAGGACCCAATGTCCTGTCATACATTTCGTGTCCTTGGCGCTGTGTCTGCAGAAAAATCACCGAGAAAGATCAGGCCGATGGATGCGATAGCCATGGTCTCCATTGTTGGGCACGAAATGACTTCATCTGGGATATCAAGGGCCAGCTCCAAGAGTGCTAACAAAGGCTTCATTGCGTGCGATCGTCTCGCGGCGCACGTCGATGTAACTTTGAATGTCACGGATATAATGCTCGCATCAGTCAAATGGGCCGGCTACACCATGCCCTCTAGAAACTTCTCGACTGCCACGATGAAGCGCTTCTGTGGCTGTCATCACGTATGGTGTGCTCCCAGAATGTGTCGATGGGATAAACCCCGAGCTGAATATCAGATACTAGTAGCAAAGCACTCAGTGGCGAGTGATTTCCCTACCGACCCATTCTCCTTTGGGACGTGACTCATGAGGGTCATGCAAAGCATCCATCATGGTTTTTTCCTCTTGGCACGTCTCGCTGCTTATGTGTCGTATGGGGTGGGATCTGGCAAGGACGTTGAACGCGTGGTTGCTGTTGCAAGACGGGTTTGGGATACGCTTAGGGGTGTTGTGACATTCCTGGTCCTCTAGTGTTTGCTGATTCAAATGATTTTGTCGACAGCCTCTTTCATTCGAAGCAGTAGGGACAAATTTTTATTGTTCAGAAGCCACTTAAGCAGTGTTTGATAGATCTAGCGGAGGACAGCGTGTCATACAAGGCAAGGTTCTTCAGGTCGGCGACTTTACAGTCTGCAATTGGTTTGAGATTATCTCACCATCCACATAACATATCACCAGGCCCACGGCGAACTTTTTCTTAGGATTATTAAACCTCATAGCGGCTTCAGGTATTTGTCCCTACACACGCATGACTATGAGCACCTTTAGACGAGACTTTGCAGGTAATCCAGCAGGGAGTGAAACCCCGCCAACTGCTTACTACAGACTACATCTCGTATGAACCACGGTGACTATTCAGAAGCAGGACTCAGTAGGTTGAGTATCCCACGAAGTTCTAGTCCTTCCACTACTCTCCATATTGTCAGTCTGAAAGTGTCTATGCTAATGACTACTAGTACGGAAGTCCTGTATATGTTGGCCGTCGAACTCAACTGTCCCAGTTGTTTCCAAGCGAGCAACCCTCTGCGCAGGGCCAAATCACGGTTTTGCTCACATAGTGTCTAGCGGTGTCCTCCCCAAATCTACGCTCTTAACGCATAATCTGTTAAATGGTCCTCGGTCTAATCTACCGGTAGCTTTATTAACCTGAGCGATGACTCAAAGGTACAGCACTGGTGCCAAAGGGAGAGATCCACATTTTTCGCTGCGCAATATACGCGACATGCTTCCATCTTGCCACACGCTAAACATAAGCGGCAACCTTTCAGTCCTATCTTTTTACTCTTCATGATGATTTCGATCTTCTTCTTCTTATCTTCACTTGACACCATCTGACTAGTCGGGTTGGCAGCCCTCCCAATCCCTCCCGTGGTTAAGAGTTCCGGCTTTGTGAAGATTATCCAAGTGCTAACCACGCACTCCCGCTATCACGAGGTAAACTAACCTCCTCCCATTGCTGGGTTCTGTTGACTATATCTTATGAGACCGAGATGGCACATTTTATCATGTGAGTTACCCCACACACCCTCTTCAGGTGGCCTATTCACTTGCTATGCAGTGGTGACATTTCCAAACGTCAATTCTGCGGCTATTAACCCCAGAGCATGTCCGTTTGCTCGCTCCCCGAGTTCCATTTAGTCGATGAACTGCATCCGGTGGACTTATGAATCGGTTATAGAGGTGATGTCGCACTTACTCCAATCCACTACAAGTATCCCACTACGGACTTGGCTGCCAATAGCCCATTTGAGTTTTCACTCCACGCCTGCACTAAGTGGCGCTTTTCCTAAGCATTATTACCATCCAATTAGCTTTCGCCAATCTGCGCACAACACTTTTCAGTCTTGCTGCGGTAGCTTCGGTATCTGGGAATCCTGGCAATTTGAAACTCTAGCACCCCGTTTCTCCTCGGGAGATTGGTTGGTCAGTTGAAGGCTTAGACCCTTACCCTTTAGTCCCCAATCTTGATCCCTTGAGACGGCCAAGTACTAACTCAAGCATATTCAACCCAGCGGCACTTTTATGCCTGGCTTCCAAACCTGATACCCATAGTCCGTTCTTGAGCACTTAGATGCTACAGACTCCCTAGACGTATACCTTGGTTTGCTAACACCAACTTCCCATACTATAGTCTGCGCCACTGTGCTTTACTCACAGAATACATAGTTGAGGGTAGTGCTTGAGCTCGATAGAAAGATCCCTGCCGCATCTGAAACGGCTCCACTTCTGTGGCCATAGACCTTATGCGTTCACAATCTATCTTTGCAAAGGATTCTGGTCGCGGTGAAGGACATGTCTCATTCCTTGTGTAACACCCACCAATCATTGATCACCACAGTATCAAGAACCTCTCAGGATTCCTCGGGATGTGGTACATACAACTTCGATTTCTTGAATTCTCTTAGACACAAGAAGAGGGGCCGTTACACCCTCTTATGCATCTACCATAGAGCAATATCACTTTACAAGAAGAATGTGACGACCTGCCGTGTTACCTGCCGTGGACACTTAGTCTCCCCTAGGTCTGCCAAATAGGTCCGGAGTCGAGGGAAGCGCAGAAAGCAAATATCGCGAAGTCGCCTATGATAGTCTCGGTGGATGACAAAATATTCATATCTAGCACGGTTTCCAAGATGGCCATGACCCCGTCGTCTGAATCATACCCGAAGTCGAGATTGATTTCCGAGCTGTAAAACCTTTTTAGTGATGGAGCACTTCGACCGCCTCCGTTGCGGTTAGACTTTGGCCCATGATGTACCCGTCAACCTGCTCATGTCCTTTGTCAGATTGAATAATTCATGTCATAGATGAATACTCAGATGTATTACAGCCAAGTGACGTCCGCAAACAAAAGAAACGACATCTTGGATGCCTCAGATGTATCACAGCCAAGTGATGTCCGCAAACAAGAAAAGCCACGATGGATGCTTCGCATGACCCTCATAAGCCACGTCTCAAAAGAGAATGAGTCGGTAGGGAAATCACTCGCCACTGAGTTCTTTGCTATTAGTATCTGATATTCAGCTCGGGGTTTATCATTTATCCCATCGACACATTCTGGGAGCACACCATACGTGATGACAGTCACAGAAGCGCTTCATCGTGGCAGTCGCACGGGAGTGCCAGCTAGCGCAGTATAGTCGACAACATCCATCAGCCGTCTGTCAAGGTGGTCTTGCTGTCCTGTGGGGAGAGCCCCTGTGCCTGAGCCCGTCTCCAGTCCAATGTAGATGCAGCAATGATGAACAGTGGGAGACCGGTTTATGTTCTCGACCAATATCCTTCCAGAAAATATTCCTCGATGCGAAACGCGCAAGGGTCCATGTGGGTCCATCAAGCCTTCCAAGGGTCATCGATGAAACGCCAGGGCACACGAAAAGCCTACAGGGACGTTTGAAAACATTGTTCGGCCCGAAATACAAAAATATGCTTTCGGTGCATGTCTAATCCATGATAGACAAGGCAGGGGTGCAGCGAGATCAGGTTTCCGATGGCTCATCAGGCGACATTCGGGAGGCTGTAGTGCTGAAGAGACAGCGGCGTAAGGGTGGGCCGAAGGCTCTAGGCTCCGCGATGCACAAGTGCTGCCGCCGCTTTACCCCATCGGTATCCCGGTGGCTCGCCGGGGTGATTGCGCAGCACGGAGTCGCCAGCTGTGCATACCAAGTGTGGGGTTGCGCTGATCAGGGTTGCATGAAGGTGCTTGCCAAGACGAGGTAAGTCTGAATTGAGACCGCGAGGGGTCTCTGCGACAGGTAGTGGGAACATATCTGTGGAAGGCTTGAGCCTGACGGACGAATTGGGCAGCCCAGATGTGCCAGTATACAACCACAGAACAGGGTCTCCGTGGATACTGATGCAGACGTCCCTTCGTGACACAACTCTAAGGATGATCGTAGCTGATCAGACATGCAGACAATTGAAGCATTCATGTTTTCATGGGAAAGTTTTTGGACCTTCCAAGTCCAGGACAATGATCTTGGTAAGGGACTAGACGTAATTTTCCAAAGACAATGATTTAGTCTTCAATTACTGTGTGGCGCGATCATAATTCGCCTGCCGCGCATCCCCAGAAACAGGTGTTGCAGCAGAATGTCTGTTGTATCCCTAGACAGAAGCCTGAAGGTGATTTTATACACGTAACTCAGGGTAACGTGACAGTCAGCGATGATCAATCACCCTCAGGCAAACTCGAACTTACGGGTGATCGAGGGGCGTGACGAGGAGATGTTGTGAAGAATCAAAATTGAGTTCTTTGAAAGTTGTGCATGATACTAAACAACGCCACCACTCCTGAAATCAAATATTGATGATCGAGTGGTTTAGTCAACGAAATGGCTTCAGCTTTCAAACGGCACAGTCAGCTCAATAATTCCCGCGGAACGATACAAGATGTTTGCGACGGGTTGCAACTGAAAAGTTCGATTAATATGATGATCACCGAGGACGATGCGATCTCGCACAACGTCTGGCACTAGAAGTTTTAGCTATGAGTGAGCTCGGAGAAGTCGATAAATGAGAAAACGCACTAACATGTCGGTGGGGAGAAAAAAAAAATGAGGCGTCTAGACGAACTGCCAGTGGACATGCTGATCTGAATATCGTGCTACAAGGAGTCCTGTTTGCACTAGTGTGTTGCTCATCATACAGCGACTGCAATGGTAGATGCAATCTTGGACTAGTATTGGCATCAGAAGAATCGCGAATAAACGAAAAGCATGGTTACGAGTCAACGACTTCATCGAAGATGAGACAGCACAGATGAGTCTGTTATGACCAAATTGTGGGTTCCATTTTCATAGTGTCTGTCAACAATATCAGACTCTTCCGAGAATGATTTTGTCGGAGATGAACATTATCGTTCTCGGGAAGGCAATATCTAATGACACATTTCCTGGGGCTAGGTTTCCCCGTGGACATTGGTAAAGCCTAGAACTTGAAGATGCCTGCACTGCTCGCGAATCTGAAACTACGACTTGGTGAAAGAAGTTGCTCTATCAAGAACGAACATACTGATGTGACACGTCCCCGCTCGATGCCGCCCTGCGTCAATTAAAACTTATGCATTAATAGATCTGCACACTTGGCTCTTTACGAGCACAGCTGCGCTAAAGCCTGACGAGGCACCGGGGGCCTGCCGACTAAGTAGTCCACGTCCAACCTAGTGAATATTTGCATTAGACGTTGAGAATAGTGAAAACATCACACACAGAAGGCAGGTAACATGGTTTGCTTATCCAAGGAGAATGGTCAGCGCATGACAAAGACGCCTTACATAAAATTGAAAGTTGGGTCGTCGTCAACCCGTCTCACCAACTCCTCATCTTACTATCACGAGAGCATATGCCCTGCCGAAAGATTGCGCATGCTCGGCGATCGGAGCGCTGGAACTGGAACAGAAGGTCTGCATTGCCTTCGACTCCCCATGTAATCGGACTCTCCCGACACGATAAGCTGATCACCATTGCTTCCATACTCTCCGTCAAATTTAGGGACCTTCTTGTTGACCAACTTCGCTGTGAATCGACAGCTTCATCTCGAACTATCACATCCATGGCCGCGACGTTCAACTTGTACACGCGGAATGCGAGCGCACGTAATATTGTTCCAAGGGAAGGTCAAAAAATTGGGGCGAACACACAATTTCCTTATCGAGGCGTTACAGGTGGGAAACTATGTAAACAAAAACAAACACTCCCCATCGACTTGATTTTCTTACTAATACTCGCGCCTCCTCAACGCGACCGTCGTTGAAACTCGATCAGCAAAATCGTCCCCTAGCATCTAAAAAACATATCATTTCATCGCTGCGCCTTTTATCAAGACAGATATAATAAACCAACGATCTTTGCTAATGCTACACGGTTACCCTCCTCCGGGCCAACAGCAAGGTCAGCAGTCTGATGCTCTGCAGCAGCAGCAGCAACAACAACCTCAGCAGCAACAGCAACAAACGCCACAGGCTATCCCTGCAATGCGTCTCCGCGACGACCCACTGCCGCCCCAGCCTTCCACGTCTCAGGCACCTGCACAGCCAGCCGCCCCCGCTCCAACAACTCGTTCTCGCAAACGTAAATCTCCCCCAACAACAGCTGCTCAACCCCCGCCCCCGCCACAGCAGCTCCAACAACCTCCGCCTGGCATATTCCTTCCTCCAATGTTGCCGCCCCCGCATGGACACCATCCGCCGCCCATGCCCATCTATTTCTCTGGCCCTCCGGGTCCGGAGTTTGGTGGTCCTCCACCTCACCCGCCTCCGGGTGAACAGCCTGCCTCGCAAATCGAGGGTCAGCCTGGTGGTCCTGACGACCCAAAGGCCAATGGCCGCCCATTGAGCCAAACCAAGCGGGCCGAGCAAAATAGAAAGGCGCAGAGGGCGTTCCGGGAGCGCAGAGATCAGTAAGTGCACGTTTCTTGACCTTGCTTTCTTTCTTTCCTTTCTGCTCTGAAAGGGGTCTATCCTCACTTCTCTCTCGCCTCCATCCCTTAAACGCATCGTGACGATCTGACTCACTCCCATCATAGGCACGTGAAAGCCCTCGAATCGCGTTCTCAACTGCTGGATGCAGCGCTTGCGTCAGCAGATGAGGCAAACCGTCGATGGGAAGAGTGTCGTGCGCTTAATGACAGGCTTCGCGATGACATCACACATCTCCGCGAGGAAAATACGCACCTCCGTCAACAGCTCGACGAGGTGTACTCCCAGATTCCACAGGGTTTGCTCTCGCACCTCATGCCCTCGCAACCCCAGCAGCAACCACCAACACAAGCACAGCAGCAGTCAGCAACGGCTGAGGCGGAGAAGAAGGATGACGCTGCATCCAAGGAGTGAGGTGGTGGAACTGTTCAACTTTTTGTGTTCTGTAAAAATGGCTTCAATGACAAGACAGCGATAGGTTGCGGAGGCGCCGTGTACCGTAGACGTCCAATTTTTACTTTGCTTCGCCGATTTCTTTTGTACGTGTGTGCTTGCAGTGGTCAGTAGTATATTCCACGTAGTTTGTACGTACCCGCGCCTGTGCCGTTTATGGCTGTCTCCGAAATCAAGTTTGCGTTCGTTTGATCGAGTTTCACCATTGCGGTATGTTTTGGTTCGTCGCACTCTGGCTTCATTGTCGACGTCGTTGAGAGGAGATGGTGGGTGGGATGAAAACGACACTGGAAATGCTGACAACTACTTTGTGATAGGAACATTTTATGTAACCCGGGGCTTTGTCATCTGCTGCTGCTCACCTTGCCACTGATCTGTGAGCCTTGGGCAGCCTTGCATGAAGATATTCTTTGCTTGACTCCTGTTGATTGCAGCCATGGGACCTAGGTCCAAGTAGTCCTATTTCAAGTTTATCATATCTCTCCTACTAGTGCTCGGAGTTGATCTTAATTCCGAACGCTCTTGATTGTCGCAAGGCATCTTGCCCGTTCGATCTGACCATACTACAGGCCCGTATGGAGCTGCAAATCGATTTGGGTATCGGGATGCGTGTACTGCTCTGTGATGAGCTAGGATGTACACTGCCGTGACGGTATTCTGCTTGTTGACTCGAATCAGAACCTGGATCATTGCTCCAGTCATGCAGCGAGTCAATTGTCGCCATCGGTGTTGTCATAACGTTTTGAACCTATGACAAAAGGAACTTCTGATGGTAGGCGGCGCCTCTGTCATACGACTGCTAACGCATTTGTCAGAGCAGTACCCCAATAGCTGCAAAGTTGTCGCCATACGGATGTCACATCCCCAAACAAGAGCGCTGCAATTCATCGCGAGGATATCATCATGCATGCTGGCGTCGGGATCGCGTCTGACAACTGCTCTTGTTTAACGCTTCAATTGGATAGACAGCTAGACCGGCATGCTCCCAGTCGCGTGACCTACTTGCGGTAGGTTTGTTGTACACGCAGTCTTCACTCTGTCGCTAACGTGGGTTGATAGGAAGGGATTCTCAGAAGGTGTGCGCAGGCGCAAGATGTCGCCTCCGTGATATTTTTCTCTGGTCAGACGGCTCTGGTCATAGTATTTGAAACCCACAAACTTATGTTCCTTTCACTCGTTAGATGTCACTTCTTCGGCGAATCTTCGCGATGAACTCAGCTCAGAATTAGTATTTCTTGACTGGTCGCCATGTGAGCTCTGTCTGAATACCTAATACTCCAAGCTGTGCGTCCTCTAAAAATCAGCATCGCTCATGTATGTGAGCAACCAAGAGGCATCACTCCAGACATACTTCTGGAATTGTACATGCGGCTTCAACATATCTATGGGTGTGCTGCCCTGCCTCATTTTCCCACCCCCCACACGGGTCACTCGCCAAATTGTCGGTCTCGTGTCGTCTCCTGACAATGGAACATTGTTATTCCTACATTACCGTTTAGGCCCTAGACGAGACATCAAAAAAAAACGTTGACCCTGAACCATCGGAGGGGACAAACCACCGGCCATAGTAACAATCTGAGTGACATTATTTTACCACTTAGCGGCGCACAAATCTCGCTCTTGCTAGCAGAGCAATATCCAAATATGTAGGATCACCTACTGATAGCCTGAATGGCCTGTATTTGAAATTTTCTAACATATCAATCCACAGATCTAAAGATTTCGGCAGTTTAATCACAGCCTAAGTAATTGAATGCAATTGACAGCGAACTGGATTCCCAGGACAAATCGAGTCAAGCCACGATGACGGTTTAAGGTTACACCAACTGGCGCTGGCCCAGCGGGGATGCCTCCGACCCTGTCCTCCGAATCTGATCTCCGTGTCGGGGGCTCATCCCCGGCCACGTTGTTGGTGGCGTCGTGGCGCCTATTCATCATCAGACCCTCCTCGTCACCATAACCCTCCATAACCCCTTGGTCATGACTCTCGTAAACACTCCCCCCCCTTTGTCGCTATCATATCAATGACCTCTCATTGACGAAGACTTGACCCTCCCAACCCTAATTTATGTTGTTCGTTGTTCTGCAAGCAACACATTTATATCGTAATTGCGGTTGCGAATACATTTTTCGAAACTCCGCGAAGAAGAGTACGACACATATGCAACGGGTGTGGCTCGGTTCCAGCCTTCATCTCATATATTTCTGGTCAGGTCCTCCCGCTCGTTCTTGATGTGCTCATTTACAATACAATGTCAGAAATAAATTGGATTGAGTGGCGCTATTCAATTACCTGAGCGGTAGCCTTATGTCCACAGACGGAACAAAGCTCGGTGTTATCCCACCACGGGGTGGACACATGTATCCCTTGGCCCTTCTGACTTGGCGCTAGTGCTGGGGTCTGGCCATTGCGTATTAATCGGCGTTTGGAGGATTGGATGAGCGACGGTTCGGACATTCATGTTTCTACTTCTTGTCCTCATGTTCTGTGCTGACGTCAGTCAAGATGATGTGTCGTTCGCGGTGAGTTGATATGGTTTACTTTCGGGCTTCTGCGAGATTGACTCGGTGGAAATTGGTAAGCTCCATTATCGCCATTCAAATCTGAATTCATCGCGTACTAGGAGAATACTTACCCTGTCGCTAATTATCATTATCACCAACAGGACTAAGGCCTTCAATTTTACACCGCGGCCATGGGTTATATGTCTTTCCGAGGATGCGAGTTTCGCTGCTGCCACAGCTTTTGAAATCCCGAAAATGAGCTCAGACCTCATCACCACTAGGCGGGTCTAGGAGGGGACGGCGATCTTAGAGAGCCTCATCAGATCTTGATAGACCATTTGACGCCGCGCGCACTTCACGGAATTATGCGCTCGACGAAGAATCTTGCAGCGCCGGTTGCACGGCTTTTGCTGGTCTTTTGGTATTGATGATCCGAATTAGAGGGGTGATGTTACTCATTCAGTATACTCGGAACTAACTTGGGGAGCGCTCTGGCAGTTGATATCCAAAAAGTGGAGCCGGTCAAAACATGCTGCAAACTATAAACTACAAAGCGTCAAGGCCGCCTATGACATCAATCAAAGGCTGTCTCTAGCCCATTGAAATCGTAGCCTATAGTCTAAGACTTGAGCGCTGTTGCTGATGCCAGCCAAGTATTGTCTAGCATCGTCTCTGTTAAACATTCGGCCTCTGTGGTGAAATACTTCCATGGAAGCAAATGTTGCTGTGCTGTGCCCTTAGGCTGAGTAAGCGAAGTTCAACTCCCAGCTCATGACTCGGTAAGTCGACACAAACGACGCAAAATTTGTTTTTCTCCCTCAGCACATAGCTTTCACCGTCTTTTTGTTCGAGAATGGTCTCTGCACATGCCAATAATGAAGGCTCACAGGAGTCAGCGACCATCACACCTGGAGGAACGTACACCATCCAAGTAAATTTCCGCAGTTTCAGTTCACACAGGGCCCCATTGTGCTGACTCATCAAATTTTCTATGTAGACCGTCTCTGTTGGGTGCAAAATCTACATCCGCCGTCCAACGCCAGATGGGGAGGAAGAGCGGCTTGCAGAAATACTATCAATTCGTGATAAACCCGTGAACCCGTATGCTTCAGCGTCAGTGCAACGCACAAATTCCCGAAGTGGTGTGAAAGAGGAGGAGGAAGATGCGATCGACAAACCAGAAGACAAGTGGGAGTACTTTGTCCACTGGGATCAGTTTAACAAGCGTTTGGATGAATGGGTGACGGGATCTCGACTCGTCTTGAGCAGGGGCCTCGAATGGCCCCGTCCAAAGCCGCCACCGGGCAAGAAAGCTGGGCCTGGCTCGATGCAGAAAGCTCCGGGCAAAGCCCCTCGCTCCCAGTCACTATTGAAGAAAGCCACATCAAATGCGGCTGCGGCTGCTTCGCCCACATCTGCTTCAACCCCTGGTCGCTCTGCTTTTCCTTCGCCATCACCTGCCCCATCATTGAAGCGGAAGTTAACTGATGAAGAAGAGGAAGAAGAAGAAGAAGAAATGGAAGGGGATGACGTAGACGCCGAAGGCGAGATGGATGTCGATGGCGAAGGGGACACCTTCGAACTTAACGTCAATGGTGCACAAGTAGAGACGCCCCCTCCCATCTCTTCATTCAGCAAAGAGCAAGAAATCGAGAAACTACGAACATCCGGTTCAATGACCCAATCGATATCAGAAATTGCACGGGTGAAGAATCTAAACCGTTTGCAGATCGGCAAACACGAGGTCGAAGCGTGGTATTTTAGTCCATATCCCAAGGAATATGCGCATCTGCCCGTGTTGTACATCTGCGAGTTCTGTCTCGCGTATTTTCCGTCACCCATGATGCTGTCGCGCCACCGACAACGTTGTACGCTATTTCACCCACCCGGCAACGAGATCTACCGCCACCAAGACATATCAGTTTTCGAACTTGATGGGAAGCGGCAATTAACCTGGTGTCGGAACCTCAGTTTATTGTCCAAATGTTTTCTAGATCAGTAAGTCCTTCTCAGCAATATAGGTCAAAGGTCTGACTGTGTGTCTCATAGCAAGACGCTGTACTATGACGTGACGCCGTTCATGTATTATGTCATGGTGTGTACATGTTCTCTGAATATTCGTTTGTCTCATACTGACCATCCCAGTCTCAACGAGATTCTACCGGCTGCCATATCATTGGCTACTTTTCAAAAGAGAAGGAGTCAGCGGAGAATTACAACGTCGCATGTATCTTGACGCTACCGCAGCATCAGCGTCACGGGTTCGGCAAGCTGCTCATCGAATTTTCTTACGAGTTGAGTAAGAAAGAGGGGAAACTTGGCAGCCCTGAAAAGCCCCTGAGCGATCTGGGCCTACTCGGTTACCGTGCATATTGGGCGGAGGTCATCGTGGAATTACTCATCAATACCACTGATGAGCTGAGCATCGACGATATTGCGCAGAAGACGTCTATCACCCATGCGGATATAATGAATACGTGTGTGAAAGAACCTGTTCACTGGAATGTACACTAAATGAATTGCTTGCAGGTGTACAACGTTGCAGCTATTTAAACACTACAAGGGACAACATATCATATGTCTCTCGGAAGCCGTTTTGGAGAAACATGAAAAAGTGCGAAACAAACGCAGGCGTCGGATTTATGCCGAACATTTGATCTGGAAGCCACCTGTATTCACCAGAGATCAACTACGGTTTTACTGATCACCTCGCTTCACATCTTGGCCAGTTTTTTTGTTTGCGTGTTTTTTTCTGATCGATATTACTGTAGCTGTAGAGTAAAAAGGGACATTTGATCGGTATCATGTCATCGTACACGGTGCAAAAAATTGTAGTTTTAGCGGTGATTTCAAAAGGCTGAGTCAAAGGCTGAGTTAATCGCTTGCCACTTGGGCGCCCCGTCGTCGCAGGATGATGGGGTCATCCTGTACATGTACATCACGTGGGTCTTCCGTTCTCATCGCTCCACCTTCTCCAGGCAACTTCTCGTGGGGTAAAACTGGCGATGATGGCTGAGACGGGGAAGGCGAGAGAAAGCCAACACTAGACAACTGTAGATCCTCCTCTCCCGTGAAGTAAGCCTGGAGTTTCATTTCCTCCTGCACCCCTGCACCCCTCATCGTGTCGGTGTTGTGTTGCCGATGAACCGAGCTGTCTTGGTCCGCGGGAAGAGAGTCCTCGGATGACGTATCTTCAACAAGGATCGAGGGCGTGCCCTCAGCAGTCAAAACAGGCTGGTCGCTTGTCGACGCTTTGACATCGTCAACAATACCGAGAGTACGCGCGATCACATAGGAGGTGATATCCTAGCAAGGAAAGAAAGATCAATAAACGAAGAAGCGAGGATCTACGGATTTGGGAAGGTTGGATACGCACCAGCAGTGTCAGAATCACGACCGGCAGAATAAGCAGGAACGCCAATATGCGGAATGAATATGCGACCTGGCCGACCCAAGAGCCAGGAAGTGGGTTCCATAGATACTCTGTGTATGCATGCCATACGAGACGAGGTGCGGAAGAGAAATAGAGGTGCGGGCTGTATTGGGAACTCATTATGGATCGGAGGGTAGGGTGAAGAGATTTGGAGAAGTTCGGTTGTACGAATATGCAAAAGAACGCTGGCAAGCCGCAGCTCAAAGTTACGCCCGTTAGAGGGTAACGTAGATGGCGTTTTGGACCCGATGCAACGATCTTTGATTGTGTATGGCGTGATTATTAGATAGCGTTTTACACCCGATACGTCGATGAACCCCGTTGGCGTGTAGAACGATGATAGGTGGGCGTACCGCTGTCAAATATGTAGATATGATGGAATCTAACGTACGAAACTCGAGAATTTGGCGAACTCAGTGCTCAGATCTGATAAGAAACAGAGAAGACGACTGTAACAAGGCGAGGAACAAACTTCAGTTTCACGGCCTTTGCCGCATGGGCGACAGACAGGAGATAGAAACATCAAATCGAAATTCTTCTAACAGATATGATACAAGGGGGCTACATAGTACTGTCTCGCTCTGTAGGGGACTTAGTCGGGTCCATGGTGTACAGATAGCAACTATCAGATCCTAACATGTTCAAAGCATTGCGGATGGCGAAATTATAGGGATATATCCAATCAGGCAGACCCAGCCACGAACCAGCACCAAAGATATACCGATACATACAATCAGGGGAACATAATAGGTGACGGGAACACAACACCATCTGGCCGTATCATGATAATCGGTCGGCGTTTCGCAACTTGGTTTTCTGGAGGTAGGCAGCCCAATACCTCGGTGCACCTGACCTCGGCGTAGGGCGAGGGATCTGATCCGAAAAAGATGTGGACTGGATCTGCCTTGTTGAAGTTTTCGCCGTATACGGTCAGCATTTTTGATATGTGCGGACTAGGTTTCGACAAGACGCCACGGGATTGTGCGCAGTTAGACTTTGGTGCCTCTGCAGCACGATCAGGAGGAAGATATTTCACCACAGCCGGGAATGGAGTGACGGGTTTCGACGGAATTGGGAATGATCCTGTTTGGGGGGCGTTTTGGTTGTCGAACAACACGGGCGGTACATAAAAGTTGTATCGCACTTGATCTGACAAACCAAAGTTTAGTCATTGGCCAACTGGGAATGGAAGATTACGCAGTACCTGTGCCAACAATAGTCCAGACGCTCGTCTCACCAATATCAACTTGCCAAAGAGCACCCGATGATGCGCCGGCGTCACTGGAAGATCCGCGCCGCCCAGAAGACGCAGACCCGGCGGAGGTCGGGCGCCGCCGTCCCTTGGGACCTGGGTTCTTAATGACACCGGCACTTGATGTTGAACGTTTCCCCTTCTTCACGCGCCCGCCGTCATTTGAAAAATCATTTGATGAAGACGGCGATGCTGGCTCGCTTGCAGTGGTCTGACCGAAATAATCTGCACCTGACATGGACGCTGGAGTTGAAACGACGGGTGATCCAGGCAGAATAGGTGATGTCGACCCTGCATTTGGCGGGTTGTTCCACAGCCGACCTTCAATGGGACGGTAGGTGTTAACCTTTTCACCCATGCACGACAAGAACGCGCCCGTTGTACCAGGGGTTCCAGGCTCAGGCATGCCCTTGCTTGGGTCATAGACCTCGAAGGCGATCTTGTGAAGCTGAGATACTGGGTCACCACACACTTCGCCTGGTGAGCAATAGTGGTCTGCAACACCCTTTGCACCTTCCTGAAGGCCTCCTCCAACTACGGTCGTCTGGTGATCAACTTTCCGGATGATCAAAACGGGCGACACAACGCCCGAGACCAGACACTGTAGGACCACAGTTTGGTTGTAGTAGATTGGTATTTGACTGCCGTTGTTGGTGAAGGGAATAGCATTTGGTGGAGGTGAAGGATATTCAGGTTGTGGAGGTGGTGGGGGAGGGGTATCAATTCCGCCAGCTGGTTTGTTGACATCGACAATGTACATCACAAACGGATCTGAGATGAAAGAGTTAGCGAAGGCAAAAACAAAATGCAGTTCAGAGACTGACCCCAACTGGCAGTACGTGCAATGAATGATGGTGTGCTGGAACGTGCACGGGTATCGATCCCCATTAAAGGCGCCCCGTCAGAACCCTTGAAAGAGGAGCCTGAACCGGAGACGCAAAGGTATTTTGTCGATACAGTCTGAGACCGAAGACGATGGAAGAGTGAAATCGTTGAACCATGGTTTATACATACTGGAGGAAAGGAGTCAAAAATCATCGTAGGCCACAACGAAACTACGCACGCTCAAGATTCTTTGCACTCTGTCTCTTCTTAGAAGGCTTGCTAATCACTTTGATAGGACGGCTCGGGAATGTCCCGATAACACGTTCAGGCTCATCGTCAGAAGACGGAGCCGTGATTTTCACGAGCGCTTCAACTTTTTTCTTCTTCTCATCAACATCACTGATGAACAACTGCTTGCCGACGCAGCGTCCGATGTATGTTGTGCCAGTTGGTGCGTCATTTACATCAAAGATCTTGCCGGAGGCGGACGTCCACTCGATAGAACCCTCTTGAGGGACAGGTTCGCCCGAGATACAGACAGTCACGCGAGGAGGGCAAAGTTTTGGCTCTTCCCCACGGCGGACCACGTCAGTCCACCAAGAGTTGCCAATCATTATTGCGGTTGGAGGGGGACAGAGGAAACGTTTCTCAGTGCCATATGATTTTTGAGCCACCCTGCTTGACATGACAATGACCGTGCGTTCACCAAACGCAAGGCGGTTTGGCGTCCGCACATATTGATCAAGGTAGGGCCTGAACAGAGAAGGCATTAGGTTTAGAACGTATATTTAACGTAATAATGGTTACCGAATGAAAGCCTGAAGGTCGTTCGATGAGCCCATGCCAGGATGGCCGTTTCTCATTCCAGGAAAGTTGTCCCCAATGCTGGGCATGCGGAGAGACATGTCGGCATGAGGGTTGCCAAAATATTGGACGTCATCGTAGCCAGGAAGGCCAGAGTCAGGGCGGAACGAATGCGTTGCTTGCGGAGCGACGCCACGGAACATATCAGGGCTGTGCCCCATATGCGAAGGGACAGAAGGAGGTAGGCCAGAATGGGAAAAACGAGTGTCAGGTTGTAAGCGCATGCGGTCTTGGAATGGTTGCAGGGCCGATGGAGGATATGCTGCACCGCCGTTTATGCCATAATCGTCGGAGAAGTCATTATGATAACCTGCGCCGTTAACACCGGAAACACGGCGATCGTTGAGGAGTTCCGGGTAGGCATGACCGTTTGAAAAGTCCTTCTGGTGACCGTTTATGCCCAAAGAGTGGGGGAAGACCGGAGATTGCTGAATGCCAGTCATCGCGTCATTGGGGGTCAATGGAGAGACCTTCCCACTCGAGTACGAGACGTTGCTCATCATGTCGTAAGTATTGCTGGAGCCAAATGATGGAACGGAGTCGCCAAATGAGGCATGTGAGTATACGCCGTCTGGGCTCATAGCATATGGAGGACCCAGAGACGAAGAGGATGATGAATTGGCGCGGTACCGCTGGGAGGCAAAATTGTTATTATTGTTTGAGAAAAGGTCATAGGAGGGATGATCTGAGACCTCTCTCGATTCTGAATGATCAAAGTTATGTTGAGGGATTGTTTGAGACAAATGGTGGGATGGCGTGGTGCTGTCTACTGTCTGCAGTGAGTTGAATGCCTGATCAAGGTCAGCCTGATTGTACATTGGCTGATGTGAAGCTGTGGCAAAGTCCATCGCTCCTTGACGGGTATCGAATGGAGGAGGAGGACTGAAAGAATGGTGGATAGAAGGAAGGCGAAAGACAGGTGATGATGTTTCGTCAGACAGGGCCTGAACAAGCTGTGATCGGGTATCGGGAATTGCCGCTGCCATCACGGAAACCCAAGTGGCACTTTGAGCCATAAAATGGTTAGGAGGGGTGAACGGGTCCGTACAGGTAGTTTTTTTTTTATCTATTGCAAGCTTATCGGTGATGCTGTAAAGTCAAGCTAGCTTAGCTGACAATTACGATCTTGATGAAGTTCCGTCAGTATATCAAAATCACTTTCGTAGTGAAGCAACTGACCTTGTTCTACTGATCTCTATCTTTTCTAGACCTCTAAAATCGGTTGCTGTTATCCGTGGTGGTTGGTTTGGTGGTTGATGTTGATGTTGGTTGGTTGATGTTGTCGATGTTGTTGATGTTGATAATAACAACACCAAGGTTAGGTTAGGAAGGCGCAAGGGCAACGTTGTTAAGGCTTTGCCGGCAAGTGTGGCAGGCGACGACGGCCCGTGAGGTTCAAGGGATACCGTGACGTTTAACGGCAGAGACGAGCGCGAAACTGGAAGGTCCAACAAAAGGATCATATCAGCACGGTGTGCCGTTGCTTTTATAGATCTCTTAGGCTGACATAGAACTCTAATTGCGGCAAGGCAACATTTCACGAAAGACATTTCGCCAAACACCGCGGCCGACCTGATTCATGAAAAAAAAGGTTCCGTGTTTCTTTGCTATCACTGCGTTCTGAATCATTCGACTTGTCCAAACAATGAATGATCTCGATCTCTTGTTGCCTTCTCGTGCCTACCCAAGTCCATCTTCTTCGACCTATCGGCGCGCTGGCATATTTCTGGCAGTCAACCCGCTCCGAAATCTCATCCGTTTCATCCGATTGGATCTCTCTCGACCTTGTGGCATTGACTCTACAATTGTCGCACGCGGCGGAAATACTGCACCCATATCTTACTCAACCAATCTTCGTTTTGGGATCTCACCTATTTTGAAAGTCGCTCGGTTAGTCCCGTCAAGAGGTACGTATGGCAGTTCCATCAAAACAATCTCATTCTTGGTTGCCGTGATAGACGCTTGTGTTGTACGAATGGCTCGTCGTCCCAAATCCATCTTAACTGTTGCGAGCCAGTTGACAATGCCCAGAATGCGGCGTTGCGCCCCCCCGATTTGGGGATAGTCAGAGGGGACCCTGCGATATGACAATCGGCCCCTCTCCACCAATCAGGGTCCTTGCTTCCGTGTTCACGAAAGCTTCGTGGATCAACGTAAAAGTCGGCTGTTCAGCAATCAA